AGTCTCTTTGATAATCAGGTGACAATTATTATTGTCCCATTGATATCACTAAAGCTTGACCTATTAGGTAAAGCTAAGACCCTAGGGCTAAACCCTACAGTATGGGATCCTTCACAAGTAACCCTTCCTGCTGATTCTAGGGTTATCTTAGTACAAATCGAGTATATGGTCTATCCGAGTTTCCAAGAGATGGCCAATATTCTAATTAATCAGCGGCGGCTAGCTAGGGTGATTTGGGATGAATGTCATCTGATTCCTCTATCAAAGAGCTATCGGCCAATTATATGTCGTGCCTGGCATACCCTAGCCCTAAGGGCTCCTATGGTATTTGCTTCAGCAACCCTACCTAGGCACCTAGAGGAAGAGCTCTGTCAAATGCTTCAACTAGGTACACAACCCCAAATCCTTAGGGCTAAGCTTACCCTGAAGTATATAACCTATAGGGTTAGGGCCCTTCCAGACTCACTAGCAGCGGCAGAATATCCTGGCTATATTAGCCAGTTTATTAAACAGTTTAATCTCCAGCATGGCCCCTTTGGTCTAAGGGCAGATGTAAAGGTTATTATCTTCTGCCGAACTAAGGCGCTAGTTGATAGGCTATTTGATGCCTTACAGCCTCAGGCAGCTAGATTCTATGCTAGACTATCTGATGACGAGAAGCTTAGTCAGCTAGACTAATTTCGGTAAGAGGCCTCTATCCTACTAGCCATTAGTGGTATTGGTGCTGGCTATGATTTCCCTGATGTAAACCTAGTTATCCACTTTATGCCTGGTGTATATAAGATAACTAATTTTATGCAGGAGTCAGGTAGGGCTGGTAGATCACCTAGCTCGCCTGCTTGGTCTTATTGCCTAGTGCAACCTTACCAGTTGAATCAGCTGCCTCAGGCAGATCTAGTGCCTCAGGCATCAGCAGAGAAGGTCTTCTTCCAGCACTATCTTACTGATCAGATCTGCCGCCGCCGGGTAATCTCTAGGGTTTTTGATGGAGAAGCCCTAGAGGTATGTGATCCTCTCTGGGCACAGTGTGACCGCTGCTCTGACCGCCTAATTAGGCAATCAGTAGTAGTTACCAGGGTTAGTAGCCAACAGCGGCAGAATCTAGGAACTATCGACTTCCTTGCTAGTGCAGTGAAATTTTGGACAGAACAGCGGTGCCCTATCTGTTTTATAAGATGGTTAGGTAAGTGCTCTATCCTACTAGCCTACTACTACCCTACCACTATACTAACTATATCTATATAGTTTCAGAAGAAGATAGCCAAACTAGGCAGCAGGCTATAGGCCACACGCTAGCTAGCTGTAAGGTCTTAGCTGAGACTCAATATACTACAAATATTAGTAGATTGAGAGAAGCTATAGACCCGAAGCCTAATACATGCTGTTTCACATGCTATCTACCTACTAGGGTCTGTAAAGGCCCCTTAGGGACTAATAGCGATATATGCTTTTCTAGCAAGCTATTGATAGTACTTTGGTTATCGTGTGCAAGGGCTACTTGGCAGAGTGAAGCTGATCTACTACAAACGCCCTATTTTGATAAGGATTGGTGGCCTAAAGGGTTTCGTCCGAATCACTTTCAGACAGAAGGATGGCGGTGGGATACAGAGGTTATAGAGGGGGCAGTATTTTTCTATTACTTTGCTTTGTCATATTTTAGTATACATGGCTGGGACTAGGGTTTTAGGGTTTTGGTGGTTTCCTAGTGAATCGAATTGTACTAGCGATCTTAGGATTAGATAGCTAGCCTGATCTGTATTAGTTAATTTACTAGTCTATTAGTTAGTCTATTAACTATCTTAGTGATAGGATAAAGATCCCTTATAATTGGTTAATCTATTATAATCATTTTTAAAATAAAGTAATAATTATTTCTTTAACTAAATTTTGATATAGTACCCCCTAGCACTATCCAGCACTATATAGTCTTAGCAAATTATCTCAGGCTTCTTACCCCCGGCACCTCACCCCTGGCACCGTAGCCCCAGTACCTTAGCCCCAGTACCTTACCTCTGGCACCTTAGCCCGGGTACCTTACCCCTAGCACCTTATCTCTAGCACCTCACCCCCAGCACCTTAGCACTAGTACCTCTCCGCCAGTACCTCTCCCCGGGCAGCTCAGCTCTGGCACCTTAGCCCTAGCACCCCATCTCTAGCACCTCATCCCCAGCACCTTAGCACTAGTACCTCTCCGCCAGTACCTTACCTCTGGCACCTCAGCCCTAGTACCTCACCCCTGACACCTCTCCCCGGGCAGCTCACCCCGGGCAGCTCAGCTCTGGCACCTTAGCCCTAGCACCTCACCCCGGGCAGCTCACCCCGGGCAGCTTAGCTCTGGCACCTTAACCCTAGCACCTCACCCCCCGCAGCTCACCCCGGGCAGGTCACCTCTGGCAGGTCACCTCTGGCAGCTGAGCCCTGGCACCTTAGCCCCGGCAGCTCTCCGCGGGCAGCTGACCTCTGGCAGCTCAGCCCCGGCATCTTTCCTTAGGTACCTTAGCACTAGTATCTCTCCCCGGACAGCTTACCTCTGGCACCTCAGCCCCGGCACCTTAGCCCTAGCATCTCTCGCCTAGCACCTCTCCCTGGGTACCTTACCTCTGGTACCTCTCCCCCGGCACCTTAGCCCCGGCACCTTAGCACTAGTACCTTACCCTGAGCACCTTAGCCCTAGTACCTCTCCCTTAGCACCTTACCCCCGGCACCTTATCTCTAGTACCTTACCCCTAGTACCTTACTATAGTAGGATTATATACTATTTCTAATACTTTAAGAAGATTATAATATTCAAGCTTATACTTTAATATTCCTAGGTATAGACATATATACTATAAGGTATTATTCAACAACTGGCCACAGTACCCATAGTAATATCTGTAATAGAAATATTTATTTATCAATATCTCAATAACCACTAGGCTTACCTAGCTTATACTAATATCATTCTGATCACTAAAATCCCCTCTATTACCCTATATAAATTAATATTAGTCAGCAGTCTAAAAATTTCCAGACCTCTTTTATACTGTTTTCAACCTCTATAGGCCCTGCTTATATAATCATAGCCTTCTAGACCCCTACTCACTAAGCTTACCTATATAGTAGTACAAACCAGATTTAGTTAGCTTCACTAGTTAGCCAATAAGCAGCAACCCTAGTCTTAACCCAAAAGCCCTAGAATACCTCATAGCTAAGGCAGAAACCCTAGGCTTAGAAGGCTGGCCAAAAAGGGTATAGACTACCCGTCGGTCCTGGTCTTGGCATACCCCATCAAAAAATCACCTACCAAAATCAGACCCCTTAGGGTTTTACCCTTCTGACTAGAAATCATCCTGTTAAACCTGACAGGAGGATAGTATAGATAATTCTAATCAAACTTCTAAAAAGCCCGATCGAAAAATATAGAGGGGTGACCTAGTTAGGGGGGGGGGGGACGTATTTACTCGTCCCCCCCCCCCTCGCCAAGACTTTTCTAAGCGCGTCCCCGGGGGGGGGGACGGGTCGGAATATATTTAGGGAATTTATTCAGGTATACCAAGAAATTAAGGCTCTTTATCTTACTTATAACGAATAGTCGACTCTTAAACAACTAGCCAAGGTTCTTAAGCCATTTTGGGTCTACACCAACTCCATATCAAGGGCCCGCCCAACAATTATAAAGAATCTACCGATTTACTGGTGCTTAGACAACCTGCTGAATATAATATTCGAAATGCAGAGGGTAATTCTGAAAACGTAGATACTGAGGTTCGAGATACGGTGGAGAGAGGGATCCGGAAATAAACATTCTAAGTAGATAATCAACTTTATATAAGATAAACAACTCTTAGGGATATTACTCTTTAGAAACCCTCACACCTAAGAGACGATAAGCCCCGTACCTTGCTTACTCTGTAACACAATCAAGACGATCTGATGTACGGGTCCAATACAGAAGCCAAGTAGTACAGAAGGTTAATACTCATTCTTCTTATAACCCTTTCCGCTCGTACCGCCCCAAAAAGAGGAATTAAACGCTCAAAATGCTGTTAATGGTATTTCTTTTTTAGAAAATTATTTCTATACGCTTCAATTGATGTAAAGCTAGCCAGCGTATTCTACGTCAAGGCTGGGTTAAGATATGAAAATGGCGATGTAAGTATGGAAAACAACTAAAATATAAATAGGAAACACCCACCTTCGCGCAAATATGGCATGGTTGGCAAAAAGATAGGAGAGCAATTAGAGCTAGTGTATGTATACCTTCCGTACTGTATATATGCTGAAAGCTTCTCTCGCCTTCTGTCGGTTTCGGCCTTTCAAGGCTAGATCATGTGTCAGAGGGGCATTTCGGTTATGCATATATCCTTGTCTACTGTTGTGATATGAGGCTGGTGCAGATCAGGAACTAAGCCGAACCATCGGAATTAATCCCGAGATACCTATACGAAGAACTAAGTTGATTGGAAATCAACTTGATCTTCTCGCTGTATTTATATTTTTATGTTTCCCTCTAGACACAATTCATACCTCTGAACTACAATACGACTAACCCCTTGCCACCGGCATAGGTTTACAATGTTTAACGGTTGATTTTGATTTGATTGTGATTACGTGCCTTTTCTCGCCGTAAGAACTGTACTTTTTAAGACTATGGCTCCTGTCGCTGACTGTTTCCTAGAAAGGTGTTGGGGCCCACACCGTGGATATTGGCCAGTGGAGGCGTACGGAGAAATAGCCGAAGAATAACATTATTTTAGGGAAGCTGATTGGCTGTCTCGCTTCGTAAACAAATAATACTGCGAGTCTCAATATGATTCGCAATCGCCAGGGGCCGACTCGATGCCGCTTAATCATATCGACCAACACAAATTAACCGTTCTCGTCTAGTCCTTCGGTATTCTGCCATACACTCCGCCTATTTCTCCTGTCACCATGTGACCTTCCCCTCACGTGAGGACGTGACGTCTGCGTCGCGGTTCGCGTGCTTGGGGCTGCTTGCGCGTGTTCGTGGTCCTGCTTCATGGATGATCCATGTCGCTCGAGGCTGTCTCGCATTGCTGGCGGACCTGGAGCGACAGTCTGTGGTCGGTCCCAGGGGCCCCCTCCTGCTCTTCGGCCTGACAGTCGATATAAATCCTGCTTTCGCTGTCGGGAGCTTCGACGGTACCGGCTATCGACGTCCCAAAACCATGCCCCCATCGCGGTGCCATCTTCGCTACCTCCTGCTCCTACTGTTCGTCCGTCGTTTACAGATAATGCCCTGTCTGCCCAACGTGTGCTCTGTGCGGGCTGTGCACGGCCTTGGCAATCTGCTAGCTTTGTGACAACTGCCGACATAAAGCTCGAATGGGGCGGCGGAGACGTCCGCTGCCTCTACGTGCTTCTGTGAACCCCGCACCGCAAGGGCAGCACGCGCTTCCTTATAACCGTGAGACGCCTATTATTCCAGCGCAACGTATATGGTGGAAACGCCTTACCCAGGCTGCAGTCCGGCACTTCTCTCAGGACTGGTCAAAGGACTGCCCCTTCCGCGGTATTCTCCTTCCTTCTACTGAGGCTGACGGCTGGTGCTGTCGGCGTGGCCGCAGACGCTCACCTCACTTACCACCGTTCACGCCAGCCGTTCAGTCTCTCCTGGACCAGTATCAAGGCCGTCTGTCTTCTATGAGCCGTCGGCTAAACGACCTGTTTGCTTTCTCCGCCATCGGCACCACTGGGCAATTCGTTTGTTTTAAAGGTCAGGCGAACGTCGTCTTAGAAGGCCGTATCTACCACCGTTTGCTGGACGTCGCGGATACAGGCCACAGCATACACCGGTTTCTTTATAATGAGTCCGAACGAGGTCTACGGGCAAGGGACCATAACGTCCCTAGTAACATTCTACATGGGATACGCGATTTTCTCAGTTTGGTTAACCCCTATGTACGGACCTTGCGGCACACCATTAATCAGGTACCAGACCAAACCGTCGCCATTGCTGTTGCCCTGTCCATCCTGCCTGCGGGTGGTGAGCTCGCTGCAGTCATCAATACGGAAAATCTCCGCCAGGTAGCGCCGCGACAGTCGTCTGTTACAGAAGAGGTGGCCAGCAGCCACGCTTCGTTCCCACCCTATCTTCCCAATACGAGCCACTACAATATCCACTCCTCTTTCCACATTGCACGCAAGGTTAGGGCTTTCTCGATGAGTCCCGTAAAAACACACCTTACACACAGATCCAATGGTACCGTCACCTATTCCTGAGCGAGCCACGCATGCTGCTCTTTGGCCGTTTAGCGTGTGAGTATGTTGTGGACATGTTCTCCCGGACGGAGGAGCGCCTACACTATCTCAAACGGGGCCGACGCATACAAGCTGCAGCTATGGATAAAGCTCCGAATCCTGACATCCCCAATCTCTTCAAGAATAAAATCCCTGCTGGTTTCATGGGGTCCTGGGCCTGGACTTCGGACCAGGTGGCCGACTCCCTCGCGATCGCGTGACAGCTGGCCAAGCCGTCACTGTGCCTCACTATGACGACCAATCCCAAGTGGCCCGAGATTCAGTCCCAGTTGCTCGCAGGCCAGAATTGCACGGACGTCCCTGCCTTGGTATGCCGTGATTCCGCGGATGGCTCTGTAGGCTGAAGGTCTTTATGAGGGAGAAGTTCGGAGATCTCCTGTACAAGATATGCGTGACAGAGTTCCAGAAGCGGGGTTTACCACACGCGTATCTGGTCGTCAAGCTCCAACATGAATTGCCTTTAACCCAGCTGGGCGGTTCCATCTGCGCCGAGTTGCCAGATCCGGAAGAGGACCCCGCCCTACATGCAGCGATCTGTAGATTCCACATGCATTCGCAGAACCACTTCTGCGGGCGCGCTGCGATCGAGGATCCGACCGAGCTGGCCCTCATATCGTGGCCTGTGAAACCGTCTCACCATTGGTTAGATGCTAGTTCGATTAGAAGCGCAATTTTCATCTCGATGAAAAATTATTCTGAAATCTTATTCCAGGACTTCAACGTTCGTGACGCAGCTACCAAATCAAAGCACCAACAACGCATCGTGTCAACTTTCATAAACATGAACTTCTTTCTACCAGCCCAAACAAATTTTGCGGCATCATTTAACTTGTTCTCAACGATGACAATTGCTCATTACGGTGATGGATATTCGACACTCAACATCGTATGGATAAATTAGTATGCAGACTCATCGACCAGCCTAGTTTTGATAGCATGTTGTTGCGATGCTTTGTTTTCCTGATTCCATTAGCATCAGTTTTTGTCCAGTATACTACTCTCAAAGTGTTATTTTGCCAAAAAAAAAGAAATTGTATTCCTGAGCCCCGCAAACAACGCTGGTTCCCGGAAATATATTTGTCGATGATTACCATGATCGGCCCCGACCTCAATAGAAGGCGAGCAAGCAGGAAACGATGGACAGATGCGGCATTTTTGAGTGTCATATTGAATATTTCCATATAAACCTCCTCTGAATATTACAAAGTTCGAAAGTACCAAGCAAGCACTCACGTTGTGATCTTTTCCCGTTAATCCCTTTTGCTGATTTATCTCCGGGTGATCATCCCGGCCCACCTGCTGGACCGGCAATTAAGGTGGTGAATAGAGAACGTCCCAGTGCAATCATCCCAAGATATGTCTCCAAGAAACACGATGTACCGTACCAACTGCCTCAGTAACTCAAGAAACACCACCGAAGTCAATATGAACGAGGTTTGAGTCGTGTCGCTCGTACGATTTATGGTCTTGCGAAACACAAGGCCCATCTAGAATCTCTTGGCGACTCCAAGACTATTCTCCTCCCATACAACAGTCTGATTGATTCTAGCTACCTCGTTCGAGTGACCAGAACTTGATCTCGATAAGCTGTTGTGTAGACTCTTGGTTATTGGGATCAGCAGTTTGTGCTGTAATGTGTTCGGTGTCTCTGTATATTGCTTCCGCTAGTTGATCACCAGAGGTTGGCAGTGACAAAGTCTGAGTATGACCTGATTGGAGCAACTCTCCAGGTGAAGATTAATTATGATAGAGCAGACTGAGCTCTTCGTTGAACCGGTTGTTCTCCATCCTTTTTTCCAGCCCCTCTTGCTCTACTTGGGCCCTCCTCAGGCCATTAAGGAAAGCCTCTAGCTCTTCAGGCCTAGAGGTACTGCTTTATTCTCGTAAGTTGTTGTCTCTGATAAAGATCGTCTCTATACTATACGATTAATAGATATCTGAACAGTTAGTCTAAGTACAGATATAGTGTCTAGGTTGAGTTTCTCTCCTGTTGCTCTTTCGCCCTTACTCTCTTCAAGTAAGTCTGTTTCTAATAAGATTTGGGTGTATTTACTCCTAGTATCTCTGAGCTCTAGATCAGCTCCAGAGGAGCAGCGAGAAGAAATATTCCCAGTACTAATTTGCTCTGTGGCCCTCTAGGATTAGAATGATCTCTATCCGAAGGACTTCTCTGATCAAAGATAACCTAATCTAGATCCAGGTCTAGAAGATCTAAGTCTATAGGCTTAGGTATAATTTTTAAATTATCTGTCTTGCAGGGAATCAGTTGGTATTTTAAAGAATTGCTCTTTCTGAGAACAGATAATTTCCTGATAAATTCATATGCTGTGCGGACCTATAGAAGCTAGGCGAGCTGTCTTTTTTGACAAATAACGGTAATTATAGTATCTTTTCTAGCCCTTAGTCTGTATTTACACTACTATTTTCTCTGATATTGATAGGATCAACCGTCGGCGACTTCCTCAAAAATACAAAATAAATACAACACTAAACACAAAAGCTAGTAATTACGTCGGCGACATCAACATCAGTATATATTTGATTCAAGAATAATAAAGGGGGCACCTCATATATGGGTGCGGATCTGTGGAACCCCAGAGCGAGCGTGCGTCTTGACGGTACTGTCTGCCAAAAGATCTTACGAGGAGTCGGGCTGATCTGAAGCAGCTTCGGCAAAACAAGCCACAATCCGATGAACCAGAAGATTGAGCTGTTGGTCATCGTATTGATATCGGCCTGGTTTTCGGGTCTGGAGGAAGGCCGATCGTGCGATTTGGTGATCTGGAGAACTGTTAAGTAGCCCGTCAATTTGTCGGTTCTGCTGGTATGATAGAATACTCCGTTACGTTGGTGTTTGAGCCAGAAGCCTTTGTGGTGAGGAAAGAAAAAGTATACTATGGTTTGTGAATATAAAAGAAAATACAATCTCCTAGCAGAGCAGGTAGTTTACCGGAGAAGCAAGTTCCTCTCCGTTTAGTAGCATGTTTCGCAACCTGGTAGTCTACACACTAATTACTCGCACTGTGTGGAAAATTCTCTGTGTCTGGTGTATGCATAGGTTTCAGAGTGAAGCCTTGCCTGTATCGTTCCTTGAATTCGGCAGTCATCTTACCTTCTACAATATCGCTTGGGTTTGACGTAGAACCATCAATCGCGATGGATACTTTACCCCTCAAGTGACTTGTATAAATATCTGTGAGGTCTTTTGATAACTGCTAGATTGACTTGTTGCTTCTTTATCCTTCTACTTGCCTGTTCCTCTAACCCAGGCCGCAGTTCTTTCTGTAAAGGATCTTTCTATTCGCAGAGACTATAAACTGTAGAGAATCGCCAGTACCGTGATTTTTAATAATGCTAACATTCTCCTTTGAGTAACTCTCCGCCTGTGAGTATATATTCAAGTACTACTGAGCGGTTTCCTGCTTATCGTACAGTCTTGATAGATCTTAGGCATCTTTATCAGAGAAAGTTGCAGTTTTTGATTTAGTAAGTAACCGATCTATAACATCTTGTATATACTTTTCCAACTTAGTAGCCGTTGCAGCCAAGCTATGTTTTCATTCTTATAAGCCTTCATTTATAACTAATTCAGGTAACGCTTCAGCTCTACCTGATCCGCAAGATAAACCTGCCTCGTCGGATATCATCTGAATCTGATTGATATAGCTCGATAACTAAGCACAGATCTGAAAGTACTTCTCTGTACTTAAGTACTCTTATTTCAGTAAGCGAAGATCGGCTGTATCTGCTCCAGGCTGAGTTACATCCTTCTTAGCGAATTCTAATAACTTTCTATCAATACTTTAAGTCAAGCTTCTAGGTCTTCTTTTGTATTTTGGATAAGACTCTTATAGTCCCTGATTTCTTTAAGAGCAGCCGCTAATAGATACTTTATAAGCAATCATCCATTATTGAAATAAAGAGGCTAGCTTAAGGGAAGATAATACCGTCGCAGTTGGAGATAACTTACAAATTTGTATCGGTTAAGTTTATATTGATTATAGCTTTATATCCCGCCAGTAAGTGATGGAAATTATTAATACTAATACCTATATACGTCAGTCTAGCCTAATTACAGAGTCTTATCTAATTACTGTTTGACTATAATGTATATTAGAGAACCTTCTACTAAAATAATTCTAGAGATCAATACCTAACTTTAACTTTACCAGGTTAATAAGGGGAGCCAGCACTACGCTCAAAGCTTCTAACTTATTAAGAAGGTCGTACATACGCTTCGGATATAAACGGAAGCTATCCACTGTTTTGTAAAGGGAGATAATGTATTGAAATACAATCGTTGCCAAAGTAAGGATACCAGAGGCTAGGCTGATTGGTTAGGCCATATTTCATACTTGTATAATAATAAGGAAGAAAATAATTAACGTGCTCTTCCAAGACACGGTCTCTACTCAGCAAGCAAATGGAGGTGCCCGAAGTTCGCGTCAAGTAATGTGGAATCACAAATCCCGCACATCTCGCCTGTATTAGTGTTTTCCATCCACTGTCCTGCCGCGCGAGCGCTTCTTTGCTGAGCACTGAGGCATTCGTTTCAACGTTGAAATAAGCATAACACAGCGTCTGGGGCAGCGGCCGAGGGCGTGACTCGTCCCACTGGACGGAGCTGGACTTCGCTTAGCAAATAATTCGCCCCATCAAAGTTGTTGACCGAGGGGAACCGGCTTTCAACGCAGCTCGCATTGTGTAGACCGAAGTGGCGTTCCATGGACCACTCACCTTGGCAGCTTAATTTCCCAAGTCTGCCAATGTCCCCTCGTACTGAAGCAAGTCGATTTGCGAATCATTGGCCTCAACGTTGCCAGACAACATGAAACGGCTTTCACGCAGCCAACATGTACTGTAGGTTTAGAGCCGAAGAAGCGTTTTCCATGGACAACTCGCCTTGGCAGATCGCTTGCCTACCCACTGAAATCTTTGTCTGCAAAGGTTTTGCTCTAGCCTTGGGAACGAATGCATCCCCCTCCATGCAACCGTCAGCCTAGCTGTATCTATTCCGTTGCGAGTCGCAGCCACTGCAAGGCATCATGTCGCCCACATCTCTATTTACGGACTAGAGTCAAGAGGTTACGTCGCTACGACTTACAGTCATAAGTATGACAATATTCCCATACTTAGAATCTGGGCGGCACGGAACAATGTCCGAGCTTACACTCGCCCGGGCCTGGGTTCATGGAGAATAATTTATTCCGAGTCCTGTTTAACTCCCGTGACTCATTCGTGTAAACGTGTAGCATACATGCGGGGTCTCGGGAACCGTCACCTTGCAGGGAGCCTTGCCGTCAGCTGTCCCTTGTCAGCATAAAACGAAATCAATCGTTTCGAGCGAATACAAAGTTCTACATAGCCTCTAACACCTGAAATGTCCCCGGCATCAAGCGCGAAAACATGGCTTCTTCAGTTATTTGGCGTCTTCACAGCCGCCAATCATAACCCGGCCGAAGCTCCAGCGGCTCTTACAGCTGAGCCTGCCCAGCTCCAATTTCGTACGGATACCGACAGTTCGGATACTCTGACCCTCCCAGGTGGAAGAAATCTCGGGTATGCACAATATGGCTCGTTGAACGGACGGCCTATATTTTTTGTGCATGGCTTTCCAGGCTCTCGCCTAGAGGGTGCCGGCTTTCACGAGCTAGGCTTGGAGTTCGGCGCCCGTATTATTGCGGTGGACAGGCCTGGTATAGGGCGGAGCTCACCACACCCCAATCGAACACTACTCGATTATCCGAAGGACTTGGAACATCTTGCAGACCATCTTGGACTTGATCGGTATAGTGTTTTGGTACGAGCATCCTATGGTTCCTAAAGCAGCCGAAATCTTGTTGTTAACACGGGGATAGGGAATCTCAGGAGGTGGACCATCTGCTCTTGCTTGTGCTAGAGCAATGCCTAGCAACAAGCTCAGGTGTGTCTCACTTGTCTGTGCCATGGGACCTCCTGATATCGGTATGAGCGGGGCAGATTTGCTGCACAAGCTTGCATTTCCATATGGATTTCGTTATGCGCCCCTCACTGTTACGCGATGGTTTTGGCAAAACGACATATCAGGACGCCTCGACTTGAATGATGAGAAGCGTCTCAAAATTATGCGTAGACAGCTAGGCGGCCATGAGAAAGATATTGCGTTTATTAAATCTGCATGGCCCCTACTATCTTTGCGATCCTCTCGGGAATGCTTCTCGCAGGGATTTGAAGGTATATGGCAAGATGGCAAGTTGATGTGCATGGAATTCGGTTTTCGAATTGAAGAAATTCGTCATGATCTACCTATAGATTTGTGGTATGGGAGGCTTGACACTTTCGTTCCCCCTAATCATGGCGTCCAGATAGCTGCACGGCTGGGTGAGAATGCACATCTTAGATTGGTGGATGAGACCCATGCAAGTATTGTGATAAACCAGATTAAAGACATATTTGAAGAGTTGGTTCGGAGAACATAGATCACAGGGCTTGTCTGTATATTAGAATTCTGTACATTTAGTTCCAGAAAATCTCATCTCGTTCACCTGTAGCTTGACATAGTCAAGCACATATCACTGCTCTAATATTTGCCTTTCGCGACTGAATTTATCGTTTATTGTATCATTTAGCCTCTGGGTTACATTTTCAGCACTATCTTTCTTTTAACTTTGATTCCGCTATCATTACTTATAACCTCAACGTCATCAACCGCCAAAGGCGGTCAACCCGGGGCTCAGAGTCGCACATTCTAGGGCTTCCTGCTTGGAAAGGGCGTCAGGAGTAATACGTGAGAAATATGAACGAGATACTTGGGGTATTTGTCCAAATTTAAATGACAAATGTTGAAAAGCACAGGTGAAAATGAATGCCCAAAGTGAGGTATTTGAGGATCTCCGCCTTAATTTATCGTATGTTGAGCGAGAATGCGTTGCAGTTTCCTGTAAATATGCAAATTCAAGGATATGGAAATGTCACGACTGACGGAAGCCTTAATTCTATAGGTACTGTGCAGTTGTCATTTTTCAAATTTCCAGAGCTTCCGAAAATGCAAGAAGACGAGAGTTGGCAAGAGCAGGCGGGAGAACAGGATACTGTACTCTGTTGTGATACGGGGGCATGTGCAGAGCACCGTAACTTGTACAGTATCTGCCTGTTGTTGTGCAGAAGGTGTGATAAGGTAAATATCAATTCCGAATGAACGTGATAACTTCTGCGGTGGGGTTAGTAGGTAGCTAGAGGCGCAATATGGCTTGATGTTTTTATGATTGGGATGGGACATGCTTTGCGTGGGAGAACGCGCTCATTATCGGTAAGTGGAATGAAATATCATGACCATTTTGTGCCGCCTCCTGTAGCAGCAACACACGGACCCATGTTGACATGATCCCCTCCTCCCTCCCCCTAGTTTCTCACCTTACTTCCCTCGTTCACTTCTGAACCACGCATGTTGATAACTGATTCCTATCTTACTGAATTGCCGAGAATAATTGACTTTCAATTCGTTTTCTTTCCGCTCTTAGAGGTTGATTGGTCTGTGTTGTAGTTCAGAGTTACTAAAATTAGTTATCATTCCTCCCCTCTAGAGGGAAACATGAGGCTATATATACAACGAGAAGACCAAGTTGATTGGAAATCAACTTGGTTCATCGTATACATACTTCGGCATTAATTCCGACGGTTCGGCTTGGTTCCTGATCTGCATCAGCCTGGTATCACAACAGAAGCCACGCGGGGCGCTGCTGACAAAATAGGCATTTCGTAAAAAGTAGGAAAAGTTACTAGTCTATACGCTTTTAGCAAGTATTGATAGGTGCAATTTATCGTACCGTAAGTCTTCTTGTAGAAGATGTATGATAAATAGGGGAGAGTGAACTGTATTCTTCTAAAATTAACCAACGGGTAGGGCCGAAAACAATAAGTAATTGAGAACATGCAAGGTAAAAAGCATTTTGTGATATAAGTTGTGAATTTACAATGAATACGAGTGGGTTTTTAACAATTTCAGCCCAGCCAAAAGCTCTCCCAAGCCTTCTCGCATAATTCATCCTTAACGTTGTATAGGTAGTCCTGGAGGTCAATTTCCAAACTGTCGATGCTCAGCTTGCCATCCTTGATCCCTTGCCAGCCTTTGACGGGGAATTTAACGATTTGGTAGTTTTTGCCACAAACATTCCGCCCTTCCAGGAGCCCCCTGCGCCGCTGGTAGCATTCTGAGCATAGAAAGCAGAAGCAAGTATAACAGTAATATGCTCCATTATTACCCTAACGTCGGAAAGTGGCCGTTGGATAGCAGGGTCCGTCGCAGGCATACTCTCGGGCGTCGGTTTTGACAATGTCGCTTTCATCCTCTGATGGCTGCTCACTCTCCCTAGTCTTCTCCCTGGTGGCGCCTCCTATCTCAGCCCCCCACGCTCTTTCACCGTGTTCGTCTTTGCTCTCATACTCGACCCCTTCTCTCTTTCTCAAGTACGACTCTTCATCATCCTTATCTGTTGAGTTAAGGTGACCGAACATAGCTGAAAAGATAAGGAGTGAAGCTTTTCGAAGTTCTTCGCCATCCTTAATAGCAGATTATAGGAGAAAAAGTGCTTCTGATAGAAGGAGTAGATTGCTCCTATCGTTCCACGCAAATTCATCGGTCAATCCCTCAATACAAGCGTTGATTTGCTCCTCAAGAATGGTCTGGAAAGCCACAGCGGGCCCCATCTTGAGATGCATCCTAGCCAGAGTCAAGCGATATCGTATAGTACATGAATTGAGCGTGCGAGGTACGTCCATGGCCAGTGGGCTCGTTGTGAGGCTTTTCAAAGCTTCAACAAGTTTTTCTTTATCATCAGGGTCGGAGGAGGTCCTGAAAAGCCCAAACAGAACTTCCGACTGCAGCGTCATCGCGAAGCCAAATGCCCAGTCAGGCTTGTAATTTGTGACCGTGTACAGGTGGCCCGTATACCTACTGTCAAAAACCTGGTCTAGTACATATCTCGCCTTGTCGTAATCTTGAGACACTCGAATGTAGAATTTGGCAAGTTTGATGCGGAAGGGAGCGCCGGCATTGACGTTGTCCAGATACTCGATGGCACTCTCATACATTTCTGTGACAAAAACAGTCTCTCCAGTCGAAGGCGCAATATTCAATAAAAGGTCGTGTCGGGCCGTTCCTTCTTCATGGTAATTCCACGCCATCCACAAGAGCTGCTCCAATTTTGTCCATGATTTCAATGCAGCCATATATGACTTGCGATGACGTCGATCTGGGTAAAGATCAAGTTGCTCGCCAAGCACATCGCCAGTCATCAGCTCCAATGGGTTGGCATCCTTGGCAGTGGAAAATGATTTTGCTGCTGCGAAAATGTCTCCCCTCTTGGCTTCTATGCGCGCCTTGGAGACGTAGGCGGCCCGCTTGAGGGATGGACTGATATAGGCCGCGTTAAGAGCCTCACTGTATGACAAGACGTAATGGTATGCCTCTTGAACGCGGTCTTGTTTGGAGAGAATCTGTACCATGAGGACTAGCGCCTTGAATTTTTCAAGGCGTTGATTCTCGTCAAGAGATTCCAGTGATGACAATATTTGTATCGCCTCGCCACACATATTCTCCGCAGGGCCTCGTTGTTTGAAGTGCAGTATCAGCTCCGCCACCACGCGATACGACTGGGCACCCATTTTTACGTTCGTAAAGAGATTTGGAACACCTAATATTTCAGCTATTGGGGTTGGAGGGCTCTTCTCATCTCCAACTTGAGCGAAAGGAAAATTCTCTTCTGCATTTGCAGAGAGCAAGCCATGACGTCCGCTCTGTTCATGATCAGTATCGAGAATATCATCGGTAAGTGCTCGCTAGATTGACTTACATGGTTCAGCGAATTCCTTAATGCGTTGAAGGCCTTTAGCGCACCACTATTTCTTTTCGATTGATAAAGGTCTTGAAGGTGGGCCTTAGTCAATGGGAGAAGAGCCTCGCTGGGGTCCCATGACGAACGTCCCCACCATTCCCGAGCATCCTTAGGTGTATGCCAGCTATCATTCAGTGGTATATCCTTCGTCCACATGACGATAGATTGGGACCCGGAAAAGAAGGCAAGTGAATAGTCCGTCTCGGTATACTCGATCATATCAGCGAACGCAGAACTCTGTAGGAGCTCCCAGAGTATGTTCATCACCTCCAGCAGGTGTTCGTTAGAATGCCGCTTGAGTTTGATATTTTGCCAGTGTTCTAACACATGCTGTGATGCGTAGATCCGGATTGGGAGGTGATTTCCCTCTATATGACCCCCGTCGAGGGGCTGTAGAAGCTGCGCCATGATGAGGAATATTCGTCGATGAGCCTCCGATGCTTCCCAATGCGCCTGGCCCCATTTTCCAGATGAGCCGCAGATGAATGATTGCACCGAGCGCTCACGGAAACTGACAGGGAGTTTACCATCATCTTGTATCAGCTTAGTACCTATGGGATGGCCGCTTTCAAGCTCCTCGGCCTTAGTTAAAGCTCCGCCCATCGCTTCAATTCTCGCCCTCTCTTCGGCATCCGTACTAGAGTCGCCAACTTGGAGAAAATAAGTGAAAACTTCTGATAGCTCTCTAGTATCTACGATTTCTCCGTTGCTCAGTTTGTACAGAAGTGATGTGACTTCATTAAGCGAAAGCGGCCGAAACGAATGCGCAACAAGGTGCAAAAGCAGGGTGGTGATCTCCTGCCGTGATGAGGAGAAACGTTTGAGGCAAGCCGAAAGTAAATTGTCAAAGAGGTCATACAGAGTCGGTGTCGTTGGTCTTTCAAGATTTCTGAGAACGGGGCCTTCGCGGCGAAGGCTATTTATTCTCGTCGGCATGTAGTCAGCGTGCAACATATCTGCAGCTGCAACATATTAGTAATTTGTATGGTTCCGATACGGGAACTCTGATATACGCACTCGGCGATATCTCCTCCAAGTTATCGACAATGCGCTGCTTGACATATCTTCCGAACTTGCGCAATTCGTCGAGAGATTCAAGTCTATTCCAGATAAACATCTTTAAGTCCTGGAGCTTCTTCTCTTCGGTTACATCCAACTTCATGTGTGCAGCCGAACCGAGAATAGGCGGCAACGCGTATGGCCGCGATGTGACACAAATAGAGATCCTTAGTTCAGGCCGCCTCACCATCTGTACAAATGACACAAAATCCTGTACCCCCCCTGGCTGTAGCACGTCCATTCCGTCAAGTACAATATAAAAACGGTGCTTACCCCGCTTGGAAAAGCACGGGGAGAGAAACACGACGACCAGGTCGCGCCAATCCAACATGTCGAAAGCCGCGTCTCTTAAAAACGCGGCATTCACCTGCTGACACAGTACCTCATTATGTTCAACTATCTGGTTGATAATTGTGGCAATGGCACTGTGGAACAACGACAAGCTCTTGTTTTGCTCACGAAAATAAAAGTGCGTGACGCAAGTTGAGCCCTAAGGGTCATAACTTGTCATATATAGAGGCAGCGAGGTGGCTCTTGCCCATGCCAGCCTCGCCACTGAGGGCCAGAATAGGCCAAAACCCTTTGGATTCAACGTAATTCATCCACTCATTCCACTTTGGATCCGAGAATATCCAGGAGCATGTATTTTCCACCAACGTCTCTTTGAGAGCATGATATTTGTGGATATCCCCTTCAACTTTCGGTAGTCCATTTCTAATGCGCCTCGCTGATGGGGGCTGTCTGTGCTGTCTTTCTGACGAACCTCCTTGATCCTTCTCGTATTTCTTGCTCTGCTCTCGGAACGCTTCGAGAAGCTTCCCCATGTCACTGCGAATGTGCTCCGTGGAATTCTGTATGTCGCCTAGGAGCTCCATTTTCAGGTGAAGCAACTCGGTGAACCTCGCTGCTCTAGATCCCTTTCGATATAATCAGAAGGGAAGAAATATACTGGAGATGGGAAAGCATATATGATCGTATACTTTGCCGTTGAAGCGAGGCTAGTACTAGGACTTAACATTCAAAATACACGAACATAATGACAAACCACACCTTCACCAAATGCCATGCTTAATAAGACAAAGCAACACCCACAAAAGATCTCGCAGAACCAAAAGAAATATCGATCAAGATGTTCGGCATTGTAGTGCTTTGTGTTTTGAGAAATAATTGAAGCCCCTGAAATCCGTACATTTTCAGGGTTGTCACAGCCCAGCGCTTAATGCGATGCATAATCCACCAGCGCGAATTTGGTCTCTCGATAGAAGCATTCCACTGTGGCTCTAGTGACTCTGTCCAAAATGTTGATGCATAGCCAGGCCATGAGGCAGATTTCCGTCCGTTTTTGTTGATGTACCAATTTGAACATCCCGCCTCAAAGACCCCGCCTCGAAACTGAGCGTGGTTACGGTTCACCCATTGACTTTCATCACCTTCTCACCCACCGCTCACCCCAGTCTCATTAGCCTGCCGGCGTGTGACTTAAGTACAGCTGAGCGGACGGGAAGCCCTCTTCTCTACACCCTATGGTCGTATATGCTAGATTTAGGCCAGAGTGGATAGGTATAGTAACCAGAAAAGGATCTGAGCGCCGCTGAGGCTGCAACGAATTAGTATTTAAATGTCTACTGAGGTATATAAAAGGAATAATGACAGGGATAAATACTATCTGAAGACCACAGCTTGACCGATAACTTGAGTACTGATATTTGTGGCTTATATTCTATCTAGACCAGAATGTGACTAGTTCGTCGAAGTCTTCCTCTCGTAGGTCCTTGCCGTCTCTCTCCACCCCCGTGATCTTGTGCCGCATGGATGCCGCCTCTTGTAGCAATTTTCTTGCCTCATCCTCTTGCCTAGCTTCTGAAAGCACCTTGGCCTTGAGATATGAAGTCCGCGATATCTCCCGAGCATATGTTGCTGAATCGACGCTCCAATTCTTGAGGGCCTGATCGATAAATCCGATGGCATCGTCAAGAAGCCCGTTGCGGAGGCAATGCTGGGCCACTTTGTGGCAGACATCTGCAGTTCGATGATGGCGGTTGCGGATGGTTGACTGGTATTGCTGAAGGGCCCGTCGATGGAAATTTTCACTCTCCTTGATTAGACCCTGAGAGAACCGTACGTTTCCAAGTGCGTGGAGAAAGCGACCGGTCCTGCCAGCAAGGGTTGGGGTGTAACACAAGGGTGAACAAAAAGCAGAGTAAAACTAGAGTAGATCCCTTACCTGAAACAATGGCTGTCCATGGCCCCATAAACTTCTTCTCGATCTGCGAGGCCCATTTCTAGCACTTCAGATGCCCGTGTGAAGTCACCCTGGAGCCACTTCGTTGTCCCAAGATTTACTAGTGCCAAGGAACGCTTGTCTTTGGTGTATTCCGAGATTTTCTCGTACTCCTTTGCAGACGTCGTAAAAGATTCTTCTCCCTTTGTGTATTCGCCAGCCATCATCCATGATATACCCATCTGGTTATAAGCGCTGGCGAGTTTCTCGTCCACTGCTCCCAGTTTCTCTGCTATATTTAAGCGTATCTCAAGGACCTTTTTATTATGGTCCATGCTGCTCGCTGCGTCGTTTGTCCCGCTGGCGACTGCACCAAGTGTGTGCCGGATGTCGGATTCCAAGTCTTGGTGATCGATTTCTTTGCTACGATTGCAAAGTTCTAGGGCCAGTTCCAATAAAGGCTTTATAATCGGCGATTCGCCGCGTTCGTGTTGGTACCTTCATGTGGGTTAGCAATCCCCGAGAATCGTTATGTACAGAAAGTACCAGAAGGACCGCGGTATCTCACCATCCAGCGCGATTGAGAAGCCCAGCAAATTCAAAGTCACCATCAACATATTCCTCATGCTTGAAGTGTTTCTTATACGCGTCCTCCAGGCTGATGACATGCGGGTAGAGTGCTTTGGATTCCTCCCATAGGTTGACATCATGACTCTCAACTTCTCCAACCGGCCAGGCCGCTGCGACCTTGGTGACCGCGTTTAAAAATATCCTTCGTTGCCGCTGAGGTTCAATTTGGACACGCACAACGTCTCGCGTAACACGATGCATCCAATACTCAGCCGTTTCCTGATTATGACGAAAAATGGAAGACCCGATCAGTTGCTTCCGAGCATTGAAAAAGGGAACCGGTTGCTCAGGATACGAGGGCATATCTATAATAGTAGCGTGGCTCACCAAGATCCTCTCCTGAATACTGTCTGGGTCCAAAAACGATGAAATTTCTAAAATCGCTCGGGCAGCATCTGATAGCTTCTCCAAGACTGTTGACACGTTACCACGAGCTGGCACCTGGGGCGGCTGAACCTCCATCTTGTGGATTTCACCAGCATCGTAAAGTCTCATGAACTCAGTATAGGTTAAAAAGTCGAGCCTAATTATGCCAGCCATCTGGGCGAGCGCAAGTGGCAGCCCACCTAGTCGATCACCGACCTGTCTTGCTTCTTCAAGTCGACCCTGGATCCCTGTAAACTTTTGAACAAACAATCCAGAATCTTCAAAATTAAACGGCTGGACATCGACAGAGATCGCATGTTGCGAGAAGGCTGTCCTCGCGAGGGGGCTGCGGCTGGTGATCAAGACTGCTCCGCTATTAGCGATTTCACTATATGGCGCCAGGATGTCAGGTTCGTCAGCATTGTCGAATACAACCAGCCAGGAAGCTCGCAATTGATGCCCGGTACCACGGTCTGTCTTAAACGGGTTGCAAAGCCATTCAATTGCGAGCCCTTTATTGTTGATCTTGTCATCTGGCTCTCTAGGGTCCTGGATTTCTAATTTGATAGCGATCTGGGCGAAGTCTGATTCAAGCTTGGACACATCATCGGCTCGGATCCAAAAAACCGCATCGAATTTCCTTTTGCGAGTAAACGCGTATTCCATGGCGATTTCTGTTTTCCCTAAACCAGGCATGCCGCATAATATTCCCACGCGTATTTGATCGGGTTGCGAAGATGGCAGCGTATCTTTTGAAGGGAGAAAACAGTCATCAAGTTTGCATAGAACATCTTGTCTTCCGTAGAAGTCTTTGTTCTTCACATATGTGTCCATCATGAAACATGGTATTTTGGGGTCACGTTGTTCTACGGAGAAGAACTCCAGGAGAGCCACAAGAGATTTATGTCCTGGGCTTGATTCAGTATTAACGTAAGAGAGCGTGCTAGGAGCTGGCGGACCGGAGACATCGGCTTTGGCAGCCTGTTGCATGACAGCTGAGGTGCAATGTCAGTGATGGATGGTCTATAATTAGTGTATTTAACTCACATTGATTGGGATGGTTCAGTAATAAGTTGTTGTTCGTCGGTTCCCTCGAAATCTTTACGACGTTATATCTGCCTATATACGTTCAGTAAACTAGATCAATGATGTCAAGAACAAAATGGCGTACCGTGGAGCTGAATGAACCACTCCAACCAGCGCCGTATCTGCAATATTGAAGCCCCATGTTCCTGACACATAGACGGAAGTTGAATGTGGTCAAGCGGCACGCCGCGTCTTTCTTCTGGAACCGTCTTAATCGAGCATAAAGGCTCATCAACGATCTAGGATGCGTTGAGTTAGCTCGGTTCAAAGTCTTTAGCAAAAAGTGAACTTGGGTTCAAACAATTAATTTCCTTGTCCTGGATATCAAAGCCCTGGTGTCTTTGATGGGGGTATCTCTCTCCTCGAAGATCGATAATATATGCAAACGTAAATTCGCCTCATTGAAACGATCCGCAACACCAAGAATCGAGCGGAACTCCCTTTTCAGTCGTTTAAGAGACTTACTACTTAATGGCGTGCCATTGTTGATATCGAGTTTTAGAATGCGGGTGAATCGATCACTGAGTTCCTCATCGCTCACCCCTCCTTCGAGACGGTGCGGAGTACCAAGGAACACAATGCCGGCCACAGCGCTCAAGAGGTCAGGGTTCTGGTTATTTGTCGTGCTAGCGAGACAGAGTGCCTTTAGACATAAGCATATTCCACGCTTCGTTGCTATTAACTGAAAAATGGGTCGTCACACCTCTTTCGCGATAGCACCACCAAGGCCATGGCAAATGAACAGTAGAGTTTGCAATTCCTTAATATTGTTAGTAAGTGAGCGGAACGAAGAAAGTGAGGTCCACCTTTTGGCTATCTAGAAAAACTCGAAGCTTGCTCAGAAGCTCAGCTCCTTCATCTAGGAGATGCGTCCAGGAAAAGAGGTCGCTCAGGGACGCATCATAATCGTAAGAGTGAATAGTAACACCAATGTCCGGTTTTGCGAGCGCATCGGTCCAAGGCTGATTGCAGAGGGACCAGGAATCACAAGCAAGGGTCCCTACTCCCGGTACGAGAATTATGCTTAGATAATAAGAGACTGTACGGCATACAGTTAGGGGCAATGGGAGGCGTACTGGATATTCTGGGTACCCTCTTTTACGACTTTAAGCCTCCGCAAGGAGCTCGGCTGAGATGACGATGAGCTTCGAACCCGAGGCATATCGATCACCTGAGCTGTTCTCTCTATGCCGCCAAATCAAGTTGATTGTAGTACGAAGAGGATGTAGGATAAAAATGGAAGGCTTATACCGGCGGTGATCGGAGTTCACTTATCTCAAGATCAAGGATAGAAAACACCGACCTGATAGTAGGAAGAGTAGAGCCTCATAGTGCCAACACAGCACTCCAAACTGAGTTACAGAAAGGTTTTGATGAGGCAAGGTTGCACATCTTGAACAACTTCAGTTGCTGTACTCCGTACACCCGTGCCCATTTAATACACGGCTCAGGTAGGAATTTGTTCCCAATCTGAAAGACAACCCTGCATAGAGCCAATCAGATATACTCGTCAAGGTCGTTCCAGGAGGCACGGATCTTCGGTCGCCCCGGAGGAAATCACGTAGAACGAATCATTGAGCGAGATTTTTTCAGTGTTGCCGAAGAATCCATGCAAAATTGAATGTTGGACGGACGAAACGGAATAATAAATTCGGTGCATTCATCATAGTCCTATGAAAGATCTAATTAAAACAGCAAATTCTTTTTATAGATATACCATATCGTACTTGAAACTGATCAAGCAAGAGGCCAGCGATGAGTACGAGTAGCCCAGGTGATCACGAAGCGTGCCGCAGGGGGCGAGGCCACGTCACCTAGTCTGTGCTCCCGCATGGCCACTAAGCCAAGTTTAGCATATCCAGCGGATACCGCGGGTCCGCCGAGCTCCAATCCCGAGCTTTTGGTCGGAGGTTCCCAACAATCCCTCGAAGTCTTACACGATGCATATAATTCATAATAGCGCTACACGTGAGAGCACCTAATGGAGGAGAAAAGCGATTTCATTTTTGATATAGACGGATACCCATATCAGACCGTACATTATTTGATGACTTCTGTGCAACCTCAATTAATTGATATGAAATTGATTCTGTTTGAGACCTGTGTTCGAATTTACACACTAATAAATGCTGTGTATGAATGCCCAAAATAGATAAGGCGGAAAGAGGCGGTGTAGTATGGAGGGGTGAAGAAGGAGTTCAAATAATGCGTATTTCGCCCTTATATATCCAAACACGTCACTCTAAAGCAACGAGACAATAGAGGATTACTTGCTCTGATCAAGCGTGAAAGAGGACGCCACTCCAAACATACTCACTTGGTGGCTAAGGAACATGTATGTTCAAGGACTTAGCAACCCAACTTAAGCACTCGCGCTTTTGGACTCCCGTGATGTCTAACGCGAGACAGAACGCGAGACAGCCTTCCACATTTCGAGGAATTACCCACGTCGTATCAACAATCGCTACCGCACGTCCAAGGATTGAAAAGGCAAACCTGAACAATGGAAACCGGCGCACAGAAATTAGAACAGCCCTGGAAGTCTGTTAGTGACAGCTTCAGTCAAAAGAGGGTTAGCGACAAGGATATCTTCTATGGTGCCGCTATTGGCGAAAAGATGTCAGTACCGGGTTCTGCCGGGGAGGTTAACGTGACAATCCTGTATGATACAGGTGATTATGACAATGAGTAAGTCCTTGCAAATAAATACAGGCTATGCTTACTAATCTACAGATCAAGGAATACGAAGTGTCTCCGCCATGATTTGCCCGCTCAAGAGGCGCCTAATACGAGCCGAAAGTGACGAATAAGGCATGTGTGCATCAGAAATCAAAAGTACTAGAAATTCAAATCTCTCCATATTTTTGATCGCGTATTTCACGATAAAATCCACGACCTGGCCGCATTTGAAAACATTGCACTCTTGCATAGTTGGTCGGTCCGTCATGTTATTATTATTCTGTATAAAAAATAAGATCGCCCCTACGGCCAGCAATAGCACAGATTATCAAGTTCTATCTCATTAATAGGAGTCTGATTTTCGGCGACTTTAGCGGTAAACCCCAACGTCTGATATGAAGATCATAAGTTATAACTACTGGCTGGATACAACAATGTGAAATCTTAACTCTATAAGATATCTGAGCAGACTATGGAGTTTCTTGTTGGAAAACAACAAGAAGAGACAACAGACTGCCGCCAGCAGGTCCCAATGAGATGGAGCCATTAACTATGATGTGAAGACGAGGGCCCGTACCTCGATACTATGCCTTGGTTGAACCTTTTCCGTGGCGCTAGGATGAAGGAAAGAAGAATGTGGGACACCTAGGGCAAATGTCAGCGTATATTTTAATGATCGTGTGAGGCTGGTTTACTGACATGGAATCCCCTTGCTGTCTCCTTGAGAGAAAAACCCAAGCTTCGTTGGGCATTTGCTCACTGGCATAGTACCATTGATGCTGTGGGTGATATTCTAACAATAAGTTTTCTGTTTGGAAGTCCTGGAACACAACGTCCCCGGCGTGGAGAGAGTGTGGGTTGAGGCTCGATGCGTCACAGAGTGCCAAAGGCCAATCTTGGACTGGTCCGCGGATTGGTGCCCAAACACTGTGATTGAAATTAGCCGTGGCCAAATTGGTTAGAGTTAAGCAGAGAAGACAACAAACTTTATGAACTGGTATTGTTTTCCAGGGAGAAAATGGATTCCATTTTTGTGATTCAGGCGACGGGCAAGAATACTTGCCCATTCATTCGTCATGTCTTCGGGATATTAGCACTTGAACCTTTTGATGGAATTATTTACAAACCAATGTGCGCTGCAGTCGTGGGCTGATGGTCTTCATACGTAGTGTCTGTCGCTATTGGAAAGCTCTCACCCCGTTTCCGAACCTACTTTCATTAATTTTAGGCGGAGACGTGGCACATGAAGGCGAACGAACGAGAAACTCGAAAATTTGTATCCTGGATGGATTGAGCATGGATTTCAGGAGCCTGGAAACATTCGGTAAATATGTTTGAACAATCTTGTCTTCGTCGTCGAAATCCTCAAAGGTCATGCCAGAGTCGAACGATTCTAGGGAGAATCCAGTTGTGCTCAAAGAAAAGTCTTTTTCGCGACCTCGAATATCTTCGATCTTCTGGAGTTGGATTTCGGTCCTTATATTTGACCATGGGAGACCAGACGGTGGAACAAACTTCATTCTGTAAGGTTTCTGTTTATCGTACAAGACGTCCCTCGCGAGGAAATCTATGTTGCCTACGACAGCCATCGTGAGCACAGTAACCAACTGAGGGCTTTGGGAAAGGGTCGCGTATTAGCGTGCGACTGAACAAATCAGATGGAGGGAGAAATGTGACTGGAGTAGACAGTCGGAGAGCCGACTCGGAACAGCCTTGGCTACCATATCACGTGCTAATTGTGGTTAATACCCCTGTTACTTACGAAGAAACTGTCTGGTACGGTACTCCGTACAAGAGCAGAAATTCAGAGGGCGACTGCATACTCCGTAGGTCTACGAGAAATAACTTTTTTAGGGGGCTGGATAGCATGTCTAGTCTCCTCTGGCTATACCAGAGAGGGGGCTAGTTTAGAAATATCCGCACAATCAGCTGACCACAACATATGCAGGCTGCAACCGAGCCTGCACGGCACTAATCCACCAGCGAAGTTCTTGCCACTCATTGTAACAACTCAATCTACAGATTCTTTTATAAGTGGGAATCATTCGCTGATCGCGTACGAGAAGCCGCTGACATTATAGTTCCTCTCTGGCAATGTGAGAGTGGCAAATCACGGCCCAACTCACTAATCAAGACTCAGCCACTCCGTGTGTCCCTGTTTCTGTTGCTGCCCGCTCAAATCTGTACATATTGCGAAATGTAGAATCACGGCCCAAATGCAGTCCTGCTGCCTTAGCTTAGTGCTCGGGTGAACCTCGATGAAGTCTGTGCATATCGTCACATGTGACACGTGTCATTGCGCTCACGTTCCGTGTTCATATTTTGAATGTAAAATCAGATGAGATGCTGAGCACAATATTTGTTGCTTGGATCCGGTCGCCGCCTTGATTGCCACATCTGCGACCAAGAACTCCGATCCTGACCGTGCTAATGGTGTATCTAGAGTGTGTGATCATTGCTCCGGCTTACATGGTGGTCCCACTGGTTTCTGAAAGAACATCACAAAATTGAAATGGGTGGTTAGCAGCGTCCTACCCATCATGCAAGAGCCGATTCTTGAAAAGAAATAGAAACAATCGACTCCGATCACCACACTATTCTGCACACAGAGGTGAAGGTGCCAAATCAGCGGTGAAAATGGTCCCGAATCCTCATAAGGGTGACGCAACTAAATGGTAGCAGCTCAAGTTCTCTTTAGAGAATCCCTGATATACACTGTACAACCTACTGGATTAATTCCACCGTGATCACACTGACCTGTGATTAACTGAGACCCAAGAGACAATTGTGCACAATATGTCGGATTCTCAGACTAACAACCTTGCTGCAGTGGATCAAAGTCGATAGATTTTTGCATTTAGACCCTATGATCTGGTTCTAGAGTCGATTCGTGCACGCCGGCTATACATCCTCCGGTACAACTCCTCCAAGCTCTCCTCGTTAAATCTTCTATCTCATCATGCTTTAATAGTGCCCAGGTAATAGCTCCTACTGCAAGAGATGCTACAGCCCATGACCAAAACGGCGGAGTGCTGCCAGGGTTGACCTCACGCACGTTCATACCAAATAACGAAGCCACAAACGATAGAGGCACAAAGAAGACGGCTAATTTAGTAAGCTTTGTCACGCTTTGGGCTTCAACCACAGCCTTTTCGGACTCGCGGATAGTCGCAGTGTGGGCTGTTATGGTCATCCCCTGTACACACTCGGCAGCTAGAGTTTCCGCGTATGTAAGTGCTGCACGGTAGTCTCCCAGAATCGACTCGACATTCCGCGTAGTGGACGCCCTTACTTCGCTATCTGGCGCGTTTCCTGGTATGCTCCGCTCATATCGCGACTCAATGGCATCGATAGTTTCTTTGAGGTTTCGAATGTGGCGCCCGAGGACTTGCTGATGATAGAGTAGATTTGACAGAGTCGGATTGCTATTGCCAATCAGATGAGAATGATTCAGTTCCTCTCTGATTTTGGTGTCAAGAATATCTAGGATTGCCATTTCAGACGCAACTGCCAAGTTGAAGAACGGGCTCAAGGCGTATAAGGGATCATGGACTGCACGCGATAGATCGATATGTGTGTAGTCCCTCAAGATAATGTCGGCCGTTGCTGACGGCTCGGCAGATTGGGGATGATTCCTCAGTGTTCTTCTGCTGTTGGAGGAGATCCCGGGGTTGTGCAGCGGTTTTGGTAGGTATTTCAGGATAGTGTTTGTATGACTGCTACCAGTCTGCCATGGCCATTTCAACTCATCACCTAGCTGTCTTAAACCATCGTGCCAGACAATGCCCAGTCGGCCTTTTGAAGCGGAAGGGATGTATATTGAGATCGATTGCTCTAACGAAAAGCAGTCCAAGTCGTGGACGGAGAACTCTCGAGCAAATGAATCACCCGCGGTCTTATCTGAAGAGTTCAAGAGAGCAAGGTTGCTCGTATAGGTACTTATCTGCTTAAATGATTCTTTCCGCAGGGTGTCTAATTCTTTCTGGTGCTTCATTTGCTTGTCTTGGTTCTGCAAGCTCATCGTGGTGACTTGTAGCGACAGCATATCCGAGTGGAACGATGGGCGTCTTTGTGTGGCGGCGGGCTTCAACAATTTTCTTCCAGGTCTCGATGCAAACAGTAGATGCCTTCGGAAGAACTCGGGGTCAATACCGAACCTTGCTCCTAAGACATTTAACCATTTTGCACAAGGATAACCCCGCAACAGGAGTAACGAAAAGGAGCCACTGTTAGGTATGGCTGTCTGACCAAGCTCCTCGAACTGCCCTATTGTTTCAAATGGGATCCGGGTCATCATTGTATTAGAAAGGTTGTAGAGCGAAACGAAGCAGCTAGTCGGTTCAACTGCTGGGAAAGGTGAACTCGGCCGTGGTGGTCTGGGAGTATACGGCTGCGAAAGGAAATTTGCGAAATCTCCAAAGTCATCAACCGGGTATAGTGACTGCTCCGACTTTGTTTCTGCGCGAGAACGGACCTTTCTAGCATATTCTTGAGCGCTATCTACATAATAAAAGATGATTAGCATGTTTCAGGCAGAAAGAGTCGAAAGCGTACCTTCCCGTGTCTGGAAGGGGGCTCTATTTTCATTTTCTCCCATTCCGGGGCTATCTTGGTTGTTCTCTCTTCGCGCTATGTTGATGCTAGTAGATAATACAGGTGGTCGCGATATGAGTTAACTGGGTGAGTATGCGTTTCTTGAGCACAGAATGATGAATCTCTTCACACGGCCAATATTATATGAGCGTGTTAAATTGCTATCAACAATCTCAGAGATAAAGGCCGAGTGAGAAAAGGCAACAGCAGCTCCGCTTTACCTCTAGTATCCGTGCCCGATAGTCACTCCACCACCCAGAGCACGACTCACGTAAGCCTTGGTTCACCCGGGTGATTTCTCAGACGGGCCTCTGCAAAACTCTTAACCCTGCCATCTCCGCCTCTTAACATACTCCACACAACACACTCAATCACATCCTCCTAACTAGCTAGAATGCATCGATAATTTGTTGGAAAGCGGTCAGTTGCAACTGTTTGTGATACATTGGGGTTGGTAGTATTTGTCTTGTTTTTCGACAGGAAAATAGTTCCAAATAAATGCTGCCATAGGCGACAAAGCCCCCGGATGGCGGGTGAATTCCACGGTTTTGAGGACCGAGGCCATGAGTGGAGTTCAAACTAGCGCCCCAATATAACTATAGAAGTGCGGGGTGGCTTACTAACTTTCTAAACCTGCGGCAGTGAATCAGGAGAAAGTTAGGGGCTGAGATAGGACACAGGTAGCACAGGCTTCAGCCCAGTATTAATTATTTTGCATATACTCCACTGTCGGATGATTAGCTTTTCATTATTTGCCAAGTACACAACGCAGCCATAGTCACAGAACTACATCTGCGCTGTGTGCAGTTAGCGTCCCATTGGACAGCTAGTGCAATGAATCAATCATAAATTGCTCACCGGTGGCTGCAGCCCGTCCCACTTCTCGAGACCTCATCAATCGACCCGTGGGCGAATAATCCTAGGTCAGGGGACACGCGATGGGCTGGTACTTTGGTCGCTGTCTCGCCGGGGACAGAGTAAGAAACTGGGAGGTGAGAGCAGGTAATTCCTCTCTCGCCTCCACTCAGGTCATTACACTGCTTCTGTATAGTGCTAGATCTCAGGATAGTATTCTGTAGAAGCCTAGAGACATAACAAAGTCTGTCTGTATCAGGAGTCTCGACAATACATAGACAAAATTTAATTACAGTATAGTATATTAAAAGCACTACTGCTATCTTAAACTAGATAATATATAGCAGTATAGCAGATATTAGTATTAGATAGTATAGCCTCTAAATAGAGCTAAGAACTTTACTAGACAAGACTACTAATCAATATTTAGCAACGAATTTAAAGAACTTATATAGCTCTAGCGCCTCGGGACATATCCAGCCAACTGTAGAGGACTGTAGCAGAAGCAATTCTTTGATAAATTAGAAGGCTGAATATTTAAGGTAACGTTATAGCGTTTAGAGGAGCAAATACTGGGCTTAAAAAGGAATCTGCGTTATAGATAGTCTGAGCATAGGATAAAAAGTTTCTATAAATTCTATCGAAGGTAATTAGCAGACTTTGTTACTCGATTGCAATAATTCTTTCTGTTTCTAGCATATCGAACAGGGAAAGCTTACGAAAACAGCTTCAAGAAAAGGCTCATATATGACTCAATGTCAGTTTATTCCAATCTGATTCAGAGAGAGGCCGCGACAAGCACTCGGAAGATGGGAAGACGGGAAAGAAGGGGACCGACCAAGGCTATGTATTCCGACATCGAGCCCAGCCTGCAATATGAGCAAATCAGGCCCCCAGTTCAAGGTAAACCCGTCCCAGACCCATACGGATACTGGTATTAAAGTACTACCCTCTAATCGTGCGTTTCCGGCAGTCTAGTTGCAAGTGTCAGCTCAATCACTGGTTGAAGCAATCCTCATTTAAAGAGCAAGTTTGGTATGACAGCTCCATTAATGCGTTATTCTAAATACATGTGGCCGGAACACGACCCAAACATTGCCGCTATTGGGGCTTCGGCTATCCCCAAGCTGAGAAGACACAACAAAAACGTCGCCCTATCCGGGGAAAAAAGGCTCGGTTAGCTTTGCTGCCGTGCGAATTTATGATCCTTCTCAGAGAAGTTGACAAGAAGGTGGGACTGGTTTTGAAGGGGGTCGGCAGTGATTGGTATTTTACGGATGTAACTGTGCTCCACTCTAGCTTCCTATCCCTGTGAGATCAGACTAATATTCTATAAACGTAAAGTCTTGATTGAATTTGAAAAGCCTTGAAACCTTTGCTACACAATAAAGCGCCCGTTATATAAGGAGCGACTGATATGGGTCCACCAACATCACCGAACCTCAATGACGGGCTGAGTTGCACAATGGATCACCCCACCAGTTAGAGGAAGTGCATTGACATGGAGCTGCCTGACAATTCGATCCGGATGCAGTTTTTGCATCGTCTCCAATGCCTTTCTATCCATCTCCTCGTCGCCAAACTTTGGAAGGATCACTCCGCCGTTGACATAGTAAAAGTTCACATAGTTTGTGGCAGGATCCTCTTCGTATCCTAGGCCCGAGGTCAGAACCAGTTTTGGATTTGGCTCATCGATTGTGTGAATTTCGAACTGGCGACCCCTCGCGTCTAGCTCACCGCGGAGGACATCCAAGACCTGTTGATAGACCTCATGCCATTCTTTTCGAGCACTCGCATGCGGCCGGGAGATGACTACCACTCCTGGCCGAACAAACTGGACCTCAGCATCGGCATGCACATCCGTGATATCCAGATCTCGGAAGCCAGAAAACCAGATAATTTTCTTAACCCCTAAAAGCCACCGCAATTCTTCTTCAATCTCGTCTTTTGAAACCCCTGGATTTCGCTTGTCGCCAATAATACTGCTCTCGCTCACGATCAGGGTGCCATCTCCGTCGCTTACGAGCGCTCCACCTTCCAGACACACCTTGGATGTGATACTAATCAAAGATGACGAATCGCTGTCTGAGTCCGTCACTTGCTTTGCAAACGTGTGGTTCTCCTGGATCTGATCGGCCGTCATTCGAGGCCACCCCTCGGCAACACCCTTCCTTCCCCATTCATTGAATCCGAAGTGGATGGCAACCCGCTGTTTTTCTGATTTTGTCGTGGCTCCCTGCACATATACAGGCCCTGTATCACGCACCCAGAGATGGTTGGTTGCGAATGGAATGATCTCAATCTCATAACTTCCTCGGGTGGTATTCGAGAGCATTGATTGCGCGAGTGAAATTTCTTCTGGTCTTGTATACAAGCGAACGGGCTCGAAGTGGGAAACCGCCACTGCCAGCCCAATGATCTCACTACACGCCACGCTGTGATGAGACGAAGGCAGCGAGCATATGGATGGAAAACCGAGAATTGTTGCAATATGTCGACCCGTCTCGGCAGGGTACTTCAGCTCCTTTATAGTTTCATGGATATTTTGAGAGCGGGTGGAATTGAGCAACATTGTGGCGGCAGCGTAAAGTTTCGAGTCAACTTAAGTAAACGGCTGGGGTAAATTCACTGAGCAACTTTGAAGTTTCACTAGGTATGAATGTCGAATTTATATATTTATATAATAATATATATTCCCTTGATATAAGTGGTGCGGCAAGCCCGGGGTCCGCGGGTCCCGCGTATTCCGTGGCTGATTCACTAGAATTCGATCCAGTCCAGGATCAATCGCATGTACTTACCTACTTCAAGTTTGAAGAAGGTTTGGGGCGGGGGAGAGCACAGTTACACTTGGATTTGAACCAAAGCCAAAGAAGCAGTAAAGTTCAAAAAGTCACTCTCCCACATTATGAGCCTCTCAAAAAATCTGAATTATTCTGACAAACAAGTTACTAGGATGAATGGAATAGGAGTATATTTCCGAAACAAGTTGCACTATTGTTCTTCCTCTTAATGGTTCAACTCCAAATCTAGCTATCTGCTACAGTATGATCAACTCACCGGCGACACAGCCAGTAGCCGCCCGGTAAATCACAACGATGACAGTTTGCACCAAAGCCGGACTCGTCCAACGAGTCCAAGGAGATTCCCGGCTAGATAATGGACGAGATAGGTGAATATCCCACTTCTGACCGTCAATATTAACACTGTGAGCTTCACCATTAATGTAGCAAGTAAAATCCGCTGCGGTTGGGGCCCCTATAGTATCCGTCACCACACCCTCGGCCCGCAGGTGAATTGTAGACCCATCGAATTTCTTATCTTTCACAATAACCTTGATAGCAGGCATTTTCTTTTCTGTCGCACGATCTATATAATTAGGCCCAGTGGCGATGATGTTGCTTCTAACCATATCGGAATCGAGAGCTGGCACCAGCGGTGGCATCTGACGGTGCTGGGTGGCTGCTTCAAAAGCGTACCCCAATTCCAGGAGACTGTTGTCATCGTAGGCTCTCCCAGCAAAGGTGATATTAACTGGCATATTAGTGTCCTCCATCATGCCCATTGGAACCGATATAGTAGGAACGCCAAGATGGCGGATGGCGAGGTTGCCATTGGAATACAAGACCCCATTCTGCCACGCGATCTGAGATGCTTCGCTGTCAATGTCGGCATCTGATGGCCCAACGTCACCATTTGCTGGAAAGACCACCGCATCCAACCCCAACCCTTCCATCCATTTTTCCAAGGTGCGTCTTCTTGCATCCTCCAAAGACTTCAGGCCTTCTTCCATTCCGGGAAGCTGAAACATAGATGAAGGTTTGTTCTTCGGGTAGTTAACTAGTCCCGTCCAATCCAACTGGTTGTCTGCTTCTAATTCGCCTGGAATTGACCCAGGCGGGAGAGGAAAGATAGAATCAGGGTCGACACAGCTCAAAGAGTGGCAGTCGGCATGTGCATTTGTGGCCAGGAAGTCATCCCACGCGTGAGCGATAAGCTCATGCCTTTCCGTGTGAAGCCAATCCTTAGGCATGTTGTCAATCCTCGCCCATTGGTCGGTAGATTGATCGCAGTCTTCGTAGTGCGTAACGAGTGGGAAGTCGACCTCCACTACAACTGCGCCGCATGATTCTAATGCCTGTCTGGCCTTACTCCACAGATCCAGAACGGAAGGCCGTGTGGATATAGGCACCGGACTTGCCCCGCCAATATACATAGAGGGGACACCGAGACGCTTTCCTTTCAGTCCGTGTTCGTTCTTTAGCTCTTGGAATGATTGCGGTCGGATTTGGCTAATTTTCGGCAGCTGAATAAAAGGCTGCTGCCTCCAGAAATCTCCCAGGGCATCATTCTCGGCTCTAGCAAGAGTTTCGAGGACAAGTAGCATGTCTCCCATTGTTCTCGTATAAGGGACGAGAACATCACACGTCGGGTAGAGCGGCCACACGCCTGCCAGTGGAAGAAGGCCCCGCGAGGGCGTATAAGCAACAAGGGCGTTGTTCGATGCCGGAGATCGTCCTGAAGAAACCGTCTCAGTACCTAAGCTGAAAGCTGCAAAGTTGGCAGCGATCGCAGTTGCAGACCCATTCGAAGAGCCTGATCCATAGCCAGCTGTCAGAAAATCTGAGTTATATGGGCTTTCTGCACGTCCATATACACCACGCTGCATGCCACCATTCGCCATGGCTGGCATATTTGTCCTGCCCAATACAATAGCTCCAGAGGATTTCAAAGCCTTTACACAAGCGGCATCATCAGTGGCAATCAGATGCTCAAAGGCTGGAGCACCAGCAGCGACGGTCATTCCTTGGACCTTGATGTTGTCCTTGACGAGAAACGGAATTCCCTCAAGAGGCCTGGGTGGCAGGCCGCTGGCTCTTCTGGAATCCGAGGCGGCGGCCTCTTCCATTACAGATGAGTTGAGAATTGGGACGGCACTCAGTTTGGGGCCAGAAGAGTCATATGCGCTGAGACGACGGAGATAGCGGGCAACCAACTCAACACTAGTCAAGCGCGCTTCAGAAAGTGCGCACAGGAGCTCATCAATGCTTGCATCCAAGATAGACCAATCCTGCTGCTGTTCTTGGGCCCCAGACTGAGATTATTCGGTTAGCCAAACAGTCTGCGAGGATTTGGGATACAGACTTACAATTTCCATTTTGAACTGCAATTTAATATTCAAAGCCAACAGGCATGCAGATTTCGAGAACTTTGGTAAACTGCCACATGTTCTGTTGATAATAAATAGTTATGATCGGGAATACTACCCATGGTCGATCTGTTGGGCCCCGCTCCGTGGAGCCCGCGGGTGCCGACGGTTCCTTATCATGGATAGCACTAGACCCCTCCGCATCAACTTTCCTTGTCGATTCTAGTGGTACCGTTGAATTTAAGATTTCGCACATTTCCCCGCGTTTGAAGCCCATATCGTATCCTCCTTCTCCTTTGATACAGAGTGAAGTTAAAACCGGGCGCCGATCCACTCTTTAGGCTATGCGTGACTACTAGCACTATGCCGCGTCACATCTGCCTTCGGCCCATCCCATTGCGAGGTGCCTCTATATATATCCCGAGGTCTTCCAAGGTTGTCTTACACCGGACATACTCTACTACTAGGCAATTCCCTTCGGCTAGGAAGGAAATAACAAGACTAGTCCCAGGAACAGTCTTTCAACTGAATCCTCTTCTATCATTGCTCTGGCGTTGCTCGCCTGGAAGGAAATGGATTTTGAAAACATTGAGCTAGCTGTCATAAAACCTGTTGACCAAGATGCCTTGGACCTGGTTGCTTTGGGGCACGATCAGGCCTTTTCACGCAAATTCAACCTCTGGAGCCTGTTGGCTCTCGCCTTTTGCGTTCTAGGGTCTTGGGGGGGCAATATCCAGCGATCTTGCGACCGGATTCAGCAGCGGAGGTCCTGTCATTATTCTGTGGGGTCTCGTGTTGGTGGCGCTTTGCAATCTTTGCGTGGTCCTTTCTTTAGGAGAACTCTGCAGCAGCATGCCATCGGCCCTTGGGCAGGCATATTATGTGTTTCGTCTGTGTAACAACTCGACTGGGCGATTCCTCTCGTATATGTGCGCTTGGATCAATGTCTTTGGCTGGTGGACTGCGACCGCGACGCTGGTTGCTTTCAACACCAATTTCCTCCTAGGGATGAAACTGATGTTTGACCCAGAGTGGGATGGTATCAATCAAGGCTGGCTTAGCTTTGTCGTCTATCTGGGCTTGTCACTTATGGTGACCGTCGTTAATGTCGTCAGCTGCCGGAAAGACCATGTGCTTCCATGGTTGAATAATGTGATGGGAGTTGGATTCGCTGCTCTCTTTATTGTCTTCTCCCTCGCATTTCTGATCTCCGTCGCCACAAGCACTCACCTATCCTTCCGAACCCCAACTTTCGTGTTCGGGACATGGACGAACCAAACAGGATGGAATGACGCGGTCACCTGGTTTCTAGGCCTTTTGCAGTCTGCCTATGGCCTAACAGCATTTGACTCGGTGATTCATATGGCCGAGGAGATCCCCGACCCGCGTCGGAATGTTCCTAAAGCCATGTACCTCGCAATTCTCTCCGGAGCAGGAACAAGTTTTGCATTTATGGTGATTTGTCTTTTCTGCCTTCCGGATGAGACGGCCATCGCAGATCATCCATCTGGCCTACCGTTCATTGGGCTCGCTCAACAGATAGTGGGCCTGCAAGGAGCCTTTGCTCTTGTTGCATTGTTCACTATTATCTCTATTGGGCAAAATATCAGTGTTGCGACAACGGCCTCCCGCATGACTTGGGGCTTTGCACGAGAAGGCGGTTTTCCATGGAGCAGGTATTTCTCCCATGTGGACCCTACCTGGAAAGCTCCAGTACGAGCGACATGGGCCCAGGGCTTTATTATTGCTCTAGTCGGCGTTTTATACCTCTTCTCTACCACCGTCCTCCAGGCAATCGTGAGCGTTAGTAGCATCGCATTAATGATCTCTTACGGCTTGCCAATTGCTACTCTCCTCATTATCGGGCGAGATAAACTAAATCCCGGACCATTTAGGCTAGGAAAATGTGGAACGGCACTTAATTATGTCAGCGTTATAACCTGCACTGTGGTCTCGATCTTTTTCTTTTTCCCAAGCAGACCAAATCCTGGTGGCAGTGATATGAATTATGCTATCGCAGTCTTCGGGGCAATGATGCTTGTTTCACTGACATTCTGGTTCCTGAAGGGCCGTCACACTTATTTTAGGATTGAATGAGCCCGCCCCTGACACTTTTGTCTTATTTTTCCTTCTTTCTTACCCTTTTCCACGTACAGTATCTCAGTCAGTTACTTCTATATATATTTTAGCTGAAAATAGCCAGCTCCTCAGCTAAAGTATGATTCTTGTCTTGCCTCTCATATAGCCAGGTCTTGAATTTGCCCAGAAAGCCAATTCATCACTACCTAGGTAAGTGTGTGCACTTTGGCCTTATCAAAGCTAAAGGTTCATGGCATATTTTAGCTTCAACTGTGTTGGATTGAGAGGAGGCATTTCTCGTTCTTTCAAATTTTCTGAGGTGTACCAAAAGATATAATTGGAATGCTTCTGCTCCAGATACGATCTCGGGTCATAGTGATGCAGATAGCAATCGCGAAAAGGTCCTATAGCATCGGAGCGCGTTGCACGTAAATGTAATTCCCGAGAAAAATATTGTAGGACTGTCGTCGCTGTGCGTCAAGGAAGGTGTTTTTATAATGTCGCTTAAATGTTTCAATCATATCATACGAATGGCTACTCCATTGATGTATTTTTCGATACGTCGCCATAGCATTCACAAAATGGCAGTAGGAGGCTGCGGTGGCTTCACAGTGAAGAAGCTTAGTATGCCAAAGGTGCTCATTTTCTTGCATACTTATTTCATCGGCTGCGATACTCATTACTTGACGGGGTACATCAAAGCTAGGGTTCCGAGTTGCGAACATAGGCCTTCCAAGAACTCTAATCCTGTAGATATACACAGAGTCTATATTACGTCAACTTCGTCCCTTGGCCCCGAGATTCCGTCATGAATGGAGACGTTCGTTCCATGGGAGGAACTATCAAAGTAGTGACCAGCGGCAATCTCGACATCATTCGGAGCACGGCCTATCTCAACCCCGTTCATATATAGGAGGTTGTCCCAGTTCCAGCCCTTGTTGCCAAACACCTTCTCTCAAGAATCGAGCTAGGCTTTGTGAGGACGTGTCCAGGAGCCACCATTGATCAAAGTTAATCCTCCAAGGCTATTTTCAGAATGTTCTCGGTGCGGTTGTTGGTCACTCGAGGGACAATTTCGTAGGCGTGGTCAACAGTGGTGCCAAAACGGTCTCCCTCGGTGCTCAGACCCTCATTGATGGCTCCATCTGTTAACTCATAAAAGCGTTTTCAATGACCAGGACCTGGATGTCGGGGTCTTCAGTCAGATTAGTTGCAAGACTTAGGCCCGTCAAGCCACCTCCCGCGATTATGTAGTCAGCGGCCTTGCTGGCGACCTGATTGGGATCAGAAAGAAGGCTGGATTGGACATCAATTTGCTCCGAGGGCAGATATCTCTGGGATGCGGCCACAGAAATAAGACAGGGGACAACTGTGAACCTCATCTCGAGTTACAATCTCACATGAAGGGAAGAAAAAGGAAAAGAAAGCCTGCGTCGGTTGTTCTACAGTCAAATTTATTGACGAGTGAGTTAGGAAGTGAGAACCTTGGAATCTTTAGATCACTTCAAGTTCCTCCTACATACACATAATGCTTCAATCAGAAGCTCGTCACCCGCGACATTGATTGTCGTGTACGAAGACGCGACATTGAATACGAGTCTAAACCGTGCGTTCGTCGGCTTCATTTGTCGGAGGTACCAGAATTATGGGATTCTTGAACTGCGTACTCAGGGACAAGGAGCATAATAAGCGGAGCTACTGTCAATCGTAGCCTCTTACTGTTCAACGATAGATAGTGTTTGGAGACTGGGGTTGGTCGCTAAAGACTCGTGCAATCTTTCCACCTGCCATTTTCTTCACCGGTAAAATTAGATTTGGAGAATAAGAGACGGCAGGACGACTCTTGATAGGTGCCACTTAAGGCCCAACCGAATCATCGGATCTTGGATCTGTCAAATGGTGATTGATAGGGGTCATTAGAATGGATCAGTCCTAATGCTCTATATAAGGTTTTCGGCAAATACTGTGAGTTTAGCGCAGAACAAAAATGTGTCGCGACGTGTATACCATTACTAGTCGGATACACGTCCAATTGCTTGGCATTATTAGGTAAACTGCTTACAAAGCTGTAATTGCATGTTAAATAGTTTTCATCCAATATTTCAGAAATGACAGACTTACTGCGATTTCCATAACCAGTACCAAATGACGATTAGTGGCCTATATTAGACTACGAAAAAATGTGGATACTGACAGGGTCCAATTTTCCTTGGCTTAGAAGCCAAAGCACTATACACTTTCAAGAAATAGATAGCAATAGTTTTCCTATTGAAAGATTGATTGAAAGAAACAAAGAAAGGAAGAAAGCAGAGAGGCAGATAGTAACTAAAATTACTGCTGAAAGGACTCCTTTCATACCAAAGCATTTAGCTCGCAAATAAAGTGCAATTGCCTCCTTAATTAAGATCATCATGCTCCGTACCTACGCCACAATGTCCCCCACTGACCCAAGGTTGGTCAGTGGGCCCGGCTAGCGAATTTTTATCAGATCCGAAAAACGCCAAGGACGCCTCAGTGGGCAGATTTCTGAGAAAGCCATGATGGGCTGAAGCACAGCAGCATTCTGTTGGGTAAATCCTTGTAGTTTGCTCGATGTTTCTCACTAACTACGCTTAACGCCTTTTCTTAGAACCTAGAATCAAATACACAACCAGCATAACAGACTCGGAAAGTGTAAGCTGCAATGGAGAATACTCCACTCTATTCTTTCCACACTTTAAAGTCTCAACTTCCCGCTACGCAGGCCACCGTCCACCCGCCTGATCGACGATGACTCCATCACAGGTGACACGTATCAGTATACTCCAGTCCAAGGGGAAATTTTGTTCAAGAGTGAAGTGTCTCATCAATCGGGATTTATTTGAAACAAGAGCGAGTTTGAGCTTATATAAGTTACCTTCGCCCACCGTTTTCCTTCGCAGCTCCGCCTCTCGCATTCCAACACTGCTTTTTCGACCATTACTATAGCGACAATACCTCTTGCAGACGATTTGATTTATGATTCGAGCATTCTTATTCCTGTGAGTCTTTCATTAGATTTCTCCCATACCAGGTAGTTTCCTAACATTGGAGACTTCATAGCTTCGAAATGCTTAGCCCTAGGCTGGACTTTTTGCTGCTGGTGCTACTGCACGCAGTCTCCGGCTCAGCCTACCGCTGGTTTAACTGGCAGTTTGAGGTCACTTGCGAGTCTGACGCATACATTGCTCCTCAGAATGAGCTTGCTGCCGCCAAGTTCCTTAAGGAGCAGTACCATGAGGGCGCCCACATCAAAGTTGTTGGAAATGGTCTTGGATTTGGCAACCTCACTACCTGTGTTGACAATACTCTTACTGAGAAGCCCACCTATATTGTTTCCCTCACCATTTTGAAAAAGCTCAGCATCGACAAGAAGAATCTGAGCGTCACCTTCGGTGCCGGCTGGGATGTCGATGACCTTGTCCAAGAGCTGAAGGCCAACGACTTATCTTTTAGCAATCTCGGTGTTGAGCGTGTTCAGAACTTTGTGGGTGCTGCCTCCACCGGTACCCACGGCTCTGGCTCCAGCCTCGGTAATATTGGAACCCAGATCACTGGGCTGCGTATGTTGGACTCGCAGGGAAGTCTCCGTGTCATCAACGAGAAGCATGATGCGGAAGAACTCAAGGCTTTCCGTATCAGCCTGGGTGCCCTCGGTTTAATCACAGAGATGACTATTAAGGTTCAGCCTACCCAACTCCTAAAGAAGACCACTAAGGTGTTGAATACCACATCCGACTTCTCGAAGATGTACAAGGAGCTTGCCCAACTGTACAAGGAGCTTGCCCAACTGTACAAGGAGCTTGCCCAACTGTACAAGGAGCACGATCGTATGACTGTTTGGGTCCCTCACTTCGACGGGAATAAAAGCACTCACAGCTGGGCCCTCGAGCCTACCTACTTCCTGTCTTATTGGGAGCCGACAGAGTATACTGGTGTTCGCAACTGCACTCTCAATTACTGCGCCAACGGCTGCGGTGACTGCAAGAAAGAGTACATCTGCTACGATGAAGTCACTGATGCTGCGTCCTGCTCACCTCAAGGTGTCTGTACCGGAGGCTTCTACGCAGAAATCGAGCACTTCCTTCCCATTGAGTCATACGCGGAGGCCGCCACCAGCTACACCAACTTCCAACCGGCCCAGACGCCTCACATGAAGGCTCCCTATAATAAGCAAATAGTCATCCAGCACCGTACCCTCAAGGGAGATGATACATATTTGTCTCCTGTCAACACCTATAACCTTGGCCCCGAGTCCAGTGGTGTTTTTGCGATCATCGAGATTGACTGGATCCAAGAGTATAACAACTCCACCACTCTCTGGCAGAACCAGGAATTTGTCTATGAATTCCTTCCTCAATTCGGTGAAACCTACAGTGTTCGGTCGCATTGGAACAAGATGAGTCCCCCTAATGCTACCTATACTCTAGATTAATTCCCGAAGCTGCCAGAGTTCTTGGCTATTCAGCAGCGCCAGGATCCTAAGTGCCAGTTTGTCAACGAGTTCCTCATTCAGCAGCTTGGCATTACCCGCTGCGCGGACTATATATCTCTCTAGGATGACACAAGTGGTCTGAAGCATTCATTCAATTATTTTATTTTCAAGGCTGAAACAGCTGTCCATATGTCAAAGAGTTGGCAAACACCACCGCAATTTCTGCCCCACGCGTTATTGAATAAGCTCTGCGTTGAAATTGGCGCCACCCGTCAGTGGTTTTCTAGCTAGTTTTGAGATACCTTTATAACCAATTTATCCATCAAAATTATTTTCCCCTTCCAATCAATTGTTCACAATTTTGAACATACAATCTCAACCTAGGGTTCTTGAAAAGGGTCCAGGCCCTATTTAGGCAAAACACCTGGGTATATGTAGGATTATACTTGATCCTGTGGTCATCAGGTGGATCCATGTCAGCTTCCTTTCTCTGTATCAATCTAGATACTACATCTTATCTATCTCATAAAACTCCTCTTCAGTAGTATTTCACTAGCAGGTCCCTGTCTCAACTATTGAGACTGTCGTAAATTCCTAGGAACCAGCTAAATAGTCTTCATTTGCTTTAACTGCACTAGTAGGACGCCATTATAAGTATTGGTAAAACCTATTCTATCTATATGTCTTTCGTTTTGTAAGTATTCAAGAACATTCAAGCTTAAGAATAGAATTTAATTACCTGGGTACTTATCAGAAGTACCCAGTTATAGTTCATTTTAAGAATATCTTCAATTGAATTGTAGCAGGGGAAGAAAATAAGAAAGACAACCTCTCGGGGGCCACTGCACCCACCCCCTTATATCCCCTCATATGGAAGAGTAAATCGTTTAATAGGACATTTCCGAAAGAGATAGGATGCCAAAACAAGTTTTATCCCGATATAGCTGCCTAAGTAGCACTAGCAAAATAAAAATATTCGCAAGTCTCATACAGCCGAGCATCAGTCGCATTGAACAATTACCACGCAGTGACTAAAAGTCATAGTAGCCAGATATAAAAGAATAAGGAAATTCCGTGCCAAACTTGTCCTTCTGATCTGTGCAATCTCCAATTGCGTTAAAAACCAACCACTGTAGGAATTTTGTTAGCAGAAGTACGGATTTATCATCAAAGAATACGACTCACATCAACATTAGTCGTCTTTTGGCCTTTTATCGTACTGCCAACTTTCAATTCACAAATTGGCAAGTTGAAAATTTTGGTGGTGTCCACCTCCGGCCAGTCCTCGAGCATATCTACCGCTGTCCAATCCTTTAGGTATCCCCCAAGATCTTGCGAATTGATAGCCGCATTGATGAGAGTTTCCTGATTGGGCAGATCAAAGTCGTCCAGGTTGTCGATGTTTGGAGGCTTGTCAATAGGGGAAGTCGTTATCCCGTTGTTGTTAGACGTCTTGGCCTTATGGAAGACGTATGCCACATCATCAATGCATGTGTAAGTAGTCTCGAAAGTAGACTCCCAGTCAATATCACAGGGCTTAGTGCCCTGAACGGAGTCAGAAAGCTTAATAATAAAGACATTCTCTTGATACCAAGCATACGCCAGGGCACCGACGTTCACTTTCGTGCCATATGCACTGGCAATCTCCGCAGCGACATCGTTGGTGTGCCCCTCGACAAATGCTCCGTCTTTGAGGAGACTAGGCAAACTTCTGTCTTGGTCAGAATACCAATCCGCATTGTAGGCATCATTGTCGTGCCAAACAGGCTTGGCATATAGATCAATGCCCCATGTGTTAACGTATTCGCGCATTGTAGTCGTAATATCGTCAATTCGCTGTGTCATGGCATCTCCACGTAGAATCATATTTTGGACCCTCCTAAATGCCATTAGTCGATGTCATATATTTTGGATCATGGGTCATTTACTTCGCATTGTCATCAGTTGATGCGATATTGGCAAGTCCAACTCCGATGGTGCTCATACCAGATCCAACTCCTGCAATCGCGCTCCCACCAGGGATAACAGCGCCGAAAGCGCCCAAAAGACCTGCAGCCATCACAAGGATGTTCCCAACCTCGTTCTATACCGCTGTCAGTTAACATTTCTTTCGAAATTGTTGATAGAAACTTCACTAACGCTGCTTTCGTCCACATGCGAACTAAATTGATGGATAACATTCGTGGCATTGTCTCTAGCATAGTCTCCACCCTGGAGGAGTCCATCCTGTACTGCCATAATCCAGGCTGAATAGTGCTTGAGTGAGCGCATGAACATGAGCCACATTGGGTTCAAATCGGCCATATGGCAAACCTCGTCATCAGGCTCGACATCATCACATCCATCATCTCTGTTTATGACATAATCAGCTGTGTTGCCACAATACAAGGAAGAAGCTCACTGTAAATTCAGATACTCACGCGTTACAGCCCTCATATCCTTTGAAACCCTCCACCCGGTCTCGGAGCGCATCCATGAAGTTCTTATAGTTGCTAAAGGAAGGGTAAAGTCCGGCTCCGCAAGGTCCATCAGTATAGAAGTTATTGGATCTAGAAATACCTCGAAATCAGCGTGTCTCCACAGAAAATCGCGATGGCTTTGTCCCATGGACTTACTGGGCTACGAGCTCGGTTCCCAAATCAGCTTCATCCCATTGGTCCTTGTTAAAGTTTGCCGAATCGCAGAATTTGGAGTATTTTTCCTTTGTATCCTCATCGTCTCTTTTAGAATTAACAGTTCCATGACTTCCTAATTTACCGAAAGTCTCGAGCCAAGTGCCGCTGTAGGTAATAACCTTGTCTGTTACCTTGTTAGAAAATAAAATAGAAACAGGACCGTAAGATACGACTTTAAAGCCTTTGCTTACCAAGATCGACTGTACCCTCGCAGTTATCTGCATGACATTCCATTGTGGCACTGTCGCCTTTCTTAACAATGACGGTGCATTGGTCTGAGTCGCAAGACCCCATTGCACCCCCCCCTGGCCCTGTTAGTTTGACAAATACAGCATATTCCAGGACTAAGAGAGCCTTACTTTTCTTGGATTACGAGTTTACCATTTTGATTACCGAGACAATCATTCAGGTGAATACCAAAAGTGCCAAGTTTTGCACCCACGTCACATTGAACAGTGAGCCAATCACCATCAACAATACTTGCGTTCGAACAGCCCTGGGAGAGAGGAATCTTAGATACCCCACCAGAATCAAGCCCGTCTGCGTCATTGCATGGAACATAAAGTGCAGCTGCAGCCCCAACGAATTGAAGGACTTGAAGAATATGCATCGTGTGTTCAAGTTGATGGTGAAGAAACTTGCTCCCCTAAGACCCTGGACTTATGTACCCTTCAGGTTTGGAGCGGTGGTAAAGTTCTAGTTATATCATGATGTTTTGGACCCCAAGATCCTTTCGCATTGGTGACCGTATCTAGTAAGTTGCATCAGGGTTGCCAAGATTTAGTGGCATCGAAATTCCTGGGGCCCCATAGTGGATCGCTATTCAATTTCAATTCCACAAGATCAACCCCACTGCCGCATTTAACATCGCAGCCTCAGGACGTACCCATTTACTTATGGAATCTGCATTTCATCTCATTGGGGCCATCAAAAATGCTGATATGTAATATTGATAAGATTCTTCTGCTTTTGAATTAGAGGTTCTTCCCTTTCTGATAGTGTCAGGTTTCATGGCAGTTGAACAAGAAGTAGCCTTTTACGCCTATGCATCTTCACCCCGACAGCGCACCGCTGCTCAGGGTTAAGCATGCCAGCAAAGGATGGGTGATCGTTGCTCGATGGCCCCATTACTAGACCGAGCATTGACAATACTCGCACGATTGACCTGTCTGCAAAGACTCTGCCCAGATCTGGTCTGGCTTGTCAAAAGATGCATTGACTCAAGTATGTACCAGTATGTACCCAAAATATCCAACTACAAACTTGTATGTAAGCAGTTCCGTGGTATGTTACTGTAATCAGGGTACAATCGTCTTGGGAACTTGTCAGGACCCCCAAATGCCAAGTTTGGGGCCAGGTCTATTATTGTGACGCCCCCCCGGACGCAGGGGCAGATGAAGATTCAGTATATTTCCATGAAGATCACAATCTCCAAACAGGTAAAGAGGCAGACTATCTCATCTCAACTCGTTTCCTCGGCTAACTTATCTAGATCTGGGCTAAACTATCGATTCACAGGCCTTGTCAAATTGATTGTATGGGAGGTCCTAACTAGCATATCTACCACTAAGCTTATCCCCGCCCGAAGTACTGAGTACTCATTAGTAATGAAGATCATCGTGACGCACTGCTTGGCAATGGTTGACAATTGGATGATGCAAACTAGACAAGCATGGCTATTCCCACCTGCGGTAGTTGCTTCCCACAAGCACTGTACCTAGTGAACAGGGATGTACGGAGTACTTTGTACTGAGTTTGCAGTAAAGCTGATTGACCTAGCTGATCTCTTACCCGATCATGATGGGTGGTAGATTTCTCCTTTCCCAACCCAAGGGGTATCTAACACAATACTTTGAAGCAACTGGGCCCACGATGATGCCGACCGTGAGTTTTGGCTCCTCTGAGGAGGAGAAGATATTCGATGAGTCAAGGGCCAGGTAAATCAGGTGTTACTAGTAGTTATGCGAAAGCAAAAGTCGGGGGGTGCAGTGCGGATGCAACATGGTAATCGGGTGAACTAGGCCTTTAGGGAGTGAATGGAAAAATTTTGGAGGTATGAGCAGAGATTTGAAGTGTCAGCGGTAGGAGGAGAAGGAGGAGAAGGAGGGAGGTGTCCGGGTGGGATCTACTAACTTATATGAGATCTTGGAAGGATGAAAGTGTCAGGCCAGACATGGCAGCGGCTCCGACGGCTCCGACGCAGTGATTAATTGACTGAGGGGTTAATTCTAAGCAACGTTGCCAACAACGATCTACAACTACCTGGGTACCCTAGGATCGAGTGTACTAGAATGGCCAAGAATGTTATGGCACCGTTCGCGGCCCCAACATTCCGATCCCCCCAAGGGATACGAAGTAAACAACCGAGACTCAGGAATAGGAGATGTCACTATTACCACTAACAATAATACTAGTATACATAGTGTCTCAACGTCAGTGAATGCCAGAGAGAAAGATATCAAGATCTTAAGATTGTTGTTTGTTATTTGTTATCTGTTGTTCCCGCCGGAGCCCGTTCGAGCCGGTTTAAACCCTAAACGTACAGTGCAACTCAACTTCATTCTCCCCTGATGATCACCGTCGGTCCCCAATCCATCCGAAACATGGCAGTCTTGAACTGGTTTCGGTTGGATGCAGGTTGGGGTTCGAGAACATGAACTGAGATCCGTCTGAGATCCGGCTGCGTGGAATCTCAAGGCAGCCATCCATCCAGTTCATCCAAGCTCGCCCTGAACAGCTAGCTAATCGATGAGTTCAGTTCCAGTTTCCTAGGAGTTCCACACTATGTATCTTCACCCAAGAAATAATTGAGTGAAGTTCCAAGGTTTCCAATGTTTATGTACAAAATCCACTGCTCCTGCCGGGATCTCGACTGGGTGAAAGTGAAACCCACGCCGCACACGATGCATCGTCTCGATCGTGCCTGATCCCCACCCAATCAGAATTCCCCAGTTCCTTGACCCACCTGCATGGCTGCAGCAGCCTGCATCGACGCAAACATTGTGATCTTAGTATTGTTCTCGGATATGCCAGTGCGAGCGTGAAAATATGCCAGCACCTGAGCCAGCCTGGAATTCTCTAGCGCTGCCCACTTGGGCGGGTTTAAATCTAAGTGTATATATACCAGTGTCGATCCACATTTGACCTTCAACTTGTTCTTCAAATTCACAATTTGACAATCATCACGCATCCGAGTCGGGGGATTCGAGTGCCAACTTGAAGGATCCAGGGTTGTGGAAATAAACAGCACGATGTATCTCTCAATCTTCCGGTCCCTGGTAGCCCTGACAATGCTGTCAGGGATGCCTGTCTGCATGGGATTGTCGCAGGGACACCTGAAGCGCGACCTGAAGCTTGCTGCAGAGGCCGGAATTGATCCAGATATGATGTTGCGCAGTGGAGGGAATAGTATGCATGCCATGGTACATGCCACTGAAGCAGCGAATATCACCCCACAATATGTTGAGGTGAGGAGTTTGAACTTCTTTGATTCATGAACCTCTGCTGATCAGTCCAGTTGCCAATTGATCACAATGACCATTCCATCGGAACATACAAAAATCGTTACTGGGTATCCGACCAATATTATCGTGGAGGACCGGTCTTCGTGTATGATGTCGGCGAGGCTTCGGCTGAAAGCCCAGCGAATACACAAATGGGCAATGAGACGTCATTTTTCGCCGAGATGCTAAAGCAGTTTGGCGGAATGGGGATTGTCTGGGAACATCGGTATGCAGCATCTCCATCCGAACATTGAGAGCCCGCGACTCACCAAGATCAGATATTATGGCGATTCTCTACCCTTCCCGATTTCAACTGAAACTCCACCGGAGTATTTTAAATACCTCACTACAACGCAAGCCCTGGCCGATATCCCATACTTTGCAAAGAACTTCACTCGCTCGGCGTATCCCCACATTGACCTCGCACCCTCCGGAACACCATGGGTCATGCTAGGAGGATCTTATTCCGGTATGCGGGCAGCTTTCACCCGTAACTCATACCCTGAGACAATATTCGCCTCGTTTGCCTCTTCCGCGCCCGTTGAGGCCCGGATCGATATGAGCATGTATTTCGATCAGGTCTACGACGGAATGGTTGCCAATGGATATAGCAACTGCACCAAGGACATCAAAGCTGCCCTTCAGTACATTGATGGCGAGCTCGCGAAAAATGCATCGGCAGCTGCTGGCATAAAAAAAGCGTTCTTTGGTCCAGGTGCGGAAGAAAACAGCAATGGGGACTTCACCGCCGCTCTCGCCGGAGTTTATGGATATTTTCAGGCCTATGGTCTCGGTGGCGGGGATGGCAGCCTGGGAAATCTTTGCGAGCACATGGAAACCGATCCTGCAACTCTAACTGCTGCTGGTCCTCGTGGATTTGCGCCCTATCGAGGTCGCAAATACGTTGCGGAGCGATTCTCTTCGTGGCCGATTTTCACGCGTCTGATCAATTACAACTACGACACAAACTGCGAACAACTTGACGATACGCTACCTTTATCATGTGTGCTTAATCCAAAGTCTGTCGACCCGGATACAATAAGCTGGACTTGGCAGTTTTGCACGGAATGGGGGTACTATCAGAGCAATAACTTTGGTCCTCACTCCCTTCTGTCCCGGTATCAAACTCTCGACTACATGCAGTATACCTGCAACCGACAATTTCCCGAGGCGTTGAAAGCGGGCCTGATGCCGAAGAGTCCTCAGGTAGAAGCCACCAACAATTTAACTGGAGGGTGGAACATACGCCCATCCAATGTCTACTGGAGCGGTGGCCAATTCGACCCTTGGAGGACTCTTTCTCCCCTTGCCACTGAGAAGTCCGCCCCAGGTGTAGCACTTACAACAAAAGTCCCAAAGTGCAATGTGAAAACGGACACTGAGACTCTATTCGGATACATCATGCCGAATGCCGAGCATTGCTTCGACTTCCAGATGGACTTTGGCCCGGGCAAGGTATCCCGAGAATATTTCTACCAGGCTTTGACCGAATGGCTCCCCTGTTTCCAGGGGCAAAATCACAGCCAGGTCCACCATTAGTCTACTGGAGCCCGGAAGCCGAATCAACAGGAGAACCAGCAGAAATAGTAACAGATTTCATACAGGCCAGTGCTCTCTTGCTGATGAATCTCCGTTATAATTTCCAACGGCATCCATGGTGTCAAGTATCCTTTCAGAAACATGGTTCTATCGTTCAAGTTCAAGTTCAAGTCAATATATTTCAATTCTTAAAGCTTCATTATTGGACTTGTACATGAAGAGTAATTTAGCAGCCCTGAATATATGCCAAACTTACCATACTGGGATGCAGAGATATTGAATTGTCTGCAGCAAATTCAGTATGTGACCTCAGGTGAGTTCGTGCTAGAATCTGCAGCCGTCCGGTTATCACCAAATAATATTTTCTTGGTTAGAAAACACTTGTCTGAAGTACTAATATCTTTTCAGGCTCGCTGACCTTGAAGGAACAGCCTCCTCAGGGAAAAAATGTATTCTTCGTGTTTTGCGAGGTGCTGGTAATTGGTGAGATCCATAGACTTTCACGATAGATGAATTCCATGCTGCGCTAACTGACATCATCGAGCCGTTCTCATCTGGTCCGAGTCATTGCTAGGGTGGCTATTTCCAAGGTTGAGGAGTAGCATATTGCTTGCACCTGGGCAACCTCCTCCCTTGGAAAATACTAAAAAAGCCAGGGGCTTGCCCCTGGCTTGAAGTCGGAAAGACATGAAGTGGCCTGGATCGGGTCGCTTCGATGATGGGATGCAACTTGCGCACTACGAAATACTGTATCAAAAAACTTGAAATAGTTCACTACAACTATAAAGGTATCTGAGGCAGCATATATTGGTAGTATGTATTAAATTGCAAAGGGCCCAACACCCAGTATCTATTGTATTTGCCACGACTATGCGTGGCGCTTGGACTGCTCTTGCCTCTGCCAGAGAAAGCACTTCTATAGCAATTATGCGCTTGGCCAGGCTGCCAAATCAATAGAGTATAGATTGATCGATTGTTGGCTTGGTCAACACCCAGGGATATATCAAGAAGTGGTAGAAGTGGCGGATGTGGTTGTCGTGGGGTCATTACATCCAAACCATCCTGGAGTGTGACAAGTTGTTGTTGTCACTGCGGTGGTGGTCGTTGTCGTTGTCGTTGTCGTCGTCGTCGCGGTCCCGGTCGTGGTAGTAGTAGAGCTATCGAGACAGCCCCACCACCCAGGAGTCTTGCAGGTCGATGTCCTCGTAACTGTAGGGGATGTGGTGGTTGTGGTCGTGAACGTCGTCGTAATCTCAGAGCCGTTGCTCTTGAAGAATTTCCACAGGATACAATCATAGCACTCTTCTTCTGCCTCGCAGGACGGAACATCATCATACACCTCGATGACGTCCCGAATAACGTTCTGGATCTTGTGGGTGCCAATTCCGACCCGCCAGCCCTTGTCGGCCACAGTGTCGTAAGTGCAAATCTGCCCGGTATGACACGCTGACTCCATCGCATAGCCGCCCCAGGTACAAATTGAGTTAATACCGTTGCAAGTGCCCATATATACTGGGTCCGCAGTATGTCCAAAATGGTAAGCGCCAGTATGTTGCCGTTCTTGATGTACTTGATAGCCAGGTGGGATTGGCAAACCAAGCCGGGAGGCTGGCAGCGCTTCCGGAACCGCCTCAAATGTCACGACGGGGATGCCAAATGTCAGGCCGAGCAGACCTGATAAAGCACCGCCGAGCGAGTGGCCGGTGAGCCAGATATGTGCGTTGGGGTAGATCTCGGTGACATTGGAATAGAGATCGATGGCGGCTTTGTAGTATCTGTTTGGATCATTTATCGCCTCGGAGATACATGTCACATTTGCAGAGTAGGTTGCGTTTTGGCAGTCACAGACTTGCCTCCACAGGTATGACCCTCCCTGGCCACAACAACAACTGAATAAAAGATTGTCGTTGACTTTATCATTGGTTGTGGTCTCCGCGCCATCGAATAGAGCGGGGGATGTGCCCTTGAGGGAAATCACCACGGTGCTGTTGGTCTTGTCGGAATAGACATGACCTCGGAGACTATCTCCCTTCCAGCCAAAGCTAGATGAGTAGTTGAACTTGCCATGAATGGTCTTCCACTCCGAGGTACTACCGGGGATTTGAATGTAGTCGTTTGCGGTCATCTTGGCAAATGTCAAGACGGTCTCCTTGTCGGTGACATTCGGACCGGGGAGGGTATCCAGCACCCATGCCGCAACGGGGCCCTGGCTCGTCGATGAAAGGTGATCTTCGATGACGGAGATGCGTCGATCGGCGAGTCGGTTTATGGTGATTGGGTTTGACGAGGCGAAAAGGGTTGGATGGACTGTTACGGGTTCGGCCTCGGACTCGGCCTGGGTCTCGGTTTCGGTGCCGTCTTCGGGCAAGATACTCAGGTGAGTATCCGGGGTAACATCTAGTCTGATATGTAGGTCATCGGGGTATCGGTGTGTATCGCGGTGAAATATATGGCGAAGAGAGAACTCATGTGTTGCGAGGATGGGAGGTGAGTGTTCGGGTGGTATGAGTGGCGGGAGAATGGGTGCCTGAAGCGAGGGGATGTTGTTATTGTTATAGTTATGGGTTGCAGATACGGCGTGAGGTAAGAATATGGCGGAGAGGAAGAGATCTGTGAGAAGAGGGGGGCGGTCTCGCCTATTCCTAGATCTTTGTAACCGCATGGTGAAGGGGAGGGATGTTGTTGACGTGGAGGTGGAGATGGAGATGGAGTGGAGATGGAAGTTGATACGGCGATAACAGGGACGGACGCCCTGGGGCCGTCGTCATGGGTCACGTGTTTGACTAGTAATCGTTCAAGTTGTCTTTCCTCTATCTGAGACTGGTTTTATGTGGTGATTCTGGTCGCAGTAATACTATTCTACTACTCTAATATTACCCGACTCATCACCCAGTATATCTACTCGCTATATCTACTTCTCTTCTCTTCTCTTCTACCTCTCCGCTGTTGGCAGAATCGGGCGGGGAAGTATTTTCTGCCGGGCGGAGTAACCATCACCACCCATCACCACTTTGTATCAAAGTTCATCTTCCTCCTCAACTTCCCCTCCATTCCCTTCCAAACTGTCTACGCCTCCACCGGAGGAGACATCTCGATTCCTGCCTCCGCCGGTGCCTTATTCCCCGTGGACAGCCCCGGACCGCCTGGCTTTGCATCATCACCCGTTACATTGCCCCAACTTACTTTGAAAGAGACCTGTCACCCGATAAATGCATAACATGATCTCTTTATGAACCCCTCGCCACCACCAGAGCATCATGGCATCTCAACCGTCGCATGCCCTAGCAAAGCGGCCCGATGGCCAGCTCATGCCTCCACCTCCACCTCCCAAGCGGATCAAACGTCCCGCAACCGCCCTCGATGAAGATGTCTACACCGATGCCCTATCGCATATCATCGCTCGGGACTTTTTCCGGGTCTTCTCGAGACTCATGCCAAGCAGGAGTACCTTGATGCCCTTGAATCCAAAGACAAAGACTGGGTGACAAGTGCGAAACAGAAGCTCGCGGATACCATGCGAACTCCTACCCCCGGTTCGAATGCGCGGCGTAGAACCGGCTCCGCATCACTTCTCGCCACCCCCCAGCATATCCCGCCCGGCCATCCAGACGAAACGCCCCGTGGGTGGGGAGGTGACACTCCTCTATCGATCGCCTCGACTGTCACTACCGCCACCGAAACCCGCGACCGCAATGTTCCAGACGTATCCAATATGGGGCTCATGGCATTCCAAGCCAAGTATACCAGCGAAGATAACGAGTCCTTTAACAAGGTACTCGACAAGCAAAATGCAAAGCGACGAGAAAAGTATGCATGGGTGTGGAACAATAACAAAATTCCGACCGCCCGGCAAATTGCACACCACCAACGAGAGGTGAAGCGCATCACTGCACAGGGGGGTAATCCAAACACCGAGCTGGTTCAACAGGAAGATCTCACTCAACCCGCCATCAAGACCGACCTTGATGCACGCCCTGCCAGGCCCGATGCCTGGGAGGCCCGACCGAAGAATCCCCTCATGTTCTTACCGTCATCTGTCGAAGATACGCACGAGACACGACAACAGAAAGCAGAGGTATCCTCTCGAGCGGGTCCCAAGCGCGTCTTATATCAAAATACACGACTCCTGGATACCGAGGCGGCGGCCGCAGCGGACGCCGCGAGCAAAGTCCCTCCATCTCCTTCCATTTCCGCGATCCGGGACGCTATTGCCGGCAAACCTCACCTCGACGCCTCGGAGGTTGGCTCCGCGGTGGCCGGCAGCGAAACACCTCGTGTAAACGGATATGCATTTGTGGACGAAGATGAGCCTGAGCCTGAACCGACGGGGGATTCAACGGATGAGTCAATGACAACTGACTGGAGTCTCCTCGGGTCTGCCGATTCCACACCAAACCCATTCCAGATCAGCGAATCCCGCAAACGTGAAGCCTTACACCACCGTCTGGTCGATCGCGTCGCCCGGAACAAACGCGCCGAAAAAGCCGCCCGTATCACCAAGACCCCGGTTCCGACCACCCCCCGTTTTGCCAGCAGTCCTCGGCTCGACTTCAACCTGCGTGGATCAACGCCGACTGTCGGTTTGAATTCGGGGCCACGGAAAATGCTCACTCCCGCGGCGCAAAAATTGCTGCATCAAGTTGGTGGCAATACCCCACGATCTCCCTCCAACTCCAAGTCCAGTTCAGGATTAGGCAACGTGTGGACACCGACGCCTCGAAGGAAGTGATTCTGGGCTCTGCTTTTAGATTTTTATTTTTTTTGATGAATTATGATATACCATGGGATCCAATACAGGCGTTTTAGTTTAATAAAGTTCAAGTTCACTGGCACGATGCTACAGTCATTCTCGAAATCGGCTTGACCAATACACACTTGATGACTGTTTTCTGGACCCACCGCCAAGGCCTTAAGCGTAGATCAATCATTGAGCGGGACCGCGTTAAAGTGAGGGGCGCAGTAAAACGCGCTTTTTATGTTATAGTACCTAACTATGTAACTAAAATGATACGATACGTACGATAAGTCCGTGGAATTCTATGGGAACCGAGTGGGTCCCTGCAAATCATGCGGAGAAGACCGCCTAGCACCTAATTCATAGACGATCTGCTGGGTGACTTCGATTTTCCTTCTTAGCCTATATGGCACGCGCCGGTCATCACTCCTGAGAGGTGTCCCATTGGCTTAGCGATCATCATAGTGAAAGATATCATCGGCAAGCTACTGTCTCAACCACGGATCTATTGTTGGCTAGCGAACATTAGTCTTCGGGAGCCGATAGCGAAGGCCTCAACCAATGATCACTAACCATACGTCTGTCTTTATAGTAGGCCTAGAGATATAAGGTCCAACTCTTTTATTATAGCGTTCAACCAAGTAAAGCATTCAACTCATAGGACGATACATCGCAATACGTATTAAACTACTAACACCTAGCAACTAACATCAGCTACATAGAAAAGATTTCTCTGTCAGAATTAGCTTCTTGAACATATTTCGTGCGCACTATACGAATATGCCGTCTGGCTTTAGGCGATAGCGCGGTGTTCCTAATCTAAGTTCCTCACACCCTTCATTGCCACCAGGCAAGTTGATTTTAATAGATAATAAAATAAGATGATTTAACATGTAGAAATACATTCTGATCTTGTGATAACGCGTACTTCTACACATCAAGCCAGCCAAGACCCCCTTGGTAAGGTAGAAGCCGCTAATAATACAGAGTTACATAGCTTACCGATTGAACGATATGATGTCCGAAAGCACATATTAACTAATAGGTAAGGCTTCATATAGCACAATCTTTCGTAGCGTATCTTTTCGTGTCAAATGGTCTTTCTGTGCTATTGTACAGAGGCCCATACCCTGACACTCCATCAGTTCGATATCACGGGAGTGCTTCGATCCCAAGTGCTCTTCTCAACAGCATCCACTAGACACGCCGCTACACTAGCCCTCGAGATGCCCCCCAGGCCTGCGAAAATACCGAGTCCTTTCCCATCGTCGCCAAGGAACTGAACGGGCGCTTTTTTTGCCATGGTCAGTCTCGCTGGCCTCAACACCACGAATTTCAATCCGCTCTTCTTGAGTATCTCATCAACATGATTATGGTCCGCGAATGAATGCCCAAGGCTAGTCTTGGAAATTGCCCATCTCATAATCACAGTGATATTCGCGAAAGAAGACCCTACTCCAAATGAAGACAGTGTCGCAATTTTGGAAACGCCATGCTTTTTCATAGCAGCAACGAGGTTCTCGTGCGCTTGAGACATGACTCGAGTCCCCTTCTCGTTCGGGGATGAAAGCGTGACGATCACAGCAGTTGGGAGGTCGCCTTGAACTGCATTGAAAGCGCTTTCAATGTTCGAAGGTTCCACTGGTGTACCCTTCACGATGTTCAGGCCTTCCATGGCTGGAAGTGCAGAGGGATTCCGAACCAAGGCTGTAATCTTGTGGCCGCGCTGCAATGCTTCATCGATGACGAGACGACCAGTCTGCCCATTGCCACCAATAACGAGAAGACGCATAATTAAAGATGCTGTTGCACTGCGGTAGGATGCTGACTTTATTCCCAATTGTTACAGGGCGGTTTCGATTGATACCGTAGTATAATGACCTTAGTGAGAGTTTCAACTTTGTTGAGATCAAGGGATGATGAACTGAATATTTCGAAACGACATAAAAACAACGAGCTCCCATCAGATATATATAGCTGTGATATAAACTCTATCGAGGGTGTCAGGGCTGGTTCGACCTAAGGACTGCCTACAACAGGTCTTAGGCATATCGCACCAGTGGCACCACATAGCCAGTCGTTGAAATGCGTTCGACGACGCGGCCCGGCTTCTGCCTAGTTAGTGCTTGCTCAGCTACCGCAAGTAAGTAACACGCTGCCTCCTGTTATCAATCTCGCCATCAGTTGTAGTCCGATGTCCGTGTGGTCGCACGGGCAACGGGCCTAGCTTAGCCGAGACTCGTAGGATTACAAAGCCTGGTGCTTACGAAGGTCGCGGAGCTTGGAGACCGGACCTCCGATGATCCAAGGGATCAGGGCCTACGACGACTCTCACCTCCCCGTGGTGCAGGCTGAGAACCTGAGGATGTATCTCCAGAGCTAAGAAGAGTCGACCCCTTGAACGATGGCGAGACTTTGTGTGAGCAACGACGTTGCGGTGAGGCTACGTGAGTGTCTCGAGGAGAAATGTGGCTTGACTATAGCGAGTGGCTAAGGCTTCCAATCTTTGACCGTATCTTGCACCCTACAATTACACAATGCGTAGAAGAATTCAATGAAATTCCATGGAAATCTATGATGCCGTCTAGTGCCTAGTTTCTGGATGATCTGTAGCTGTTGCGGTTTCCTGTTTGGGCCCGGGCCGTTTGGCTCCGGGCCGTTCTGCGCGGTATCACCGCTTTCCTATTTGTCGGTTTTTTGTGCAGCCGCCACCATCTTCCCTTTGTTGTTTCCCCTTCTGTACGGCAGCTGCGGGGAGCGGTCGGCGACTGCCGGCCACCGATCTGCCGGGCGGCCTCTTGTGGCCTTGTTTGGCTAAGGCAGGCCTTAGGCCAACGCCCCAGCGTAGCGGCTGTCAACCCAAGCAAGCTAGATACTGGGTAATTGAAATATTGATTGACTGATTGATTCCATGGGTCATGTGAGGGCTTGGCGGTTTTGCCATAATAACGCGTGAAATTACGCCCCAAAACCTGACCCCCATATGTCTATATCCGAATGGACATCCAGAAAACTTCACGAAGCAATTGAACGAGAGTTGACTCAAATTAGGCCACATGGAAAGACTTTTCAGTTACCCAGAAAATAAGAAACCAAAATAACTAGCCACTTTACAAGAATTGAGCGAAGAAGGTACGGATAATCCGATATCCGCGCAAGTACTCCTCGTAGCAGTGGATGTTATTAAAATCAGCGCTAGTTGGAATATTAGCAAGAGACCCATATATGCCAAGAAGAAGCGATATCTGGCTGTCATGGGAAATGGGGTAAGAAAACGTACCGGGATGTCATCCAACCATGAACTTGGTCAGCGAAGAATTCAAGGTAGCTATCTGGGTTATTCACCTTGACATTGTTGTGCCACTCATGGATAACCTAAAAGGCTCCCATCAGTAAATAACTTTTAAATGGGAGACTGTCCGCGTCTAGACTGGAATCGGAGGGGTTAATACTTACTTCAGGCACTTCATCTTGGCTAGGTAAGGTGCATATTGGAACAGTAACCTTCTTCGCATCTTCGGGATCCACTAGAGAAGGGTGACACTGCGCTGCAGCCTTAAATGGCGTGCCTTCCTGGCAGACCAACGAGGCTATCTTGCCGCCCCAACAGAATCCAAGAATCGCCCACGATTCGATCTCTGGATGCTTTTTGCTGATATCCTTCAGGATAGGAGCGATCAGGGGAACCGTCTTTGTGGGGTCCCCATACCCACTCATAAAATCCGTGATAGCCTTGAATTGCTTCGGATTCTTTGGAGGGAAATTTTCCATCTGTTGAGGATGGTCTCCAAAGAAGTCTGGCTGGAAAACTTGGTAGTGGCCAGCATTGTCAGGCTGATCGTCATAGTTGTACGCCAAGATATCGCAACCTTTAAGGGATTGGATGTATAAACCGAAAACGTCATACACAACGAATATACCCCTCTTTGCATTAAGTGGTCCAGTCTCATCTATTCAGGAATGAGATCAGTTGGTCTTGGTATTATGCGTCCATGTCAGATTGGAGGGTGAGAGCTGTACTTACAGGTCTTCATGCCATTATACTCCGTGTACTTCCCCTTCAGCGTATAGCTATCATAGCCTCCACTGAGCTGGACAGGCGGCCGAGTACAGCAAGCCTTGCTTTGGACGTCCATGGCGTATCTGAGTCAGGTTTTGTTATTTCCTAGTATTGGTAGGTCCCCTTGAGATATGGATTCTGGGAAATGTTTTATAAATTGACGAGGTGCAGCTGCGATCTATCTACAAGATGTCTCGACTTGATTAAAATCCTCATAAAAGTGGAACGAGTCATCGAGTCATCATGGCTTCATAGTAGGTGTGCCGGAGCTCGGGAATTGCTAACTACATGTATTTCCCACAAAGTATGAACAGGCAAACCTAAATTCCGTGTGCAAGCAAGCAGCCTCCGCATAGACCTATGCACATTGATATATAGGCGTTCTAGATTGGCACGATCCCACATATTTCAGCCCGAGCTAGCCCTCGCCACAGCCCGCCCATGGACGGGCATGTCCAAGGACCCACTTCCGCAAATGGACAGTCCAAAGGTCCAAAAGATGTCCAAATCCCGCCCAAAAGGCAGTCTGGATCAACACAAAAATATACTAACGAAAACCTCAACTCTCGTGCTTATCTGCCATCCGCTATAACTATCCCAGAATCATATTTACCCCCACCAACTTACTCCCCTCAGCCTCCCCGTCCGATACCAACCACTACTCTCCTACTATAAAGCCATCAACCAACTTATACTTCAGTCCTCTGGTACCGCATTACAAACTCACTGTAATTAATTCCTAATACCCAAGAACCTATTATTCCCACCAAATCTGTACTCATAATTTAAGATCTTCACTGCCGTTTTTATAATAAACCGTCACCGTTTCAGGTCAAAGATAGGCCAAGTCAATATACAAATAAACAAATTCAAAACAAAAATATATCTGTAATACAGTTACTGTCCAAATTCTTAGCTTCAGCTTTGACCTTATTCTCGTGTTTCCTAACAAAAATGCAGCCAAAACAGAACGCTTGCAGTCCGTCTTATTCGCAATTCCACCATAGCCGCGCTATGAGGGCAGCCTAATATCATAAATGCAACAAGGCCACGACAGGCTTTACCAGGTAAGGCTCAAAGTTCACCGTTCAGGCAGCATGGAACAATCTCAAGGATCAATCAAGATGTATTTAGAAAGTAGTTGTAGCCTGCATATCGCTTTTTGCGAGGGATCAGGGTAAATGAGATCCATCTATCAAGCCGACTAGTACTAGTACCTACAGTGGTGCTGCAAAGGTTTGAAAACCCCTGTTGGCCGCCCTGAACTCTGCCTTCCCAAGGGGAACAAGTAGCTACCTGAGATGGAATAGATTGGCCAATCCATTCTATCTTAGGTACCTAGGTAGCTACTAGTCTGCCGTTAGAAGGAGGGCAATCCGAGGTTTCAAACTTTTGCAACATCACTGTAGTAGTAGTAGTAGTAGTAGTAGTAGTAGTAGCTACTACTAACGTGTTTCATTGGTTATCCGGCCACCCTAGAACACCATATTAAAAGCGATAAAATTACAATTCAATATCTCAACAACCATACCTTTTTTCGGGCTATATTTTATCAGATGTTTCTATTGTAAGATATAGAGTAACATGTTTCAATTTGAATTAATGTTATTGATTTATTTATCAGATTACCATAAAATACACGGTAATTTGTGTTTATTATCAAAATAGAGATATTTCGCGACGTATATATATCCAGACTATTTTTCTTCTACATTCTTGTGATAAGTGTATGATGAAGTTTATAGAACTTCAATATTTAGCTTTGAATGACTATGGTAGTTGAGGTATCGAATTGTAATTTATCACTTTTAATATGGTGTTCCAGGGTAGCCGGATAACCCATGAAACACGTTAGTAGTTAGTACAAGTATTCCGAGTCCAGGGCTACTACTATATATTTTCAAGTTTCAACCCGAGTCAACTACACAACTTATTACTGACCCCTAAAACCCTAATCCTGGCATATACTACTTCAAGTTCATTAGGTACTACCATACTTCATAGTTACTACAATAATCCATGGATTATCCACTGGCACTCCCTAACTCTAGCTGTGATTGCAACTTTGTATACTTCAGGATTGTTTTTGGCGGCAGAATGCTTCACCGCCCCGCCCCCACGCGCGATATTCCGCAGTTGCACTTGTCCACTTCCACTTCCACTTCCACTTCCACTTGAAGGTTCTGAGCTGCAAGTGGACAATTCTTAATTGTTCCCTGGATCATGCCTCCTGTCAGCCTCATCATACCCTTTTAATCGAACCTTGCTCCGCTCTCTATGATCTGCACTTTCGCCGTGCGATCCGGCCCGCCATGTTTTCCAACGCGCTAAAGTCATTCAGCTCCAATATCTCCGCCAACTATCAGATCTCCCCTCATGCCACTATCTATTCGGGTCCTTGGAAAATCCATGATGCCAAGAAGAAATCCACCGGGACTCCCGCCTCCGTCTTTATCTTCGATCGCAAGACCCTCGAGCCACGATCCGGTGGCTTTGGCTCTCGTTCAGGCTCCGGTACAAAAAAGATCCAAGACGATGTGATTGAACGACTCAAGCGGGAAGCTGGGAATCTCGCCAAATTGAGACACCCCTCAATCCTTCAGGTGCTGGAGCCAGTCGAGGAGACCCGCGGCGGCGGCCTCATGTTTGCGACAGAGCATCTGACCGCATCATTGTCAGGGCTCCTCTTGGATAAGAACGAGCAAGAGGGCGCATCCGGTGGCGGCTCGCGGGCGGGCCGTTACATGGTGGAGAGTGCGGATGGCACTCGCAGACGGCGGGAATTTGAAATTGATGAGTTGGAAATCCAAAAGGGGTTGCTCCAGGTCGCCAAGGGTCTGGAGTTCCTCCACGAATCCGCTGGCCTGGTTCATGGTAATCTCAACCCGGATGCTATTTACATCAATGCCAAGTCAGACTGGAAGATCTCCGGCCTTGGATTTGCCGGGCCTCCAGATTCCTCCGAGACTCCCTCATCATTACCACCGCTCGCCGTCTCCGAGGTTTTGTATCAAGACCCAAGACTGCCAGCCTCCGTCCAACTCAATATGGACTTTACCTCCCCAGACTTTGCTTTGGATTCCAACGTTTCATCTGCGGCTGATTTATTTTCTTTGGGCCTCATCATTATTGCTCTTTACAATTCGCCTCATGTCTCCCCGCTAGAAACCCATATGAATCTGTCGACATATAAAAAGCTCCTTAGCTCTCCTTCAACAACCCCATCTCAAAGCAACAATTTCCTTTGCACGAATCCCATTCCTAAGGATGTTCAATCTCAAGTCCTCCCCCGCCTCATTACTCGGAGACCGGCTCAGCGCATGAATGCCCGCGAGTTTCAACAATCCCAATATTTCGACAATGTTCTGGTATCAACCATCCGCTTTTTAGAGTCTTTACCTGCCAAGAACCCAAATGAGAAGTCTCAATTCCTAAGAGGGCTTCAACGGGTTTTGGCAGACTTCCCCATCTCAGTGTTGGAAAGAAAGCTCCTCGGGTCCCTGTTGGATGAAATGAAGGATCGTGAGCTACTTGCCCTGCTGCTACAGAACGTCTTTGGTATTCTTAAACGAATCCCCAATGGACGTCGCATTTTTCCCGAGAAAATTATCCCTCGCTTGAAGGAGGTCTTTGGAACCGGCCCAGGAAAAGCAACAGCCCCCGAACGCGACTCCAAGAAGGATGCAGGGCTCATGGTCGTGTTGGAGAACATGAAACTTGTCACAGAAAATTGTTCTGGCATGGAATTCAAAGATGGTCAGTTGCTCTTATCATATTCGCCATCACCAAGCTGACTCCCGAATTAGATATTCTACCATTTATACGGCTTGGTTTGGACTCCCCCACCCATTCCCTGGTGGACGCTTCTATTAAGTGCCTGCCTGTATATCTGTCCACGCTCGATTTTAGCACCGTCAAAAATGAAGTTTTCCCGCCTATCGCAAGCACTTTCAGCAAAACAAGCAGTCTCGCTATCAAGGTCCGCAGCCTGGAGGCTTTCGCCGTCTTGTGTGGTGGATCGGCGGATGAAACGGATGGGCTTGATGATCTTTCTGGTGTTGTCCAGCCATCCAAGACCGCTAAATCATCTATCCTGGACAAGTACACCATCCAAGAAAAGCTTGTTCCTTCCTCTCAAGGCCATCAAGACAAAAGAACCTTCCGTCATGATGGCAGCTCTTAAGGTGTTCCGTGAAGTTGGAAAGGTTGCCGACACGGAGTTTCTCGCTCTGGAGGTACTTCCCATTCTCTGGAGCTTCAGCCTTGGTCCCCTCCTGAATTTGAGCCAATTCAACGAGTTCATGACCTTAATCAAGTCTCTGTCGATCAAAATCGAGAAGGAACAAACCCGAAAGCTCCAGGAGCTTTCGTCGGGTGGAGACTCTGGGGGTTTCCAGAATGGTGCCAACGGTTTCTCGCAGTCTGCCACCGACCTTACTTCTCCTGATGGGGACAGTGCCAAAAACAACTTCGAACGACTTGTTCTTGCCAAACAAAAGCCGTCATCAAATGGCAAGGACGCTGACATTTGGGGGAGCATGGAGCCAGAACCAGCCACCAAACGGCCCAGCATGTCACCTGCATTCTCATGGTCCACTAACCACTCTGGCCAGGGTGCATCGAACCAGCTGGGCATCCGATCCATTACCCCTGACCAGAAGTTGAACACGATCCCTTCGCTCGAGCCTGGGCGGCAGACATCACCCCCAATGACAAATTCGCCCTTTCCATCTATGCAACCCATGCAGCCAGCTCAAACCTGGAACATCCAGAATCAGGCTATGAATAGACCTGGCTCTCTGTCTTCGCTATCCAGCATGTCTACCGGAACACCAATGTCCCAGCCGGCCTTACAACAACAGCAAAGCCCAAACTACTCGTCATTCTCCATACCACCACCGCCAGCAAACATGGGCACCACAAGCCCAAATAATTCGATCAGGACACCCTCGCTAAGTATGAATATGAACATGAAGGCAACCACCCAACCGCCGCAGCCGCCGCAGCCGCCGCAGCAACAGAGATCGGGACTTGCTAAATACGAGAGTCTATTATGATGCGAATGAATAGGTTTCTTTTTGTTTTCGCAAATACCCCTAATGTGATTTCTATCACATCTGTTCTTGCACAATGCTGTGGCAACACTATTAAATAGACAGTTTCGAAAGAGCAAGGTCGAAGAGCATCTTGTATTTAGCTTCCCAATCAGTCCTTGATTGTTAAATCGACTTCCTCGTATTCCAGATGTCGGCGATCGGATGAGTAGTCCTGCATGGTGTAGGAATGCAACCATGTTTGATTGGCTGCACAGGAGGTTATTGGGATCTTAGAGTAGTCCTGGAGGATCTATTCAAACTGAGTTACATTCTGAAAAGTCTGAGTGTGATTAATTATAGATGCAAGCAGCGACGGTGGATGATATACGGGCAGCCGTTGGTGATCAAATTTATTATGTAGATCCCGAGACTAAAGGTCGTCGTGATGGCAGAACGGCGTTTCTCAAAATGTTCATGGCCGACGAATCTAGTCCCCAATTACCCTGCCATTGTTCCATACGGGCTCCCCTTTTGAAATGTGCCGCGATGTGTTCAGCTCGGGAAGCCCAATCAGGAAGATTTTGGTTGCAAAACCCGCAACGGCTCCCAACGTCGCCACCAGAACTCCTCCAAACATCCAGATCTGACGCAGGAAGCTTAGCACAAGCGTGGAATTTGCGGAGATGCTGCCATAAATAATCCTTTCGACTGAAGGATCTTTCCGCAATTGGCTTTCCAGCACAGACGTGAAATTCATGTTCATCCCAATGGGCGGGTGATGGGTAGGGAGCATCGCAGAAGTAGCAGTTGGCTACTGAAGTACTATATTGTTGGTAAAGTTCATCGAGATTCAGCGTGCAGATCCAGGAGTCGAGTTGAAGGTGTACACTTTTCTCGTGCCGAGCCCAATCATGTCGCTTCCGAAAAGATGAGGTGCAGAATGTGCACTGGTATTGACATTCAACTTCCGAAAATCGCCTTCCTCGTTGTCGTCTAGTAGTGCTTGGAGTCTTGGGAAGCAGCGGGAAGGGCAAATATCCTTCTCCAGATTGATGGCTCCAGGCCGAGGAAATACTGTCGGAAGTCTCAGAGGCTCTGCTCTCAAAGCTAGAAGCAGAGGAGGCCAGATGTGAAGATGTTTCATCAAGATTGAAAAGATCTGTTGCCGATTTATCGAAATGAAACGGGTCAAATGCAGGGCCAGGATCCGCCACGCCCAAAGTGATAGCATCTTGAATAGCCGATTCCAGAACGGGCTCGTCTTCGGGTGGAGATGCTTTCCAGCGTTCCATGGGCGTCATTGAGCTCAAGGTGCTGGTGACCATCGGAGAGCTTGCGCGGGAACGTGAGTTCGAAGTTTGTTTCGACGATTGGATCTTTTGCTTTTGTCTGCGACGAGCATTCGCAAACCAAGTCGAAACACGCTTCTGGGAGAAGCCAGTCTCCGTCGAAAGTTGTTCTTTCTGTACCTCAGTAGGATATGGGTACTCTTGGTTTTGATAAAACCATTCTCGTAAGACCCTGGCCCCTTTCCGGACAAATTGTTTGGAATCCTTGCGTTCCTCTCTGTTTTCAAGCCCAAGGTCGACGCCCTGGGTTGCCGTGAGCTCGTGACCGAGAACATCCTGTTGGTCAGCTATGCCATATTCTGCGTCCTCTGGCAGGCCGTGAAGGTGACCGAGTACTGGTGAAAATGTCTCGAAGCGAGATGGAAGTCGTTTTTCGCCTTTGGCCAGACTACATTCCCGGAAGAGTGCCACACAGCTGGAGCAAGAAGCAACAGGGTTTGGATTAGCCTCTGTGGTTCGGAGGATCAGACATTGCAATCGATGCCTACGGCAGTGGCTGCAGGGTATGAGTGGGCGGTATGCTCCATCAAGCCACTGTGGAACATTCGCAAGATTCTGCGAAGGCAGGTTCTCGAGTTTTTCCGGCTCGGGTTGGACCAAGTCCTCCGTGGTTTGTTGTATCGGATAGCCTTCGGCCTCTTCCATAAAACCTCGAGGTGAACCAAGTCCCACAAACTGAGACCATTGTAAGTCTGTTGGGTCCGAGGAACAGAAGAAGAAATCATCGAGTGCATTCCAATCAGCTTGTGGGTTCTCATGCAGCCAGATATCCCCTATACTGGCATCTAGCAGGCTTGGAAGCTCAGAATCAGATTCGGGTGATTGTCGCAGTGGGTATCGTGGTGGGTATGAGTCTGACGGCAGGGCCGAATCCATTGCGCGTAGAATTCTCGGCAAAACGACCAGTCCAACCCGACAGAAAGCCTAAAGTCGAGTTTCGTTGGAGATAGCTGGGTTATGAGGTGTAATCCGCAATGCAGGGAAACATATTAAACAACTAAGTAACGAATCAGGATGTTTGCCGGCGAAGTAGGGAATGTGGTTGGGTTGGAGAGAAATGAAAGCAACGATGATGTCAGCGTTTGATATAGTCACGTGGCGGATCATGGGGAAATACGGCCACGTGATTGGCCAGATAACCCTAACCTGGCATCCACGCCTGGGCAGCAGCATTCTCCACATGATGATTATAGCTCATTGAAATTATTTCCTGGTGCTATGGTGTTATGAGTATCAGGGCGTTTAGGAATAATTTTTCCTTCCCCATGGGATGTCGTCTCTACCACTGATCATCCCGAGGTCTTCAAGTTCAAGTTCCAACTTGAAGGCTGACTCAGGGAGATAGGGAGATAGTACTACCAATATTCAAGTTTGTACTACCTACTAGTAATACTAAGAAATATACATCCGTCTGGGCAAGGGTCAATAATACAAAAACTACTACTACTCGTAATACCAGTAGTACTGATCGAAGATCGAGTTCAAGTTCCCGAGGTCCAAGCCTGTTAAAATCGGTTCAAAATTATTTTCTAATGTACAATAACCTCTGTAGTTTTAACGATGCCACTCTTTGAACCGTAATTACTGGGATGGCCTGGAGGGGTCTCATCCGAGGCAGAGAAGTTTTGGGTGTATGCTGCTGTGACGTTATAGTCTCCGTTCTGAGTCAGGCGAACCTCATCGGAATTGGAGGCGTCACCAGAACCCCGGCTCCCTAGCTCCTGGAGCGCATACTGGTCACCCCGATGAATAGACCACATATGATTGCCTCCGCCTCCCCCCATTGTGTGGCTGCTTCCTCTAGTTCCAGTCGCAGCACGTTGCGATCGATAGTGACTGCCGTGGAGACCTTGAGATCGGGAGTTGGAATACTCCGATAGCTTGAGAACACTGCTAACCAGAGGTTTGAGAGAGGGAATGCAAGCGGCTATGATACCGGTTGTGAATTGTAGCCTGTATTTAGTTTCCAAATCGTTAGCCAACCTATGCTGCGTCCTCTATCGACCGAAAGTATCATCGGGATCATAGTGGTTCATGATACTTACGTTGCCCAGAATAGAATCCAGTCGTTCCTAGAATAGTTGTCAGTATATATTGAACTTTGATCGAAATAGTTCCAGTAACATACAAATACCGATCCGTTATTGTAGTGAAAGCAATTTGGTAAATTGCATTCAGTACACCGAAGACCACGGCTCTGCGCTCATGAAAAGATGGTCAGTGGGGAGTCAATTTTCATAGCGAAAAATGCAACCTATGATACAACTTACAGATAGCCCAGGCTAAGAATACCTATCAGATAAATTCGAACCTTGCGTCGCATCTGTAGAGTCCAGATAATTGGAATGGGGATTGTGGCGAAGAAAACATCCGTGAAGATGTTGAATGCTGCCAGACATTACACTGTTAGCTATAGCAAAGCTATTGAGCTAGTATGTGCAATGAAAGGAAACTATACCGGTATTGACGAGTCCGAATGTAACGAAAAGCTGTATTGGATAGCATTGAGAGCCTGGAGAGTGAGTCCAGAATGCCGACATAGGCCGACAATAAAGAAAAAAGGCCATAGCTCCCATGAAACAATAAGCCGCGACAATGACTACAGGTATAATCTATTATCAGTACAGTCAAAATTAAACGTAAATAGAAGAGAAATTTTCGAAACGGTATGTTTTGTTTGGAAGTCTGAGAATCTGATTAAACTTACCAATGCTTGCCCAAAGACAGTACACATACCATCGAGCTGGACTCAATCTCAGTAGGTTCAAAGCTATGGAGATCTTGAGCATGGCTATGCCTAATACAGAGTCAATTATCACCTGCCAGAAGGAGCCTTGTGAAACCTTTGTTGCGTCACCATTGCCCTCGGCAAACCAAGCATCACTGTGGCCCAGCCCGTAAGTCCCCTCAAAAGCCCAGAGGATCCATCCTCCCAAGGCACATAACTATCTCACTCCAAGGTCAGCGATCTATTTCGGAGTTCTATGTCCTCGAGGATATCAGAAAGACATGGCACGATAACCTACAGCTGCTATCAACATTGTCCAGTCATCAGCACCAGTGTTTTTGATAAGCCTGATCCGAACATAAAGGCGTAAAACAACAGCCAAAAGGGCCAGAAACGTGAAGATGGTCTGCACGACTAGGATTCGGGGCAGATTGTTTTGCCACTCCGTATTGAAATCTGTACCCTGTACTTGGCGCCATGATGGATCGTCTGGTCAGCAAAATCAAGGGCTCATGTTACTGAAGAGAAAGGTGTACAGACACTTCAAGTTTTAGGCAGGCCAGCCCCAGATGAATAATAGTACTGCATATATCCACTAGTGGCACATGATATAGGAGATATACTACTCATTCCCGCGAACCAACACCGGGGATCTTCCCGAGCCCCAATTGCGAACAGTGGCATGTGTGTCTTAGCGTCTCGAGGGCGAAGGATTCCAAATGAATTACCGAAAAAGTCAATCGTCTCCAAAATTCCGGTATACCCCTGCAGGATTAGCGGCATCCTGCCAATTCGATGCAACGTCAAAAAGCTCGAATCTTGAATGGAGAATATGATGTTCCTGTTGACACCAAGCTACTAGGACCCCTGAAAGCGATGATTTAGCCCATCATTTCAAAGAAAAATAAATACAATAAAATAGATGTAATTCGTTTCATTTCGGAGTGCCTCGGCCATCCACCCTCATTCGATGCACAGTGGCTTATTCACGAGGACGTGGAAATAAAAGGGGCTATGCTAGATCGGACCGGTGGGCCAAGACACTTGAATTCAAACCTGCATGGGGCAACATGCATACTTTGGCCCCCAAGACTTTATTGGGGCCGTAATAGGGCCAACAACCGGCTTACTATAATCAGATTTGAAGTTCACCTTTTCATGGGAAAGGTTTGTCCTGAGTAGTCCGTACGGACGGAGCAGGCGATGAATGCTCACTAGTAGGTGGTGGGATCAGGACTGCGACCAATATGTTTGGATCCCTGGGATAATACCTGGAGATCGCATGGGTGCTATGCCTTAATATGATTGGATCGGGGAAATTCCTTGGGTGAAGCCTGTTTTCAGATCCTCCGAGTGTGTACGGAGTACGGAGTATGAGTACTCAGATTTCTAGCCTCGATCCTTTCGCCGACGGCAGGATAATCGAATCACCGCGAATGTTACAATCTCAAGGCCCCTTAACTGATTCGTATTTGCTCATGGGAATATAAATTACAAGTAAATGAGATCATTCAAATTTAATTCCAACATGGCTAGGTCTGTTTTCCGGATAAAGTGCGTGGCTAGATATTGTTGAGGATTCAAGACCGCGGCGCGTCGCCATTTTGTTCTTAAGCGTGTGTTCCACCGATGATCCCTGGGAAAAACGCTAATGTATACTAATGTATACGACCCCGGGTAACTCCACCAATCTGCATTGAGCAAGACATTGTTTTCATTTCATTGGAATCGTGTTTCTGAAACCCTGTCATTAGGGCGTTTTGGCTAATGTTTGTTTCTCCCCCCCCTGCGGTTGGGTAATCTAAGGGCGAGTTCGGAGCGTCTGCCGAGCACTCCATGCAAGTGGCAGGTTCCCTTCCGAGCCCTAAATTCCTTTTCGGACTTTGGCGTTATGATTTGCCGAAGTTATGCCAGGGGGAGTGGAAGCTGCCGGCTATCTTAATACTATAAGACCAAAGCTTTCCGTTAGCTGGAAGCTTTCCAGGCAGTTTCCTCCCCCATTTGGCATTCCCTGTATACCTTCGACTCCTTTTAGTCTTTTATTCACTGACGATGCGATCTTTGTCATTCATCGCGCTGAGTCTAGGGGCTGCCTTGCCCTTCGTCGACGCTAATGGCCTGCCTGACATTATCTACCGTGATGTCGCGGTTATCGGAGGAGGCGCCTCCGGTGCGTATGCTGCTGTTCGCATGCGTGATGACTTCCACAAAAGCATTGCTTTGATTGAGAAGCAGAACATCCTGGTATGTCTTACAAACTTATTGCGCAGGATTTCATCGCTGCAAATTAGAATTATTTGGTTTACAGGGGAAAGCACTAACGCAATCTCAATGAGCAGGGTGGTATGGTTGACACATATGTGGACCAGAAGACTGGAAAAACTTTTGACTATGGGGTTCAGAGTTTCCTTAACGTGAGCGGGGCGACCGACTTCTTTGCTCGATTCAATATCTCGATTGGTAGTAGCCGCCCAAGCAGTTCATCTTCAGTCACCGAGTATATCGACTTCAGAACTGGCAGCAAGGTCGATTTTGAGCCCCCATCATCATCGAAGCAGATTTCAGCCATCGCCAAATTTCTCGAAGTCATTGAGCCCTGGGAATCAATGTTATTTCCTGGCTACTGGAATTTTCCTGAGCCCTCTGATATCCCAGAAGACTTTCTGATTCCGTTTGGAGAGTTTTTAACCAAACATGGCCTGGAGGATGGCGCTCCTATCATTTACGCATCCACTGGCCTCGGCGTGGGTAATATGAGTGAAGTCACCACAATGTTTGCGCTGCAAAGCTTTGGCTGGGACATGGCGCGCGGCCTGACAGGCAAAATGGGCCTGTTTACGCCTACATCTGGGGGCAACCAGGTGCTATACGACGCGATTGCGAAGGACTTGGGGGACGACGTTCTATACTCCAGTACTGTTATCGACAGCCGCCGCACCGATTTTGGCGTCTTCCTTACCGTCCGCAATCACAAAACGAATAAGGTGACGCTGATCATCGCTAGACGACTTCTTGTTGCCATTGAGCCCACCAAGGATAACGTGGAGACTTTGGATCTGAGCCCGTTTGAGTCATCAACCTTGGCCAAGTTTACATACTCGAACGAATTTGCTGGATTGGTCGATAATGCCGTATTCAACGAGAGTACTTACTACTTCAACTTACCGTCATCTGCCGCTCCAGACAACACCCTTGTCTACCAAGAGGACCCCATGGTCGCAAGTTTCCAATACACCGGCCTCGAGAATTTGTTTCGAGTGATGGTCATCGGTAACACCACTACTACCGCCGATGAGGCCAAGAGTTTGAGCCAGGAAAGCTTCAATACCTTGCTGAAGTCTGGTCGTTTCACTACTCCTGGCCAAGAGCAAGAGCTCAGCTGGGCCGCTTTCGCTACACACGGTGCCATGCATGCTCGCGTCACTGTGGATCAAGTGAAGGCAGGCTTCTTCCAGGACTTGTACAAGCTTCAGGGTGCTCGCTCCACGTGGTGGACGGGTGGCGCTTTTTCTGCAAACTTCCAGACTCAGCTGTGGAAGTTTGACGAGGGACTTATTCCCAAGATCCTCAAGGGCCTCTAAAGGCAGATTATTCCAAGGTTGCTGGCGAATGAAGAGCAAGGAAAGTGGACCAACACGGAATTGGCTGTGCGCCCTCGGTGTAATATAGGAACATCAGATTTCCATTGATAGCCAGAAAGAGCTCTTCTTGGATACGGACCAAGAGGGATAGACACTTAAGACGCATAATATCAGAATAGTCTCAATGAGCTTTCTCACTATACGTAGGACACTACTGATGATACTACTATGTGTAAGAGGATGACAAAGGTGGTAGATGAGGGAAAATGGCGAAGCATGATGATGCCAAAAAAATTGCGGTGGTCATGTCACCGCTTCGCCAGAACCAATACCCTCGGCAGCGACCACCAACCCTCTCGCATTGCGCACCTCCCACTCAAATTCTTTCAAAGCACGGAGTTCACTTGACACGAAGAGACCACCGATCAATCCATCCAAAATCCCGGCGCCAAAATTTAACGTGCTCACTAGGATCAAGATGAACCCGATGTAGGCCCGACTTCCAACCCACCACACTCCAACCATACAGCCAATTGAGATCACGATAGAGACAAGGAAATGAATGAGACGCCAGCGACGTTGGGAGCGTTCTCGCCTGACATAGGTGTGAATCATATCGATTATATGGTCGTAGGTCTCCGGGGTGAGGGCAGCGTTTCGGGGAGATTTGCTTCGATGATGTTTTGTGTAGAGAGGGAGAAGTAGGCGAGCCTGGTTCGGAATATGTGCTATTGGAGACAGTGGCTTGGCCTGTAGCACGAGTGATGACTGCCTCGACGGCGAAATGGTCGCTTAAGGAGCAGCCGAGTGTGGGGTGGCGTTGTGTCATTCCCACCTTAGCAGATTCGACAGACCAACGCGACGGAGGGAATTCTGGGGCGTAACCACCATCTCCAACGAAGATATAGTCGAGACGTTTGGCGCGTGGGTCCGGGGCGTCCTTGTCTATGGTCACATCTTGGCCCTTGTCGAGTTGTTTGCGGAGCGCCTCGGACCATCGCCATGTATTAAATGAACCGTCGCAAGTCGCCCCATTTTCGACCAGGTTATACTCCGCGGATGGAATGGGACGATTTCTCGCGCGCTCAACAGCGTCGATCGCGGCGCCGACAGAGGAGTCCGGGTGGAGCTCGCGCCAGACGTCACGAACGGGACTTTGGGCGGTGATGAGACGGTGAGCGAAGGAGGATGGCAGCATGTTGAAGTCACCGAGGCCGATGACAAGATGACCCCGTTCGGCGGCGCCACGCATGAGCTTCGATATTTCCCAGGCTTGGGCGGTGCGGTGACAGAGATAGGAGTCGTGGGGTTCACGCTCGTAGGGAGCGTGGAGGTGTGTGCAGAAGACTTCGGCCACATCTGCAACGCCAGGTCCAAAGCGAATCCGTGCGCAGGCGACGCCCTTCCCGACGAACCAGTCACCGCGAAAGAAAGCAGTTGGTCGTCCATTCAGGGGATAACCATACATGCCGCTCTCTTCAATGGGCCATCGCGACAGGATAGCCAGGCCCGCGCCAAAGATGCCCCCAAAATAAAATTTCCCATATGGAAGTATATGCTGTGTCTGGTCGCGAATACTCTCATAGTCTTCCTGTGTCCAACATTCTTGTAGTCCCACTATTTCCGGCGGAGGGTTGGCGAGGGCGAGCTGTCGTCCGATTTCCGATAGACGTTCTTGACGGTACTTTGAGATGTATTTCAGACCCCAGCAGTTGAGAGAAAAGATTCGAATCTGGGAGGGAGCTTCATCGTGATGATGTCCGGTAATTTGGGCCATCGAAGTTGAGAAATGAGAATGGCCTAGTAAAGAGGAGCAGTTGAGAAAGTTGGATGGGAAATTGGAAATTGGGGGGGAAGCTCCAAAGGGAAGCTTCACGTCCAGTTTGGCTGACTAAGATGGTTTTATCGGCATAGCTTATCCTTATCTCATCCTTATCTTATCACTCCGCGGTTGTCACGTTTGCACTGTTTGCACTATTTGTTCCCAAGTTCTTCTTTGTTTACTTCTGCGCAGTCGAGAGGTGAAGATGAATAGATGAATACTGATCTGGGGAGAATACTACTCCTGGTAGGTATATGCTTGAATGCTTCATGTCGGATTCAAAGTTTGCATTAGGTCTGAATGTATACGTATAAACTACCTTCCTCGCCCCAAATTCCGACGTATGAGCTGCAATGACCATTCAAAAACCAACACGCTAAATTCAACAGCCCGAAAAAAGGAGACAAAAATGCTATGTGTATGAGAGCCGAGAGTCCTGCGACCAGGAGGTGGCGCGGGTCTAGCCCGCCGCAACAGGAGGAATGACATGGCAGGAAGTGGAACAATTAGACATGCAGAACAAAGAAGAGGAAGGCGGAGATAGAAAAATGTACAACAATGCTCTCCAAATCCCAGAGAACTTGGGGTAGCTTGTTGTTGAAAGCCCAGACATTTCTTGTTCGCATTGGTGGGTCCCCTACTTCTTACCATACCATGCCTGCTTCAAGTCTATTCCATTCAAGAGGTCCCCGTCGACACCTCTTGAGGATCCAGTCAACTAACAATTACAACTGGAGCCGTCCCTCAGACCAATAGGCCCGGCCTTTATCCCACCACTTTGGAATATCATATGCCCAGTGGGTTAACAAACCGGCAATAAAACCGACGGCGTCATTCTTGAAGCCAACAAGTACGCCGATAGTCACTATCATGACCGTCCAACGTCGCTTACGTTCATCATCTGTTAGCACAGGGCCGAGGTGCTGCTCAGCGAGGCCTAGAACACCACCTCTGGCCTGGCCGAGGTCTCGGGCACCAGAGGTGTTGAGGCTCTCGCCGACCATTGCCAATTCTAGACCAGCTGCAACCACCATCACGCCAAGGAACGCGGCGGGAAATCGCTTGAGCAAATCAACAAGAGTTTCCCCGAAGAGAAGCCCGATGAAAAGTTTCAGTACTCCGAGAAAAATAACACTCGCACCGGAACGCGCACCGAAATGGTACTGCGCTGCGAGCCCACCCGATCCGTGACAAACAGGCATAGCGCCAAACCAACAGCCCAGCAGGTTCATGCCAGCAACACTGAGCCCGATATGCGTGATCGACGGAGCCTGGACACTAGTTTGGAACAGATCATGGGCCAAATGAACGACAGCAACAATCGAGTTAAGCGTAGTGAGCGGAATCTGCCCGATGCCGGCATCAATAGAACCGACACGCCATTGATTTGGGGTTGGAATGGTCACCCAGGGGTGCCAGATCTGGAACTGGGGCAAGGACCCCGCCAGGGCAGTTAGAATGATCGCAAAGATGAGTCCGGTTATTAAAACAATCAATGCGTATGGGACTTTGCGATAGACATTCGTCGTGACAAGGGCGATAAATGCCGCGATGGCCCAGATCCGATTGTCAGCCCAAGAAGGGCTAATCCAGCCAAGCGGGGACAGTATAGTTCCACATGCCGAGATACATAGAGATAGACCGGCGCCGACCTGGATTCCCTTGATGACAGGAATGGGAATTACGCTCGAGAACCAGCGCAGGAGACCCGTTACGCTGAAAATGAGGATGCAACCTCCGACAAAGATCCCCGCCGCTGTGATTGAGCCAGGGGAAAAGCTACGGGCGATAGCAACGGCTGCGATAGCCTTCATTGGTTGGACTGGTAGTGGAATCCCAAAGAATAAACCCGTCAAGATATTGTAGACACCCGAAAAGACCAAAGTGCTCGCCAGTGAGACTGTGTTGTTGACAGCGAGAGCAATGGCAATCGGAAGGAAAGTTCCCAGGTCGCCCAGCGATCCGGAGATTTCAGAGACATAATGATGCCGAAATGTATGTAGATTATGACGAGAGATCTCTCGTAAGGAGCGTGCAGGCATGGCCATTCCGGTGTTGTAAACGAGTCAACATCAAAAATGATGATGAAGTTGAAGTTGAAGCTGAAGATGACGAGGGAGAACCCCGCAGTGGCTGCTGATGCTGCAAGAATTCAACATCCGCACTCACCCGCACCAACATCAAACTCGCCCGACCGATAAACTACCTTCACTCGTCTCAGCATGCAATATGGGAAGGCAGAAGCGGTCAGAAAATAAATCTTGCTGATTCGGCAGTCTCGATGGTTTAAAATTTCTAAATGCAGTGCAGCAGGGATGCAGCGCAGGGCGAGACCTGGTGCACCGCATGGGCCTAGTCATATGTAGAGAAAAGAAACGAAAAGAAAGGAAAGCGGAATGAGCTAATATGCTGGAATTATGTGACCAATGTGAGCGCTTGACAGGTGTGGTTACTGGTGAAGCCTTATCCAGTTGGACCTGGAAAGGGTTCGACTGCGACGTAGCGGAGATCCCCGGGTTTGCTTGTCTTGACTCTTGACTCCGTAGATCTTTATGGTTATGTGGTCTCCACGTGGAAAGTTCCATCTGGATGATTCGAACTCCTCACTATTCACTTACCCCAAGCTTCACCGTAGATTGCCTGATTACCAGCCACGTCCACGTATACACAAGCACGAGGGATCTCCGCGAAAGCCGGCTGAAGTTGTGCATTGGCCAAGCTATCTGGAGGGTCACGACATGCTGCTGACCAAGTATTTGAATAAGAAACTATGATTCGGGCCCGATGAACTTTGGAGAATCGAATTTTCTGTTGTCCTGAATCGCTATGGGATTTCGGAGAAGATGGAGTTTCCTGCCGCCCAACGACATTCTTGTGTGTCGCCTTGCTTTCATTTCCCTGGTATCCGGAAGGAAGCATATATGATACGTGTCGGTGATTATAGGCCTCTGCAATCGATGAGTAGCAACGAGTGGAGCTGCTACGCGCCCCATGCGCCATGGCTTATTATCTGATCGACTAGCATCGTTTGCATTATCCTTCCTACTATGCAGACATGTGGGAGGGTTTAGACAACACCAATCAACTACTGGTGTAAAAGGCCGATTCTCGTTATGCACACTTGGTTCGAGTACCTTGTAGCGAGTGCTACCATGCGTGTGGCCTATTGCATCCGAAATTACCCTTTCCTTTCCTTCACCTGGACCGAATTTATCTTATCGGGGAGAAGTGACCGAACATGTTCGAGTTGTCTGCATCGTCAGGAATGCCTCTGATTGGCAAGTGAAGGTCTTACAGACAAGAATGCACCGGTTGGAATGTTGCACAAAAATTCACAGCGTAGCTCCCGACTCCCTAATAATCCTGCAGTTTGTAGATCCCGCGGCTGTTCCGTTGCAACATACAGACAGAGTTCATTCACCGTCATTATTAGACGTGAAAAATCATTTGACGACCAAGAGAGAATGGGAATAATCAATCAGGATCTTCTAGCTGTCTGACAAGAGACAAAGTTGAAAGGCACAGAAAATCTCATTTTCCAAATGTCAGAGTGATCCCAAGTTGAATAGTAGCTTATGCATTGCCGAGTAAGAAGTATTGAAGACTAGATTCTTTATTCTATCTTCAGCTTCAATTATCCTACTCATTGTGAGACCTGGGGACATGACGGCAGGCATTGTTACAAGTCTATGACAACTCGAAAATACCCCAGGACTCTCGTCCGAATTCAGGACATCTGAAGAAATGTTCACGCAACATATTTCACCGTAACACTGTTGCCGTCGATAGAACTTGACGTCAGAATTTTATTGTCTTGCTTAATATCGATGAGTGTTGCGCCTGAGGGCCCAACAATTGATTTCCTGGAGATTGCGTCGGAATTGTAGAAAGTGACAGATCCAAAATTTGCCAATGGAACCAGGGAGTTATTAGACTCAAAGTCCTCCACAATCCACTCCGCGTTATATTCGCAAAGATCACCCTGGATACCACTGTTAAATGCATGAGTCACGGATCTACCGGTCGAAATGTTATCAACCGTGGCAGTGCCGGACGTCTTTGAGGTAGCATCCACAGTCACTCTAATAAGATCACCAGCCGAAATACTGATATCATTGAAGTCATATGCATAATCCGGATACCACTCGTACCACGCAGAATAGGATGCCGAGCTGCCCTGAATGCAGAAATCAATCCCAGTCTGCAGAATCGCGGTACCACAGGTGTCTCCATCAATACCAACCCATGCAGAAGCGCAGTATTGTTTATTTCCAACTCCCCCGCTAGGAACCCGCGGGGTTGGAACGGTAAACTCTGCTGTCACAACAGTGTAGTCGGTGCCGATAAGAACGGCACCGGCCCAGTTCGAGCTATACTCATTTTTTGATGTTTTGTTGAGACGAAGGATGTCGTTGGTTCCGGGTTTGTAAGGCGGATTACTTGGGCGGCTTTTAAAACGGGCAAGGCGACGAGATTCATGCTGAGCCTGGCGCTCTGCCGTGAGAGGTGCCGCATTGGCAATAATTGCCAATACCACAATACCAATAATACTAACGAAAGTTCTCATGGTCAGAGGCGGACCTGGCTGGGGCTTCAAATGGCCTAACGGAAGCAGGAAATGACTGGATGGCAGAGAACTATTTCGTTAGGATTAATTAGAACTTGAATGAAATGGATTAAGCATCAAGACCTTGAGAACAGGTGTCAGACTCACCTTTATAAAGTTGTAAATTGTCTCTACTACAACTCATTCTAGTTAAAGCGATGCATGAAGCAGACTGAGGAAATAGAGGGTAAAGCCCGTGTTATCTAGTCAGATTGGTTTATCTTTGTGGCATAGTGATTCAAGAATCAATTTCTATCCTAGTGCAACATAATTACCAAGCACTATAAAGAGCCAATCCACTTAGCACCTGGCAAATGACCGGTGAATAAAAGATAGTATAGTTCAAATATCAAACACACAATTTGCCTGCTGCCTGCATATGTTGTAAGAAGAAGTCACACCTCTTCTTTCAAAACTTTGACCTTACAAGTCACCCTCGACTAGTATTAGCAGCATTACACTTAGTTCCAGAAAGCAGGACCGTAGGTTCGCGTCCATAAATCCTAGATTATTCAATCGGATGTTCGGGGACGAAGGATTCCATCGGCAGCGTCAATTTCTGGAATTAAAAATGTCCAGTGCGAACTTTGCCAATTGTAATTATTAAATCTCCCGGCCAGAAACAAGCCGCATTTTTAATTTTTGATCTCGCTAGAAGGATTCTCGGAAGGAAGCTCGAAGGGAGGCCCCGCTTTACCAGTATGGGGCGAGTATTCATGAACCTGAGTTCGGGCCATAAGTTTAAAATCTGGAACACAATGGTTTCCCTCGGCGGAACCGATCATTTTCCAAGATAACATCTAGAAGGTAACTTAAGCAGTTCGATGCTATTTTAAAGAAGACTGTGCAGCACGCAACAAAAGAATCTTTCAAAACGGCGCAACTTCCTTTGAGGCAAGATCCAAGCCAGGGAAAGGAGACAGATATACTCAACTCATCCCATATTGACATCTGGCAGGAAAGTGGGTTGGAAAGAGGAGTTGTAATTATTAGAAAAAATAGATACAACTCAAATTCTTGAATGCAGATATTTTAATATAGCTGTGTCGGAAAATGGACAGCCGTCAAAGTCGAATCGATGCATGAGCCGAAGCCTGACGAAGGGTCGGCGGTATAATAGTAGTGAAAGCACAGAATTTTCAAAATTGTCGTTGTATATCCTAATATCAGGTCATCACCGCTCCCACAGCAGGCTGTTAAATTGCATAAAGGACTGACCAAATCGACTACCCTACGGGCAATTAAATCTCCAACCTGGCCCTCTACCTTTGCTAGGACGCCTCCTACGGCACTTCAGGCATTGAAATTGATGCCAATACCCCTGAACTGCACTTCCGCGAAGTACTCCTATGGGCACATCCAGCACGATGAATATAGAAGCAATCTCTGTCCTCGCGGCAGCGTGGTGTAGGGATAAGCATTGGCGACTAGAATAGGACATTCTAGTAGTAGGTTCGAATCTTGCCGCTGTCGCGACTATCACCCACCCGTGGACATCCATTCAAGAGATTGTTCGCCTCTTCGCTATTCGAAATCTATACTGGGGATGGATACGCCTGAAAAGAGGAGTATCATTACGCTGTACTAACAACTTACTAGCACTATATGTAAAGACCCTTTCTTTTCAAGGTTGTGTCATCAGATTATTTTATCAGCAAAATTTTGAAACTCTAATGTTTCAATATACATTTGGGCTTAAAATGGACTAGTATTTGCAGTTCCCCACCGGTCGGATCTGATACAACCCCGGCCGAGTGCGGAAATCTCTCGGAGAAATGCCTCCTGGTTGTTCCTCGGAATTTCCAGGTACCCAAGATCGGCGACAACTCCGGGTGTCATTATTCGTTACTCGGGGTCTGAACAAGAAGAAAAGCCCCGGGAAATTTACTAGATCCAATTCAGTTCTTGCCCGCGCGCGATTTAACTCGGCCGGGTGCCACCCCTTTCCGACATTACATTCATAAGCTCAGGTTCCATCGCATGAGAAAATATAACTACTTCAAATGCCCTTGAAGATTCGATTTCCCTTCGCCTATCGAGAGTTAAAATCCGGATTTTACTTACAAAGTCGCCGTGCAACAACACTTTGCTCCTTTTCAACCCCGCGAAACAAAATGTTGACTGACGACAACACAAACTTTGAGGCTATGCCTGTTCGTGCGAACCTCATCCCTAGCCTTCAGAAGCCGGTCCAGCAAGTTCTCTGGATAGGATGCTCAGATAGTTGCTTCGAAGAAACGAAGATTCTTGATCTCCTGCCCGACGAGATGCTCGTACATCGCAACTTGGGTAACATGTTAATTGAAGGCGATATGTCTTCCGAAGTCACCATCAAGCACGCAGTCTCAACACTGAAGGTAGTTAAAGAATTTGTATATGGATTTGCCCGATTCTAATCGACTATCACATAGGTCAAGCACATAGTGGTGTGCGGTCACTACGGATGCGGTATTGTTCGATCGGAGGCACGGCAGGGCTTGAATGGCCCTTGGTTAAGGTATTTAGCCCAATCTAATGCTACATTGAAATTAACTAACATTTCGACAGTCAACTAAATGCCTTACATTCAACCTTCTACGACACTGTCAATCATCTTTCAGTTTATCACCGGGACCGCGCTTTCGTTGAAATGAATATTTTCGCCCAGTTACACTCTCTGCGAAAGTTTCCTGAAGTACACAACGCAACGAAAACAAGAGGGCTCCAATTGCATGGAATCGTTTATGACACCAACACAGGAGAGCCTTCAGGCTAACAGATGGGGATCATCTTTAAAGCCTTGAAGGACGTATAAATAAATGTTTGCTATAGCGTGAATTTGAAAACCATCGCCCTTTCACAACCAAATCTCAGATGGACGCTCGTTCATTCCGTTTTGCTACCTGGTGAGAGACAGTATATTTTCTTGACGTCTTGGAGCATCGACTCGAAATCGACTTCCAGGTCTCTCAGTAGACCATCGCGAAGGTCAAATACCAGTCCATGGACAATAGGATACTGGTTGTTCTCGTAACTTTGCTGTACAGCGGCAGTTTTGATAATATTTCTGCATGACTCAATGACGTTGAGTTCAATTAGCCTGTTGTACCTCTTGTCATCCTCCTTGATCGTGTCAAGCTCCTGTTCATGTAGTCGATAGACGTCGCGGATATTTCGAAGCCATGGATTCAGGAGTCCCAAATCAGCTGAAGTCAATGCTGCTTTCACCCCTCCGCAATTATAGTGGCCGCAAACAATGATGTGCTTGACGTGGAGGTGTCTAACCGCATAGTTAATGACAGACATCACATTTAAATCGACATTCGGGACCAAATTTGCGATGTTCCGGTGGACAAAAACCTCCCCGGCCTCCAAGCCCATGATTTCATTGGCAGGCACCCGGCTATCGCTACAACCAATGTATCTATCTGTAGTCAGCATACTGTTCGTTCGCGATGCGATGCGACTTAACCAACTGACAGATAGTCCGGCGACTGCCCCGCGGAGAGCTTGTCAAAAAAGGCAGGATCGGCGTTCGTTTTCGTGGCAACCCATTCTTTGTTTTTCTTGAATATGGCGTCAAGCGATGGCCGAATTAAGCGATTCATGTCGGGTGCAGCTGTTTGCTGAGTTTCACTCATTGAAAGAGATTTCTTTTCCCTTTGTCTCCTGCAGTTGTGTGAATACCCCGCAGGTGTAATTTCTCAGTTGACGAGGGAAATCGACCACGCAGCCCAGGCCCACTTGGATGTCTTATGTTGCTGTGGGTCTTTCGGCCACCGTCGGATCCGAGAGAATCCCCGTCGGTCAAAAGCCCCCCTTTTCTACCTAACGCCCATCTAGTGATATGTAGCATTATTATTTTGTGTTTTGAATCGTTTCCCCCTATTTGATTTGATCGGATTTATTAAGGTTTCGCAGTCTTGCCCCGCGGCGATTTCAACACGACTCAAATTACATATCCCAAGCTATGATGTCATATACCCAGGTACCCTATGACGAACTTGAATTCTAATAAATATTACCTTCGACAGCCTTGAAAATTAAGTTCCAGTTGTCCAGTATCCGGGGAAAGCTACGAAACACTTAATGAGTCTTGACATGATATTTGGTATGCTGGAAAGTACTTCAAGACGTTGAACTTGAAGTCTTCAAATAAACCTTGGTCGTATTGCTCGCAGGGGTAGTTAGCACTGCCGACAGTAGTAAATCCATTATATCTACTCAGCTGGAGGACGACTCGCCCTTTCGTACTACTAGTAGTATGACATGAGTGTGATCACCGTTATCAATTAATTATTCTCGATTCCATCATGGATCCATACGCTGATCAATGTTCCATCATTACCTGGGAGGTAATATAGAACCCTTTTTGGAGAACAGACATAACATCGAGCCTATTAGATATCTTCGTTCTATTCTCAGCACGAACACCCATGCTATTGTTCTAAAATCCAAACTTCTCGATTCCATTATAATCCATAGTAAGAAGTCCGTTGTTTTCGCTTATCTGGCCCGTTTCGATATCGCTTTTGGCCTGATCTTCAACAGAAATGTACTCCGCCGAATTTGCCGACACATCCTCGTGATGATGAGTAGGATCATCGTCGCTTTGTCCCATCTCATTATTCTGAACGAGATGAGTTGAGGCTCCAAATCGGGTTTCTGTGTAAGACTCCGTGCCAACTAAATAAATTATTAGAGAAATCTGCAGGACCTCGGGAACAGAGAGATCATCAAACGATCACCAAGGTAACTCACATATTGTCCAGTAAACATATTTGCATACCACCGATTTTCATGTGGTGGAAAGCAGAACCTTCCTGGTATAGGGGCCAAAAAACATAATTGCGCTGACCTCATACAGACTCAAGCAAAATGGGCTTATGACCGCAACAATGCGGTAACTGCAATGATGGTATTTTGGATTTGATCAAGGGTGCAGTGTCGTAATGGGGGCGGGTGTTCGCCTCATGTCACGGGAAATGTTCCACGCAGGCTGGTCATGTCGCTCACTTTGGGCTCTCAGAAAACCGAATAGAGTGCACACTCAGCGGTAATCATAGTGACAGTCGACAGGAAGAAAACCCAACCCGGACACATATTTGATCTTTGGAAGGCCCAGAGACCTAGGACCACCGGTTAAATACCGGCAGCGGCGCATAGCCCTGCAATCATATGATCTACCCATATAATGATCATATTGGTAGCCGAAAAAATGCCGTTATGATTTTTAGACAGCAGCACGACGCTCTGGCATGCAATAATGAAAAAGCAATGAGTCTCTTGGAATTCGACGAGAATAGATTTAATAACAAATTTTTGTTTGTCGAACAAGTCCGCAATCTTCGCGCTATGCCCGGCGGTGGTATCGCTGAACTGTGTCTTGTTTGCCTTCCTACCAATCCATGAGACTTGACGGAAGACTTTGGGTAAAGTTCTGAAAAATCGCAAAAATAACCAGATCAAGAGAAAGATGCCTATCTGAATAAAGTACGATGCGTATACCTATCACAGGCGTCATTAGTCACATACATTTCGAAAATATTGAGCTGCCACTCACCCCGGGACCCCCAATGTCGGTATTTGCCTGTTTGTTGATATGATCGCAAGAGCCGCTGTTGGCAGCGAAGTATGGATATGGATCCAAGCCAGCGTCAAATTCAAATGAAGTTATGATTGCTTGGTCAGGGCATCCCAGCAAATCCGGATCAGATTTCTCGCAGTAGTCGAAAAGACATTGGTAAACCGTATCGGTTAGGTTTCCAGTGAGCGATTCGCCGGCTTCGGCGCATGTATAGAGATTATCCATGGAGCTGAAACATATTTTTTGGGTCCTAGCAAAGGGGATCCAGAATTCTGAGGGCCGTTCTTTGATGGGGACCTCTTCCAAGTTTGGTACAAGTTTGGTTCGTGAGCCACTGGCTGTCCCAGATATAGTCGGTACACTAAATGGAATTTTAAGAAGACAAGCAGGAGAGGCATAACTAAAATAAAAAATAAATAAAAATAAAAAACCCAGCGGTCACCAACAAATGGGTACCGGTACATGACCAAAGAAATCTACCTTGTAGGGCTCTAAGGTCCCTTGGGAGCTGAGCTAGTCTCCATAATACCTTCAGCTTCAAACTAAACATTGTCCAAATGGCTAAAAGGACCCACGTGGAAAGCTTTCGATTGGTGCATGAATTGCTTTAACCTCAGAAACAAAATGAACTAAATGCAGTAGCAGATAAATCTAGCATACATACTAGCAATATTCCACCCACGCGCTGAGGTCCATGTTTTTGATGACAGTTGAGAATTTTTCGGCACCCTCCGCATGACAAGCGTCCGACTTCTTCGCGTCCGTGACACGAACTTTTAGTTTTCTTTTGTAACCAACATCCTCGCCGGAATACTCAATATGAAAAACGGGCTTATTCACATCTGTGAACGCAGCATATGTGTCGCACTCATTGTATTGGGCACATTGCTCGTTGACCGACCATTGCATTTTGTCGATGACATCGCCAATAATGTCACCTCCGTTCTTCAATCCGATTGACATGCCGCGTGAATGCGCCTCAATCGCAAGGTACTTCAATAAATCAATCGAGTCATGCGTTGTTAGGCCCAGCCCATTTTCATTGTCGTATGCATCGATATTATCCGGATCGACACCATCACAGCCTTTCTTCTGTGCCATGTCAAGACGGGCCGATAGGATCCGACGTACGTTGCTTGAATTGATGTCAATCCATCGTTCTCCAGGCCAATCATCAAGATTGCTACCAAAGTCGGAGGAAGAGAATTGGGCTGCATCGGAGCGCCATTCTTCATATGTTCCTGCCGAAAAATAACAAATCACCTGAGCGCCATGTTTGTGAATCGCAGATATAGTGTCCGCCGAGTTGTCGAATAGATCGATATCATAAACATCGGCGTTTATGGAAGTATTCTCGACAGCTTCCTCTAACTGGATTTGCCATTTGACACCTGGTCTAGGCTGCCATATACTCAATCCATCAGACTGATTGCCATTGCTCCCTCCTCGCTTCAATGCATGCCGATGGACCCCTCCTGGTGCTCTTTGGTGAATATGGCAGTTGGCGAGTATAGGGAGCCAGATAAAGCAGACCGTAAAGAGCACGAAGTTCTGCCTAGCGAAGAGCCGGCCGCCCGACTTGGTCGCTGTATAGTATGCCATTTTTTGGCAAGCGGAATTGGTGTTGCAAGGAGCGAATTGTACTATGTATAAAACGTTTCAATCTCAGAAAATGTATATCCTCAGCGTGGTTAGGATCGAACTGTCGTATAAAGGAGTGATGAACTAGTACTACCAAGTGCTAGTGGTAAAGGAGTGACTGTGATCTAGAATTGATCGTGATGATAACTCTTGAAGTCAGAGCTGGCTTCGACATTTATATAAACGGCTGTACCTGAGGTACCTATGGGGAGAAATGCCTAAATTGGATCCTGCGCACACCGACCGATCCTGAATCCTTGAATGTTTCATGGCTGAAGCCCAATGGACGTATCTAATTTGACAAGATATTTGTAGTAGGGCGAGGCTTGCAGGTAAGAGCAAATGATGGCGTGTTTGGTTTGTGCCGAGACAAATGGGAAATTGAAATCAACGTGTGGCGATAAATCAGGGTCCAGGGATCGGACATGAAACGGCCGCCAAGAGCGCTTAGAAGCAGGATCGACCCATCTTATTTGCCGCGACTTATCCCTGCTGCAAGCCAGCGATTTCCGGTCCAATTAAACGATGGGTTAATTTTCCGGTAGGCAGCTTAAAGGAAGTGGGTATATACATTCTCGTCATGTCAGGCTGTCACTTCTTTTGAAGACCCGCCCCGAGTTCATTTTACGCCATCGGGGGTTATGGGGCCAAGGGCGCATTCGCTCTACTTGTCACAATTTCCCTTTAGCATTCTTCAGATCCCATTGTCTCTATTGGGCGCTCCATGGGAATTCTGGCAGTATGTACGCCCTTTTACGATTATGTAGCCTAGGAACTGTCGAGTGTGATTCCATTCGATGGGTAACCAGGTTGTCACAAGGCATACTCTTGGCTTATGAGATTGGCTTGGTCCGCGTGTCAGGATCGGACCTGTACCCTTAATACCCGGAAAGTGATTGTGGCGCATTGCCACTGGCGCCAATACGGAAATTTCTCAGGTGCTAATTAGGCAAGCATACTAGTACGAGTATATAGCTATTCCAAGGTTAAAGAGGGAAAGGGCAACATGTACGGAGTAAGGGCAGGAGATCTGGAAACATGAAACATGGCATCAGCATGAATACTCATAAGCGGCACTAACCTAGGACTAGTCTGAGCCCTGTAGCTAGCAGTCAATATCAATAGCATACTTGCGAACCAAGAAAGCCTTAGGAACTAAAGTCGGCCATGTGGCACATAAGCTAAGCTTAAGCTTATCGACGGGGCCGATGCCGGCGATAGCCTTATCTATGCGGGGTATCACTGCCGCGTATACTATTGACAATACGGTATTGTATTCACACCAATCAGAAGCTGCGACTTGCTAGAATTGGGGTAAATTACAGTAAATCTGAAGTATGCAGAGTTGAATCTACCGAATCAGCCCCTCCTTGCGCCCTACGCCCTACATATTACACCCTACAACAGCAAATTAGATAACAGAAAATACACCATCCAATGACTTGACGTGATTCTTTTTCAAGCTTTCTCCATTGTAACCTTCATTGGCATATTTGTTGCTTTTTGGGGTGGTTCGTGTCTTTTCTTGGATGAGTCATGTCGGAAGTGCGACCTGCCGAGTGGAGAGTTTTTGACTCTCTTCACCTCCACTGCACTTTGTCTTCTTCTTATTCCTCTTACTTTGTATCGCCACGGCGCAAACACCCTCCCCTTCCCCCCTCCCCGCCGATTACTCCGATTCACCTTCGAAATCAATACTACATTGAATATTCAACTTCTACACCTTCTTCTCACACCTCGGATACTTCCTTTGGACTCCCATCGCCTTCGCCATGAGTCCCCCCGCACCTTTGGATATTGATATGAGGGGAGACACCGACACCTCATCCCTGCCAGTGCCAAACCCCTTGACCGTCAATGGAGTCCCCGCATGGCGCGAGAAAATGGCCCAGATGCCCACCGGAGTCGCGGCGGCCTGCAGCAGTGACATGTTCAAAAGCCCGGTACGACCAACCTAAACAAATACAAAGACACTTCGCACGATGAGAACTAGAGTCACAAGGAAAGGAACAATCTAAGGATCTAGACTGACCAATTGTGTTTTTGAATCACAACAGGCTTGCTACACCAAGCCCAAGGCTAAGCGTTTTGAGCGTGAGTGATCAATTGCGTTCAGGTCGCTCTATAGAAGGTTGGAAATACTGACCCAAATTTCAGACCGGTTCTCCATCGAAGCCAAATCTCGCAAGGTTCGTGCTTATTCCCGCGTTATCTTGCGATTGAAAAGAACTCATGTCCTAATGTTGTATCTACCAGGCCTCTACATTGAAGAACGCCGCACGTTTCCTGAAAAACCCCGGTATGCACAACAAGAAGATCGTTCTGTTTCTTATTGGATATGGTATTGATTAGCTTTCTCATTAGGCATAATTTCCCTCGGAGGTGGTCTACCCTCCCCCGAATACTTCCCTTTCGAGCACCTCGATATCAAAGTTCCCACCCCACCGGGATTCTCCTCGGAGGCAACTAGTCAGTCAGGGACTGTGTTGCGTGCGGGAAAGCATGATATCAGAGAGGGTTCTAGTCTCTACGGTGTGTATCCCTCCGCTCGAGTACTCTTCTACAGGGGATACTGACCAATTGAGTGTAGATCTGGAGATTGCATTGAACTATGGCCAAGCAACGGGTGCTGCCCAACTCCTCCGATTCGTCACCGAACATACCGAGGTGCGTATGATGTGATATCTCGATGCATTACTTTCCCAGGACTGACCCGGATAGCTTATCCACAGCCCACCTTATGCCGATTGGCAATGCACTTTGACCGCGGGAAGCACATATGCTTGGGATACATGCCTGCGCCTACTGACCGAGCGTGGTGACTTCATTCTCATGGAAGAATACACATTCGCCAGTGCTGCCGAGACCGCCTTCCCTCTGGGACTCAAGGCGTTGGCCGTTCCCATTGATGAACAAGGACTGATCCCCGATGCCATGGATGATCTGCTCACGAACTGGGATGAGCAAGCCCGTGGTGCTCGCAAGCCCTTTGTGCTCTACACAATCCCGACTGGTCAGAACCCGACCGGAGCCACCCAATCAGCCGAGCGCCGTCGGGCCGTGTACAAGGTTGCGCAGAAGCACGACATCATCATTGTCGAGGATGAGCCTTACTACTTCCTGCAGATGCAGCCATACGTTGGCAAGGATGCCCCGTCTCCGCCACCACCCGCCAGCCACGATGAATTCATCAAGTCCCTGGTCCCATCGTTCCTCAGTTTGGACGTTGATGGCCGCGTTGTCCGTCTGGAGTCATTCTCCAAGGTCGTGGCTCCCGGTACCCGTGTTGGATGGATTGTTGCTTCCGAGCAAGTAGTGGAACGCTTCGTCCGTAACTTCGAGACTTCCTCGCAAAATCCCAGTGGAGTTTCTCAGATGGTGCTCTACAAATTGCTGGACGAGCACTGGGGCCATTCTGGTTACCTGGATTGGCTGATCAATCTGCGCATGGAGTACACTCATCGCCGCGATGCGCTTCTTCATTCTTGCGAGAAATACTTGCCACGGGAGATAGCTCACTGGGCACCTCCTTCCGCAGGAATGTTCGTAAGTATTGACTGCAATAGATGCCCTCCCCCCCCTTCAACATAGCTGACACTTCCCCTAGCACTGGATTGAAATTGATTGGCACAAGCACCCCGGAATCGCTTCTGGAAAGACACGCGATGCCATCGAAGAGGAGATTTTCCTGTCTGCCGTGGACCACCAGGTTCTGCTGTCCCGAGGCAGTTGGTTCAAGGCTGACAGCTCTGTTGTTGAGGAAAAGATGTTTTTCCGCGCTACATACGCCGCGGCTTCATCGGAAAAGATTGATGAGGCGATCTCACGCTTTGCTGAGTGCCTGCGGGATCAGTTCAAGCTGTAAATTTGTCATCCCGGGAGATGATTCAGCTCGACTGTGCGGTTGGGTCGGATTGCTGTGGCTTGGGGTGAATGCTTTGAAACCTTATTGACTGCTGTTAGATGCATACTATTCCTGGAGATACTTAATTTGGGTTACAACCTTTCACCCATATCTCTTCACTAAACGCATAATTTATGGTTTCAGATCCAGCGATAGAACAAGAATACTAGAGATAACATTGAACCTATCTTACAATTGCACAAATATTACTACTCCTCTTAGCCGTTTAGAAGATGTTACTTTAGGTTACAGTCCAATATACCATCTACCATCTACCATCTATTGTCTATTATCTATCTACCAATATCAACCGATATCTACTACTCTCAACCTTGTTGTTCTGCAATACTCCGCGGGGCATTTCCAGACCGCCCTCGTCACCGCCCTCACCCCGCGAAGCTCTCCGCAATTCAATTCGAAAGTTCATCAACTTTCTCCTCCACACCCAATCGTCAAGATGGAATTCGATCCCAAGACGCGTGAGTATGGTATTCTTCATATTTCGTCGATGGGGGAGCTGACCCCTCCTTAGCCCAGTTCCTCACGTCAGACCCGTCGAGCTTCGCCTCGGTCTCTGCCAGCGACCGATGGCCAGTCATTCTCGTGCGTACCCTGGATCCAATACAGCAATATACATGACTCAATCACTAATGTGGTTACTAGACGGGCGCAATTGATGACCTCCATCGGACTGTTGGAACTGTCACTGATGATGAAAAGGCTAAGGATGGCAAGAGCATCATCGAGCAACTAGCCAAGATGAAATATGAGTTGCAGCATAATCGGCCATTGACGTAAGTGTTCTGCGGCCATCTCCTTTTCCATCAAAAGCGCTTTGCTCACCAAATATGTGATCAGGCCCCTAGAAGACGATGGCGAGGCCGACATTGCGAGTTACAACAAGGAACTGGCCGAGCGAGGCAACCCCAAATGGCATGACGTGGCGTGGCTCTATGCCGAATGCTACCTCTGTACGACGATGCCGTCTGATAACTGGATAAACAAGTACCGAGGCTGACGTCTCGCCCGCAGATCGCCGTATGGAAACATTCTTTGCCCTCTCCAAGCACTGGAGGGGATACGACGTCTTCGCTCGCCAGAAGATGTCCACCTTCAAATCTTCACGTCCTGCCGTCTTGGAACTGGCTACTCGGTACCGTGAGCTTGCACAAGACGCGGCGTCTGGTGTCTCATCAGAGGGTAAATCTCCCGAAGAGGTGGAGCAGGCCGAGCGGCTGCTCTTCTCCGAGATGTGCGAGATCTGCCTGTGGGGTAATGCCACCGACCTTTCGCTGCTCACATCTCTCACCTACGAAGATATCCAGAAATTGCAGGGGTCGGAGGCACGGAAAACCTCACAGAAAAATATCATTGTCAATGACCTTGACGCGGCATTCGAAACCATGCAAAAGGCCCGTCGCGAGAAGAAGGATGGCGAACGACGGGTGGACATTGTACTCGATAACTCTGGATTCGAGCTATTCGTCGACTTGATTCTGGCCGGATACATGCTGTCCACTGGCTTGGCAACCACAATTGTCCTGCACCCGAAGCGACTCCCTTGGTTTGTTTCTGACGTTACACCCAAAGACTTTTCTGATCTACTGAATTCGATGGCGGACCCGCAAGCCTTCTACACTGCCGCTGATGATACCGGGAAAACCTATCCACCCCTTGCGGATAAGGAGGCTGCTGATGTCCAATTCCTTTTTGAACAATGGAGCCAATTTCACCAAGATGGCCGGCTGATTATCCGCCCACACTCATTCTGGACCACCCAGGGCTGCTACTGGCGCATGCCTCACGTGGCTCCCGAGCTTTTCGAGGACCTGAAGGAAAGCGAGCTTGTGCTTTTCAAGGGTGATCTGAACTACCGCAAACTGACCAACGATGTAAGCACACCACCCTGGTCTTTTTTTCCTTTCTCGATACTAACCTTAGTCTAGGCTCAATGGGATCCCACCACCCCATTCACCACTGCCATTGGACCGATGGGTCCCCAGTCAGGGATCCGTGTCCTGGCATTCCGGACCTGCAAAGCCGACGTCGTGGTCGGTTTGCCTGCCGGCGAGGACGAGAAGCTTCGTCAACAGCCTAATGGCGGTGGTGCTGATGCGCGGAAATGGGCCTGGAGCGGGAAATGGGCCGTGGTGTCATTTTCCGACGGCAAGCAATAGAGTGTTCGCGATATAACTGGCCTCTTGTCAGCATGTGTGGGAAGCTCAAGATTATGTTTTAGTGTGCATTCGAGAAAAGAATTAGAGCTCGGTAATAGAGTACACTCGTATATACAATTAATCCAGCCATTCCCATCATTCATTCAAGTTCTTCTGAGTCGACAAGCCTAAGGATTATCCTCAGGGCTCCCAGCTGAACTCTGGATGAAGCCGGCCCAAGCTAAATCAGCAAGGTAGATAGAGGGCATCACCCTGGTAAAATGTTATAATCGGTATAGTGGGGTCAAATGCGGGGATATCTTTTCCATCGGCCTAGATCTGTGCTGTCGAGCCTTACATTTCAATCAATCTTGAGTATACTACCTACTATTAGATAACTCGGGATCAATGAGCCTTTGACTACGCGTTCTACTATAGACCTAACCTTTGGGTTCATAATACCTGGTATTCTACTTTATTCAATCTTCATAGGTTTCATGCTTTCTCCTTTTGTTTATATATTTCAAGTCACTACTAGTACTAGTAAAAGGACCGAGCCCAGGCAACAAGGACATGGCTTCGGGGAAACCCTAAGCCGGAAATTTCTGCTGTAAAAAAAGGGAACTTGTGAAGCACAAATGGTTTATGAAATACTAGTAGGATACTCCTAATCAACTAAATATAATAGCATCTACCAACTAGTGCCTAGGTCAGTATTTCTCCAAAATGCAGATTATCTGACGTCCGACCGGGGAGGAGAGGGTCAACTCCGACGAACTCGCCAAGACACACAGAGTATCTACGAGACCAACGAGGATTCTGCAGGGTATAGCTAGCAGATAAAAAATGGCTAATATCAATTAGAAGAGCAACGACAGCGTCGATTATCATCCGCCCTTTCAGTTTCTTTCACTTTGGTTTTTATTGTTGTCGACTTCTCCAAATTGGAGATTGGAGGTCTGATCCCCATTTTCCGTTTTCAAAACCGGCCGAGATGCCGAGTTTGCCATGGTGGATTATTAATGATGTACTAGTGGTATTTTGTATTCTCGCCCATATGTCCGAACATACTACTCCGTGCAGCATGTTCATCCAATACTACGAGCGGGGTTGGTTCTAGTGTGCATCATCTTAAATGGCTACCAGTGTGCAGCCCTAACTTGAACCACCCCCTTGCAACTGGCTCATTCATATTCATACCTGAGAGATCTCCAAAATTGTGCGCCATTACTCCCGAGTCCCGACCCATTTCCCGGTGGAGATGCTTTCTCCAATTCTGGGTTTTCTTCCAACGAGAGAGATTGTACATAAACCCAAGAGTCCTAGTCTCACGCCCTTCGATACGGTGTACACTTTCACCTTCAACTTGAAATAATCCTTACATCCCGGCAGCCAACTTGACACCCGTGGATGATAACAGACATTTCCTCGCCCCCAAAGTCGATTTGATCACCATGGAGAAACGCGACCTCAGTCCTTCCATCGCCGACTCCCAGGAGATCGAATCGCTGTACCTGGAACTAGAGACGCCGCTCCCCACACCATGTATCTCTCTGCCGCCAGGACCAGGCCAATCTCCCCCGCCTGAACCACCAAATTTGGAAAAATATACATCGCCGTTTTTGTGGCCGCGATGGCGCAAGTCGCTTATGACGTATATTTCTTGCGCCGTGACGGCCCTGGCTGGTTATTCGGCTGGTGAGGTTAGCCCAGCATCAGATGAACTGTGCAAAGAATGGGGCATCAGTCCTGTTGTGTACAACCTCAGCATCACCATCTTTTGTGTTGGGTTTGCCTTGGCCCCTATGATTCTCGCACCCTTTTCGGAATTTAATGGTCGACGGCCCATCTTCATTGCCAGTGGAGTCTTGTTCGTTGGTAAGTTGTTTCGATTTTCCCCCTTCTCCAGATGTATGTATGATCTTTCAATGGATGCTAATCGCTAGTCTCTCTTAGCGTCCTTGCTGGCTTGTGGAGGAACTCACATTTTTGCCGGTTTGCTTATCGCCCGTTTCTTCCAGGGCGTCGGTGGTTGTACGTACTACTGTTTCTTCCTCCTTCTAATTTTAAATGCGAGATCCAGTGCTAAAGCATCCCCCAGCGACATTCTCCACTATGGTCGGCGGTGTCATCAGCGATATCTACCACGCTGAGGACCGAAACACCCCGATGGCCCTGTTTTCGGGCTCAGCGCTATTCGGAACTGGCCTTGCGCCCCTGCTAGCAGGCGCCGTGGTCACGCATACCTCCTGGCGCTGGATTTACTACTCACATGCTATCATTTCGGCAGTCTTCGTCGTTATCATCTTTTTCTTCTTCAAAGAGACCCGCGGGAGTGTTCTGTTGAGCCGGAAGGCGAAGACCCTCAATGCCTACTATGAACAGTTGGAAAAGGCAGGCCATCACGGTGTCTTTATGTCTAGTGACGACTCATCAGAGAAATTAGTGAAGCGGATTCGATGGAAAGTCAAGAGTGACGAGCAGCGTGATTCCTTGGCTACTATGATTCAGATCTCCGTCTACCGGCCGTTTCGTGAGTTCTTTCGTTTCCCCAAATCCAGCACCACGCTGTCGATGCTGATACTTTAGCAGACATGCTTGTCACAGAGCCTGTTGTCTTTTTCTTCTCTGTCTGGGTCTCTTTCAGCTGGGCCACACTGTACCTTCAATTCAGCTCCATCCCTCTGGTCTTCCGCACGAACCATGGATTTAACGTTGAGCAGACGGGAGCTGTGTTCACTGGTAAGTAATAACAATCTTCAAGTTTGCTTGGCTAAACGGAATTTGGCACTGATATATATGCCCAGCTATGTGTGTCGGTGTTGTTCTGATCACGATAATAAGTATATGGCAAGAAAAAATCGCGGCGCGATACGGAAAGCTCTCTTCCTCTGCCGAAGGCCGACTGTATTTCGTCTGCGTGGAATCCATCTTGCTACCCATCGGCTTGTTCTGGTTCGGATGGTCATCGTTTCCCTCTGTGCACTGGATCGTGCCCTCGATAGCTGTGGGCTGTGCGACTATGGGTATTTTTTCCATTTATTTGGCTACCTTCAACTACCTGGCGGATGTCTACCACCGATATGCCAGTTCCGCAATTGCGGCGCAGTCATGCTGTGAGTCTTCCTTTACGGCTCCTTTTTAATACACCTTTGACATGCTAACCTGGTTCATACGTTGCAGGCCGAAATCTTCTTGGTGGGGTTTTCCCATTGGTGACAACTGCCATGTTTACAAACCTGGGATTTCCTGAGGCCTCGAGTCTTCTCGGTGCAATCGTATGTTTTTTCCTGCTGCAATTTCCTGCTGCAATTCCCCACTTCGACTGCTAATTCCATCCCACAGGGCGCTGTACTTACGCTTGTACCTTGGGTCCTGGCCTTTTACGGACCAAAGATTCGTGCAAGGAGCAAAATGGCCAGTGTAAGTCGAGCTCCGCGCTACGCGAAGGCCTGTGTCAACGGATTGAAACTAATCTTATAATAGGATCTTGCTCATTAAAATTTACTCCATGCATCTCGATATCTTAATGCTACAATGTGACTTAAAATATAGAATTTAAATAGAATAATAGACTACCAGCTCCTCGGGATTCATTACAATGTTCTTGTGGAGTACGCCGACAATCAGACTGTCCTCGTTCCCCAATATACCAGTGGGCTTCAGACAAATGGAACTGCGAGCATGAGATTTCAAAGTCACAGCAGAATTATAGAGTAGGCAGCGATTTTTTGTATACTCTCATATCGCGCTAGAGCATTCGGGCTCGGAATGGCACAAGGCTGCACATTCACCTGACCCCCTCGCAGGCTGCTCAGTAGGCTCACTGTCGCTAGTTGTCACTTTCACACGACAATTATAATCAGCAGTAACACCACTGTCAAATGTCTTTACTCCACTATGGACAGAGCTTAGGGAGCGAAAGTCGAGTTGCTGGGGCGATTGGGATCTCCCAAGAGTAGCTAGGAAGCCCAGAGCGGAAAGAGATGCAATTTTCATATTCAACTGATAAATTCGAGCGTTGAATATATTAGAGCCTCGAAGATGAGGGTGTGATTCATAAACATCTTAGAAAGTCAGAGATTTACGATGCCTTTATACTAACTTGAACTTGAAATACCATGTTATAAGCCGACAAACTCGTTTGTCGACATACTGATAGTAGCATCATCATGTTCTCTCACCTGTGCATGATAGTATGCATAGTCCCAATAATGGTACCCCTTACCTTCGAGTTTATGTAGTACTACTAGTACTATATCTCCACCTTCAAGTCGTGTAACCCCTCCAAGGCGACCATGGACAAGAAGTTAACTGGCCCCTACTTCTACACCGACGGTCTACTAGTACAACCACCTGATGTATGATAATGATGATATTTTTACTACTGAAACCTCATAAGGAGTTGGATTCAGTAATAGTAGTATGTAATATGTTCTGCCAAGGTGGTTGAGTATACTTAAAGGCACCTGGGCACTCCAGTGTCACTCCAGTTTTCGTATAAGATAACTTGAATGCTATGGGTGGCAGCCGCTTGTCAACCCTTTTCGCCAAGGCAACCTTGGAAATAAACTATGCCATCAGCATGTACCTGAGGATCGTTCGTATGGCTAGGGGTGCCCGTAGATCAAAAAGAAATGCAATACCATCATCCTCAAGTGGTTATTACTGCGCAATGTTTACACGCATGGACCTGCATTCAGCATTGATTTGGTAGACTTTCTTTGTTCTATGCGGCAAAGAGAGCAAAAGAATCAAGGTCCAAATAGTAAGCTTGAACAGGCAACTGAGCATATGGGCAAAATATCAACCATGATCCTGCAAAGAAGATAATTGAAGATCATAATGTGCGGTGGCCGGAGTACAAGAGGCCGACTCAGACGCCACGAGCAATATCCGAACATAAAGGAACGAATCGGTTGCATCGGGACAGATCCAGGGCTAAAAGATAGAGTAGAGCGCTCCGAAAGTGCATCAGTGGGATGCCAGATAAGGCGCCGCTGAGAAACTCCATAATATGACGATGGCAACTTAAAAGGTCAACAGCGGTATCTGGCAGAGCTGCGGGATGGAGATTACTCAGTTGATCTCGTCCGGGGATGGTCCATGTGGGACAAATCGTGTGCTACCTTGCAGCAACGTCCAGTGTATGCGGGTGGCTGAGGGAGCGGTGATTTGGAGCGCTGGAGTGGTCATAACCAGGGCGGATGAAGGAAACTGGTGGGAGAATATTCCCCCAGCCAGGACGAGTAGGATTAGTTGCTCAGGTTCAGTGTCAAGCCAATCAAACACACATAGGCGGCGATGCTCAACGCGGTCAGGGTGAGGACCGCATTGCCGCTGGTGCGGAACTTATGACGATGGATCCCATCTTCCCCGAGTTCAGCAAAGAACTGTCGATTCCCCTGAGAGCGGCGGAAGAGTCCGATGATGAGGACGCCGGTGCCATAGATAGCAAACAAAGCACCGATACTGTAGAACTCGGCGGTGAAGATCTTGAGGACAACCAGAGAAAAGGAGAACTGGGAGAGAGCTGTCCGGACATAAGCCCCTTCGAAGGTACGCTGTGCAGCGCGTACCTCGACAATCTCATCGGAAGTGAGGACGGCCGATCGGGCACGGTGCATTCGCAGGTGGTATCGGTCTGCAGCACGTCGCTAGGGTGAGTGTTAGAAAGATCAGAACTGGACACGAAAATAGAAAATAGAAAATAGAAAGAAGATAGAAGATAAACGGGGGAAGACACAAACCTCGAACATTGTCAAGATATCATTATCGTGAGCAGAGTAGAAGTAATTGCGGAGGTGTGGAAGTGCGGAGTTGCGGAGTTGCAGTTGCAGTTGGTTGACGAGAAAGGAAAGAGGCACGTCTTGGCGTCTTGGCGGAGTCGGGTCGGCGGATCTTTCCTCCGGTGGGTCCCGATTGCCTCGGTGCCTTGGTGCCTTGATGCCTGACTTTTGCTGTCAGCCTGTCAGCCCATCTACTCACAAACTAAATACACATCTGATGCACCAGAATGAATGATCAACATCCACATACTTTGCACGGTATCTCGGTAATACAAACACTATTTTTCTGCCTATCATTACCAGCCGCTAACTTAATTTCCCTACCTAGTGTGGTCGTTGCCAGTCCAAGAAGGTAACGATATGATCTAAGCAACCCAACCAGATATTGCAAACCGAATAACCATCTACTAGGTTCGCTGCGATCGAGTCATTCCACGATGTAACAATTGTGCGAAAGCCACATCCGAGTGTATCTACACATCTCGGAAATCCCGACCCAAGAAACCCAGGTATCATCTACCTATGAAAGGGGACTTGAAACCACCATGAACCACCATGGAACTGATGAGCTTTTACAGGAATCCTCCCGTCAACCAAAACCTGTTCTTGGACATCCTCGGCCGTCTTGACCGTCTTGAAAAACATTGCTCTCTGAGTGCTTCGGCCGGTTCAAGTGCCTCTCAGAGACCACCCCTGAGCGAAGATCCGCTACCAATAGCTCCCTCACCGATTCAAAATATTGTTAACTGTATCAAAGATGAAGATACTCGACACTTTCTTCTCTTCAACATTTTCTGTTGCCTGGGACAACTTAATTCGTGCTTTTTCATCGGTCGATCTATCCGCGCGATCACCTCCGCTATATCGGAGATCGAATCCCTGCAGAATACCCAAAGCGTCGAGCTGCTGGGGGACCCCGACATCTCAAAAAGTCTCGCCAAAAGGCTCATCGAAAGTAAGTATACCATTTACTTATAGCCGTCAATATTCTAACTCTTTCCAGACCACTATGGCCGTTTTCAATTTGAAGGCTTCCAGTACCCTCTCAAGAAAGATTTCTTGGCTGCAATCCCTGACTTAATCGATAACCCTCACATTCAGCTAGATCATACGTCTCAAATAATCTACTACTCAATTCTGCTCCGGGCCTGTATGCTAGACGCTGAGGCTCACCCAAGAAGAGGCAACTTAATCCAAACCCTCTATTCGAAGTGCGTTGCATTAAGCGACGATTGGATGGAGAATATCCAGGATACCTCTACCGACCTCTTAGCCGTTTCTCTGATGGTAAGCACATCATGTATTCACTAACCATCCATATTCTGGTCTACATCCAACCCACATTGCTAACAGACTTATAGATATCAATAGCCCTCGAAGGCTGCAATATAGATCTAGCCTGGAAAGCCTTCAGTCATTCCTGCAGAGTGGCAAAGGCCCTCGGCTACTTCTCCGTGGACGAATTCACAAGTGCAGAGAACGATCAGCAGTCCATCCCAGTCGGCACACCCGCGCCAGAAGCCGAAGTCGAGCGAAACCGCAAACGCTTCGGATTCTGGCATATCCTTCGTACGGACTGTATTTTTCGCATGTCTTTTGGCAAACCGACTCTTATTCCTGCAGGATCGTGGAAAGTTGATTTGCCTGACCCGACAATCAATGGTGTGGACGATGGAAAGTCAAATTTCATACAGATTCACTTCATTTCTTCGATGAGGCTTGCTCTCATTGTGATGAGGTATCTCGATTGGATTGAGAGGGATGCCCAACCGGATCCAGTTTCGCACGATACCGTCATTGATGGTTATATCGATGAGGTGCAGTCTATTTTGTCGGATTGGGATATGGTACGTTATGCCTGTACCTGGTGTCCCTACTGCATGACAGAGTCCGCAATTCTGTGCTAACAGCAAATAAGGAGAGCCTTCTTCGAATGGCGACAGAGCATATCGATATCTGGCTCTGTGTCGACGTGCTATTCAACAGCTATACGATGCTTATTGTGCTGTATCAATCGAAGAAGTGCAATCGGGGTGATAGCCTACCATATCCAGCCACTGATCTTGCCAGGAAATCAGTGAAGACCTTCCAGACACTCCTAGAATGCTCATCGCAGTGGGGAATTAGGTATGCAAAACCTCGTTCCCCATCCACGAATCCGTTTCGTACGTTGCTAACGCGCGCCTTTAGTCTTATCTTACTGTACCAGTTCATCCCCTTCTTCGTCCTTTGCTTAAACATTCTTGGAAATTCCGCATGCGAATACCTCGATGAAGATCTCATGTTGGTGAACTGGGTATTCGAATACGTCGAAGTTGTTGTTCAGGGGCGGGTCGAGCTACAGCCGGTTGTGATTATCATGAAGGCAATGGTGACTGCGTGCCGCCAAACGAAAACAGACCTTCTTGCACGGTCGGATGCTACTTTTGCACAGTGACAGAGGCCGTGGGTGTATCCAAGACTGGACGCCTAGGGTTGTACAATGTCAATGTCCGAGTCGATTATGAGCAAATCAAAAACCCACTGCTCTTGGGAGATCCAAGTAGGAAGTTGATTTGTACTAGTATACCGTAAATCCTGAAGTGAACTTCCAAGGTTGAACTTGAACTTGAACTTGAAGATATATATATATTCATGCACGTATACTACCACAACAATTACTATTAGCCTGAAGGCATATGGCACGTGATGCAAGCACCTTCACCACTTCAACTTCGTCACTTCCTTCTCCCCTCATCCACCATGACCACCATGACCATCATCAACGCCACTGCCAGTGCCTCACTCTGCCTCTCGGGAGACCAAATCCGACCCCCACGTTGCGGTCTGCATCATCCAGACGATGGCCTTACTCAATCTCGACTCGTGGGAAATTGACCCCCACATATCTCCACTATTCTCCCACCAATGACACCTGCGAGAATTCAAATGCCATTGTTTCCGGCTATCGAATTTGCCCAACGGAGCAGACACCGGTCCCCTTCCCCACACTCCGCACGGCGGCTTCGCCGAAAGGCCCTTCTTCAACACTCGTCCTGCCCTGCTTTGGCCTTTTCATGCTCGCTCATCCCGTCGTGAAATAAATTGAACCCAGCGATAGGTTCCCGCAACAATGGCCAAGGTCTTCGATGCCGCAGAAGGTAGGTTCATTCCGACAGAATTGCCTGGCTCCGAGTCTTAGTGCTCGGCTCCCCGCATTGCTCGAGCTAACAAAAGAGGATCTTAGTTGCCAAACACAACACTCGCGAAAGCTGCTGGGTGATACTCTACGGCAAGGTCTACGATGTGCGCCCGTTCCTCCCTTCCACTCCTCCCCTCATGAACAGGTCGAATGCTAATACAATCGTGAGTCTTAGGTCACCGATTTCTTGTCCAGCCACCCCGGAGGTGCGAAAATCATCCTGAAGCTCTCCGGCACCGATGCGACGGAGGAATATGACCCTATTCACCCCCCGGGAATCCTGGAGGAGGAACTGAAGCCCGAAGCATGCCTTGGAACTGTCGATGCCAGCACTCTAGCCAAGGAAGAACCCGCCGCGGAGGCATCGGAGCCAGTACAAGGTCCTCCGCCCGTGGAGACTCTCCTCAATCTTGACGAGATCGAAGAGGTGGCTACGAAACAAGTGACTCAAAAGGCATGGGCGTATTACTCGTCTGCCTCGGACGACAAGTTCTCCAAACAATTCAACAATCGAATTTACCAATCCATCCTTCTCCGTCCGCGGGTCTTTGTCGATTGCACCCGATGTGAATTGGACACCACCGTTCTCGGCCACAAGGTCGGATTGCCCTTTTTCATTGCCCCCGCCGCTATGGCGCGTCTAGGCCACCCTGCCGGTGAGGCGGGCATGGCTGAGGCATGTCGTAGCTTCGGCGCCATGCAGATCATCTCGAACAATGCTTCTATGACCCCCGAGCAAATCGTCAAGGATGCCGCACCCGATCAGGTCTTTGGCTGGCAACTATATGTTCAAACTGACCGCAAGAAGAGTGAGGCTATGTTGGCCCGCATCAACAAGCTCAAGGCAATCAAGTTCATCGTCCTCACGCTCGACGCACCGGTCCCAGGAAAGCGGGAGGATGACGAGCGCAACAGCTTGGTCGGTGCAGCTGCTCCAGTTTCGAGCGGTGTGAAGGCGGCCGAACGTACATCAGACGACACCCCTGATGTTTCTGGAGGCTCTGGAGGCGTCGGCCAACAACTGTTCGCCGGTACCGATCCCTCCCTGCGCTGGCATGAAACATTGCCCTGGCTCGCTCAACAAACCGACCTTCCCATCGTCTTGAAGGGTCTTCAAACCCATGAGGATGCATACATTGCCTCATTGCACACTCCACAGGTCAGGGGAATTATACTTTCCAACCATGGCGGTCGAGCTCTGGATACCGCACCGCCTGCTGTACACACCTTGCTTGAAATCCGAAAATACTGTCCTGAAGTTCTCGATAAACTAGAAGTCTATGTGGATGGCGGTATCCGCCGTGGTACCGACATTGTTAAGGCTCTTTGCCTGGGCGCAAAGGCAGTTGGTCTCGGCCGGGCTGCTCTCTGGGGTCTCGCAGCCGGTGGCGTTGATGGTGTTCGTCGGACGTTGCAAAGTGAGTAAACAACAGATTCCATTGATCGCCCTGCATTTTCGCTAATTGTTTATCGTGCTACAGTTCTGGCAGACGAAAGCAAAACCTGCATGCGACTACTTGGTGTCGAAAACGTCAACGAGCTTGGTCTTCGACATGTATGTTACCACATTCTTCTATTTCAAAACGTGCATTGGCTAACGTCCGCTTTTCTCACTAGATCAACACGCGAATGGCCGAGCATCAAATCTACGACGGGCCATCCAGTCTGGATTCTTTGCGGCAATCGTTCAAAGCGAAATTGTAATGACTGTTTTTCTTGTGGGCCTTTTAAGGCAGTATATATCCTTGCATTTTGTACATTTACGCTTTCTATCATCTATCTATGCGACTCGTTGGCCAACAAAATGGCCTCCCAAAGTAAATAATTATGATGTACTAGAAATCCCCATACAGCATACAGGGTAGCGGAGTCAATTTTCCGCGTAAGGCTCGAAGCAACTGACGGACAGCAGTTTCTGGCTCTTATGAGGCTTGAAGGTTTTGCCTTCGAATACCCGGGATCACAATCTTAGCAGAAAGTGGGCAGATCCAATCCTTCAGCTCAGGGGAGACTCGCCAGGACATGAGACCGCCTCGCTTGCATCTACGGGACGAATTCCCCCACACGTCGGGGCCCACAGAGACGGGAGGATTTGCCTCGGACGGAATGGGTGCGGGTACGGAGACGTGGGAGAGGCAGAGGATCGTGTAAAATTGCGTGCAAGAGTGGAAGTCTTTGCTCATGCTGTGAAATATTCATAGGTCGAAAAGTCGGTTTGCCCTTCTTCCTTGCTGGCCCTGCGAAAGCTCCGCCTCGTAGCCTTCTTAAACTCGGTTGGTGAAGACCAAGCCACATCCCATGTTTTCGCATCGCCGAGGTTGCTCGAGGATTTGAGCACGCCAAATCGGAAATCAAGCGGATCAGCGGATGGGTCATTTGACTCAGATGGCAGACGCATGTAATACCGAACGGAATCCGGGATCTCCTCTTTCACATGACTGATCAGAAGCAAAGCCTGCTCATCGGATAGACCCTGGTGTCGCAGATTCTCAGAAGGCCGGCCGGATTGGCCATTTTCCAAGAAGCTCAGGCACTTGTCGCGTTGTGAGGCCGTCAAGCCGGAAAACGGCTCGTCGAGGATGACGATATCGGGCTTGTGGATGAGAGCGCGGAGGAACAGCACGATGCGCTGTTGCGCGGTGGTGAGTTGACCGAAAAGCACCTGATCAGCATAGTCGACATCAAAGTCATCGGGTATATAAGGAGTAGGATTGCCTTGGCCTTTCGTCTTCAGTTTGGGAAAAAGATCAGAATCGGTGATCTTGGGAGGCTTGGACAGCGCAGAGGCTGCATTGGGATCCAACTCAGCCTTGAACTCTCGTAACGCCGCGGAGACATCTAGATCGCGCTCGTGATCGAGCTTGGGCCGGGCGAGGAAAGTCTCGGCAAAGGAAGATTCCAGGGCAGCACGAATTGATAATTGACGGGGAAAGAAGGCGTGGATTTCGGGCGAGGAATGACCCAGCCGGGACTGCAGCTCGAATATAGAAATTCCCGGCTTGCCAGCCTCGGGTAGGCGAGAGCGACCAAGTATTTTGATAGGCTGCGAGTATGTTTGAGGATGATCGGAGGTGATCAACGACAGAAGGGTCGTTTTACCAGATCCGTTGGCGCCGAGGATAGCCCAGCGCTGGCCGCGGCGGACACGCCAGTGAAGACCCTTTTTCGGTTGTTTCTCGATATTCTGCTCCCAGTTACCAAGAACGACCTTGTCGCCGTATTGAACCCGGACGCCATCCATTTCAATCAGGGCTTCACCCCCGATTGGTGTCTCGCGCTGTTTGAGCCGATTTGAGGCCGTCTGGTTCGTAGTAAAGTCCCGAAGCAACTCTTGATCAAGATTCCCTGCTTTAAGGTCCTTTTGGGCCCGAAGGAAGATAGGTTTATCTTCGAGGTTTGCAGGTTTATCCTTGGCCTGGGAAGGGTCCGTGAGCTTGCGCCAGGTCTGTAGAACTTGATTCATCTCAAGCCGGGTTCCTTGTGCTAGGACATGGTGAGTATTTCCAACGAGCATCGTGTGAGTAATCCAATCCGGCACGGTGTCTTGCGGGCGCAGAGCCAGGATAAGGCGCGGCGAACATTTATCAGCCAAACGAAGGAGTAGCCCAGAGATGCTTCGTACTGTGGCCGGGTCCAGTCCCACTAGAAATGAGTTAGCTTCCGTCAAACGAGGCGATGAGGATAATTGGACAACATACTGAAGGGCTCATCCAGCAGCAAAAGCTCCGGCTTTTTCAATAGGGCCTTTGCGATGCGCGCCCGTCGAGTTTGGCCATTACTGAGATTCGCAACAGGCATGTCGAGCAAAGCACCCAGGCGCAAATCGGTAATTACCTCCTCGAGCAGCTTCTCATCCCGAACAGTTCCCTTTTCTTCCCCTTCCATAGGGTTCAGAGATGTTTGGCCGCGCAGGAACTGCTCGACTGTCCAATCGGTCTCCTCGCGAAGACTTTCATACCGGGCACTCAAATATGCACCACGGGTACCTCCAATGGCCCCAGATCCCTCGCCGCTGAAGCCGATATATTGGATAGCATTGCCAACTTCGCGTAGTTTCGGATCCTTTGCGGCAATTTCGTCGGTGCGCAGGTAGGGGTATGAGCGCGCGGTCGGTGGAATGGAGATATGGAGGCCTCGTAGGATGTCAAGTAAGTCGGTGCGGCCGGATGGACCGATGATGGCCCAATGCTGCAGACTCTCTTCCGGGGAGGATCGCTTCGCAGGGAGACTGAAGTTCAGCTTAGGGAATAATGGTGGGTTGGTCAAGGCATCTTGTTCATCATCGGTCGGGTATCGGCGGTAGAAAGTACCATCTTGAATGCGTACGAGGGGCAGCGAGGATACACGCCGCGCGTCTAGGCGGATGGGACACCGAGGTCGCGCCCGAAGAGTTGTACGTAGGTGCGGCAGCAGCATCACATAAGTGTGAGAATGAGAATGAGAATGCAAGGCGAACTTGAAGTTGTCCAAGTGAAGTTGAGAGAAGTTGAAGATGGACTTGATGGGTCAGGTGACTGCGGTTTCGGAGTTGGCACCGACCTCCCCGAAGTATACAAAATGGTATAAAAGGAGTATAAACATGGGATTGACAGAGTGCAGGAGTATTTAGGATTTAGATATTGAGATAGAAATAGTAAAACTAGAAGATATCAAGAAATGGGAAGTCAGCAAGTCAGGAAGTCCAACCTGATCTATTCAGGGCAGGTGGCAGCACTACAGTTACTTAGTATCATGCACTACATGTTGTTTTTATTGGTCTTCGCAATATCTAGTTTCACCGTGCCAATGGCCACGATGTATCTACCCCAGAGTTACTAAAGGGCCTAGGATGACATTGGATCTCGCCACTTCGCCGCTGGAATCTGATCATTGTCCTTTGAAGACTGGATGGACTGGAAATGGAATTCGTGGTTGCATCAAATGTTTAGTACTTAGGTCTGGGTTATGTTTACCTAATTTGAGGTCCCTCTTTCGAGGTTATGGAGACCGTATGCAATTCGCGGCCGAAGCGGATTCTCACATGTAGGGCAACCCATGAAGCCAGAGATCAAGGTCGTACATGTACGACCTGTTCGCCCAGGAACTATGCGATTCCGTCCAACATCTACTCTAGTCTGTACCAAGCCATGCTTGCAAGTCCCCAGAAAGCCTCGGCTGCACATGTTGGTCTCGATCTTGCATTGCAGGTGCAGCGGTACCAAAGGGGCCGTCGTCAACCCCAACAAGAATCAAAGTTCGGACCAGTCGAAGGTCATACAGAAAAGGAACATACCCAGAGTGACATTGGATAGTAAGTCTGTCCTACCAAGGCATGCCGAATGCTTGAGGAAGTACAGCATGTACGATCCACGATATAAACTTGAAATAGACACCCTGCGGAAGGAAAGGAAGCTCTACTAGTACCTACCACAATGTCGTCGCTCCCTTGCTCGGCATCTTCCCATGAGTATATCCTCCGCGAAGGCTACAACAAGATATTCGAGGGGCATACCGTCTTGTTGACGGGCAGCACCGGGTCGCTTGGGGGGATGTTTGCTATACAAATTGGCCCTCCAGTTGCCTACCCGCAAGCTATTTGCCCTGATCCGAGGCGAACCAGCGCAGGCAATCGAGAAATGGACCAAATCTATGCCTGACCAGGTGCAGGCCATCTTAGCCTCGGGGAAAGTGCACTTTATTGTCGGTGACATGCGGAAGGCAGACTTTGGCCTCAAGAACGAGGTGCTCGAGGAGTTGCGCGAGCAGGTCACTCTGGTCATCCACACAGCAGCCAAAATCAGCCTCGAGGCGAGTTTAGTGGATGCTTTCGAGAACAATTGTCTCCCAGCATTGGAAATGGCCCGTATTGCTTCGCGGTTCCGCCGGCTGAAGCTTCTCATCCAACTTTCCACAGCGTACGCCAACAGCTTCTTGCCTGATGGGCCAGTGTTAGAGCGACCGTACACTCTCCCGGATCACGATGGAGATGATGACCCCGAAGAAGAGTTATCATCGATCTTGACATTGAATCAGTCCCCCATAGCGAATCGATTCTCCTCGCCCTACGCGCAGGCCAAATATATCATGGAACGACTGCTCCCACGTCGGTTCCCCTTGCTGCCCATCTTGTTGGTACGACCGACCATCTTCGGCCAGGCTTTACGAGATCCGTTTCCCTTGTATGGACTGGAGAATTCGACCCCGATGAACAAGTTCTTCCAGCATTTCTTGGCCGACCGTGGCGCCACGCAGGTATGGCATGCAGCAGCAGGATACACAACCGGCGCCAACATCATCGACGAGATTCCTGTAGATTTTGTCGCCAACGCATGTTTGGTACATGCTGCTACACGAACAACGGGTATTGTACAGGTCGGCGCGCAGCTCTATGAGCCCTTCACTTTTGACGCATTCTTGGAGATGGCCGTTAGTAATGCGCCGCCTGCTATTCTCCGTGATCTTCCTCGAGTGGTCTTCACCGAGGACCTCAATGCACCGCAGTGTTTCCTGGCCGAGCTAGTACAAGTAGCTTCACGGCATTGGTTGTTCGATTGTGGTCGGTCTTATTGGTTGAAGCAGCTTGGGGGTCCCTTGAGTCTCCAACAATGCAAGCCACAGGTGGACGAGGTGAATCGACGGCGGCTGCAGCAGATTTACAGTCGATTGATGAAAAAGGAAAAGGCACGACTGTAGCGGGGAGTAGGAATGATACTACCAATAGTACAGTTGTATGTAGTCAATGCGTGGATCCAAATTTCCAAATATCAAATCAAAATAGTTGTAGAGGGAGAGTTGCATACAGCCGACTCCGGCTACTTCCACACCACACCACAACCACAACCACTCCAACATTCTCATATATCTCGTTCATTTCCTTTTCTCTATTATCTTTCGTCTATTTATATACTTCTTCTTCTTCTTTTCTCTCATAATTATCTCTGCACAATCATGTCCCTCCCCCCTATCACCAATTCTCCGCCCTCGACTGCCTCGGCTTCTTCCTCGCGCGGTCCGCTTCTCCTCCGCATCTCCGCATCTTCCAGCCTCGTCAGTCGCCGCCTCATTCCTCTCGCGTTTTCAGTCCTTGGGCCCTCAAACCCACACTCAGATTCTTGATGCCAACCAGCTGAACCTTTTGACACTCACATTGAATCGTCCCTCGCTATTCCCCGCCACCCCCGCGCTCGCTCCGTCACATCAAACCCCCGTCCCACCGGGTTACCACCTTATCTACTTCACCCCGGGTTTTTTGGAAACCGAGCTCGGCGCTGATGGAACCGATACTTCATACAATCCCGAATCACCCTTCACCCGCCGCATGTGGGCTGGGGGTGAAGTGAACTGGCCCCGCGATGCCCAGGGTCGACCAAACCCACTACGCGTGGGGCAACAAGTGACCGAGACAACGCGCGTGTTGAGTGCCGAGGCCAAAGTCGTCAAGAAGACCGGCGAGGACATGGTCGTAGTGGGTGTTGAGAAGGAGTTTTCCAACGAGAATGGTGTCTCCATCGTGGACCGCAGGTATGTATCTGGTTCTGGGGTAGTTCTAGTGGTCAACCACCCCAACTAACGCGTCTTTTTCTTTCTACAGGAATTGGGTCTTTCGCAAGGCTCTACCTACGCCAGCAACCTCTTCAGCGGCACAATCGTCATCTTTACCCCCGAGCACCTCCCATCTGACCACTCCGAGTCATACCTCATCGGCCATCGTCACCGAGGGCAACACACATACACGCACTCTCCTCCAAACCCCCGTCACGCTCTTCCGTTTCTCCGCCCTCACATTCAATCCACACAAGATTCACTACTCTCTACCCTGGGCACGAGATGTTGAGGGTCACAAGGATATCGTCGTTCACGGACCCTTGAATCTGATCTCCATTCTGGATCTATGGCGCGACATCCGGGGGAAGACACAGGCAGCTGAAGAAGCACCTCTATTACTCCCCCAGCGCATCTCATACCGGGCTACTAGCCCACTATATGCCGGTGATGAGTATCGCGTGGTGCTCGAAGAAGGCGAAAAGGGTGTGTCGCATGTTCAGATCGTGGGCCCCGGGGATGCCGTGGCGATGAAAGCGGTGATTCATGCTTGATCAGAACCATCCCGCCAAAAAAAGACTGGGAAAGGTTCTCTGGGACTGCTCATCTTGCAGGAGGTCTACAGGGGTGTCGATGTATAATCAGCTCGAGGCGAGGGGAAGCGAGGCCTTTGATATTCCTCCCCGGCGCTTGTAGCCAAGAATGCACCCATTGACGGCCAACTATAGATACCATTAGTCTCCCCGTGGCCTCAAAACTGTGATTTGGGTCATGGGTACAGTCCATTGAATAACACGATAGCACTACTACGCAGGGCAGGATACTGCTCAGGCCCTGAGCGATTACTACGAAGCTCCGAGTCTTTCGAATACGCGGTTAGAAATCAGCATATACATTTCATGATAATCTCCCCCGTTCTTGTAGCTGACAACCTTCCAAGGTCTGAAGTAATCGAAATTATCAAAAGACATAGTAGTCAACCCTAGAAACTTGAATACCTTGCCGATGGTAAAGAAATAGCAGGATGTGGTCTTTTTACATAGTATACTGAGTCAGTGGCATTGAGAAAAATGTCATAGATGACTTCTTTGTCCCGGTGATCAAAAACACAGCCAAGGAACACTGTTAGCATGCACAGTGATTTGATGTGAGGAATAATTTGATGTGATAGATTGATCTCTCTTTCAAGTCATCGGCTTTCGCAGAGGTTTGTAGATCCCAGAATATAGAATCTTCCCTGGACATTTGCTTGATACTTCACCGGGGATGAGAAGGTCAGGTTCAAAGAGAGGGGAATCAAGGTGATGGGGAAGGTGAAGGAGTTGTTTGCATCGGGTGTACCATTCAAGTGATTATCCGTACTAGTATTTTTTCTGAATGAGCATTCACTCAAGGAAGGCACGCTCGCTCATTTGACATTCAACGACAGGAGCAACTTCAAGTACTTTCCGAGTAGTAACGACCAGTGCTAACTCGTATGTACTGGTACTTCGCCGGAAGTAAATTCGTAGAAGCCAAATTCCGTATCAATTAGATATAATGAAATCAAAAGCGAAGGAAAATACAGTGCCTTTAATTGGGATTATATAATTAAGTTTCATAGATGCTTAGCTGTGCAGGATGATGAAGTCTTCGAAATTTTGACCGGTTGTCAGTTGAAACCCGCAGTTAGTATTTATGCACAGCGTTGGCAGTAGAAGCCTGTTCGATACCAGTTGGATAGGAATTTAGAGCATGGAGGGTCACATCGAGAAATGCCAGGTATGCACCATTGTTTTCTCGTGCATGTCACTTAGTTTGACGTTAATATCGGCCATGATTGAAGGGTCATCAAGTTTATTGTGAATGCGGAGGTCGATTGTCGTTTGAATAGCGTAGACAGCAGTATCCTTGAGTTCCTGCCATTTGAGGAACTTTTGATTAGGAATGTCGATATCTTCGGTCTTCCATTTAACAATTTGAAAAGCCATGAGACTACCAAGTGCAATATTGAGGTCGTTGGCGGCGCGGGTGCGGATGTCGGTGCCATCAAGGTCAACTTCTGCATTGATTTCAGGTACCAGCTCACCTGTGAAGACCACTCAGAGCCGGTAATTGTGGCAATTGAGCACTTTGTGGAGGGAATAGGTCCATTGCGTGTAGTTGGAAATCTGCTGAAGGGCACAAAACGTATCCTCGATCCTAAATCCGAAGGTCATCGCGGCTGTAGCGAGTGGAAATGACTTGACTGGAGATAGCACATTATTCGTGATCGAAACTTTTCACCACAAAGAGAACCGGCCGTAGGAGGTGGCTGATATTAACGCCCGGAAGCGCGCCGAACCTGACCGGATCATGAGAGGCAGTGGTGACGATCATGATTTCGGTAAAATATCGGCGAGGGTACTCGCATGTCGTTGGATTGATTGATTTTGAACTGGGCCAGCTTGCACATATGCGCAGTTCCTAGCGGTGTTGGCAAACAAAACGACGGCCGAGAGCAGCCGTGGCGCAATTGAGGTGTGATTCAGAGCGCATGCAATGACGTGGCACGTCAGGGTGGCTAGAAAACATATTGCCAGGAGGACTGCTCGGAGGTTCGTTCAGAGGAGCCTCGAGGCGATTTAATCGATGCCATAATATTCAAACGGTACCATCAACACGTTGTGGCAGGCGGTTGCTTCCAAATAGCTTCGGGAACTGGCAGAAACGTCTGATCGGGAGTAGGGAGGGACTTTGAAGGAGGGCTCAAAATCTGTATGCATGAAGAGAGGAGACGCAAGTGTGTATCTCAGTTCAAGTTGGTGCAGTGAGTGGCCGAAAGAGAGAGGGAGAGGTTGAATGTCGGGCGACAAAAGGATGAACAGCTCAGCAATCACCGCGTATCTGAGAAGTATCGCAGAAAGGGAAAGAAAAGAAAAAGAAGATGCGTCATCCATATCCCGAGAGACTTGAAGGTGTGGGGATGTTCAAGTTGAAGTGGGGAGATTTCCATTTTGCGGGGTAGTTTACTAGTGGAGTATAAATTGAACTACATCCATGGGATACTCGGGAAATCGGGATGTGGACCACTTGATATTGTACTTTCCCCTCCAAATATCCGATACTCCAGGGCTATCCAAGAACTACAAATACAGATATCACTGCAGGACTTTGCATCTATCATCTACCCAAACAACATCCCAAGAAGTCACCAACCATGCATATTGTCTGGAAAGAAGAGGCGGATGCTGCCACGTACGATGATGCCCGGGTGGGCCGGGTCTTCAATCACCGCCGCCCGGACCGATTCCCACTGGCGGTCGTGAAAGCTTCCTCCTCTGAAGATATTGTTGCTGCCGTTAAGCTGGCCGTGGAACGAAAGTGTCGCGTCGCTGTGCGATCCGGAGGCCATTCCTGGGCGGCGTGGAGTGTTCGCGACAACTCTATCCTGATTGATTTGGGGAACTACAAAAGCATGGAAGTAGACGCAGAGAACAGTATAGCGCGTGTCTCAACTAGCATGACAGGACGTGAAGTGAATGCCGTCCTGAACAAAGAACATGGGCTCATGTTTCCCGGAGGCCATTGCCCAGATGTCGGTCTAGGCGGATTCTTGCTCCAGGGTGGAATGGGATGGAATTGCAAGGTGAGAGCATTTTTGTAACCACGGTAATAAATGTTCTAACAGACTTTAGAACTGGGGTTGGGCTTGCGAAAGAGTCCTTGGACTCGATGTGGTAACAGCGGATGGCGACTTAGTTCACTGCAATGCCTCTCAAAACCAAGACCTATATTGGGCAGCCCGTGGGGCCGGTCCAGGTAAGTGGATAATGGCAGATAAAAAGAAGCAAATACTTGAATGGTGACTGACCTAAACGCCAGGATTTCCCGGTGTTGTGGCCAGATTCCATCTTGACCTAATTCCGTATCCAGAAAAAGGCTTTCGATCATCTGGCTACATCTATCCAATCGGTCTTTATCACGAAGTTTTCAAATGGATCATAGCTATTGCTCCTTCCTTCGACACCGACACGGAGATTGCAGTAGTCTCACAATACCCCGAAGGCGAAAATGAGATCTCACTTTTTGTTCTATTTGTGACGATGAAGCATAGCCCTGAAGAAGCGGAAACGGCACTGAAACGGGCCCAAGAGACCCGACCAGCTGGTACGAGTAGCGAGTGGTTCTGTAAGGAAGACAACCTCGATAACCAGTACAACAACCAGGCCAACGCCAACCCAGAGAGGCATCGCTACTGCACTGACAATGCGTACATTGACAACGACGCGGATGTCCCGAGTGTCTTGGAGGAGGCATTTACGAAACTTCCGCATCGCAAAGCTTTCTCGCTATGGTATGCGATGAACCCCTGCAGCCGAAGGGAGCTCCCAGACATGGCCTTAAGCATGCAGTCGGACCACTATTTCGCGTTGTATACGGTATGGGAGGAGGAGTCAGACGATATTCGCTGTCGTGCATGGGTGAAGAATGTGATGGAAAAGGTTGAGCGCCATTCAGTGGGTGCCTACTTAGGAGACTCAGACTTTCAAGTTCGACGGACGAAGTTCTGGGCCGACGATAACGCTAAACGATTGATGGATATTCGCCGCAAGCGGGACCCCCAGGGCAGGATTTGCGGATATCTAGACCAAGAGGACTTGTCGGGAGTGAATGGCTTGGCCAATATTCACGAGTGGAAGGTGTGATCCTGATAAGAGAGGCAAACACCCAACCCTTGGGAAATCAGGGATAAATTAGATTTAGGTATCATTTTCGTCCGGGAGGAATTTGAGGGTGCTGCAGCCCATTTAGATGCTTCATGTGTTTGTTTACAATTTCTGTGTTGGGTTGGTCGAAAATAGATTCGGTGGGAGAAATATGACATTTAGATTGATGTAGCAGTTCTAGTCATTTTTCTTCGTGAATTGTATGTTCAAAACTGCCCTGAATGCCTTTGTCGGATCTAGGTGTTTTCAGCACCAAGATTTTCTTCATCGGCTGTTTCTATTGAAGGGGAAATATTGTTGCAGGGAAGCCGCAATTATGCCTTGATACCGATAACAGCCAGGTTGCGAGGACTAATAGAGTAATCAAAAACTGGCTCCACCCAGCATTCCTTGACTGAATCGTGTTCGCGTAAAAACTGCCATCGATCTGTCACAATAATCGCCTCAACGACCTGTGCACTGAAAGCCATGAGACTCCATACGATGCTTAGATTTTTCCGGGCATACTGATATTCGTTTTCATAGCGATCAAGCTCATCATCGCTCATGGTACAAATGTGCTTCTGAATTTTCGTACCATGATGGGGATCGCGGCTGAGTCGAACGGTAGCCGCTCGAACATACGCAGCGAACGACGTGAAAGCCGACTTGCGTAGAGATCCAAGAATAAGTGGCGGGGGCCTATCGATGTCACCATCATCATTGTAGAGATCCTTAGGAATATCGGGCTGGGGCACAACACCTCGGTCGAGGAGTACACGCTGGAACAGAGCGCGGAAGAAATGACGAGTAAAGAATCCTTCACTTTCCTCGCGGCCCCAGTTATAGGGTGCTTGAACGGCCATCATGCGAGCGGTGATGTTGAGCTTCATTCCAGTAGCACCCTCACTTTCATATGTTTCGAAGCGCTGAGACATCGGGAATCCATGCGGATCATACGAGTTTCCAGTTTGGTTCAACCGTGGATGAAGGGAGCGAAGGATTGGAAGCTTGTAAGTTGCAGGCCCCAGACGCTCGGTCATGAGGTTGTAACAGCAACCGATCATTGCCACAGCCACAACTGACGGGTTTAAGACCAAAGATCGGACACCATGGTGTAACAGATTGCCACATGAATGGAGAGAAACAACCATAACACGAGCGTCGCTCGGTTGTTCTTCGTCCAGATTGACCGTGATTGAAGTTTCATTTGAGTCTTGGATTTCCATGGGGGTCGCCACAGGGGATGGGCGCACCACATGGTTAATTATAGGTTCCAGGTATCCATCTGAGATATCATGTTCAATATAGCTGAGCTTGCCGCGGGTGTCGATTTCAGCTTCCTCGGGCTTTTGTCGCTGCGATTGCTTTTTGGATGAAGAGGCTCGCAATTCGTTGGGACCCAAATCGATTTGGCCCAACATTTTGAAGGTGGTTACTTCTTGGTCCTCCGTACCAGTATCCGGCGCACCATGTGTATTGATTGATGATTGAGGCATTTCTGGGCGTGGCTGTGGTGCTGAGATCTCGCTAGAATCTGCAACATCCGGTTTTCCATCGCATTCATTGCAAGAAGTCTTGCGTTTATGCACATATACCTTTTTTTCTTTTTTCTCAGCAAGCATAGCATGTATATCCATTCCTTGGGCACCGCTGATGTTGTGATGGTGTCTTTCAATCGCGATGATGTGCTTGTGGTAAGGCGAACTAGCTAGCGTCCGACCTAGATAGTTTTGTCCAGATCCGAAATCGACAATGTGGGATATAGGCTCATTCCGGCGCTCATTCACCACATCCGAGAGCGAAGCAACATGACGGGAGAAGAATTCAACTTCGTGGAGTTTCTTTTTGTTCATTCCCACGGTAGTCTTATATGGAAGCGCAGTTCTCATGGAGGGCGGTGGGACATCAAATTCTCGCCGCAGACTCAGTCGGCGAATATTGTGAATGTAGTCTATAAGACTTTGAGGAGGACGCGCGCCACCATTCCAGGTTTGACTATCATCATTCTCGTCATCCTGAGGGTCCCGCAGTGGTTCAATGTTCTCATGCAAAAGAAGATGGAGAACTTCATGAACGTCATGATGCTCGAAGAATTCCCTCCAATCAGCCGGAAGTAAGGTAGAATAAAGGTCAGGTTTTCGTGTCAGAAAGTCGAGGATATGCACGCCACCACAGAGGTTCATAAATAGAATAGACGATGTCGCAAATTCCAGCAACTCGTCGACGTAAGAATCCGGGTTTTTCCACTCCTCGGCGAGTGGGAGAGGGCGAGAAGTAGCCATGTAATTTCAATTTCAATCCCCGCACAGTTCCTTGATTTTGATCGAAATATTTCTAGAAGATTTGCAATGCAATTGAACTCCGCGGGGAGTTGAAATTCGAAGTGGATCAAAAAGAAAAAAAGTGGCGCGTTATCGCTGCTGAGTCATCCTTATCGCAGTCTTAACACCTGATTTATCAGGCGACAAGTCACTCGAAGTATAACTACTTCTAATATAGGCAGTCTAATATTAAGGAGAGAACCCTAGAAAATAGACCCCTAGCGCCATATCATAGTAGAAGAATTCCCAGGCTCTTCTAAGATCCACCAGACCTACAGTCTATCTTTAGTCTCAGCTATCTTATACTATATCGTATCATTGGGATATAGATACAGATGTAGACGTAACCATTGATTTGGGCCATTATCTGTCTATCCTTCTTCTTAGATTGAGTCGTCTGTTGCATAAGTATTGGATCTGACTATACAGAGGAAAAAAGCCCTCAGATAAAGGATTTGTTTAACGGTTCCGAGATCTCGTAAATGTGAGGCTGGTAAGAGTGTCTTTATTTAATTATCAGACTAGAGAATCTATGAGGATACTACTTTGAGAGCACTGGATGGTGGGCCTATATTAGTGTATTCTGCCTCTACTTTATGCGGGTTAATATAAGCTGGCCAGGAGGCTGACTAATATTGCTGGTAGTATTTTGAGGCACTAGTTCGCCATACTAGCTGGGTCACCGCTGCGGCTTTCTTTCCGGACAGAAGGCAGATTGCGTCGGGCTCGTATGACTAAATCGTCAAGCTTTAGGATGTGACCAAATACTTGAAAACTTGATGTATTTTGGGTGCTGTTTTAGTGGTCTTTTGAAGTTCTGTTTATGGCATGAAATTAAGATATAAGAGAGCATCAATCCTCAAAAGACAACCGATATCTTACGATTAACATTGGTTTAATCAAATTATTTACCCCGCAGATAGGCGAACTAACCCGCATTACAGGATATCTACGTTAGAAATCAGAGGATAGTATGCTATGGGGATATGCCGCTTGTTCGAATACTATTATATTTTGACCCAGCATTACAGCCAAGTCAAATACGATTGTCTCTGGATACGTGAATACGTGCCTTTATTTCGCATACCCCGAAAATACGCTGAACAGTTTTCTCGCTCAGCTGCCAGGGATGATGGGGACTGGGGGTTGGAGCTTGCTGTAAAGCCAACTGTGATGGCAGTCCGATGATTGACATTCATAGTGGCTCCAGCTCAACTGGCAAGTGTCCATGACCGGGAATTTTCTGTGACTGGAGGGGCCTCCTGCGACTGGATGGCGTATGAGCAGACCGGGATGTATGAGCAAACCGTGAGTATGGGCGAATTTGGACGATTGACTTCCTCCAGTCAATCAACTACATTTCTCATCCGTCTGTTCACAGAGCGGGGTCTAAATCATTTGGTCAGATTTCACTTACTATTCAATGGGCCTTTACAATCTTAAAAATATGATGACAGGATATAAATGCGTTGGTGATTTTAGTCCAAATCCTGGTTTCCCTTATAGTAGTTCTGAAACACAGCCCTGGGGGTAGATGGGCCTCTTTATATTTCTCTTTCTATTTCTCTTTCCTCCATCTGGCTAATCGCCGAGAAGTCATTTCCGAGCAGCTTCTCCTCTACTCCCTCCACGCTAAAGATTTAGAAAAATTGAAGAACCCCCATATTCATATCAATATCTAGACTATGATTCAAAACACTTATGGGTGCCGGGCTCGGGTAATCACTTCCCAAGTCTAACTTGTACCCATCATATAGAGTACATCATCGTTCTCACGCGAAGGTTTCGTGGTAAACAACTTAAACACCAGTGCACATGTAGTACCCGTTCCAAAGGTTGCTACACTTGGCATCGATAGTGGGGTTCTACTTTCGGAACTGAGCGAGAGTAATACCGCCAGCCTCCTTCTGTATCTCAGGGCAACTCTCACCATCAGTCACCTTGTGGTACTTCTTGCAGTCCGAGGTCAGGTTGGGCATCTGCGGCGTGGGGCCATGGGTATTGACCGCGCCGGGAACGTGGACACAGACATTGTAGTCCAGTTGCAAGTCGGTGCAGCCTGGTGGGAAAAGACAAGCACTCATTAAACAAAGAAAAATGTTCTGATATGGTTCTGTTACGTACCGGGGTTGATAGAAGGGTTCCATTTGATGAATTGATCGTGGGTGATCTTGAACTCGGCCTCGATAGAATCGCACTGATCCCCAGAGCTAACCTTGTGGAAGTTGTCGCAGTTCGCTGCGATGCCGGACTGGGTGGGGGGCTTGCCGCCGTCAGTGGGTGTAGGAGCAGCAGAGGTTGTGGTTGCACCGGGGACGTGGATGCAGACGTAGTAGTCCAACCAGATGTTGGAGCACTCTGAATATTGAGAGTTAGCGAGTCTACAAAAAAAGACCCAGAAATGGAAGGGCGAGCAAACATACTGTCATTGATGTAGGGGTTCCATTTGGAGAATTGTGAAGGCTGATGCCGGCTGAAGCCTCAATGGCATCACAGCTGTCCCCACCTACGACCTTGTGGAATTTGTCGCAGTTCTCAGACAGCCCAGGCTGAGTGGGCTCGTGGTACCTGGCCGAAGAGGTTGTGGAGTGAGCTTCAGTAGACTTGGTCGAGCTGGAGGTCATCACAGCGGTTGTGGTCTCAGCAACCATAGAAGTGGTAATGGTCTTGGTAGGTTCGTCATCATTTGCCTCACCAGAGACACAGTACTCAGTTTCATCATCGAATTTGGAGCAATCCAGATCAGGGTTGAGAGACTTGAGGTCGTCAACAGCGATGCCCCAGCTGTCGGCAAAGGTTTCACAAGTGTCGCCCGTACTGGGAGTAGTACTGAAACTGCAGTCGACACCGCGACGGGAGAAAGTATTTCCAATGGAGCGTGCAGCAAGCAACTCCGGTAGGAGGCCCAAGGCAAGAGCGGACTTTCCGTATCAAGCGCTGAATCGTGCGAAATTGATACTACTCCATCCAAATTTCCCAAGAGGAAGTATAGACGAACGGATAGACCGGATACACTCGCATACAATATACTAGTACGTCGCGTACAGATTGTAACGTTGGAGGCATGCCAAGGCACTAAAGATGCGCTTCCCTCACAAACCCTGCACCAACAACCCAAGTCCTACCAAGTCCGCTCAAGCTCAAATTTCGGCCTAGGCATCAGCCTGAGCATCGACCTATCGCATATCTCGGTTGTGCTCCAACTTGGCATGCTTAACCTTGGAACTCAAGTTCGAATTTTTCCTTGTGTATGTATGTACCTGACCATATCTCCACCCACACGCTTCCGTCGTGATCTCCGATTGGTGAACCGACCCGGCAATGGGGATAGGGCTAAGATGAGCGATGCTCATTGGTTCTTAAGAGATCACCAGGGTTTGACCCACCTTCCGCCCGCCTTTCCGCCCCCGGTGTCTTGGAGTTGGAGATTGCCGAGGATCGACCCGTGCAAAGTATGAAATCTAGCCCTATGAAATCAGCACTGTTGGTTGGTTCCAAAAGTTTGCTGGAGGCAGTCGAAGGGATCAGCTTCCCTTGGTTCTATCATGCTGACCTTCTCATGGAATTAAGAGGACCGACATTGGCCAAAAGGTCATGATGGCCATTGATGCGTATGTAGCATGTATGGGTTTGTTGGGTTCTCCGGACGGAGCCCTCCGTCCAGAATAACACTTGCGGCTCTGATGAAAAAAGCCTCACCGAGAAAAAGATTCAGCCTTCTGTAAATTGTTCTCCGTACTTGTGACGCCAAGACATTGCCATATTTGCAACCGAAGTATTCCGTAAAGCTGTAGGACTAAGTTTGTCGGGAGGACAGAAGCCGACAGCTCCGAGATTTTTGACAAGTGGAATCATTATGTTCACAGATCACACGGATGGTAAACAGTGGCGAAGCACCGAGTATTCCCTCATGACCCCACGAAACTCATTTTAACTATTGATGTGGCTTGAGGGAGGGGGTTCTCGGAGGCTCGTGCTACCAGCTCAGTTTACCATTCCACTGAAGCTTGATATTACTCTTGGCAAGCCACAGGACCACCATCCAGGTCAAGTTAGGCTGACCGAGAATACTCTGTCCTTTCGCTTGCGATTCAAAATGAGCGCCGGTATCGCGATACTTGAGGCTAGAAAAGTGGCATTGTTCATACTACATTGATTAAAGGCCGGGTGCGGCGTGGACTTGCCGAAACAGTCAAGAACACTCATTGGTACAAACAGTCAAGTTAGGCTAGATGTGCCCCAGTCTTGGCCCCATTCCCTAGATTGGAAACTATAACGGTATTGAAAATGCCCGTATCCATTGGACAATTGATAGTTGATACACTGAGGTTATTCAAATACATAGAAAAGATGAGCAACGTCGCCGCTAAATCAACAACTCACAAACAAGTAGCATACCAGCAGCCCACCATGTCAGCTGAGAGGCCGCATTGTTGACAGTAGCTGCGCCCTTTTTAGGTGGACAGCTTATACCAGGGGTAGGAACAGCGCACTGTGCTGCGGTGAGGATGGACGAGATGCTTGAGGCGGCCGCCGGTGAGACACTGACCTTGCAAGGAGCAGGCGTAGGCGCGGGACTCGCGAGCACGGCGCATTCTTCGCCTTCATAGTAACCCGATTGGGCTTCCAGGGTCTTTGTGACGTTGAATGCAAGAGCGGAGGCATCACCGCATTTGTCATCGGCAGTGAGAGCGGTCAAATTAGGCTGGTTTGCCCCTTTCTTCGTAGTAAAGCGGACGGATTGGCCTGCCCATGGGTGGTTCAAGTTGACTTTGGGCTCACCGTCCGAAGTGGTCTCGTTCGCCGACGTCGAGCAGTTGGCCCAGTCCAATTCCCAGACAAACTCCCAGTCATTCTCGGTGTTCAGCGTGTTTGCGATGCTAGCTTCAAGGAATGCCACAGAGCCCTTTGTATCTGTTGTATTGGGCAGATGTTCTCGCGCCAGATTGCTGGCCAGTGATTGATTCCCCGGCGGGAGATCCACTGGCCACAGTCCGTAATAAATATAGGGATAGAGTCGATCAATCGCCGCAGGGTTCTGAATTGCGAAAACGATGGGGGTGAGTGTCATCGGCCCAAAGGTGCCGCTTCGGGGGAAGACCAAGTCAACCTCTGCGAACCCAAGGCCTGTAGTCTTGGCTATCCCCAGGGATGCCATCAGGCTGAAAGCGAGGACCTGCTTCTTGATATCGAACATAGTAAGGATTCGAGAATATTAGAGTTGAGAAGCTTAGGTGTGGTTAAGCCGATACCACTGGACAGTCCAAGGTTGATAGCCAATATCAACTGACATCAGCGGCAAAATCAAACGTCCAAAGGGAAGAGATCAAGAAAGGGAAATTTGGGTGCAGTAGGGCGAGGTACCCCAAAGTAACCTAAAGTGAAAGGGTCGTATTTTTCGTACGGGCAGTAAACAGAACTACTTACGCTAGGGAGACTAGAAGGTTTCGTAGTCCGTAAAAAGAGGATCCCCCGGAAGTGGGTCAATACAATACAAAAATTATATTAAAATTATATACGAGTATCTAAATACCCCGTATATAGTCTTAGACCTCATTTCAATTTATGAACATTATTACCTCCTAGCCCTAGAATGTATTTGGGCAGTGGAGCCAGAAGCTTAGAGGACCCTCACAACTCTTAGCGGCCCCTACATCGCCTACTGCCACCTTAGAAATAGATATCTTAGCACAAGCCTCCAAGAACCACCTCCTTCAAGCCACATCAATAGTTAAAATGAGTTTCTTGGGGTTATGAGAGAATTATCGGTGCTTTACTACTGTTTACCATACGTATGATCTGTAAATATAATGATTCTACTTGTCAAAAATCTCAGAGCTATCGGCTTCTGTCCTCCTGATAAGCTTAGTCCTGGCAGCTTTACGGAGTACTTTGGTTGCAAATATAGCAATGTCTTAGCGTCATAAGTACGGAGAACAATTTATAGAAGGCTGAATCTTTTTCTTGGTGAGGCTTTTTTCATCAGAGCCATAAGTGTTATTCTGGACAGAGGGCTCCGTCCGGAGAACCCAGCGTCTATTCGTAGCATATACCACTTTGTCTCAATATGCATCAATAGCCATCATGGTCTTTTGACCAATGTCGGTTCTCTTAACTCTATAAGAAGGTAAGTATTATAGAACCAAGAGACCTTAGGCCCTTCTGGCAAACTTTTAGATTTACAGGGACCCAACCAACAATGCTAATTCTATAAGGCTAGATTTCATACTAATACACGGGCCGAGGGTCGGCCCGTGTATATCGAAGGGACTGGTGGACATTGGATCAAGCGTATCGAGGTACAGTACGGAATTCTTCATTACGGAACATGTGAATTCGGCATCACGGGTAAAGGTCGTAAGGGAAATGCCGACGAGTATGTCGGGGCTCAGGATGCCGTTGATGTTATTCGGTACGCTGCGAAGCATTAGGGTGATGGAAAAAGAATGGGAGTTAAGGGAACCTTCCAGTGCAAGGTTAACATCAAGAAGCAGAAGGTTGACTGGGCTATCTACCATACGAAATAATTACTCTTCAGTCATTCGAGAGTCGCCTCACAGGTGCTTGACCTAAGAAGTGGCTTAAATCTGTTATATTTGTTGTCTATATAGTGATGTAGTCTTTTTATATCCAAGATTCTTGAGCAACACTTCAAGGTGAGTCTAGTGATGATATCAAACCATGGTAAAATAACATCTTGCAATAAGTCCTTTCAATAAATGATCACAAACGGAAGGTAGCTGGATGGTCCCCATGGCGAACCATATCCTACGATACGAAGAATCTGGGAAACGGGACCTTCGCAGGACCGACCACAATTTTCAGGCGAGCAAGGAAACTCGTGGCAATTCCTAGAACAGGCACAGGTCTATAAATACCATATAATTTTGACAGTTTTCACAATGTACAAAAGCTAAGTACAGTATAGAGTAGTCACAGTATTTAGCAACTATTGAAGATCACTGGATTTAACCACTAAAATGCTAGAATTCGCCCCAACGGGTGTCGAAATCGCGGAACAATAAAGTTCCGGAAGTGGGTTCAGGTCTCGTTTTATTTCGACACCTGCTCTGCTGTAACCCGGGTATTAGGAGTAGCACTCTACTCAGGGTTGGGGGGGGGGGGGCTATGGTGTGAACACATACAACGGGGGACTACAAGTCAGTAAACACATGGAACTGTGATCAATCGAATGGATTTTGGCATCCTGGTCAGGTCTATCTGGTTCTTGTCAGGTTATTCTATCGCGTGGTAAAATGGAATTGAGGCTTGTCCCGCTTATATCGAGCTCTAACCTAACTCGCGTTGTATTGCCAATGCTCTTTCAATCTGCACAGTTCAATTTACCTGCGTTTCGAGTACCTATTGGAACACGCTGAGATCAAGAATAATACGACTTCAGTCACTTCGATGTAATTTTTTGGAACTATCTAAGATACTAGTATCTTGACTCGCGGAAAACAGAAATTTTGAGTAGCCCTTGGGTGTTCATCGAGAGGTTCTGATGGCTATTCTTCTGACTCTTGGCGGTAGAAACCTGCAACAAGGAAGGCCAATTCAAGAGCTTGCTTTTCATTGAGACGAGGGTCACAGAATGTTGTGTACCGCTCCCCGAGCCCATCCTCGGTAAGCCCAGCCGCACCACCCACGCACTCGGTTACTGCTTCGCCAGTTAATTCGAGATGCATACCACCTAAGAATGACCCGGCCGCCCGATGAATCTCCAAAGCCTGTCGCAGTTCCTCGAGGATATCCGTAAAGTGACGAGTTTTGACGCCGGAGGGAGTCGCTTGTGTGTTGCCATGCATCGGGTCGCATTGCCAGACAGGAATATGGCCAGACGCCTGGACGGCAGCAATGTGGCCTGGAAGGAAATTGGCAATTTTCTTCGCGCCGTATCGTGATATGAGAGTCACTTTGCCGATTTCCTTGGCTGGGTTTACCACGTCAAGTAAGCGGACTAGCTCATCGCCCTGCATACTAGGTCCAACCTTGATGCCGATTGGGTTGGCAATTCCACGGAAGAACTCCACATGGGCACCATCGAGCTGTCGCGTGCGGTCACCAATCCAGATGAAGTGGCCAGAGGTAGCGTAGAAACCGCTTCCCATCTCCCCCGTTGTTTCTGTGCTGGCGTGAGCTGGGTGCCGAAGCAATCGTGTCAGACTCTGCTCGTATTCCAAGGACAGTCCCTCGTGGCTGGTGTAGATATCAGCGGTCTCCACGCCTCGATCTTTGTCAATGCCGACAGTCTTCATGAATTTTAGCGCATCCTTGACTGCTTTGACAATCTGGGCATATTGCTCCCTGATTGCGGGTGTGATAACATGGCCGAGACCCCAGTCGAGAGGAGAGTGAAGGTCTGCAAGACCCGAAGAAAGAGATGCGCGCAGGTAATTCAAGGTCGCCGCAGAGTGAAAGTACGCTGATACCAGACGCGACGGATCTGGACGCCGGGATTCCGCATCGGCAGCAAACCCATTGATATTGTCGCCACGGAATGAGGGCATCTCGACCCCGCCGATGACTTCTGTGGGGCTGGATCGCGGTCTCAGGTACAATGATCAGCAAAGGTATACGCGATTGGGAGCAGCTAGATGAATTTTACTTGGCAAATTGGCCTGCAATACGGGCGATTCGAATGACAGGTTTGTTGGCTCCTGAGTAGAACGTGAGTATATTGAATTGTTTGAGGGAGACGGGATTCATTTTCCTACCCCAGATAAGAATCAAACTCATTTGCAGCAAAAGCTTGACTTTGGCTTCGATCATATCTTGATTGCAGTAGTCGAATAGTTCGGCACAGTCGCCTAAGAAATTAATTAGATGAGAAGTCATTGATAGGAAGTGATTGGAACGAGATACCTCCTTGGAGAACGAACGCCTTCCCCAAGGCTACATTTCTCAGGCTGTTCTTGAGGTTATTGATCTAAGTTCAATTTAGCCATAAGATCTCATCATCAATAAACGAATCGGTGGGGAAATACCTCTTGGGTGGTAACAAGCGGCGGGAGCTTATGGAGCTTGTCCAGTGCATCTTTTACACCTTGTGCATCCTCGTAGACCACATCCTGCGTGATGGGTTTTGTAGTCCAAGCTGCAGAAAAGGGTATCAGGAATTGAGTCAATCGAAATGATGGCATCGAAAGAGGCCACATGAAGGATCGGGAAAAGCACGTACAATTAGGACTCCAGTTCGCCATCGTGTGACCGTGTGACGATGACACTCACGCTGATGCTGATGATAGTGGGGAGTGTGGGGTGGGGCTAGAAAGGAAAGGGATGAAATAGCCAGACAGTGAAGTGGAATGGCAGTTCAAGGGTTGATGGTAGCTGATTAGCTCTGTAGCTCTGAAACTGTCAAGACACTCGGGTTCCAATCACACAAAGAAGCAAATCAACCGAATCGTTCAAGTGCAAAAAACTCAAAGACAAAAAGAAACAACCGCAAACCCGCTTATTCACGGGACTTCGATGAGTCATGTTGACACCTCATTATGCAGGCGTGAAGGAAAAACATAAGACATCTGAGGAATCGACACATCAATCCATTGTAAAGTAGACTGAACTGAGTTGAGATTACAATTCCCTCGTAAAATCGCATGCCAGAAATATAGTTCCCTTCAAAGGTGTATCATAGTAGGGGGTTGTCTCAACAAATCCATGCTTCCGATACAACCGTCGCGCCGCAAGCATATCGGGCAAAGTGTCTAGGCGAATTCCTCGGTACCCCAGGGATTTCGCTTGATCGATAATGGCCTCCACTAGCTTATCACCAAGTTGAAGACCGCGTGCTTCAGGGAGAACATAGAGGCGCTTCATTTCACACCAACCGTCCGAGCTACGACGGAGTGCGACGCAGCCGATAGTCACGGGCGGAGTCGCGTTAGAACCAGGCAAGCCTAATTTGATGACATTGGAAGTGGCGTCGTCATGGGCATTCATTGGATCTGAAGTACGTGCGATGAGAAGGGCGCCTCCGTCAGTGGTGGCGTATTTGCCGGGTATCGAGTCGAGCTCCTCTTCAAAGGATTGGAATGTCAGATCAATCCCTAGCGATGCCGCGTAGCCCGAGAACAACGCACGAATGACTGGGACATCCTCCGGAAACTGTGCATGGTTGATGTGAACGGCCATGGGACAAGAGAAAGGATCCGGTGGGCATAAAACAATCGGTGATCCCGATCACAAATAACTTCCAGGGTTCTGGTACGAAAATAATAGAAAAGGGCAGACTTGCTCCACATCGGCGTTGCTGTCGAATGCCGACATGTGGGCCTACTAGTTTAACTAAGCTACAGGCTTATAGCCAGCTTCTCCTCTGTCTTCTAGATCCATCACAGTTCCTCGTAACATTTTTTTCTTGATTATATGTAGGGAAACATAACGTCAAGGTCGTCGGCGAAATTCAAATATCAAAAATTCGCCCGCGCCCAGTTCTTCCTAGCCCACTCCTCCGCCGTCTCAGCTTGTATTCCCCGTTGCTGGTTCCATGTACCTGCCAACTCCCACGCCACGCCGTGGCCCTGCCCAAAGACCGCCTGGTATTTGAGCAGTCCATTGTGAGGGTCAGACGCTAATGCATCCTGCATTTTCTCCATCGTCAACACATTCCTGGTAATGGGATTGCCAGTCACTCTTTCGACTAGCTGAGCCAGCCCTTCATAACTGATAGTATCCCCTCCGATGAAGATAGGGCGATTATTGAATAAATCCTCATCTCCCAACACAATTTCCGCCGTTATCAGTCCAATATCTTGCGCGGTAGTGATAGTGACTTGATTTTCCAAGCTTCCCAGTGCGTTGACACGGTCGTTCTCCAGATCGACTACCCCAAAGGAGGGCTCAAAAAGAAAACTCGTGAACATGCCCGTGGAAATAATCGCCCATTGAGTCTTGGTCTGCGACCGCAAAAGATCACGCACATCAAGTTGCTCGTCGAAGAGATCTTGAGGGGATCCTCGTCCAATAGCATCGTAGTCCACCCCAAACTGCCAGGGGATAAATCGTGGTATTTCAGCATCGAGGGCAGCACGGGTGATCTTGAGTTGGACGCCGGTGCCTGAGACAAAACCCGTGCATCCAATCACGGTGTCATAGTTTGCAAATATCGAAGCTAGTCTTCGCTCAGAATCTTCAACAATATCCCCAGGGACGAGATCTATGCCCAGCTGCTGGAGCGCTTTCTTTTGCTTTTGTTTGGACGGACTGGAAGAGTCGATGCTGCCAGGGCGCATCAAAACTGCGACTGTGGCGGGGCGGCGAGGATGCGCAACCAGAGCACGCAGCACTTGGAAGCCCAACTCCCCAGCACCGATGACTAGGATTTTTTGAGAGGTCATCATGTCAATCCAAGGTGATAAGGATTTGGAGAAAGGGGGCTCATCAAAGGTATAGACCCAACATATCCTTCTTGTCTAGCACAAACAACGGAAGGTTATTTAGTCTGCTAACTCCGTGCTTTGTAATAAAGGCTGCTGCTGCCCCACTAAATTGGAGTCAAAGGATCGAAGGATCAGGCAGACTATGATCATCTGCAGATCGTCTCAGGCATCGAGGCGCTATTGCCGACTTAAATCCGGTCATGAATTACTGGTGCGATTGTTAACTTAGTGTTGTCATTCCTGTTGAATCCTGGCGTAGTAAAGAGAAATTGAACGACCAGTATGGCAATCTCTTTTGCGAAGAGCAGAATTTGAAAATTCCTGATAGCGAAACTGCATGATCTGAATAGATACTAGGAGTTTATTGAACATGGTTCCCCTTAAATATATGGAAATTCCATTCTCCGACCTTCGAGGAGGGTCATTAAAATCAACCACGGCTGAGCCTTGGCGCCCGTGTTTCTTTCTGCTCATCAACCGTTCCGATAGAAATACCTAAACACCCGAGTCATAACCTTCCTGTCTGACGGCATCGGAACTTTCCCACGCTTGGCAATTTTCCGACAAAGCTGTCCAGTTTGTCAAACCAGGAATCTCATCTGGTAGCTCTATGAATTGGAGATCGAAGCCCATTGCAGTATGCCACCCGATATGACAATGAAGCAGCCAGACACCTGGGTTATCTATCTTCCACGCAAGGAGGATATGGCCTTTTGCCACATCTAGCATGGCTGTGTCTCGGCGTATAGGATTTTGTGTTTTGACCGTTCCATCCCACTGATCAGTGCTCTGTGATAATACATAGAAGTCATGGCCATGCAAATGCATGGGGTGTGCGGCTGCTGGTATAGGTCTTCCCTCCGGAGTAGACTTAGCCTGATTGTTCGTAATCAACAGATAGAACCAGATACCCCTTCTGGGCAATACCACTGCGTTATATGCTTTACTCAAATTCGTGAGATTATTATGTATGACATCTAGCAATGTAGGATGTTCCCAGTGCACATGCATGGATTGGTTGTTGAGCGTCCATTTCATGTATGAGTCGGTTTCTCGACCGGTAACATTGGCATCGAATACCCGGGAGTCAAAATACTTTCCAACCGGGGCTTTGCTAAGTTGAGTTGAGTTGCTGATATCGGCCCATGCGATTGGCCAAGGAACTTTTTTGGGCATATATGGAGTAAGACTATCCATCTTTTCATCCACACAATTGTGGTTGTAAATGTGATCATTAAGATCCTTTGGCTGTTCATCGTTTCTTTCTCCGTAATACAAGATTCCTTGAACATGATCTCGATTAAAGATATCACCACAATCCGAAACTGTTTTGGCAATAATCCAAAATGGACCTGGATCGTTCGAATCTGCGTGTAGAATAATGTCGTAACGCTGTCCTTTCGGGAATTTAGCTTCAATACTTAGACATCTTGAAATCAAGAATAGACTTACCCATCATAATATGGATAGATGAGACATGGTATGGTACTATTGGCACCAGGTCGGCAGCGATAACAGTAAAGTTGTGGCCCTCGATATGCATTTCAAAATTAGAGTCAATGGCACCATTAACGAGTCGTATGCGATACTTCTTATCGTGCTCGACGGTCATATTAAATCTATATCCGCCAATCGGAGACGCATCGACTTGTAAACGCACATTTGCAGGAACTATTTGTGTGTTATCCCAAATATTTGTTCCATTTATCAGCCCATTTGCCATGGTTTCTAGGCCGGATGTCGCTATAAGTGCATAATACTCCTCAGTGGTCTGATGTGACCAATCATTCAAGAATAGGACCCCTCTATCTTCATCATAGTCAGCGCTAGCCGGTCCATTTATGACGATCCCACCAAAAGCACCATTCCAGGCTTGCGTTTCAATATGTGAGTGATACCAGGCGGTTCCATACTGAGTAGCTTTCCATCGATATGTGAAAATCGCTCCAGGGGGTATAGGGCACTGCGTCAACGATGGAACACCATCATCTTCATTTGTATAGAGTTGATTGATGCCGTGCCAATGAATAGAAACTCCTGATGCTTCATGAAAGCCGATGGGGTCCTTTATGAGATTGTTTTGCACCTCGTTTATTACCTCATCTCCCCAGTCCGCGAAAATTGTCGGTCCAGGAACTTGGCCATTCACTGTTATATTTTCTCGCGAATTATTTAGGTTTTCCGGCACATATCCATCTGGTCCTGGTCCACGCGTTGCATTAATAGCAAGGTGATATTTGCGTGTAACGCCAGTGAATGGGAAAAATGTCTCCGTATCCGTGCAGATATCGCATTGGCACCAGCTTGTGCGGGTATGGGGTGAGTTTCCAGGACATGCGTGTTCAAAGTCATATCCACAGTGCTGAAATGGAAATCCTGGGGCCAATCCCTGATTTTCGCATCGAGGGAGCCCGCTTTCTTGGCCAGATACGATACACAGAAGAAATAGACAAATTAAAAATCTCATGAAGCCTTTATTAGACATGGCCAGACGGATGATAGTCGATTTTCAATCGTTGCAATCGATGGCGTAGATACCGTGACAACTTGAAGATCGGAAGAGAACTTTCAACCTTCGTTCACGCAGAATGAAGCTATCTATTTATTTCTTGGTTTGCTTCAGATCAAATAAACAGTCAATGGTGTACACTGTATTCAATCGCCTGAAACATATTTAGATTTCTCGAGCATGCCGGATCTTGTCCCACCTGGAATTAGAAATATTCCCCGATGCTGTAATTTAGGTATGATATACTAGTTAGTACTTCAGGTTCCAGGGATGAATTTTTGATTGTCCTATTTCCTCGAGTTATAAGATCTTCATATGGTAATCACATGTTTTTTTTAAACAATTGAGGCCCAAATGTAATCGGAACTTTTGTTTTCTCTCTCCTTTTGGCTATGGATCACACGTCATGGGTTCAAGTTCCATCTGCTACCTGCAAAATAACCTATAGGCTGGCAAACTGTTTAGTGTTGCCAGAGAATTTGAAACAAATTTTCAAACCGACCGTAGACCTATGAGCCGGACTGTCGGTTGATTTTCAGTTGGGCCAGCAGGGTTTACGTTATGGGAAATCACACTTCAAAAAATACGATCAATATTGGGGCGACTTGAAAGAAATGTTAAGATATAGGGTGGTCCTTGCCTAAGCCCTGGGTTGTCTCATGGTTAGGTTTAATACGGGGCGGCGGGTTACGATCTGTGCTCGTTCGTCATAAGCTCCTCGGTAAATAAGCAGGGAAGCCCCAGCAGGCATATCCCGTCGTGCAGGATAACCTCATTCCGCAGCATTCCGAGCTACTCTTTAATCAATGGAGCAATCAAACTAAAAGCGAGTCCTCGATGCATATTTAAGATCTCTTAATCTTCTAGTGATGTGGTTGCAGTATTTGAACTTTTTTGACTTTGGTACATCAAAATTTGGCGCCATTGTAGTATTATCTCTGACACTTTCTTTATCACAATGAATTTCAATATGGCCAGTTATATTTTCACCCTCGTCCTTCCAGTGCTTTCATATAAAAATGTGAAACTCGTGAATGATGTGGGCCATTCTCTTCTTGAGCCCTTTGGACTATACGCCTATGGAGAGGAAATCCAAGGGCTTCGCGTCTTGGCTGCAGATGGTACTATAAGACTCACTGATACCAACATATATCACTTATTAAGTCGATGATGACATAGGTCAGGCTGTATTTGGTAACCAAAGTCTGTCAAATTCGTCAAACCTGACGCCATTCATTGGTAAGAGATGTACTATTCGAAAGACACCTTGTTATGATAAGCTAACAGCGACACATATTAAACAATCAATATTCCTAGTGGCCAAACTAGATTACCAGATCTATGGCAGGTTTCGCCCGATACAAGTAGCCAGTATACCGTCAATTCTAAGTTAGTCTTTTCAAGTGAGGCGACGGTACCTGGTGATGTTTGGCTGGCTTTGTATGACTCTACAGAGACTGTGAGTCCGGTGGGGTTCTCCATGAGTACTGAGTTATCCAGCATGCGAACTAAGGTATGGTGGCTATATGGCCTATATGCTGAGTTCAATTACGGGATATTCTATGCTCGTCGACTTCATGAAGGCGGTTTATGGCAGTTGATGTGGAGCGAAGATGATCTCCCATCTTCAGAATATCCTGTAATTACCATAAGATCTGTTCCACCCCGCTGATACTGGGCGATGGAAGATAGCTAGTAGTATAGATGATGGCCTGCTTCTGATATCGCTACTTTACCCCAATCTAGTAATGATAAAGATGATCCGAGTCTCGTCGATTCACATGAATTAGATGCTGTCTATTCATTGATGGCTTTCTAGATATTTTTGTGTCAATCTTTCGATGTAGATCATCTATCCTCGGACGATTCTGAAGCAGCCGCATGAAAGTGTGGGAGTGTTTATCCACTACTTTGTTACTATCCGAAAACCAAATTGCATTCGTACTATCTTCTTCGGCGTTTGTATTCATCTAAATGTCTCCTATTACGATAATCTTTCCTCTGATGTGGTGGATCCAGACCCACTCTGACTGGTGACATTACTCTTGGACAGGAGACGTCTAGTTCATGCAAGAGCGAGTAATATTCATCAGGGACATTGAATCATCTGTTCTATAAACAGACTGATTTCAATTTTATAAATATTCCGGTAGATTTGAGATAATATCTCGGGCTTCCAAATATCTCGCTTCTCTCCTTAGAGAGCATATACGGTTGCAAGGGATTCCATGACATATATGATAGCTTATAGAATTCGACCACGGATGTCTTATGGCTTTACCCGGGGGTTTGGTCGAGATCTAAATTCTCTCAGTATCCTGGGATACTCTTCCTTAGGGAATGAGGTTGACTGGGTATGTTTTGCTGATATTTATAACTGGAACTGGCAGTCCCGTCGCTCTCTATGCAACCATTCCAGCTAGGTGATGCAGAAACTTCAACAAGGGAATCGTTGAATCCAATGGTCTAAAGGGGATATCCAAGCACAGTAACTGCCTTGAAAATGACTCACTTTTCATTTTATGTTCATGGATGTGCTCTAGTATCAATAGCAGAGGTTCTTTTCAAGGTTTTCTATATAGCTATCCCTATAGAACGAAAGGTCACTCACTCCACGCGGCATCTACGAATTTCAGGTCGGTCAATAGTTAGAAATAACATGTTTACTATTACTGCGCTATGAAGATCAAGATTGCAGTTTTTTCGGTGTTTCTGACTGCCTCCGCCACAGTGGCAATTCCTCAACCTCGGCCTACACCAGTGAAGCCATACCTTATACAACCAAGAGCAGCAGCTACTTCCCAAGTTGCGGATAAAACTGGTCTTCGACCCCCAGAAGTAATTGCAACAATTGCGATAACTGGTTATGAAAACACACCGATGGCAATAATAACGACTACAACCACTGTACCAATAGACTGGAGCGGTCATTATTGGGAAGCGGGGACGAAGTTCTCGGCAATGGCTGGTAACTTGATTTCACCCTCGCCTTCGCTTGGCTGCGTTCTAAGAGGCCTTGCCGAACCTTCCGCACACGGGGCAGACAATAATAGGCACCTTGACCTATACAGCACCGCGCCTAGTGCCACTATGCCTCTAAGTGAGGTTTTGATTACTCCAACCATCACTTGCTGCTTTGGCTGTCCATTTGCTTGAATAGCAGTAGGGAGAGTAACCACGGCGTGGCATTGGACTGGAGTACATGGCGGATAATTTCCTACGGTCACCGACTAGGCAGTGTGTACCTAGATACTGTTGAGCGCTCAAAGAAGTAGGAGTTATGTTCGAAAGCTTCCATTTATGTGCAAAGTTAGCCATGCTAGCCAATATAAACATCCATGGTGTCTAAAATTTGGGAATTTTGTAAAAAAAAAAGGAAGGAGGAGGAGGAACAAGTATGAGTTCATGGAAAAGTCAAGTTATGAACTAGCAATGTACCGTAGAGTAAATGCATTCCTTGGCATATAGATGAGTAAGCTGAATCAGGTGATCTGGTTCTGCCGGGCGGTGGGAAATGATGCTTTGGTGTGTTTCTGCCTGAGGCACAACAACCTCAACTACTGTACTTCCTACTCCCTACAACAGAACCATCTTGATTCCAATTCCATGTGGAAACCCAAAACAAAACGAAACTCTCGGGACTCCTGCCTCAACCAAATTGACAATGGATCCTGCAGAGATTTCCGGCTCGGCCCTGACCTGCCTTTGCATTGCGGAACCTGTTATTTGGGTTGAGGAGGCAAAGAGGACTGACGCAAGCAGGGAAACTGGGCCCGAGCACAATCAGCGCAGGCGAAACCAAGGGGGAGCTCGGGCTCGAATTGCTCCAATTTGCCCCTGTGCTAAGAATATTCCACAATATTTTGGATCCACTTGCCCCAGGGTGAGAGTGCCCCGGCTCCACTCAAGTCCGGATTCGCTTGCATCGGCACCGCGTGATGTAATCCAGCTTCGCCCAGCATATTTTCCGATCTTCCATTAAACTGGCGGTGACCCAGCGCTGGCGTTGCTTTTCAACTTCTCATCTCACACTCTCTTTACACTTTTCTCTATTCTTCCTCATCCCATTCCTCCAATTGACCATGGCACCCCTCAAACTCAACTCAAAGAACCTCTCACAGATCGCCACCGCCGGTGAATCCCAAGTCAAGGTCCCGACCTATGCACGCGGTGGCGCCGTCAAGGAGGGGATCGTCCACATTGGTGTCGGCGGCTTCCACCGAGCTCATTTGGCCGTCTATATTGATAAGCTCATGCAAAATCATGGCGTGAATGATTATGCTATCTGTGGTGTCGGCCTGCAGCCCTTCGACGTCGCAATGCGCGATGTTCTGCGAGCACAGGACGGCCTTTACACTGTCATCGAGCGCTCAGCTGATGGGAGCTTCGCCAACATTGTCGGCAGCATTAATTCTTTCCTCTTCGCTCCGGATGATCGCGAAGCTGTTATCGCCAAGATGGCGCACCCTGATACCCACATCGTCTCGCTCACCATCACCGAGAGCGGCTACTACTATAATGAAAACACCCACCAGCTGCAAAGTGAACACCCCGACATCCAATTCGACCTCGACCCAGCCAACGAGAAGAGCCCGCGTACCACCTTTGGTTTCCTCTACGCTGCCCTCGCCCGCCGCCACCAACAGGGTCTCAAGCCCTTCACCGTTATGTCCTGTGATAATATGCAGAAGAATGGTTCCATCACCCGCCACATGCTCGAGTCTTTCGCCCGCCTGCGAAGCCCGGAGCTTGCTAAGTGGATCTCCGAGCAAGGCCACTTCCCTAACGCCATGGTTGACCGCATCACACCTCAGACCGCGCCCGCAGACAAGACCGCCCTCGCAGATAACTTTGGTATTGAGGACTCATGGCCTGTCGTTACCGAACCATTTATGCAGTGGGTGATCGAGGACCGGTTCTGCGATGGCCGCCCACCTTTCGAGAAAGTTGGTGTTCAGGTTGTGAACAATGTTCACGACGTTGAACAGTTCGAAAAGCACAAGCTGCGTCTGCTGAACGGCAGCCACTCTGCCATCGGATATCCCGGTCAGTTGGCGGGCTTCAAGTACGTCCACGAGGTTATGCAGCACCCGGTATTCCGCAAATTTGTTTGGCAGATGATGCAAGAGGAGTCGAAGCCTAACCTGCCCGATATCCCGGGCGTCGACATCGACGAGTATTGCCAGACTTTGATGGAGCGGTTCTCTAACCCTACCATCATGGATCAGCTCCCCCCGCGTCTGCCTGAACGCCTCCGGCAAGATCCCACAGTTTATCATGCCCTCCATTGCCGAGGCAATCTGGGTCACTGGCCCCTTCCGCCGTCTGTGCTTCGTCGCGGCCGCTTGGTTCCATTATATCAAGGGAGTTGACGACAACGGAAATAGCTTCAAGCTTGAAGATCCCATGGCCGAGGAGCTCCAGGCCAAGGCCCATGCCGGAGGCACAAACCCTGCTGAGCTCCTCAGCATCAAGAACCTGTTCGGTAATGATCTTCGCAGCGATAAGCGCTTCATGCAGCAGATCACCATTGCGCTAGAGGAAATCTCCCGGGATGGCATTCTGAAGACTCTGCCCAAGTACGTTGATTGATTGACACGACCAGAGCTATAATCTGGAAAACAAAAGTATATCTATGATTGCAAGCGATTTTTTACGATTTTTCTATTATGGGTCATGAGGTTGTGAGATTACGAGGAATACTCGGACACGGCATTGGATATAGATAGATGAATGATAGAGAACTCCGAATTCTTATTTCATCGCACATTCTGTTCCCAAATCACTTTTCACTCAGACATTCCATCGTATCATATTCTATTCATACAGTGATCCGCTAGTCCTTCCTGTTTGACGAGGTGTCACCCCACCTGAAATGCTTTCTCGCGACATGGACAACCTTGGAATCCATGATTCATGAGCAGGAATTCCATCGCTGCCCGTTCTCCAACACTTGACCCACAGATGTATCTGGTCACCGAACGACCTCGATGTCAAAGCGTAAGTTTGCAAACCCCCCCAACCCGTGCTGGCCATGTAGCGATACGCTGGATTCGTCGAGTGCCTCTACCAAACGCCCCCAAGAGGAAATAAGCGACTGTCTTCCCAAGTCTGGTACCCAACAACGCGTCATATTCCGATGTGCCAATGTCCCAGGGTTGCGCGATGTCATTCGGCCATGTCAGACCGGTGTTGGCTTCATTGTAGAGTTGGCGTTTGATGAATTGGAGGGTCTCCTTATTCTTGACATTAGTCACAAAGACATACCTTAGCCCATCGAGATCGAAGTGGCTTTCGTAGAGCGCTTTGGTGATCTGCGAGATATACGGCGCGCCATAGTCTTCGTTTCTCTCGATTTGATCAAGGGTTATCATGTCGGGGCCGGTATGTCCAATCCAGGTAAAGTCATGGTGCATGATATGGAAGGACCGAAAGTTATTCTCTTTAACGGGCGAGCGAGACGTTTCTGGAGGTCCAAGTTCGATCCAATGAAGTGTAAGAACACTTTCGAGACTGCAAGGGTAAGGCGTGCACGGCAGCTTGTAGTCAGTTCGTAGGTCCTTGATGGTCAATGTGGATCTTCGGATGTAGCAGTTTGGCTCGTTGGCGTCTTTCAGCCATTGTCTTCGCTTCTGTCCCTCTGCTTGGATCCTGCCATATTTGAGGGGCCAGTGCCTTGCTGTTAGCTGGGGTTCGGAGTGCTGGTTCAAATCAGTTGGTGCGCCGTCCGTTCCATGCCAGGGTTGTTGACGGTTGTTTCTTTCCTTGATCATTGGATGGCGAGGATCTGAGTCTTCTTGTAGAGATAATTTCCCTTGATGACATTTTCTAATACTCACGTGAGGGATGTAGTGGTGGGTGACTGGGGGGGAGAGATGGGGGGGGAGTTTAAAAATGCGAGGCAACACTCGTGGACTAATTGGGGGTATAGATGGATAACAGTGACCCTCCGAGTCCGAGTCCACGCTGGAAGAAGAGGAAGCATGCAGTTGAAAGAAAGGGAGTTGATTCCAGATACTCTGACTTGATTGTGTTCACTGTCTGTAACATGGTTTGATATAAACCAACTTGAACTTGAAGGTTGAACCTCTTGAAGTGCTCTTCACGTTACCACACCACCTCAATATGGCTGGAGGAACATAAGGGATCTTCAAGCTTGAAGTCAGGACTTCTGAACCCCGGGATCTATAGCCCTGGAGTATATTTCCAGACTCGGAGGTCGTTAGCTTCAAGTTACTACGAACTTGGGAACTTGAAAATGTCCACAACTCCGACAGCATACTACTACTCAGTACTATAGTTTATACACTGGGCAACATCCGAAGTTTAACCGGGGTACCCCGAGCCATGGACTTGGGTCACACCTTCCCCGGGCAGGCGGACCGAACTGCCGTGTCCGGCTAAACCTCGGGCGCTTCTCCGTGCCTCATCGAGCTCGACTCCACCGCGGATCGCGTTCTTCGACATGTCATCATCTTATACGGCAGTGTTGAACGCTGCTAATGTACTTGTACGCTGTTCGAAGCGGGGAGTAACGGTCCAGGCGACTACTTAAATATCAACCCCGCTCTGCTGTCTCGGTCATTCAGCAGTATCTCACCTCAACCCTTTTATCTCTCGCAGTGAGTGTATCGGAACTCTTACACAATTGAATCCTAGCCAGAGTCGACGAGAAGCTTCCAAGTTGAAGAATATAATCGACCCGAGGCGGTCTTTCATTGTGTCAAAAACTTGAAGAAACGATTACGCACTGGCAGTCGACCCCCACCCACACCATGGCCCGCATTGACGTCGAACAAGCTATCGAGGAGCTCACCCTCGGCGAGAAAGTTGCACTGACAGCTGGTTAGTTTTGAATTTCCTTGTTTTCTTCCTTTCATCTTTTGTCAAATCCAAGAATCATCATAGCTCATAACTATGGTGGTGAAGACCGTTATGGATACAAGGTCCTGACATTCCGTGCTGATCGGTGGCTAATTTCCGGCAGGTCGTGATTTCTGGCATACAGTTCCCATTCCACGATTGAATATTCCGTCGCTGCGCATGTCAGATGGCCCCAATGGTGTTCGTGGCACTCGGTTCTTCAACGGCATTCCCGCCGCCTGCTTTCCGTGTGCGACCGCCCTGGGAGCGACCTGGGACGTCGAGCTGCTGTCGGAGGTCGGGAAGTTGATGGGTGAAGAGGCTATCGCCAAGGGTACACATATCGTTCTGGGCCCTACAATCAACATCCAGCGATCTCCGCTTGGTGGACGTGGCTTTGAGTCCTTCTCCGAGGATGGTGTTCTGTCCGGCACCCTGGCGGGCCACATGTGCAAGGGCATGCAGGAGAAAGGTGTGGCAGCGACACTGAAGCACTTTGTCTGTAACGACCAAGAGCATGAGAGAATGGCTGTCAGTAGCATTGTCACTGAACGAGCTCTCCGCGAAATCTACTTGTTCCCCTTCCAGGTTGCTATGCGCATTTGCCGCGCCGCTTGTATTATGACTGCGTACAACAAAGTCAACGGTACTCACGTCAGTGAGAACAAGACCCTTATCGATGACATTCTGCGTAAGGAGTGGGGGTGGGATGGACTTGTTATGAGCGATTGGTACTTCTAACTCTATTTCTCTTGTTGACGAGCAACGAATGCTAACTCCGATTTCAGGTTCGGCACATACAGCACATCCGACGCTATCAACGCCGGTCTTGACATTGAAATGCCCGGCAAGACACGATGGCGTGGGGAGGCTCTCGCTCACGCTGTTTCATCCAACAAGGTCGCCCAGTTCAAGCTGGATGAGCGTGTGCGGAATATCTTGAACCTGGTAAACTGGGTTGAGCCCCTCGGCATACCAGAAGGTGCTCAAGAAAAGGCATTGAATCGTCCGGAGGACCAGGCTCTCATGCGCCGTGCGGCAGCTGAGTCGGTTGTTCTTTTGAAGAATGAGAACGACGTCCTGCCACTGAAGAAGGATAGCTCCGTCCTCGTCATCGGTCCCAATGCTCGCATTGCCTCATATTGCGGTGGTGGTTCCGCCTCACTTGCCCCTTATTATCTTGTCACACCCTTTGAGGGAGTGTCTGCCAAGAGCACCGGTGAGGTCAAGTTCACCCACGGTGCCTACTCGCACAAAGAACTACCGTTACTGGGCCCCCTTCTTAAGACCGCGGATGGTCAAGCGGGCTTCACCTTCAAGGTATACAACGAGCCGCAAAGTGCAGAACCAAACCGAGAAGTTGTCGATGAGCTACATCTCACTTCTTCGATTGGATTCCTGATGGACTATGTCAACCCGAAGATCAAGTCTATGACATATTATGTCGACATGGAGGGATTGTTCACCCCGGAGGCCGATGGTCTGTACGACTTTGGTGTGACTGTCGTGGGGACTGGACGTTTACTCGTGGATGGCGAGGTTGTCGTAGACAACACTAAAAACCAGAAGCAAGGGTCTGCCTTCTTTGGCACCGGCACTGTCGAAGTACGCGGGTCCAAGGAACTCAAGGGCGGCCAAACATACAAGGTTGTCTTCGAGTTTGGCAGCGCCCCAACCTCCGACCTCGATACCCGCGGAATCGTCGCATTTGGACCTGGTGGATTCCGCTTTGGTGCCACTCGCCGTATCAGCGAGGAGGAAATGATCTCCGCTGCGGTCGAAGAAGCTGCAAAGGCCGACCAGGTGGTGATTTTTGCTGGTCTCACTAGCGAATGGGAGACTGAGGGATATGACCGTGACCACATGGACCTGCCACCCGGCAGCGATGAATTGATCAGCCGTGTATTGGCAGTCAAGCCTAATGCCGTCGTCGTTATTCAGTCCGGTACGCCCGTGACCATGCCATGGGTAAATGAGGCTCGCGCTGTTGTGCAAGCTTGGTTTGGAGGCAACGAGTGCGGAAATGGAATCGCTGATGTACTCTATGGCGACGTTAACCCGTCGGCCAAGTTGCCTATTACATTCCCTCGTCGTCTTCAAGACAACCCTTCATATGTCAACTTCCGGTCTGAACGCGGCCGTGTTCTGTACGGCGAGGATGTCTATGTGGGCTACCGATTCTTCGAGAAGAGTGCCGTGGAACCTGCATTCCCCTTCGGCCACGGTCTATCATACACGACCTTCTCACGATCCGATTTGGGAGTGGACACAGTCCCCGAGCGATCTCAATACGAGGAGTCCGGCGAGCCGATCACAGCAACCGTTACCGTCACCAACACTGGTTCTATTGCGGGTGCTGAAATCGTTCAACTCTGGATTGTCCCGCCCAAGACAGATGTTAACCGCCCTGTCCGTGAGCTCAAGGCATTCCAGAAGGTGTTCCTCCAACCCGGCGAGTCGAAGACAGTCCAACTTGTGGTCGAGAAGAAGATCGCTTCCAGTTGGTGGGACGAGACCCGCGAGCAATGGATATCCGAAAAGGGCCGCTACGAGGTGCTGGTGACTGGCACAGGCTCGGAGGAGCTTCGAGGAGAGTTTGATGTTGGAAAGACACGGTTCTGGCTGGGTCTTTGAGGTACTCCCAAAGAAGAATTGAAACGATAAGTAGCGGTAATTAGTGAGGGATATAAATAGCTTGTAAGCATCGGACTTTCAAAGTTATGAAATTTACGACCAAGACTGAAATTGAATGCTATTGAGCTTTACAAATAAATTAGTCCCATTTTGTGGATAGGCGTCGTTTCATGCGGTTAATTTCCGGCATTATCCTGTCGGTGCATTTAATACACCATTTATATTTCCTCCCTTTCGCTGTGATGGGCGGTTTCCTTCGCCACGGGCCTTCATCAAGGCGAATTGGCTGTCGCTTATTTGCATAATGTGACCGAAGCCTGCATGCCCCGCAGTGTGAAAGAGGAGAAGGGGGATAACTCCTAGGATCTCTCTATCTTGATTGATCAAAAACTAGACATTCAAGCGATGTCGCAGGGAACATCGAAACTGTTAGGGCGGGGTGGAAATCAAAGTCGAGTGTTGGGAGCCATTCAACGGAGAGTTTCACCAGGCAGCGGGTCCACCACAGGTCCAATCCAGCCCTGGTAAGGGAATTGCGCCCGCTCCGCCATCAATTTCATATTGGGACTGCATACCAAATCCAGCACCTGGGTGGAGATAATGGCCTCCCAAGCCACATGGAATGTTGCCAAGGCCCACTGGGATAGCCATGGGAAATTCGTCCAAGTCCATTCCAGAAATATTATCTGGTTGCTCAGTTGTTGCAGTCTGAGCTGCTGCGGATTTTTGAATCTCTCTTTCTCTGATGATAGAAACAATATCGGGTATTGCTGTATCTCCTTTCTTCGGATTCGATGCGGACTCCCGCTGCTTCCATGCCGAAAGAACGATTTTGGTGAAGATATCAAAGAAAGGGCCATCACGAGCCTCCGGAACATTCACGCGTACTTCGAAATTATTGCTCAAAACCCGCCAGGCCTTCTCTGCTTTGTTACAGGAGGGACGTTTGTGTAGGTCCTGTAGAATATGGACATAGGCGGGGAACGGGAAGTAGAAACGAAGAATCCAGCGATATCCCTTTGTTAGAGACGATCTCATGACCTTGGTGTCATATTCAAGCACAGTCAAGGCATGACGCATCATGATGTCGCGCTGTGCATCTGTCTGAGCCTCCGGCGAATCAGAATATCTCCAGTAATGTTCAAGCAAATGGCTTTTTGCTAATTGGATCCGGGCCATGCATAGCGTCATCAAATGGAGGGGATTATCGGGATTACAATGTTTGAGGTATCTATCTTCAATCAGTTTCTCAAGCGCGACCATACTCCAATTCTCGGGAACGAGGCCCCGTTGAGCCCCCTTGGCTATGGATTTCAATGGCGGATTGGTGAAGTCAAGATGGAATTCGGCGTGGCGAATGAAATCCCCCAGTACACATCGAACCACCACGAAGATGGCATCGCTTGTCCGGCTTTGAGCTGACGGTATATCTTTCATTTCAGGGCGAAGATCGGCATCATTGATGTTGAGGGGGACTTTGCAGTCCCAAATGGGATCCAAGGCGACCGTTTTAGACTCGCTCAGCTCGCCAATACGGCTATCGATGAGTTTCAGAGCCCACCATAGCCTGTGGTGCATTTCAGCCTCAAAGGGTGGGCAGTCTACTACGGTGGAGTTATTGTGGATACCCATCCGATATGCAATACGCATCGCAACTCCAAACATGGATGAAAGAGACCGAGGATCGGTATTGGGTCCGATTGAAAGCTATCAGGCATCAGTACCAGTTGATAAATATCCACTTGGGAGGAGTGAAACGACTTACGAGAAAGAGATAAAAGGCAGCCAGGCATTCACGGTCATTTGTACGCAGATACTCGGAATTGAGCAACGCTTGCTGACATGCAAATTGATACTTGGACAGCATTTCATCCCTGGAGGAATTGAAGCTGGCCTGGCACTCTTCTGTGGTAAGGCTCATCACTGAGATGGCATAGATACCGAACATTAGCGCTTCGAGAGCTGGAGTCACATTGTCGAGATTGCTAGTTGCCTCAATGATGCGCCCTTGCAGAGTAGGGGTGTGTGTGACCTTCAGAAGGGGGTCAACATTGTTTAAATAAACCTGCCAGAGTTGGAAAATCTGAACTGGAATGGGGTGAAGAGTTGACAGTGCAACAGGCATATGTCGTAGACCGAAGAGTAAATGGTCATTGTTGACATAGACCTGGTCCATGGCTCGCCTAATTCCAGCCTGGTTCACTGCATCATGGATGGTCTCGCCGTTTTGATCCGATGATTGTAATTTCTTTGGCAATTAGCATGATGCGACAAATCAAAGAAAGAGTGATGCAGGCATACCCACTGCTCCCTGAGTACATGCCATAGGTTTCTGGCAAGGGAGATAGTCAGTTTGTGTCTTTAGGGCAGACTGTCGAGTTATCGCTATCCTACATACTTCCCCTCGCGAGCCTCTTTTGGCGTGGCTGGGATTGAGCCATGCTCCTCCTCGTTCTCCGAATTGTCGTCACTCTCGGCACTCTCAACAGGAGCAGAATCCAGGGAAGTTGTATCTGCTGCTGCTGCACTCTTCAAAGATTGAAACTCGATATGGTTTTTCCGGAGTAGCGTTTCATACTTGCGAATCCGATCTAGCAAGTCTCGCTCCGGGAATCGACGGCTTCGGCGCCTTGGGGTCACCGTCGCCGGGGTGCATTCCTTTCCGAACCGAAGACAATTTGCGCAGGGGAACTTTCGGTCACATTTGACCTTGCGCTGCTGACAGAGGATACATGCGAGTATTCTTACTCGTTGAGGCCGCGCTCGGGTGCTGGGCGAGCCCGACCTGATGGGCTGAGGCTGTGACATGTCCACGCTGGGAGCGGGACCACTGTGGCTCCCTGGCAACTGCCAATTGCACCCAGTCGATAGGCACTATTGGGTCTGCTGAACTTGTTGTTATTGGAGGAAGAGGCAGAGAGATGGAGGGAACAGCAAAAGGCAAAAGGCAACTTCGGGCGGTACAAAACCCGAATGTCCGTGTCATGTGACTTCGGGTGCTTGCAAACCCCGATCGGCCACGACGAAGGCGCGAGGAAGGCGCGACGGAGAAGCCAACAAACTGGGGGAAAGTGCGTAAATTTGGGGGAAGGTGCGAACCTTTGCGCTTTCCTATAAGAAAGGAAAGGACCATGGCCAAAGTCACGAGATACGAAACAAATATCTAATCCTCTCAATCCTCTCAATCCTCTCAATCCTCCTCCTCCGCCTCCATCTCCATCTCCATTCAGAAAATGCCATCAACAACTTCTTCACTGCGCATCGCCATTGTCGGGGCTGGCCCTGCCGGGCTGACACTCTGTCTCCTACTTCACGCCCGTGGAATCAAATCGATTATTTTTGAGCTTCGCCAGAAGCCCACCGAGGAAGAGCTTTCCAAACCATCGGGGTGTTTAGATCTTCACCAGGAATCCGGTCTCGCTGCCATCAGAGAATGTGGATTGTGGGAGGAATTCATCCAACTAACGGGGGACTGCAGCGAGGCGCAGAAGGTTACCGATAAAGATGGTATCATTCTGCACGAGGATCAAGGGGAGTTGAGCGATCGCCCAGAGATATCTCGTCATGCATTGATCAAGCTGCTCGCCTCTCATCTACCCGAGGATTCCATCAGATGGTGTCATAAGTTAATGTACGCGACAGAGATTCAAACTACCGCCGGAACCAAGGTGCAGCTCGACTTTGGTGTCCATGGAAGACACTTTGCCGACTTTGTTATAGGAGCCGATGGAGCCTGGTCCCAGGTTCGGAGCATGTTGACTACGTTGAAGCCATACTACGTGGGCACTCAAAATATCACCCTTACTATTCAGCAATTGACGACGAAATATCCACATCTAGACGATCTGGTCGGCCGTGGGAGCTTCTCCGCCTTGGGTCTTCACCATGGGGTCATGTCCCAGCGTGGACCACTGGACTCGGCGAGGATTTATGTCTTCTTGACGACCCCTGATGAACAGGCGGCCGTCACCTTGGGTCTTGCAAATCAGCCAGCATCGGCAGCAAGGGAAATGCTTTTGACAAACAACGCACTCCTCGGGCAGTGGGGTGAAACCATGAAAGACTTGGTGGCTGTTGCCTGTGATGAGGAAACGATGGATAACCCGGATGCCCCTATTGATATCCGCCCTCTTTATACACTTCCGATCGGTGCATCGTGGGATCATAATCCAAGTGCAACTCTCATTGGTGACGCGGCACATCTCATGTGTCCGTGGGCCGGGGAAGGTGTCAACCTTGCGATGTTGGACTCACTGACCCTGGCTCATGCAATTGCCGACGCGGTTCAGTCAGCGGAACAAACCGGTCCATCATTTCGCTGGAGACTCAGTCCACTTCTGAAGAAATGCGAGCAGACGCAGGCATCCCGAGCCAAGGAAAAGGCAGAGGAAACCGAGACTAACGGGAAGATGTTATTTTCAGAGAACGGAGCCCAGGAATTTGCGACATTCTTCCAATCCGTGTATGGCAGCGTCTCAAAAACACCCGAAACGCATCACGACGAAGCGGAAAGAGGTAATGTGGACGACACGATTCGGGACAATCATTCCCCTTATAACGCAAAACGAAATGACTCGTTCCCTACAGTAGGTGAAACCCGCCGCCGTCCATCAATGGCGCCCAAGGATCAAGCTGAGAAACCAAAAAGTCACCAGGAACGTCCGAAGAAAACTCGCAAATCGAGCCGCAAGGGAATGCCCCAGAATGCCCCAGATCAAACCGCGACACCCTCCCGAACCGCCCACACGCAGGCTGACCCTAATACGTTTACTGCCAGAGGTTTAGACAACCGGGGCAATCCCGTCATGAGCAACAATCCCAAGCTGATGTCGGGCGAATGCCAGCGTGCCTTTGACGTGGCTAATTCAGGATGCTGGCCAGATGTTGACTGGCGCGAGATCAACGGCAAGCCTCATTATCGTGTAGCAACTAATCAGTTCGCTTTCCGTGCCATTTGTGGACAGAGAATCGGCGAGGCGGCTCCATCAGGCCAGGGCTGCACCACCTGTCAAGACGGACATGGCCCTTTTGCGACGTGCAAAATCGCATATTTGCCTCAAGTCTCCGACATCAAAGGGAAGATCTTGCCGTCTAAGGCATTGTTCGGCGGTGGCTGTATGGGATGTGGCCTTAGTGGTGCTGGAAATAGATGCTCGCTGCGGCGGACCACTGAGCCACAATGGGTGCGAGAGTATTTCATGGAGAGAGTTCCGAGTCTTCAATTGAGTGTGCAGTTTGCTCGCAAACCGTATCCAAATCCCCCCTGCATCTGTCCAAGGGCAGTCACAAGAGCAGCCGCAGGAAGTGCAGCAACGAGGTGCCAGCACTCCGACCGGCGATACCCGCTCATCTTCTGGGGTCATCACACTAACTGCCTCGCCGGCATCATCACCAACCGTGCTCGCTCCAAGTCCACAGCGTCGCTGCTCAACTTTTACTACCACAAGCCAGGGGCAGGTCATGTCTCTCCCACCGCCGGGTGCCCGATACATATCACCCCTCAATGAGGCGAACGTGTACAACGATTTCCAATCACTGGACCATGCGCTATCTGAGGCCCGCCTTGCATCGGCGCGCGCAGCTTTTGATGTTGGCTTGCTTGTCCGTCGGCGAGAGGAACTACTTCAGAAAGTCAATGAATTAACCGAGGGATATGAAAACATTGGAGGCTTTGCTGACTTGATAAATTCCGAGCCAGAGATCAAGTCGGACATAGATGAGTGAGGTAGCAGTCCCGTTGGCTCCTAACTTGTTTCTTGCTTCGATTTCTACTTTGTTATCCAGCACTCCATCTCCTGTGATCTAGTCCAATCTGTTCCTTAATTTGCTTCTTGAATTGAACGTCCACTTCACCACTTCCATTTCTTACATACTACCCAGACTAAGACGGTGAAATATACTATAGTCGTAGAAAATGCAATTGATTGGAATACTAGTGAAGCGTTTTCTTTCCTGAGGAAGTGAAGACGAATGTTACTATGGATTTATTCTATCTGCGGACTCGGATTCAACCCTTCATCAACCTCTGCTAAGTCTACCACCTTTCCATGAGGGGCCTCCATTGATACCGGTATTTCTTTTGATAATCCGTATCTCAACGATAAACTGAGAATGGAGTTAACAGACGAGTCTTCTGCGAGGTACCAAGTTTTCCTCCACGCTTCACTGACGTATGTTGCCATTTCAATACCGAACATGGACAAAAAGGAACAAAATTGTAGGCACCAGAAGAAATTCTCCTGGCTTCGAAGATGGATATAGATCTTGAGCATATGAGGCATGGAAACCAGAACCGCGATGATGCCCCAGAGCTCCACGTGGCCTTGAAGGAAATATGGAATTGACCGACAGAATTGGTCGGCGTAAAAACCAGCGAGATGAAAGTCGCCATGCGTGGTAGGGTCTACGGAGAAGGCCTTCTGAGCGTGTGAGAGGACAAGCACCTCAGCCTGGTAGATTACCGAGTGATTTATGGCCAAAGCCTTCCAGTAGAACATGTGTATCCTCGCGTTGTCAAGCGAGACGAAAGAGTATGCAGCGCCGAATAGATCATCAGTGGGTGGCAAAGACGACTGATACGATTGATGATTTATGAAGGGTGCTCCTCCTATGCGAGTCAGGTTGTTTCGGTACCAATCCAAGGCTTTTTCTTTGAGCGCGCGGCACTTTTGTAGTAGTTCCTGGCATCGGGTCTGGTCGGAGTGATCAGTTTGTTCAACATCGGTGACGAGGCATCCAAGTTCCACAAATATCTCGAAAAGCCCATCGATAGGGTGACCAGTTTTAGACTCTATCAAATACTCAAACTCCTCTCGAGTGAAATCCACTGCAGTGATTGCATAGATCTACGGTCCATGTTAGTCTGGCTAAAGGTGACAGATCTTCCGGGTATGAGAAGGAATCCGTACGACTGCCTGCTTTTGCTGATGATAGATAGCACACATCAAAGAAGACGTCGGCGGGCCTCGGTGAGCGCCACGTAAGAGAAAATTGTTTTGCTTCATGCCGGGGGCCCAATTGTCGCAACCATGCGGATAGTGGTGGCCCTAGAAGAGGCGTCAGTTAGGATCCCTCAATCTGGGAATTCCCAAGGGGGGAAGGAAATCAATCACCTCGAGAATTTTTAAAATAACCATAGCCCTGATGTAATCTTCATTGTAAGGATCCTGAATCATTAATTTGGAAATATGCTGAATGGTGGCGCGGTGCAGCTGGACACCATAGCGAGCCATGCGATAATCACGATTGAGCCGACCAAGTGATAGACAAGACATGGCGCTCAGGGCCTTCTCGGAAATCATAAACTTATCATTTTTATCTCCGGGCCTTTCTAACATAGAAGAAGAGTTAAGAAAGAAGTATTGAACTTGTTCAAGGTCCGTCGTGCCTCGAATATTGGTTGGGAAGTATGCGCCAAGTAGGAATGAGTAGAGCTGAGACCGCATCACCGGCCCAGTCTGTACAACCGGCATCAATTCAGGCGGCTGCGCCTGCCTCGAAGATGGAGGAAGTACAACCTCTCGCGTCTGTTGTCGTGTAATGTTTGACTGGTGGATGAAGATGCGGGATTTCGCATATCCCGGACAAGGGATGCCACGCTTGAGACACCGATCGCATTCTGGGCGTGCGGCATCACACTACTCAAGTTAGCAATGAAAAGACTACATGTTCCCGGAGAGCAGGAAAACCCCGGACCGACTTTTATCTTTCGTTTTTTACAATTTGAGCAGGCTGTTGACCTCCATGGAATACCACCCATCTGCCCCGCGTCGGTTGGCCGTGCCCAGAAAGTCGGGCACTGCTGGAGGAAGTGCCAAAAGCGGAGAGCGAATCCTTCAAAGAGAAGCGGAGGTGCTAATATGGACGGGAGCAAGCAGGATGCCCATTAAACTCACGGAGTACTACTCCGTAAGCACCAGCAAGAGCAAAGACCGAGTGGAGTGTCGTTTAGTGGAGGAGGGGACGATTGCGTTGGCCGATCAAACCACTTTCCCCCCACTGTTGAGCTTACTCATCCGTCAGCACTGCGAGAGACATGCTTCTCACTAGAAATTGCGGCTTGGATGGGCGAGGCACTAGCATGAATTAAGCTAGTAGTATTCATGTCTGTTTACTGCACATGGACTCGAGGAAATACTAATCAATGGTGGAGGATCCCGGGTATTAGGGGTATCTGGCATATATCTGGCATACATTGGGGAGAATTGAGATAATCGGACGAAAAAGTGATGATAAAAGAATCTCCAGGGTCTCCCAAAAAGTAGTAGACTGATAAATAGGACAAAGTCTGATACATGGGCGGTTTCACAGCATGCGTATTTACTTTATCTATGAAGAACCATCAGGCATCACCCCATGGACACACGAAACAAGATCGTCATCCCAATTTTGGATTTCGTCCCCTTTACTGTTAGAAGTCCACCCGCCCAGACAACGTTTGCATCGCAACTCAGCATGGTATTTCAAGTTCAAACGCCATGTAAAGAGTGACTTACCATCTCAAATTCTGCTTGAGGAAGGTAGTGGGTGGAACGGGCCCGATGAAGTGAACTAGAAAATAAAAATAAAATAAAATTTCCCCTAGCTTTATCTTGCTCCACCTATGAACGGAATAAAAGCTAGAACCCCAAATTAAAGATGGCGACTGCCAAAGACCCTGGCCCTCAGCACGGTTTAATTGGGTGACTTGTTTATCCACAACCGCGCGTGGAGTATTCCATGTGGACCTGGGAACTGTTTTCGCTGCGCATGACGCACTTTGTCCACCGATCGCTATGTGATGAGACGATTGCATGTGGGATCAACCAGGCTGATCTTGTAAATCAGGGGTTATGTATAAGTATGGAAGTGATACGCAAGGAATGGAAAGTTTCTTTTTGTGAAATAAAAGAAGTCCTTGTTCAGCCTTCCAGTTCTTGGAAGAACTGGACCACTATCCAACTGTCGACATGGCTCCTTCGGCGACCACAGCCTCTGCATCATCTACAGCCACCTGCCTTCACATTGAACCTGGTAAAAGTGGCTATCTTCCTCCCGAGGCTTGCGGCGCCATTCTTCTATACAAACCTTCATTAATACCAGCCGCCTTGTTCTTTATCTTGTTTGGTCTCACGACCCTGATGCATTTCGTTCAAGGATGTGTGCATAGGAAATTATATGCCTTTGTTATTGTTATGGGATCGGGATGGGAGTTCATCGCGATGGCTTGTCGTTCAATGGAAACGCAACACCAGGACAGCTCTAAATACTATGTTTATTTCATGGTATTCTTCTTGGTCGCACCGATATGTGAGTGGAATTTCAATTCTCGTTTTCTACCACGCTATCAAGGGGAAAAGAAAAAAAGAGAAAATAAGCCAACGTACTATCAACTAGGGATCAATGCCTTCCTTTACATGACCCTCGGTCGCATGGTCCAATTCTTCGTTCCCGAGCGATCATTGGTCCGAATTTCAGCACGACGCTTCGGCCTTATATTTGTGTGTCTGGATATTCTTGCATTCATCGTCCAGCTGATCGGAGTTGGTATTCTCGTCCAAACAGATGCTGCTTCCGATGTGGTCTTGCGGGGAGTACACATCTACATGGTTGGAATCGCAGTGCAAGAAACATTCATCCTATGTTTCATTGGTTTGACAATTCATCTCCATCGCAAACTCTTGGAAATAGAAAGAACTGGTGTCCAAGTAAGCAAGATGAGCAACCTCGCCTTCAACTGGAGGTGGCTCTTTTACACAATGTACTTTGCACTGACCATGATAACGGTATGTATTATTCGCCAAGGTTGATCGGAATTCACTTCGGCCCTTTCGTACTTACATTATCCTTTTCCGAATAGATTCGTATCGCCTTCCGACTGGCCGAATATTCGCACGGCACCAGCGCCGACGAGCCCACCAACACACACGAGTGGTACCAATACGTCTTCGATGCTCTACCCATGTTCTTCGCTGTTTTTATTTTTAACGTCTTTCACCCCGGTCGGATTCTCCAGGGCCCTGATTCTGGCTTCCGACACGCGAAGAAGGTCGCCAGGATGGAAAAGAAGCAGAGGAAATTCCAAAAGGAAAATCCATACCCGGTGGCCAGTGATCATGTTCCTTTGGCGCCCTATCCAGGGCACCAGCAGCAGCAAGTTTACGATCAACCGTCTCCCCTGCTTCCGCACAGCCCACCTCGATCATACTTTGGGCGATAAAGATGCTCCAAAACACTGCTTTCGGTCAAGAGATTTATAAATTATTACATGTTATCCATCCGCTAACTACTTGGGTTGTCCGATGGCTCAAGCTTATCCGGCGCGTGATTTAGCGTCTACCTAGGAACGTTAGTGCTTGTCGATTATTACTTGGAGCTTATAGGAAAGGAGGTGAACAATGTCAAGTTAAGATATTCATGCCACAAGCAAGATATTTTTTGTTATTATTCACGAATGGCCTTGAAGTTGTGAATTCGACTAGCAAGTGTGTATCTCTACCCTCATGGTAGAAACCTGAAACTGGGGTATTTTCCGCGTAGATACAATTCCTCTAGACATGTTATGGTCAGCGTAAAATAGTTCACACAAATTTTCAGCCTTTCTAAAAGCAAGGCAATTGCCACTAATATTTGTGAATAATGCAAGCATCTACCACGATCTCTGAGAATAATGAAACAAAGACCCAATAAATCTCTGTCTGGATGACTCGGGGTCTTTGTTTGACTACATGGTGGTTATAGCTACCGCATTCGGATGTGGAGCCCTACTAAGCCCGCAACCCCGCCACCCTGAGGAGCCCCGCAAATTTCCTCCATGATGGCTGCGTGATGTCTGTAGACCTCGGGAGTTGAAAGTCTAAGGTGGTCAAGTTGAGTGTGTGATTATTGCTGGGGAATAGCACAACTCCAAACAACCTGGCCTAGTAAAGAAAACGGACTCGGAGTACCGGTAGTACCCTATGACCTAGTACTACGAGAATTCATATTGAGTATATATTGCTAGTCATTCAGAGTAAATGACTCATATGGACTCGACTCGGAATTTAAGTCCTGAGGGTAAGAATTAAATACGTACTACTAATAGGAAGATTGAAATAGCATAGAGGCTTTTGAATTTTTCATTTTGCTACCCAGCGTCCAGGGGAACCGGAAGTACTAGTAATTCAACGCCGCGGTTAGCTCGCATCATGATGAATGAGGCAAGGCGAACCACCAAGTGGAGCGGTGGATAAACAATCCAACATCAACCAACAATCACAAGCTTGAATGAAAGAGGCAGGTTGAGCCATCCACTGTAGGCGCCTCCACGCGACCGTCTGGTTGGACAACATGGATCCTAGGTCCTATTCTGATACTTAATACCAAACTGCCGTCCAAAATGCCCTTTTCCATTCAAACTTCTCCTATCAACTCAAGATGGCCCCTTCAGTCCTCGTCGACCAGCCCATCGCTAGCGCAGTCACGCCCAAGGCGCTGGCTCAGACGACGCTCAAGCCCTCACATCCAAACCCTTCACTCCAGGTGACAGCCGACCATAAGTTGAAAGTAGTCGAAGCTCCCGTCAACGCGCCCGGACATGGCGAGGTATTGGTACATATTAAGGCGACCGGAATCTGCGGATCCGACATTCATTTCTGGAAGACCGGTCGCATCGGATCATTGGTTTTTGAAGGGGATTGCATTATCGGCCACGAGGCGTCGGGAATCGTCCTGCAATGCGGCGAGGGTGTGAGCCATTTGAAGGCTGGTAAGTCTGATCCGATACCGTGTGCACGAGAGACAAGTACCACTGTACAGAGTACTGATATAATTATCCAGGCGATAGAGTCGCAGTGGAACCTGGCGTGCCCTGCGAACACTGCTTTCTGTGTGACGAAGGTCGCTACAATCTATGCGAGAATGTTCAATTCGCCGGCGTCTATCCTTATGCCGGTACAATTCAACGATACAAAGTACATCCAGCCAAGTGGCTGCACAAGATCCCAGACAACGTCACTTTCGCCGAGGGCGCCCTTCTTGAGCCCCTCTCCGTCGTGATGCACGGTATCAAGACTGCCGGCTTGAGCCTCGGCCGTGGTGTCGTGGTATGCGGTGCTGGTCCTATCGGTTTGATCGCGCTGGCCGCGGCTCGAGCCTCTGGAGCCCATCCCATCGTTGTGACTGATCTCGAGCCTTCGCGTCTGGCATTCGCCAAGGAGTTTGTCCCTTCCTGTATTACCTATCAAGTGGACCGGACTAAGGACGCCGAGGGTAATGCCCAAGCTATCCGGGCTTTGTTCGGGGATAGTGAGTACGTTGCTCCGGAGACAATTCTGGAGTGCACAGGCGTGGAAAGCAGCGTGTGTACTGCCGCATACACCTGTCGTCGTGGCGGCACCGTCATGGTGATTGGCGTTGGAAAAGCTATCTTGAACAACCTTCCTTTCATGCACATTTCTCTAGCAGAGGTAAGCCAACATTCCGAATTACCCTTGTACAGAACCGATAACTAATCAACTACTTCTTCTCCAGATTGATCTACGATTCATCAATCGGTACCGCGACACTTGGCCCCCGGCCATCCAGTGCCTGAGTGGTGGCATCCTGGACTTGAAGAAACTGGTCTCTCATGTCTTCCCCCTCGAAAAGGCAGAGGATGCCTTGCATCTCTGCGCCGATACACGGAAGGGAAGCATCAAGGTATTGGTAATAGATGAGGAAGAAGCATCATTATGTGCTTAAAGGATTGGGATGACGCAGAATGATCATGGCCGGAGTTTACAAGTAGAATTGGTAGACATGAATGAAGATATATTATATTAATACATTTGTTTCCTTGGTATCTCCTCCTCAGTAAGGTCGAGTCGAATGGCAGTAGATGGCGCCAACGGGGACAGGGTCTTTGCTCGAGTGGTCGCCGGGGGCCAGGACGGTGTTGCGGCCGGTGCATCCAACCCCTCTGCACAGAGGTTAGCGAGGTGAAAGCCAATTGAAATTGCCGTAAGGATGTTCAACTTACGTGAATATGCGGCAATACTTCTTGATGGCCACGGTGAATACCTCTCTAATGGCTGGTTAGCCTTGGTTCTAACAATATATCGCTCATCTTGATGGCTGAACTCACTCCTCGTCGATATCGTCGTAACAGTCGTCTAGAGGTGCTTTGATTCCCCGACTTCCAGCGGCAGTCTCAATTCCAACCTGTTTTGCGCGTTCAGTTACTGGATTCAGCGTGTTTATTTTGGACCATCGACATACTGTGGTGTGTGTAGCCTCTTTGGCGGCGTAGGCGGAGAGCAGCAAGAAGCTCAGCACAGAGAGTTGCTTGAGGCCGTACATGATGTCGGTGTAACTGTGAAAGATACGGATCAGATTGGATCAGAAGCAGCAAAATGCGAGCAAAGAAATAATTAGCGAGAGCAGTCGCGTTTGTTGGCCAGGAGGTGTGCCTGCGACATCCCTTGCTCGGCGGTATTTGCAGGAGTAGCTCCACGCCCTGCCAAGGGGATCGGAATGTAGTGGGTGTCAAAGTGAATACGATATCCGATTCATTGTAGCTGCAGACTGGCTATGTAGCTGTATAGATGTGAAGTAGAAGAGAAGTAGAAGAGAAGTAGATGTGAAGTAGATGTGAAGTATACAAGGAAGAGTAAGCAGTCCGCCTTCCCCACAATTTCACCTTCTCCGCACAACTTCACCTCTTCAACCTCCCTTCACCTCAAACACTTCACCTCAATGCCCCAATGCTCCCAACAAAGCGACGGCGACTCGACGCCCAATTCTCCGACATGGAAGTCGTCTCTCCTCCCCCTCCTGCATATGCCATGAACCCCGAATGGCGACACGCCCCAGTCTACACCCCTTCCGATACCACCGAGCACCAAGCCTTTGCATCTCCGCTAGCTAGCTGGACCGATGGCTTCTCGCACGATCCGGGATTTCTCGCCTCGCAGGAAGAGCTACGTTGTATGCTCTTTACAATCGCACAGTCTGCTGCGCCGACTCGAGCGGGTAGCCCGGTTGATCCTGAGCAGGGCCGAGATGTCGAGGAACCGTCGCGAAGAGAGCGCGCGGCCATGCGACCGGCCTTATCAAATTCCCGGCGGATTCAATACTTGAAGAATTATGTTGGACAGGTAGCTCCTTGGGTAAATTCCAATCCCACGAGGCTGGGCGTTAAAAGACCGCGGTGGCTAATCGTTCGTTTCAATTTCTTGTCTTTCTCAGCTCGACATGTTCGACTCGCAATGCACATTTCGCGTCCAGATCCCAGCTCTCGCTCGTACATTTCCCGCCCTCCTCAATGCCATCTTAGCGATATCGGCCCGGCAGATGGAACGGAAGACAGGCATTCAGGATTCCTTCGACAGCATCGAGTTATACCAGGAAGCAATTCGTCTACTGAGCCCGTTACTGGAGAATCCGGATCCAAAGGTCGTCGCTGCATGTGTTCTTCTCTGTTGCTTGGAAATGATGTCCGCCCGCGCCCAGGATTGGCGCCGTCATTTAGAGGGCTGTACGGCTCTGTTCGATGCCTTTGGAATCAATGGCTTCAGTAGCGGACTGCTCCAGGCTATTTTTTGGTGCTACGTGCGAATGGGTATGTCTGGTCGGGCGATCAAATATTCTGATTACCCTCTTCTCGTTCCTCGCTAACTAGTATAGATCTATGCGGTGCGCTCATTTCAGACGGCACGCAGAGCACGCTCTTACGGCCCAGCAAGTGGTTAGCACCCGATTGCCATGAGGATGACGCCGCTCAGTTATTCCAGGCGGCCCAGTCCCCCGACATGCACGCAAACTACGCCGTGTATCTGTGCGCAAAGACGTGCGAATTGGTTTCCGACCGGACCCAGTTTATTGAGTTGGGCGTGCAGAACGATTGCACAGGCGAGACCTTCAACCGTCGCTGGCTGCGACTGTGGGAAGATCTGCAGCAATGGGTAGAGAATAGACCACCAGAGCTTTTGCCGGTCCAAACGACCCAGACAAAGCCATTCCCACATATACTCTTTCTGCATTGGGCCGCCATTTCGTCGAATCAGCTCTATCACACTGCTTGCATCCTCCTTTTGAACAGCATGTCCAAGGCCATTAAACTGCGCCCTGCCGCCACTGTTTCACCCCTGTGGCACGCGCGCCGGATCTGCGGCATATCACTTGCAAATCCACATCAGGGATGTTTGAACAATGCCATCCAGCCCCTCTGGATCGCTGGTCGCCTGTTCAGCCATGTTTCGGAACATGGAATTATCATCGATATTATTCGCAAGATCGAGGCCGAGACTGGATGGGGTGCATGTTGGCGGATTCGAGATCTCGAGTTGGCTTGGGGATACCAAGTGTCCCGGCGTGAGAGAATGGCAGCGCAACAGCAGTCACCGGTCGCAATTGGCTGATGTACTTTCGATCGAGATTTCATCTCGGCAGAAAACATCTGAACTCAATCACGACTCCGGAAATCCCCACTCCTCTTGGAGACTGTGCAGGAAGTCACTCGCATCCCACCCGGTGACTCTTCGAATGCGCTCGAAACCACGCAGAATTTCATGTTGCTGCGACTCGTGGGTCATCCGACGAGCCGCCGTCAGAAATGAAGCCAGAAGAACCGGATCCCAACACTCCCGACGCTCATTATTCACAGAAATGCTGCATATTCGCTGAGCATGCCAAAGCGGTGACATGGTCGTTGAATGATAAGCGGGTGTCGGCGCAGTGCGTGGCCGATTATGCAGCAATAGCAACATGGCTGTATGGTATAGCTGATTGCTAAATACCCCCGATCCGTGAGCGAAAAGAACGACCGGGAACCCCTGTCCCTGCCCGGTAGCCTGGTCCTCAAGGTCGATCTCCATCATGGGTTTAAATCCTTGCGGCCGTTCTTGATACCATTGTTCGAGCTCCTCCATGAGATCCATCCACACGCGCAGCGGAGGATTCTGCGGCGATGGGTCATCATTGTGCATGAATTGCACTGCTTTTGTACACAACCAAAGCGGACGATGCGCGAAGCAGAAAACATGTTCAAATGGGTCGGTTTCCAGGTCTCCACTTGTCAAGTACGGCAGTGATGGGAGTAGGGGAACTTGGATGTCGGTATCCGTGGCTAGAGCAGCTGCGAGGTCTAAAACAATTGCAATGTTAGAACTTCATTCTTTGGAGAGTAGACACCGAGGGCGATAACTTACCAAGTCGAACAAACAACCAGTAAATGGCCGAATTGAGGTCACGGCGTACAGTCTGCGGCCCCAGAGAATCCAATAACTCCTTGTCACAGACCCTCTGAGGAGACCACGTCGCCTGGAAATTCAATATACAGTTCTTGGATTCATCTATCGCACGGAGAAATGCCAGTGTCGTGATGTCTAGCTGCGTCTCCGGAGTCGCGGGAGCCCCTGGTGTTTTGTCCGTGATGACCAAGGACGAGAGTGGTCGTAGCAAATTCATCGACGCCTCCGATAGTTCTAGGACGGAATGCCAGACCGGCTGGGAGACCATGGCTAGCTGTAAGCCTTGAATTCCGAAAAATTGGCCGAGGTCGCAAATGTCAAGCTGATTGTATTTGTCAGAAGACCTTCGTTCTCATTCCGGGAATTGTAAAATAGTAAAGTAGTACTTACCCACGGTGCGACCTCATAGCGGTAATGGCGAATCAGCTTCAATGTCTGGGTGGATGTGATTGCGAGAGTTGAAGGTGTTGCATTGGCAACGCGGCCTGGAGAAAAGACCATGGGGAAATCGGGATTTCTGGCCGGGGCCATTGCTTGAGTGAAAGATGGTTCTTTTATTGGCGGGGAGGTTGCGACCTCCGAAAAAGTCATGCTCGGTGCTATTGTCTCTTGCGTGCATGTTCCCAATGCCAATAAACCAGCGACCGCGGACTCATCATTGTGGTTGAAGATGGTTTTTGGGGGCTGCGTGAGCGAGATACCTTGAGAGGAAGGGCCATCCGCATGCCATTGCGGTAGCTCCACATCGAGTGACTGTGCGTATGTGTCCGGGCCCGAGAGATGGGGTTCTCGTTTTCGTTCATGGTGAATTTGAAGATCTTCCTCAGGTGATGATGACCGCTCTTTCGGAGACTCCGCATCATCTTCATCCTTCAGAGGGTCTTCGTTGATGAACTATGCCTCGGTCAACTCAATTCAATTTCGCTTGGGTTGGGATGCGCCTCCGGATACTCACCTGGATAGTCTCATATGTAGCAGAGGCAGCGCCAACCTCGGATGACTCAACGGTGTATGCATTCTTGGTGAGGAAGGTCAATTGTGGACCGTACTGACAATTGAACCCTCGCTCAGTACAATTCCGGCATTTGGGTTTGCCTTCATCACCTGCTCTGCGAATTAGCCTCCATCATGAATTTGATACCGATACTGATACTGACATTTCCGCCTGCGGATGCGACAGCGCATACACCCCGTGCGACATCTGGTAAGCCGCCGCGTCTGCTTGGGAACGTTCGGCATGGCTAACGGGGAGTTGTTGAAGATGCGGAGAAACAAAGAAGCCCACGACAGAAAAGGAAGGTGTACGCACTGATCACGTGGAATCTACTATCAAACACATTCGCACTCTACAACAACACTCACTCTCACACTCTCACACCCTTCCATTGAAATGTCTATACGATATACATTGAAGCTGGAATTTATCTAGTTCCTTCTTTACTCCTCCACTCATCCACAATTCCCGCATACGCTGATGGCTGATACACCCCAGTCAGTTCCCTCCACCTCCCTCCACCCAATCGATGGGGATTCAGTCCGAGGTCTTGCATCAAGATATCATTATAGTGGATCGCATCTACTTGCAAACCACTGCCAGTCACTGTTCCAATTGCCACATCGTCCGCAATGGATTCTGCCATTCGATCTCTCGAAAAGAGGTCCAGATGAAAAGAGTCAAGTGGACAAGACCTGGAAACATCCATTCCACCGGTCAGAAAAGCAGCCACCCAGAGCGCTTGAACTTCGGCCACGACTGCGATTGTTGATGTGAGAATTACTCCGAGAACTGCAAAGGATCGATCGCCCTCGGCCACCAATTCCGGTGCCACCATCCGGCGGAAGAGGCGAAATGGTACCACTTGACTTTGCTCAGTCCCCGGTGGTGCATCGCAGCTCTCTGGGGAACATCCATTGTCAATCAAAGTCTTTGTAATTTGTTCCTTTGATCTTTGGTCCAATTCCTGCCAGCTCTGCATGCGCTTCGCGAACTCCGAGTTAGCTCGATCCATCGTCTCACCCTCGATGCCTTCCATGTCATATTCTATCTCCGGGCCAGGCTCGTGATCTACGATATCCGATATTCCGAGTTGCAGCCGAAGTAAATGAGGCTCAAATCTGATGCGCACAATGGGTTTGTACCCTGTGGCGTGGACGACCAGGTCGACATCTTCAAGGCAGGCACCGTCCCCCAATGTGACTCTCACTCCATCACTCCGCCCGGTTTTGTCCTTATTGTCAGGGACTGAAATACGCTGTATAGTGGACCGATAAATGTTCACATGAGAGTATCGAATCGTTTCCCATAGATTCGCCTGGTTGGCGATGCCGATGGTTGAGTTGCATGATACGACACTAGGAAAGTCAGTCAGTGTTTCCAATCACAAGCCCTGGATCGCTCAGAGTGTGCAAATCCGTACCTGTGGCTCGGTCGGAGCATTTCTATCTTCGAACCTTTAATATATTGTGCTGTCTCTTCCAACTCCCGATCAATTGAGCCCCAGAACCGACGTATCAACCAACGACCGACCGGGTTTCCGTGAAGCATCCGTGCCCACCACGATCCTTCCATGCGTAGGCTCCAGAAGTATCCTCCTCTCACCTTTTGAAAAACGACGCGTTTTGGGATCTCTAAACAGAATGGGTCGAGGTAATGCAGAAGCCGACTGCTTGCTGCTTTGTCGCTGGGGACGACTTCGCCAGTGGGCAGAGTTGACATTGGCGGCGCCATCCACGAAGGTCCAGTGCCCTTCTCGCGAATGATCCAATGTATCTGTACTGGGCTCTGGGGTGTTACATTCAGATGCGCCCTTGGGTCATGTTGATGCAGTGTGGCGAAAAAGTGTACTAGGTCGAATGAGGATTTAGCACCGCCGTGGATCGCGACCGAGCGAAATTGACGGCTCCTTGGTTCCTGTTGGGGCATACTATTCTCCTCATGTTTGGCAGCCGGCAATGGACGATACCCCAGATTTTGACGTGCCCAATCCCCAATATCTTTGGCGTGGATGACTGAGTTGGTCCTCTTGCTCTTCGGAGGCGATTCCACTTGTGGGAACTTTGGCACCGAAGTGAGCCCTGTGGCAAGTATCAGTTTGTCGCAGACAATGCTGATCTTACGGTTGCTATCCGATGTGACACAAATGTTGAGCTGCCATTCTTTGCCTTCCAGACGTTGGATGCTATCGACCTGTTTGTGAAATCAGCCAGTGCTCAGATGGAGTGTAGGCTGTCAATATTTACTCTCCAGTTCAACCGAATGTGTTCTTTCAACTCCCACTTCTCTGCCCATGCATGAAGATACCGATTGATCTTCCAGCCCGCAATAAACTGCTGCCCAGGTCCATCTTCATCCGGCGGAACGACGTTAGTGAGCGAGAGATCACTGAATTCATACAGTCCATATGAATTCTGGCTGAGAAGGTTGGGATAGAGTCGCTCTTCAGCCCAGGTTCCGCCGATATCTGATGCAGAATCGATCACCAATAGAGAGCAGCCCTGGCCGCGTTCGCTAATATGCGCCTTGTCGGCGAAACAGCTTGGGATCGCGGTCTCAGCTGCGGTCGCATCTTTCATTCCATCGCCATGGTCATATACGCCATTGACCTGAAGATATGTTTTCGCCGCAATGAGACCATAAAGCCCTGAGAATCTTAGTATTTTGAAATTTCAAGATGACGCAGATTCGAATGTCTACTCACCTGCGCCGACGATTACAACTCGCTCCATGGCATTTCTTGCAAAAGGATGATGAGTAGCTTTAAAGTATCTGACATTTCGAACAATTTATTCCTAATTTGCTAACTCAAATTCAAGAAGATATGACGAGGAAAATGGCAAAATGAAGCGATGGTGAATGCGAAATGTTGAATGAACGACAACAATCGCAAGTTTTGATATTGTTCTGGTGGGGCCGCACAACGCCGCGGGCGCAACAATCGGATTCCCTTCAACTTGAAGCTGCGACACTTCAAGCTGCCTAAACGGAGCTTAAAAGTATTTATTGCGTATGATTATGCTCATTATTATGCATATTTCCAAGAGGGCAGAAGTTTCCCGCCAACTCTATCTGGGTTGTCCCGATCCGCGTTGCATCGTCGAAGTATATTCTTAGCAGCACGCTGTGCAAGGCCGACAATCTCCCTCTCTTTATCCTTGCCTCCCATCTTGAGAATTCCATTTTCCACCAATATCTCTCCATTCACCATGGTCATATCAACATCCCGACCAGTACATCCATGAACAACCGTGGTGAGAGGGCTAACTCCACACTCAATCAAGTCGCTGCTCCAGGGTGCTGCGCCAAGTCCACCTCGACCATAAGGATCAATCACAACAAGATCCGCCTTCTTCCCCGTCTCAAGGCTTCCGATTTCTTCCTCCAGACCAAGTGCTCGTGCTCCATTGATGGTCGCCATCTCGAGGGCAACCTCGGCCGGGATTAAGCCAGCGTCATGATTTACCCCTTTGTGAAGGATGCCGGCTAGGTGCATCTCCTGTATCATATCATAATGATTGGAGCATGGCGCGCCGTCTGTTCCCAGGGCAACATTTACAGGTGATGTGTGGGAAAGCATGGATGGGATCGGCGCCACTCCAGAGGCCAACTTGAGATTCGATGTTGGGTTATGAGCCACCGAGGTCTGCGTGCTTGCAAGCAGTGCAATGTCAAGGTCTTGATCTAGATTCACCATATGAGCCAGAACGAGAGAATGAGATCTTCGGTCACCCTCATCCGATGCAGTAGTGGGTTGCGGGCAAAGCTTTGCATCGCGGACAAACTCCATCGCACTGCAGCCATAAGCTTCGTGGTATATTGTCCGATCCTTGGGGGCTTCAGCACAGTGCATAGTCACTGAGATGCCATTGTCGGAGCAGGTCTCTCCCAGCTCGAGATATTTCTCAATCGACGTGCCCCGTGGCGTACCAGCCGCCGCCCAAACATGAATCCTGCTATCTTGACTGCGATGATGTTTCTTATGAGCATTCAGAAGTTCCGGAATAGACATCGCTAGTAGATCTTGATCGCGAGGATCTGAAATTGATAATTGGCGATTAGTTTCAGTAAACTTGACGAGCTTGCCCTGTGAATTGCAGCATATGATTTAGTGACCAGTGCGCACTCTTAGGCAAAGTGAAACAGAGAAACATACCAGGCACCCTCTTATTCCCATCTCGCCCACAGCAGTGCAAACCTGATCGAAGCCGGCGCGATATGTCAGCATGGGATCAAGGAAGCAAGTGGTCCCTGTCTTCAGCATCTCTGCCGTTGTCAATCGTGTCGCATGATAGCCATCGTCATCAGCAAAAACAGCCTCTAATGGCCAAATTGCATCACATAGCCAATTATGTAGTGGAAGATCCTCTGCCAGTCCACGAAGCAAGGATTGTACTAAGTGAGCATGAGCGTTGATCAGCCCTGGGATAATTATTTTGCCACGACAGTCAATCTGCTGTGTCTGAGTTGGTAGTTCGATCGGGTATTTCCCTTTCCCGATTTCCGTTATCCTGTCAATATCCACGCGGATGTATCCTTCGTGAATAATTTCGCGACGTTGGTTCACCGTGATGATCGTCGCATTGTAGAATAGCGTGCAGCCCGGAGGCGCAGGCTTGCTTGTAGCCATTTTCAAGACGGACGACTCCGAGGGACGTAGAATGCAAAATTGTGGCGAAAAATCTTTCACTGGGAGTGTCTAATTTGTATCGATGGTCGGATGTAATTATTACTCCGCGCTGTCTGCGTTCCTCGGCGAGCCAAGCCGCTTCGCATCTTATCAACAACAATTCCTGATTGTTATCGATTGCGTCCAGGAGAGCTTGATATGACGAAAGAGATACGAAGATCGGTGATCTTCATTTTCATGAATACAGAAAAATGGTATATATTGGGAAGTATCGACGTCGGCCACTCACTGTCTTGCTGAGTGTGCCAACAAGTTATCAACCACAATTGGAACGGATTGACAACCTTTGCTGACGATCATGGATGCAAGTCGGAGGTCTCCGGAAAAAGATGATCTAAGAATGCCGGTCACTTCTTTTTTCAATTCAGATCACAGGGAATCTCAAATCATCGAAATCGCGCCCGTCGCCGAAACCCGATCGCAGTATCTTCGTCGATACTTCACGACTTCTGAAGGATGGATCGGGAACTATGTACGACACTAAACTATCCCTCATCTATAGGACCTACACTGACAAAAGTAATCGAAGGATTATCTATATCTCATCACACCAAACATCTGGCCTCTAAACAAGCGATACAAGAACCATGAAGCACCATTCTACGGGCTCAACGATGAAGTACCCATTCTCCTCACAATCATACTGGGCTTGCAGCACGCATTGACCATGATTGGGTCTGTGGTCTCTCCCCCTTTGGCAATCGCAAGCGGTGCATTCAATTTGGATGCAGAACAAAGCCAGTATCTTGTTTCTGCGGCGTTCATTACTACTGGGATAGCAACGGCTCTCCAAGTCACCCGGGTGCATTTGTTCAATACCCCATTCTATATTGGCACCGGACTACTATCTGTCGTGGGCCCCACATTTGATATTTTGGCCATTGCATTCAGCTATACGGATATGCGGTATTCAAATGGGACTTGTCCTAGTTCATCCGATGGATCTAGACTGCCATGTCCAGATGCGTGGGGCGCGATGTTGGGGACAATGCTTTGCACAGTCTGGATTCAAATTCTGATATCTTTCATTCCTCCGAAAATTCTGAATAGAATTTTTCCTAAGGTTGTTACTGGATCTCTCCTTCTGCTCGTTGGGGTTTATTTAATATCCAGTGGAATGAAGAGTTGGGGAGGCGGCTCAAATTGCGACGGAGGATCGGGGATTTATGCGTTATGTCCCGACATTGGAGCACCAAAGCCACTTCCTTGGTAGGTCGTACCTTGAACCATCCGTGTGGAATTTCCTTTGGTCAACTGTGATAATCTAACACTTGTTCTAGGGGTCATCCCAAGCTCATTGGTTTGGGCTTTAGTGTCTTTGTCACGATTATCGTCGTGGAGATTTTCGGATCACCACTTATGCGTTCTGCATCAGTTGTATTCGGTCTAGCAGTTGGATGTGCTATATCCGGATTCACTGGATACTGGTCGCGAGAAAACATCGAGGCAGCCCCGGTCGCAACTTTCCTTTGGGTGCAAACCTTCAAGCTCTCGGTGGACGGGGCACTGGTACTACCCCTTTTGATCATGTTCGTATGCGAGGCTGTTAGCTGCATGCCAGACATTTTGGCTACCGCAGAAATATCGGGTCTCGATGTTGATGGAGTTGAATTTAACAGCAGAATACAAGGTGGAATTCTCTGCGATGGTATTGGCAGTCTGATCAGTGCTTGTGGTACTGGATTACCCATGGTCTCCCAAGCTGGTAACAACGGAGTCATATCTTTGACTGGGTGTGCGGTGCGTATTTAATATTCTTACCACTATTTACTAGTATTGTCGCTAATTCCCGTCATCCCTTTCTAGAGTAGGAGAGCTGGCTGGTGCGCTGCCGCCTTCTTGGTTCTCATGGGCATATTCGGGAAATTTGGAGCTGTCTTCGGCTCCATGCCGCCGTCCGTGCTTGGAGGAATGCAAGTCTTCTTGTATAGCACGATTGTGGTAGCGGGAATCAAAGTGCTAAGTTTAATCGATTTTACTAGGCGCAATCGCTTCATCTTGACGACTGCCCTAGGGATTGCCTTCATGGATATTGTGGCCCCGACTTGGTTCAGCCAGGTCTTAGCCTACAATGGTCCTAATGTGAGGCTTCAGGGATTTGAGGAGGGAATCAATCTTGTGGTAGAGACTCCTTTTATTATCGCTGCCGTTATTGGAGTGCTGTTGAACTTGGTTCTTCCTTATGATGGTAACAAGAAATTGGCTGTGATCGAAGGACACGAGAGACGAGTCACTCTTCCTAGCTAGATATTATCCTGTTCCTAATCAACCTTGCAATTATATGAATTCGTTCACTGCAGTTACAAATTATTTCATGGCTACAGCGCTCGATAAGCGCAGGGTGGTCAGTAGTTGTTATAGGGGTATTGTACCTGAGCGTCTTGAAGGCTGCCTGCAACTTCTGAGTCTAAATTCCTAGTGTTCTGACCGCCATAGTCTCTATCTTTCTAAGGGGACTAGTACCTACCTAGGATGGAACATATTAGCTAATGAGTCTACCTGAGGTAGCTACTAGTCTATTATTAGTAGATGGCCAATAATAGTAGACAATTAGAGAGTAGAAACTTGTGTAGTACTACTATAGTTTCGACCAAATTTGTATATAGAACACTAGTGATTTTAGACTGATGAAGTTACAAGCGACTTTCAAGACAGTCTGGTAAGATACCTCTATACCAACTACTGACCACCCTGCGCTTATCGAGCGCCGTATATGGCTAAACTTCTGCCGCCACCTCATGCCTTGCGATGTGGATGCCCCGAACGGTCCGTATACGGGCCGTCTGTGCCAACCCGGCCCGGCTACGTATGAGTGGCTACTAATATTTACAGATATATAAGTTCTGTGGGAATTTTTCTATCTACACCGTTTCTGTCACATTTGACGATTTCATTTCTTTTTCCACTTCCTTTTCACTTCTCAATGGCCAAGTCAGAGCGAGTTGTTATCATTGGTGCCGGAGCCTTTGGTCTCGGTACTGCCCTGAGACTGAAGGAAGAGGGATACACGTCTGTCACGGTTCTTGATCGATCTATGCCACCTGTTCCAGATGGATCCAGTAACGATATTTCTCGTATCATCCGCTTCGACTACGGAGACGCTATTTATGCTCGCATCGCAAAGGAGGCATTCGAACTCTGGAAGACACCCGAGTACTCGGACGCATTCTATCAAACTCCCTGTCTCTGGGTGTGTCAGGATGGTACACCAGAGCAGCCTGTTCAACCAAAGGCTCAAGAATATAGTGATAAGACAAAGCGTGTTTTGAGTGAAATGGGCCAAGAATGGCACGCGGTCAAAAGCGTGGAGGAGGCCAAGGAAAGGTTCCCCAAACTCACCGGTCGTCTTGCAACCCCCGGGTTTGATGGATTCTATAATGATTCCGCTGGATGGGCAGATGCAGGCAAGGCTATCAGTCGGTTGGCATCTCGCTGTATCTCAGCTGGAGTTTCATTCATCACCGGTCCGAACGGCCAGGTCATTGACTTTGAGAAGGACCAGGATGGAAACATCAAAGCCGCCATGACCGCAGACGGTAACAAATTTCCTGGAGACAACTTCATCGTGGCTACTGGTGCTTGGACTGCCAGTTTAGTCCCTGCTTGGAATTCCATGCTTGCCGCCGGTCAGCTTGTCGGCTACTTGAAATTAACCCCGGAAGAGGTCATTCAACTGAAGGACTTGCCCATTTATTTCAACTTTTCAACTGGCTTCTTCTGCTTCCCTCCCCATGAGGCGACCGGCTACTTGAAGGTTGCTGTTCACGGATTGGGCTATACCCGCAACAATGAGTCCGCGAATGTATCCTCGCCACCTACGAATGCCGTCGCTTCTCGTGCCAACTATGTCCCTGCAGAAGGGTTGAAAAGAATGGAAGCTGGTTTGCGAGACCTGTTCCCGCACCTTGCATCACGAGGATTCGAGCGAACTGGGATTTGCTGGTATAATGACACGCCCACGGGTGATTTCATCTTCGACTTCCATCCAGACCACGAAAACCTTTTCATCGCCACCGGTGGCAGTGGACAGTAAGTGAAGCATTCAATTTTGACTGAATTCCCTTGAGATATATGGCTAACGAAATTTTCAGTGCATTCAAGTTCCTTCCCGTCATCGGGAAATACATTAGCGCAGCCTTCCAGCGCAACCTGCCAAGCGAGCTACTCAACAAGTGGAGATTCCCCACGCAATTTCGCGAAGGTTTCAGGAATGACGCATTCGCAGGAGATGGTAGCCGTGGCGGCCCTGCAAGACGAGAATTGACTGCCAATGAGCGAGCGACCTTTGATTCTGCACTCAAGTTGTCATCTCGACAAAGCAAAATTTAAACGAACACCTTTCACAACTTGCGTTCAAGAAAATGAACATATCACGAAATATAATTCATTATCCCAATTTGAATGAGAAAATGATGATCCCTAGAAGCTGATCCCAATAAATATACAGCGATACCTAGGAAACACTAGTTCCATTGCTGTCGAATGTTATGAATTACAGATGCTCCGTCATCAGATCCCCGAAAATCATCCAATCAGGGATATCGGGTACTCCGGATCCAATTGAGTTATTGCCAGTTTGATTGGAGAATGGCCATTCGGGCCCTGGCATTTCATCTGCCGGTTCTGACATCTCTTCGCCAAGTCTAGATGTCTTGTGAGTGGGAACATTCAGCGGCTCGACATCCTCTTCCAAGTCCTCGTCGGACGAGGATCTGGACATTTCGTTTTCATCTGTTGAAACTTCGTTGTCGGGGCGAGGTTTCATTGCCGAGATCTCCAATGTTTTATTGAAGCCAAGTGATGTAAGGTCGAGTATGTCCCACATCAAAGATTCATCCTGGGAAGACATCCGCGGGAGATTGGATGGGGTTGCCATACTTGACAAGGCCCCGGAAAATCCCTCTTGGTTGTAGAAAAGAGATCCATAGTCTTGATGCCGGGCGGCCAACTCATTCAATCGATTAACCTGAACCTTTAGCGTTAGCTTCTCTTTGTTTGTATGATTCCGGGTCACCAACCAATATTCTCATGCTATCCCACTCGGTAGACATTTCAGTCATAAAAGCAACGAGATCTCGGTATTCGTTGTTCAAAAGAAGTGCTATTTTGGGGTTCTTGTTACCCGTATGCTCTAATTGAATTGTCGCAGCAATCGCAGCGAGGTATCCAAAGAACGGGTCATATAATCGGAGATCTACCTCGGCCATTTCTCTTATAAACCTCGAAATCCATCGAGAATGGATCAAAGAGGTTTCGAAAGACTTTTGAAGAAATGTTGCTGACAGGTTTCCGGGCATGTGCCGTAGCTTTATCATTGTCACAAAGGGGTGGTGAAGTAGGCACGGAATGGAGTGAAACAAGAATTGCACGGATAGCCAGGTAAGAAGATATGACCGAGACTGTGGCTGGTCGCGAGCACGTCGTTTGAAATCAACATTCATATAACGGTGGGTGTCAGCAAACTGGGTCTCGAATTGCATCCATTCTGATTCCAGTATCGCCAGAGCAGATCCACTTTGCCATGGTGGAAGGGAGGATGTTGGCAAAGATTCAAATACCCATTCCGTGGCTTTCCCCCAAAGCGAATAGAGACGAAGTAAACAGGCCATGATTCCCTGGTCGACTCTATGGCCTTGTTTGATAGACTTTTCGTGAAGAGACCCACGAAATCCTGTCCTTTCTCCTTCTCGAGATGGGAAGTCAAGTGTGAAGCGGGTGTCAGAAAGGCACAATGAATAATTCCGCGACGCATTGTAGGTGCGATCAAGCATGAAATATGCCCAAGTAATTCGCCTCCTTGATTCCACTTCTATCTGGCTCAGGCCTGATAGGTTCTTTCCCTGATTCAGACCAAGGGTCTGTATCACGCGAAGTCCAAGTGCAACCGATGAACACCCTCTATGGGAATTTCCATCCGCCAAGTCCAGCTGGGCGATGAGGAAATTTCCTTGAAGGAATGAGAGTCCAGTTCTACCATTTTGGTGGTGAGACGATAAGATCTCCCAGGCGCGTTCAGCACAGTGCTTTCCTGTGGAAATATTGTACCCAAACAAACCAGGCGAATTGACGGAAAGACGAAGCGTGAGAGCCACGAGTGGGAATGAAATTTCTGGCGATAGGTTGCTCGCATTCTGTAAAAGCCAGTTTTTTGGAAACACGCAATAGGGCTGATCATGGAAGTGGCTCAAGTAAACCTCCACCTCAGACCGAATCAATGAGGATGCCATTGTGTCACTAGTAAATGTTATTCAACATGATCTATTGGAATAGGTCCATGGATGGTCATGACGAGCATACCTCGCAGAGATGCCATCTTGAGCGATTGGATGATCAATCGGGCCAGTAATCGTCACGCCATCAGGTTGGATGTTTTCCCTGGTGGGAGGAAGATATCCACTCAGACGTTCCGTCGGTATATTACTCTGTGGTAAGCGGTCACTAAACAGAAGCGTCAAGCCCGCGCAATCAGCAATGATATTAGACAATTCCGTATGCCTACCAGTTAAGGGCGAGTCTTACTGAAGCATAGAAGTGATTTCTTCGAGCCTTTGTTCAATTTGCCGAAGGCGTCGTGTATCATGTGCATCTGAGCCATTGTGCTAGTGGTATGGCCATATTAGTCAATTACTATGGCTGGATATAGATAGCTTCGGAAAAAGTTGGTACCTCTTGGGGCTCATCGGCATCAATGTCCAATCCAACGCTCGTTGATTCCTTCCGGACTCGAGTTCGACCGATTGCCGCTTGGGCCCCGTATTCGCAGTGCTGCCCTAATCGCTGGCATAACGAACAGACCGGTTTTTCACCGGGGCAGCGAGCCTTTTTCCGACTATGCGCCTGTGATCAGTGTCCGAGCTTGCGCATCAAGTTTGACGATGCACCTTACCGACAGGGCCCACATGCTTGACGCGTGCGCTTCAAAGAAACCTTGTGGATCGCGTAGTTATCATTTGTGGTGCTCATTATACGAGATGGTGGAAAGTGTGAGCCGACCCCGTGGGGAGCAGCGTGAAAATTCTATCGAGCAAACGACGCGACCCGCCAACCACAGGTCAGCAAAATCAAAAGGACAGCAGCCACCAAATAAACAAAAATGGCTGGCGGCTAAATGGAATCTAGGATGGCATGATATGGAAAGGTTCCGGCCATTAAGTTAGTTTCACCTTGCATGAGGTCAGAAAGTCAAGGTGTCGGGCGGAGCTTGCTCGATCCGCGGGGATTAGCGGCTCCAGCGGCTCTATGCGGGGTTCAATGGCATCTGCTTGACCAGGAACTTTTTCAAAAATTTTATTGATAAGACACAAGCAACCCGTAGATGGTTTAGAGGCAGATTATTATCATTGAGGGCATGAAAACCTATCAAAGTCCCTTGATAGACCAAATCATGTCCAGAATCACCCTGGACAGTCCCTCAAACTTGACAGAAGATAAGAAATTCAACCAGGTGGACAGCGATGCCCAATGCGGACATTCTTCCCCGCATTCCACCAGCCATTTCATGCAATTCTCAACGTGTTATCAGCTCATCGGCAACTCTGCCCGCCACCGCCGGGAATCGGACGACGATCCGAGCGGAGCTTTCTTCGCCCTCGATAGACGTGGCCTGGTCTCAGATGAAAATTAGTTACAGTTCAAGCCTGCAAGTGACTAGGCAGATGTACATAGAACACCCCTTGCCTCACTCATCCCCGTGATGTCACCTTTGTTTCCAGCATCTAGATCAATCCATGCTGCCAATCCCATGGTACTCACTACAGATTGAAAAGTTCCTTCTCGTGTAAACCATACTATTTTTGGCTCAAGCCACGTCAGGCGCCTACAATACACCTCGATTGAAAGGAAGTGGGTATTAAGATATATTTACAGGCTCGCCACCTGGCCTAAACCCGAGAAATCGAGGTCAAACATGATTCAAGAACTAGATCGACCCCAATAGTCGGATAATCGCACATTCGAGAAACTTTGTGAGGGGCTGATATTCATTTATCGACACAGCTCATGTGATCGGAATTCTAAGATGGCGCATGACCAAGTTATAACGCACCTATTGAGCGGGGTCAGTCACGAAGCGGCGCCACAATTTCTTTTACTTGACCTTTCCTTGGGGCTTGCTGTCGCAAACTTCCACCGCTTCATAATATGTGCTCATCTTTAATTTTCGACCAAGCCCATAGACCCAAAATAGCCAACATGCAAGCATAAATGCCCAAGTCATACTTTACTTTCCTGGAAAGAATAAAATGATTTCCCTTGGCTATCTTTCGCTGATTTTCACGCTAAAAATTCCAGTTCAGAGTCCACCTAGGCGCTCTGTGAGAGAATAATAAGTTAACCTCAAAATAAAATGGGATGAAATCCAACCCATCAATATTCCTCGAAAGGGATAGTTGTATGTGGCATTATATCTCAATTATCAACGAACGTCTAGAGTGAACCAGCCTGTGCAACCTAAATTTTAGAGAATGTCCCATACCTCGACTAAACCACCCTCGCGTTAAGCTTCGTAATCGATCGAGTTACAAAAAATTGATTTTCGCTATGTCCGAGGCAATCTATTTATACACAATTCTTCTATTCAATTAATGTTGGTCATGATAATAATGTACTACGTATGGCTTATCTCTAATATTGGCACCCCGCGATAAATTTTGTCGCGGAGGGCAAGCAGGTGAAGTTTCAATTGAACTCCGATGAAACTGAAGCCGCTTGATAGATTAAAATCGAGTGAGCATGATGCCTCTCAATTTTCGGGAAACCGCTTGCGATATGCTGCTCAGAAATGAGTTGGAATTTTAATTAAATGCAGCCTCCAAGAATCTACGATCGGGACTTCTAGTTGGAGGCAGGCAACTAGGAGTCGCTTCATACTGAGCTGGCTTCTCCCGTATGCCTTCGAATCCAAATGTGTACGTATCAACAAGGACGGTACTATGAGCCGAGTCGGACCGGAGTGGCGTTGACGACAGCCGGCTGGTTAGAACCGTTCACCGTGTTAATTGGGCGTTGCTCAATGGTGTTTTCTCCACAATCCCTGATAAGATGGGGCGGGGCCTTTCCAAAGTGGTTTCGCCCGGTCCTGTGACCGGCACAGAGCAGTCAACCCCGGATTCTATCGCGGATTGTCCGGCGTGTTGTTGTGACGTCTATGATGGGGGCCATGAAATTGATGGCCAATGTATAGAGGGGTATAGAGGGGGAGGGGCGATAATATAAAACAAACTCAACTCCCGCTTACCTCCTTCAATCATCGCATTAATTCCAAGGTTAATAGCACCCAAAGCCGACGGATACAACTCCAAAAGCATTAAAGATTTCACCGAAAATTAAGTTGACGACTCCGAGTCCTCTCCATACTTTTAAATATGTCGACAACATTGAAAAGCTACTTGGGACTCACCGAAACATCTGGCGACGCGGCACCCTTGACAGCTTTACCTGCGTCATGGTACACTTCTCCCGACATGTTCGAACTGGAACGCCGTGCCATATTTTCACGCAAATGGCTCTTGACCACGCACAAGCTACGCCTCTGTAACACCGGTGATTGGCTCAGATATGATATTGCCGGGTTTGGCTTTATTCTTGTCCGTGATCGGGAGGGCAACATCAATGCTTTCCACAATGTTTGCCGCCATCGTGCGTTCCCTGTGGTGACTGAGGGTGAGGGAACTGCGCGAATTTTCTCCTGCAAGTATCATGGATGGTCCTACGGATTGAATGGCAAGCTTGCAAAGGCACCTGGCTATCAAGATCTTGAGGGCTTTGACAAGAGCAAGAACAGCCTCTTGCCAATTCATGTTCACATCGATGTCAATGGCTTCATTTGGGTCAACCTGGATAGCAAGGACACTCCAGAACTATCCTGGGAAGAGGAGTTCCAGGGCGTTGACTTACTGAGTCAATTCCAGAATCTTAATGTTGAGGATTACAGCTTCGACCACGCCTGGGAAAGGGAGGAGGAGTCCAATTGGAAGACATTAGCCAACAACTATAACGAGGGCTACGACACGAAGATATCCCACCCCGATATACCTTCTCTTTCAGTTCTCAGCAACTATAGCCTTGAAGCCAAGGATGGCAGTATCACTCACAACGCCGATTCGACGCCAGAAAAAAGCCCCGCGGGTCTGAATATAACCAGTAGCTACTACTTCCCCAATACCTCCATGGTTGTTTCTCAACATTTCTTCTTCCTACGTCGATTTGTGCCTGTGTCCGCAACAAGCAGCATTGAGCGATACGAAGTCTATCGGAGCAAGTCCGCCAGTGACGATGACTTCGATTTGGTCAAACAATTATACAAAAATCTCAAGGGCGAGCTACACCCGACAACAGACAAGGGCCCGTTATACTTCCAGAGTGTGGTCCGAGAGATTGTGACCAACTTCCACAAGCGAGAGGAAGAGCTTGGTCAGGCAATTTGGCCTTCTCGACAAGTCCTTCCAGCGACAGCTACTACTAGCCAAGATGATATCGACTTTTGCGCCAAACTCACCACCCAAACCCCCGCGAATGCTGACTGTGGGGCATCCGGTGGATGCTGCGGAGGGGTTGCTTGCGCGAGTGGTAACGAGGCTCTCGCTTACTAGTTTTTTTTATGTTTCTCATGACGGCGTTTTGAGCGTTTTAAGACAGTCTATGACATTGGCATCTTGTATTGAATCACGACTTCATTTTAATTCATGATATTCTTCATCTTGACTAGAACAAACATACCGATTGACTCCGAGTCCGTTTATTGTCCTCCGGCTCGCACATATAGAACACTAGGATGAACTGTTCAGTGCATTAATTGTGGCGTTCAACAAATACTAGTATTTCATTAAGAATACAGTTTATTGTTAACAAAAAAGTTATTTGCCCCAACTTGAACTCGCAGAAAGCCCCACCACCACGGAGTAATTTAGTCAGGCTAAGATTGGTATTAAGACCGCTCTGGCGTTAACGGGGAGGGGCGGACCCCCAGCCTCCTGGGGCCACTGAGAACGGGGCCCTTTTGCTTATCATCTTCTTGACCCTCGTTCCAAAGGTTTCCTAAACCATCCCACCCCACATGGCCCTAGCTCTCCAATTTCGCGATAACGAACTTCAAACACGCACGATGTGATTCGAGGAACCTTATTCTTATCGCCGTTAACCTTTTCATCCCTAGCAGGTGCGAACACATGATACACGACCGGAGAGAAACCTATTGGATAACAGAGAATCCTATGGCAGGGATCTGCGACTGGGATGATCTCCTCGAGAGGTGAACGAGATGAGTGTAGGATAAATTTTCCTTTTTCAGCGGCGCAAGTTACATCGCAAACCTAGTGGCCGCACACGGACCGTCCTGGCCCTGGCAACCTTGGGCTAGCCCTGGGGGGTCCACAGGTCTAAGCCAAGTCTAGCGGCCCAAAACTGGGCCTCTGCATGATCTCGCAAGTGCTGGCATGTACTCCAAAGCTATGGGGTAACTAATGGTTTGTTGGCTGGTTTGGTCTCCGCGGGACTTCCCCGCTCTCACTTTATCATAACCCCGTCATCCTCTGCCTTCATTCTTTCTCTTAACATAACCACCCCCCCTCCCCCTTTTCATTGTTCCTTTCTCGCTTTTGTCATCACGTTGCCTTGGAATGGCACTACCGTTTATCGGTTAGTCGTGTTTTTTCAACATAATTCTGTGCAACCTCCAGAACTTCACCCTTCTCTTGAAAAAGGTTTTCGCCAACGGCCACCTCCCCGCACTGCGTCATATAATGCCGCGTGAAACCAATCGTGGAAGATTGCGATCGCACGAGGCTTGCCTAAACTGCCGGTATAGTTGCATGCGCTCTCTTGGATATCTTCTTTGTACTAATGTATACTGAACAGGAGAAAGAAGACCCGATGCCCCGCTGAGAAACCAGCTTGTTCCAGTTGCGTTCGGTTGAACCAGCCCTGTCTATATACAACGGTGTCCAGAGGTTCGCGAAGTGGCCCATCGGTATGCAGCCTACCCATGAAAGACATGTTAATGGATACTCATCATCAGTGAAGGCCGATCGTCTCGCATACTTGGAGGAGAAGGTCAATCTTATTTTGAACGGGAACAGGTATGACACGGACCGTGACGGACCGCCTTGTAAGGTGATCTCTTCTCATGCTGACCCCTTTCCCTTCCCCATAGGCCACCACAAGACCAGAATAACAACGGACCCAATGATATTCCAGACACTGCCTATTCAGGGGCTTCGTACCCCTCCTCGGGAGAGCCGGGCAACAACTTCAGTGACCCTTTCCTCCTTGGGGTCGGACTTGACGACTCCAAGTTACATTCATCCTCCCGTCTATCACAGGCTATTGGTCTCTATTTTCAATACTGCCACAGACAACCTATTTGGTGCTTCGATCGCGAAGAAGTCAAAGACCCTAGCTATGTTTCTGAAGAACTTGCTTGCAGTATCATAACATTGACTTCGCGATTCTCACAAGAGCGCGATGAGATGATTCATTATGGCGACAGTGCCCGAACATTGGTCATGTTGCGTATCGCAAATGGGACTGTCGAACTAGAAACCATCGAAAGCCTTTGTTTATTATCATACTCGTCCTTTTTAGGTAAGCTACATTTGCGAATCAATATCGATCATGCCAAGAACTAATATGTTATAGATGGAAACATTCAACTTGGAAGATTCCATCTTGGCCTTGCTCTTCAACTATGCCGGTCCTCGATGCTTGATCTGGACACTACGTACGACAATGAATGTCCATCCGCCGAGCGAAAGAAAAGGTTATTCTGGAGTCTTCAAGCACTGGAGCAATCATATGGCCAGATTAATGGAATTTTGAGTGTTCCGTCGGAAGTATTACGCTCGTTCTATGTTTCCACTGGTGATGATCAGGACCGAGAAAGGAAACTTGATCCAAAACCTCCCCCATTACCTCACGACGAAGTCGGGTGTTCTGGCCCTGATGCTACTGGTATCTGGAGCCTTGCCCTGCATTTTGGATGGGTATGGAGCAGGGTTAGAACATACCTCTACGATTGTGCACAGAGCAAGCTGAGAGAACCATGGCGACACGACTCTATGTATGCGATGGTCCTCTCGGACCTGACAGAGCTTGAGAACAAGCTTTCTTTATGCCATCGGTACGACTCGGTTAAATTCTACGAGCGCAGATCCGACGAACTCCGACATAATCGAGAATATTGGGGACCCTGGCTCAAACTCCAATTCACTTATCATTCTATATTGACTGTCCTGAATCACCCTTTCCTCTATATTGTGGCATCTCAATACAACCATAATTTGACAATCCCTAATACATTTTGGCGCCGCTCGTCAGAGGTTGTCCTTCTCCACGCGACTTGGATTGTTCGCATGATCGACATGATATCTGAAAAGAAGATGCGTCTCATTGATCCTTTCTTTGGACATGCGGCTGCCATCGCGGCTACCGTGCATCTATACTACTGCTGTGCTGCTGACCCAAGGCTCAAATTCAAATCAAAAACCGATTTTGCCAAATGCAGGAGATTTTTGAAAAGTTTCGTCCCATTTTCTCCTGCGTGTGAGATTCTTGTGCGTTTCCCCCCACCGTTGACATTGGTTGTCACCTATACTTACCTCGATTTTTTCTAGGATCGAACACTTGACAAAATGACACATATAGCCTCTGGGTCAGAGAAGGTCGACTTTGACTGGGAACCATCAACGATACACCTTAGTATCCCGTTGATGTGGGAAGTTCTCCAGGTCAATTTGACACCGAGTTCGCTAGACATGTCTACTGCCGGCTTGTTGCATCCGTCGCTCACGCCTGCAGTGTTCCCCGAGGATGTGGAAAATCCTACCTCGACGCTCGAAATCATCGTGGCAATGTCGCCTGATATCACTGTGAATACCGCTGATGGTGGATCTGCAGCACACATGCCACCCAACATGCCCCATTTGGCGTCGGCGCCAGCATCACCAACCAGCTCAGCCATGGGGGACAAGTTGGTTGCGCCTGCAGACAGTCTCATGAGCAATACGCCTTGGCTCTGGGCGGATCCCTCGCAGTTTGTGGATCTGGAGAATCTGGGATATGCCGAGTCGGAATCCACCCTTGGCAATGCTGATGGCTTTTCGACTTGGTGGGACTTTGGCAACTTATAAGAGTATCATATTCATTTATCTTTATTCCCACTTGACAAGGATTAAGGTTTCAAGACAAGTCCCAAGGCACCGTGCTCTCCGAGAGCGCTCAGTGCCTCGGCTCGCAGCGGCCGTTTATCTACTATGGATGCCCCGAATTTCCCCATGCCTATATACAATACCTAACAACTAGTGCCCTCGGTTACCCTTATGCGAAAAGCCCATCGATTAGCCCTGCGTCTGCGCCTGACCCTATGCTGCCGCAACGGTCTTCAACTTCTCCTGCAACGCGGCAAAATTCCTCTTCATCGCACTCTCGGTAAACTGAGCCCCAGTTACCATTGGATATTTCTTCAGCGGTCCTTGAATCAGGGCATCCCTGCAAGGCTGATTGAAATATGCAATGCTATAACGATCCCCAAAATAGTCGCCAGGCTCACATGGTGCCTTTACCCGGTGAAATGTCGACTTAAACCGATCGTCTGACCAGGACATGAGTAAGTCCCCAATATTGCACACGATCTCCCCGGTCTTTGCCTCCACTCTGGTCCATTCATCCCCAATCCCAAATTCGGTTACCACCTCGCGCCCAGGGCAAATCTCCAGTCCACTCTGTCCCTCTTTCTGGAACAGTAGCGTCAGAAAGTCCCAATCTGCATGTGCCCCCGCGCGATGATACTCCTTGCCATTCGATTCCTCCGGCAGTGCGAAGTAATGAAGTAGTCGCATAGTGGTTTGAGAGTCCCCTCGCGTGATATCGTGGCATTTGACAAAGAAGTCTTCGGGGAACCCCAGTCCGCGTGCAAAGCACCGCATGAGACACTCCGAAATTTCCTGCACCCGATGCATGAAAGCCAGAGCAGTAGTTTGAAACTCTGGTAGATGCTCGTCTGCAACCCATAGCCCCTTCATGTTATCCCCAAATTGCAATTGGTATGACTCTTTGCTGTCGGGTTTCCCGGTCGAGGGCCGAACCTGTGAGTTCTTCTCCCATCCAACGTTGTTTGCATTCCACGGAACGGTTGTTTTCGCGGGATCGGGTAAGTCGAAGAAGCTCTTAGAGGTCGTGAAAATGGCTTCGATATCTTCTTTCGATAGGCCATGGTCGACTAGAGTGAAGAAGCCGACATTTTCAGCGGCATCGATTAATTCATTCGTGATTTGATCGATTCGTCTCTCAAAGTCTGCTAGAGAGATTTGGGGTATCGGGCGATCGACGTATTGTGTATGGGTCATGCTGCCTGCTATTGTTGACTCTTGGACAGGTTGCGCTTAGTGTATTGTTCGATGATTCTGAGTAGAATTGTTTAGTCGGAGTTAAATAGAGAAGGGTTGTACAACCATGTTCAAGGGAATATCATGCAGCCCAGTGGCTTTCGACTTCGATGATACTTATCTTGAAAGCTCGGCCGAGGCCTCGGTCGAGGCCCCGGCCGAGCATATTGCAGAGCGTGGAGACGGGGCTCGCCGAGCTCGCGATCGAGACAAACAGGAATTCTATCATAAAGTACGTATCAAATTCGTGTATGAAGATCCTAGATTCATTTTCATATGAAAATGGGGTCTCTTCAATTTCCAACATCTCCTTTCCCCTGTGATTCAGCTGCTCAACGCCCATACTTTGGAATCGGCCGTGCAAAGCCTCGCAGTCTCTAGGTATATTTTTCGTCATTCGGCCATTATTTACTTAATTTATCATCTCTCGCTACGGCTGAAGAGTACTATGTAGTATCTACTAGTAGCTTCGTTCATGTCTTTTTTCGGTGTTTGTTTTAGAGTGGCGATCGGAAAAGGTCTTAGCATGTTACAGTAAATCTACCCCATTACCGCACAAGGCACCTGATTTTTTTTTTCAATCATAATAAATGCAAGGACTTTCTTTCACTGGTGATGGACGGTCCAGTAGTTAATAGACGATAAGGTGGCTGTGTAATGCCGTAAAACTAACTGGTCGCTCGTCTCCGCAGATAAGGGATGCTAGTCAACCATGCAGACTAACTAGCTGACAGTTACAACATTCACTTCTAGACAACTCTATTGCACACATGAGTTCTGGTATTCAGCGCAAACGACTAGCTTGCGTCGAGTGCACTCGTCGCAAAATTAAATGTGACAAGACCGTCCCCTGTCGCAACTGTACCCGGAAGGGCACACGATGCTCTCGTGCTCAGGCGCGGGACTCCCCGAGCCTGGAAGTGGCTCGACTTGACACGCAGGCTGAGACTTCCCTGCTCGCCCAATCAAACTCTGAAGCATCTAAGATTATCGACGGGCTGAAATCCAAGATTCATTGTCTCGAGGCCGAACTCAGAGAGGCTAGCGAGGCCGCCGCCCAAGCACGAACACCAACGCCCTCGTGCCATTTCAGTAGCACGACATACTCTCCCGCAAATTCTCTAGTATATCATCCTATTGCTGGATCTGTATCAGACTCTAGTCAAGCTAGTTCCATTCAAACACCAAACGAGGTTGAAGATGCAGCAACAATCCTGGAGTTTCTCGCCTGGGGCCGTCGCAAAGACCCTTCCTACCAAGATGAAATTGCAAAAAGAAACGACATGCCTCATTCGCCCGGGGATTTACCCATTGAGGATGATTGGAACGGCTTGCACGCTTCGGGTCTCTCAATGATGAGTTTCTGCGAGCTATTGCTGCCGATTAAACAGAAAGTCCACAAGCTCGTCACTTATCACTGCGAGTGTCTGCTATGGTATCATGGATCAATTCACGCAACGACGTTTCTCCAAGAGCTAGAAGATTTCTATGCTCGGGCAGGCGGACGCATTGATGGATCTGGTGTTGATTTACAGTGGATGTCACTTCTCTTCGCCGTACTCACTGGATCAATAGCCAGTGCTCCCACGGCCACCACTCAAGCTTGGGGATTTCGTGATCAGGAGAAGAGAGCTTTATCACATCGATGGCTCAAGGCCTCCGTTGCTTGTCTTCATCAAGCAAATTATATGGCTTGTCACTCTGTATATGCTGTCCAGGCCATCGCGACGCTAACTATATCTGCTCACATGCTTGGGAAATCCAATAGCTTCTCAGTACTTCTGGCCGCTGCTATCAGGATTGCACAAGGTCTTGGGCTGCATCAGCTCGATGCGGATCAGGAGTCCAAGTCTTGTCATCCATTAAACCAGGAAATCGGCCGTCGTATATGGTGCCAGCTGTGTATTCAGGACTGGTTCTCCATTCCCTACACCGAAAGTTATCTGATTCACCGAAAGTGCTTTAATACTGAGAGACCTGGAAATTGTGACAATCAACTTATTCCCATTTCAGAAGACCAGCCGACTGTTACAGGCTACTCCCGCCTTTTTTATAACATCGCATATCTGATGCCAGGCCTCTACGATGACTTCACTTCTTCTAATACTTTGTATACGCGATACGAAGAGGTTCTCAAGTACGATCGGCGATTACGCACACTGGCTACGCAACATCTTCCTCGTTACTTACAAAATGTCCCTCTGGATCCCTCTTGGCCAAGCTATGTTCCCTGGGCGAGACGAAGCTTGGCCATCAGCTCGGCTCACAAGGTGATCATGATTCATCGAAAATTCCTGAGCCTGAGCTTTGTAAATCCGATGTTTGAATTCACTCGAAAAACCTGTGTTGCTGCTTCCCGCACCATCATTAAAGAACAGAAGGAGGCCACACTTGATAATGGGCCAGTTTTGTGGATACATCAAGCATTTGGCGTAACTGCAAGTGTAAGTGCTGATTTGGTAGTTATGATCAAGTATAACAATACTAACCATTCTTATAGATAATTCTTTGTCTAGATATGTTTCATCGGCCTACGACAGATAGCCAGTCATCACAAAATCGACAGTTTGTTGAAGATGGCATTGCAATTCTTTCCCATTGTGATTCGGACATGATTGCTCGTCGTGGCGTGCCATTAATTAAAGCGATGCTCCAGGCCGAGGAGAGGCGGTCTGGTTCACCCGATTCGCACGAAGCACGAGCGTTTCATAGAGCAGGCATGGGCTTGAACATTGCCTCCATAATTCAAACATTCTATAAACAAGACCAGAGTGGCCTATCCGGAGACTCACCCGATATTCCTCCGGTGGATCCCAGCACCAGGACATTGGGGTGTGGTAATTGGCCGGACATGATAAACCATGAGTTAAGTGGGATACCGAATACCGATCTTTTGATGCCGTTTGGGGTAGACTATGCGGAGGGACTAGACGACATTTTAAACCTTGCAACTAATTGTCTCAATTGAAATTTGTTTGCAATTATGTTGTGTTGAATGCCCATGTCCGCAAGCCAAGAGTATATCCACGGAAGTTAATTAGATGGCATAGTATGTACTTGGCCCTGCCCATAGCTAATTAAACATAAGATCTGGAGACAAAAAAAACCATGAGTCGAAATTCCTAAAATTGCGGTTCCGCCGTACATTAAGTAAAATATAGAGCTAGTTTACTCGTTCTTGCGGACCTGGGTGATAGGCGCTTGGTAAATCCGGCGGCCATGGAGGAAATATTGCACACAGGCAAAGATAACGACAACTCCAAATACCAAAATCGACCAGTTCATATCAACTGGCGTTGGGTTGGCCGCAGTGGGGAAGAATGTAAAGGTAATGGCGAAAATGAGATATGCGACCGAGAAAACGTTAATGGCCAATCCGAATTTCCCTAGCGAAATCGTGCAGGTGGGATACCACCTGGAAGTAAACGAGCGCGAATAAATGCGCCGATCGACAGGATATAAGTCGTAAAGAGAGCCGCAATCATTACCGACGCGACGGCGTTGAACGCAGCGGTCGAGCCAATATTGATTAGGCAGAGCAGCACAGTGATCATCGTTGAGACCAATACAGACGTAATAGGAATGTGAAACCTCTTGTTCACATGCGCAAGAGCGCCGGAGAACGGCAGGGCATTGTCGCGAGCAAATGCAAAGGTTTGGCGAGACGCGGTAGCAAGAATACTGATGGCACTGCAGACCTCCATAACGAGAATAATCGCAGCGACTCCATTTGCGGCGGCTGTTGAGCCAGTGGCATGTTGAACAGCGGGGAGGAAGGAAAATCCGCTAGCAGGGGAAATGACATCCTGGATGTTGCCCATGTTATAGAGAAGAGTGACAAGCATGATGAAACCCAATCCGCCGTTGATGAGTGCGGTTGAGACCATACACCAGGGCACAACGAAGGCAGCATTTTGGACCTCCTCGGCCATGTGAGTAGCAGCATCAGGACCTGTCCATGAGAAGAGAGGAGTGAGCTGGCCAACGAGACAGGCAAGGCCCATACCTGACCATCCTCCAAAGTTGGAGAACTCAGTCCAGACTGCAGAGTCAGGAGCCTTTCCAGGGCCCATCGCCCAGAGAGGAACCAGAACCGCAAGGAATCCTCCAAGGTGAAGAAAGAGAATAACTCCTTCAAGAGGAGCCAGCAATTGAGCGCCAAGTGTATTGATCAGTGTTCCGACAGCCGCGATTGCGATCGTGAGGAGAGTGCCGTGCCAGCGCTCGAAGCCGTAAACATATCCCGAGTCGTCGGAATAGTTGAAAACGAGTAATCCCTGGATCAAAGTTCCACAAAGGAAGCAGATACTAGCAAAGGCAGCTTGCCATCCCAGAACCGAGAGCCATCCTAAAATCGATAGGGTCAGCATGCAAACTAGCATTCGCACCCTTCGATGATATTCTTACCGGTGAGATAACTCAGGAATCGCTGGAATCTCGGGGCAGCAAATTCACTGACCCAATGGTACTGTCCACCAGAAGTCGGCGAGCTGGCGAATAGTTAGACTCATCAGTCCGGGCGCATGGCGCATCGAATAGCAATTTCCTGCGATACGTACATGGAAGCAATCTCCGCCATGGAGATCACAGAGGCGAAGAACCCCACAAACGACGCGATATAGACATAGATCATGCCGGCGCGGCCTCCATCTATAAGGCCATAGGTACTCGTGCTGCGCAGGGTGTGTCAGTCGGCAAGGGGGCTCGTTTGCGACCAGTCGGATCGGATGGGCTCACAGTAGAATCGACTCCCAACTCGCCATTAAAGTCGTAGTGAATCCTAAGATGGAGTAAAACTTGAAGTTTCGCTACTCGTATTGCCAGTCAGTAACCATATGCTTCAAGCTATCGCGGTGCTCCCCCGCATCGCCCGCTTCAACTGACCTTCAACTGCTGGGACTTGCCCAGTCGCTCCATATCGCGATCATCCTGTAGGCTTTGATCCAAGCCGACCTCATGGCTGACGATCTCCTTGTCTACACTCGACATGACTGCTAGGCGTGGAAAGGCAGAACACACTGCGATCGCAGGAACAAAGGAGATGGCAAAAAAAATCGCAGATCCGTGGGGAGACGAAGGCCAGGGGGTTCTTCTCCGTCTGGGCGCGAAGCCAATCACGACGAGCCGAAGGCACGCGGTGGAGTAAAGAGGAGCCCACGAAGTCTATTTAATTATCGCCACATACTGAGTGGTTCTTGGATCCCTCTTTCACCTCTTTCACCCACCAGCTTTGACTCTCGACTTCTCGAGGGTATCCTCGGATCTGCGTCATGCCGTTCTAGCGCCTACTAGTAATGCGACGATGCCTGCAGCTGGCGGCACTAGCGCACGCCATGACACCAGAAGAGTCAAGTTGCTGGACCTTGAGACCTAGTTTGCATAGGGATGTGGATCGCGGACCTTCCGAATGAAGTTCGGTGGTGGAAGGGTCTTTTTTTCCTGCATGTTTCCAGAATATCAAAGGGATATGACTCGACAACGCACGCGATCCGGGAGTCATTCTATCTTGGACTGCATGGAGGGGATGTACACCTTGACCTTAATCCAAGCCCTGGAGACCCCTCTTCCATCATCTCTTGCATCCTTCAAAATCCACTCGAGCGCGAAGAGCGCATTGCATGCATTTGAACTCTGATGGGTCGGGACTTTGAGATCACACCTGGGCACTTCGGTGGCGCCGCTAAGGGGTACTGCACGTACACATATCCTCGGCCCAGACACGGTGTGATCGGCGCAATCTTGGTACACATCGCGGAGCTCTGGGCAAGAGTGGAAACATTCTCCCTGGCGAGAGTGATTTTTATTGATCCTGGAAGGCGGCACGAACCGTTGAGCGACTCCACGATTCTACCTGAAACTCCATAGCTCGTCTCGTTGGATGCTTCTGGCCTTGAAATCGTGGGTCTTGCGGAGGGTCTGTGTAGCGACCGGTTCGCGGCAGCTCGCTCTAGCCGACGAGAATGCGAAGTTGATTAAGACGTCTCCACCTCGATCTTACCCAGGTGGTTGGTGGAGCCAGAGATGCTCACGACTCAACTTTTAAAACGCCAAGTGGCGCAATATCTCAAAAATGGGCAAGGTTCTTAGATTAATTCAATGATTAATCATGATTCAGAAATTCCACTTCGCGTCCTCCTGTGCTACAATAGTTTCGCGATAAAAGGCAAATGGTAGAGGAGGCGTTTCTACTCCGTAGTGAATGTGTCAATCGTGAGAGATCATTCCTCGCGTTTCCTAGTTATTTCCAGTCCGTGGCACTTATATACTTGCACATACCTTGGCAGATCCCCTCCAGTTTGCTTCAAGTTGCCTTGCTTACTTTGCTTGGCCGCAAATTAGTCACTTCTACAGCATTCCACCCACATGCCATGTTTATCTCGCCTCGCTTCTTGGAGAAGAGATTCGGAAGTACTAGTATTAGGGGATCTCAGCATCTCAAGTTACATACAGTAGCGTTGCAAAAGTTTGAAATCCCATATTGCCCACCATTATAGACCGCCTTCTAATGAGAAACTAATAGCTACCTAAGATGGATTAGTTAGGCCAATCTATTCCGTCTCAAGTAGCTACTAGACTGCGATTAGAAGGCGGAGACAAAAACAGTCAACAAGGGTTTTCAAACTTTTGAAACGCCACTGTACTAACCTTCCAAGGTCATTAGTGAACGGGCGTCAACTTGAATTTCCAACCTTGGAACCATGGAACTTCAAGTTGGTTGAACTTCAAGTTCAAGTTCCAAGCTTGGAACCTGCAAAGCCCTGCCCAGGTGCCCAGGTCAATGGTAGCAGTAGTATTAAACGACCTGCACAACCTGGGTCATTTATATCCATATAACTTGAACCCATCTGCGACTCGAGAACTCGGGACATTCAATGGAGTTTTCGGCCTCTTTCGAATCCTGTAAAACTTCAAATTCATAAAATAGTAGATAGCGATTCGGAGGTGTTTTGGACCAAAATAAATAAATTTCTAGAATGTTAGTGGACAGAATGCTAGTATACAGCGGGTTCGGACTTTCTCCTCAATGATTTAGCACCATGGTATCGCTTTGACATAGTATGCAAGAGCACGAGACTTTCAATTGGCCAACTTGAACATAGCTTATCACACCATAAACTGAGACACTAATACTAGATTTTTGTCTCTCGATCCATATTTGACCCTGACATTTCTTGGACGGTCGTTTCTGACTACTTCAAAAAAAGAGTATTACTCGAAACTAGCCAGATGGAGATATACACAATCCGAGATTGCGATTTAGTGCCGATGGAACGTGACTCAGGAATATCTCGCCGTTCCTGCATATGACCTAGATGTTAACTAAGTGTTTCTGATCATAAGCTTGATGGCGTTGGGTAGTGGAAAGCCATAATGCTAAGGTTCATGCTCCGAGCTACTCGAGCCGAAAAAGGCCCCGGCTTTAGTTTTGTGACGGTCGCACAGGATTACGAGGGGGAAATCTTGTCAAAAATATGATTGCCGTGAGGACCATAAATTTCAGTGGCGATGTGCTTACATGGTTGATAAACCGGGCCTCGCTCAGAGAATTTGATGCCGTTTTCTGGTGTTGTTCTACCCCCATACCAACACCGGAATTTCTATTTTCAACAACAGTAAAACCGGCTTTCCGCTTAAAGATGAATCGGAATGACTGACGGAAATTAGCTTATATGTATCTCAGAAATACCCGGAATTGGAGCCTGTTCAAGCTTTCGCGGCATCGCTATTGGGGAAAGATGAACACTTTGAATCCACCGACTCCAAAATTGCCCATCTTAAATGAATTTACAACACGAACATCCATCTTAGTAACCGAAAAGCGGTGTTCCGACCGGTTGAAATCGCCAGAGTAGTGGAATACTTACTAGAGATGATCGGATATCTCCTAGTCCTTTGGCACCAGGGGTAGTTATTCATCATGAGGCGGTATTATAGTGCCTCATTGATCGTGTATAATCTGCATTGGTATGGCAAATTTCCACCGTGTGCGGTAAAAAGATTTATTGGGTTGACTTTAAAGTAATGAGACTTGACAAACTTTGATTTCTAACTAAATGAGGTAGTTAATTTGACATTTACTGTACTCTAGAGCTACATTAGGGCCAGCAACTCCTACTCCTACAGCGTACCATAGTTTTAGGCAGCTAATCTTGGTTGTCGGAATTTACTAGTTCTGTTAGCTCTGCTTGCATGCTACTCAAGTCAACGCCAACGGCGAGGTGACGAATATAACTCGTACTCGTACCAGGGTGCATCCATGAATCCCTGTTCCGTCTAGCTTACTTTGGCTCTTAAGGCCGAGTCGGAGCAAAACCAGAGTGAAACTCCGATGATAAGATTTGTGCAGCGAATTGTTCGACACAGCCCAGACTCCACTTCTTCAACGGGTAATGGATTCGGCACTCGTCTCAACCTCTACTTTGAGTGTCTGAAAAGCCCCAAGAGTCTTCGTTTCTAGTTAGACATTGAGCTAAACCTCCACTATATACTCAATCTGTATCTGACATCGTCAATTAAAGATATAATTATAATTATAAGGAAATATCTCAATTGTCGATGAACGCTCTGAGGGACTATGGAGCCCACTCTTGCCAATGATTGGCACATTTGAGTTTCAAAACCCACGGATATCGGCACTCGCTACAGAAAGAATAGTGGGATCTACCACAATAGCCATTGCGCGCGGGCTATCGCTATTGAATGGCCCGCTGACGTTGTGCCGGGCGCCACAATATGCCAGCTGCGCCCGTAGACGCGTGGGCAGGTGGTCCGTCCCTGGCGGATTTGAGGAGAAACCAAGGACTATGGGGCTTCACCCACAATTCTAACAGCGATCCCCAACTCTGAATGGCTGTGTGCCATGTGGGTGTTCGCAAGGCCAAGACATTGAAGCGCAAAGGTCCCATTTCTCCCGCCGCGTTCACAAAAACACGCAAGACGACAGGGAATTCAGACCCACTGACGGCTTGGCATATAGGATATTTGATGATGCCATACCGAATCAGCATGTGTTGTTTTATGAGGTTATCCACGTTGCGATGGGGCCATGGATTACTTGCGGGGTGCTGTAAGGAGGTCGTCCTTCTCGATGACATCGCCCTTGGTTCTGGGCAAGGGACGCATAATCCCTTTATAGAGCCAAGCAGGCTTTCTTAAGACTGGGTCATGGCCCGCTCCGCTCCTCCCTACTTCTGTTTTCGTACTCGTTTGGTTGTTGTTCACGCCCTCACTCTCCCCTGAAACGCCCCTTTCCTGGAACGCAATGCGCCAATGTCCATGCGGAAATCATCCGCCGTCTCCCTCCTGAGTCCCTGGCTTGGTCGGGGCGATCGTTTCCGCAAGTGTTCCCTTCGGCGTTGGATTCCTGCCCTGGTGATAGCTCTCAGCGCTTTGGCACTCTTTTGGACATATGCCGTGCCACAACTTGCAAGATTTCGATTCCGCGCCGGGTTGAGCTGGTATGATATGGGATGGTACGGCTTCGGGCCGTCACGAAACTATGTCTCCTTCAACGAAGAATCTCCCGTGATCGAGATTACTCCCGCTGGTGCACATTGCGATCCACGATATACTTTTATAGCTCCACGAGGCGATTCCGTTGTCCATCCCGGTCCAATGATCTTAGATTCCAAGGGCGAGCTTATATGGACGAAGCCCAACTGGGGCACAACACAAGATTTTAAAGTTCAAAGCTATCAGGGTCAAGATTATCTGACTTATTGGCAAGGAGATGAGGAAGATGGTCATGGCCGTGGATCGTGGTATATGGTATGGAAATAATTACTCATTTATCAGCATCCAGATCTGGTATTGCCACACGGGTTGCTAACATCTCTTTGCTATTGGCAGTTGGACTCTTCATACAAAATTCGCTATATAGTATCGCCCGCCGGAGAAATAGAGGGTGATTTACACGACTTCCAAATAACATCCAACAACACGGCTCTTATAACAGCATACGAGCCTATTCCGTATGATCTGACATCCGTCGGTGGGCCCAAACTCGGATGGCTCTACGACGGTATTATCCAGGAGACCAACCTTGAAACTGGAGAGCTTCTCTTCCAGTGGCGCTCATCCAGCTTCTATCTCCCTGAGAGCAGTTACGAGCCACTTGGAGAGAAAGGACACGAACGGACACTGGGTTATGATTACTTTCATATGAACAGTGTCGACAAAGATAACCACGGCCGCTATTTGGTATCTGGACGACACACTCACACGGTCACCTGCGTGGACGGAATAACTGGTGAGGTTCTTTGGTCATTGGGAGGCAAGGAGAATGAATTTCTCGATGAATCGGATGGGGCTGCAACCCAATTCGCGTGGCAACACGATGCTCGTTGGCAAAGCTCCAATACTTTGACATTATTCAATAACGCAGCCAACCAAGGATCTGACAGGTCTTCCGTCAGTCATGGAGTCCTGTTGGAACTTGATATACCCTCAAGAAAAGCCAAGGTTTTGACGAGTTACGACCACCCGCAAGAACTCATGGTCGTATCCCAGGGAAATTTACAGGTCCTCGACAATGGAAACGTTCTTGTCGGGTGGGGCCACAGCGCTGCCTTCACCGAGTTCTCCCCAGAAGGCACAGTGCTATGTGATGTTCATTTCGGCGCATCGGCCTACTTCACCTTTGGCCGGATTGTTTCCTATCGCTCCTTCAAGAGCAACTGGATCGGTATGCCTAATACCGTTCCGGACGCTGCAATGACGAGAGAAAGTGTTTTTGTGAGCTGGAATGGCGCAACCGAGGTCGCAACGTGGCGATTCCAAGCATGGGATGGTGCAGACCTAAACAACATGACATTCAGCACGATCAGGGATATTTTGCGCTCTGGATTTGAGACTGAGATTCCTTTCCCTTCTGACTTCACTTCATATTTCCGAGTTGTCGCGCTCAAATCTGACGGCGCAGTCCTCGGCATGACGGAAGTTTTGCAGCGTGGTAGTACTGAGGCCATGGAGAAAAGTCCCACTTTGAAACATTCCTGGCGTGTTGCAATCGTGCTGCTTTTTGTCCTTTGTTGTCTGACACTTGGTTTATATTTTGCCATTTCAAGGTTTTCGCGATACCGAAGATCCCAGAGAGATCAGTCATATCGACCCCTAGCACATAAGGATGAGGATGAAGATGACCCGGAGAACGGGATCGGCCATCATTTGCCGATATAGAGTGGACGCTGGCGTCCTTGATACCCACGAACGTTCGTATAAAGATTTACGCAGCGGTCACAACTTGAGCTTCAGAGCCGTGGCTTGTATATAACTGAGCTTTTCCAATGAATCACTATTACCTAGGTATTAAATCTTCTTCGAGCTCTTTCTTAAGCAGCTAGGTGGCATCCGAGTACAATGCCACCGGCATTGACTCACTCTCCCTTGCACCTTCACCATCACGTTGACATCCCTCACATTTTTGATGCCTTGAAAAATCCGTCCTCATTCGACAATTCGGCGAATCCATCTTTCAGCTCTTAGGACGTGGCTCATTCGGCGCCAGGGTGTTTTCCCAAGACATGACTCGGTAGTGCGGGAAATGGACTACTAATCACTTGCTCAGAATTATGAAAGTGTCAATGCATGCGAATGAGAGACTGCAACGGAGGAAGCCGATTTGGATGCCTGATTGATGCCTGGGGTATTTATGTGTCAACACGATTTTTCCCGAAGATTTTCCCAGATATGCTCAACGCTACGGAACACTTTCCCACAGAGTATATGCAATCCTAAGTTCGGTTCCCCGAGGCATTAGACTTTCATTTACCAAAGTGATCCCGGCATACGCAGGCCAAGGCGACAAATGCTCCAAGTGCTCCAAGCCTTCAACCAAATCCGCCGAATGAACAAGTCAAATACTACTCGATGGATCCTTCTTGCCAAGGATGGGCGGGTGACACTCGGGGGGCCTGTCCTCCCCACCACCCGCCCCCGCCAGGGAACGCCCTAAGGAGGCCCGTGGCGCTTCTCGAGACTCTCGGCGTGCTCGGCGTGCTCGGCGCCTATCCTAAGCACAGCCAAGCCGCACTCCAACCGAGGCGGGTTTTGCCAATAGCTAAGCCACAATCCTTCGCCCCTTCGCTTGACTTTCTGTATTCAATCACTCATCTCCAGCTATTCCTGGGGGCGGATTTTAATATCCCTCATTTCGATTTGTTCGATTCATAGTTAGGGCAAGCGGGGATCAGGGCGCTATGCTTATCGGCATAACAGACGCACACGCACATACCATTGAGATCGGTATCGGATAAAATTATCTCATCAATGCGACCTGCGGTTTGGTTTTTGACTAACATCGTTTGAAAATCGGCAGATCCTCGGGGCCTAGCTACGAGCTACTGTATCTGCGGCTACCTGGTGGAGCATTGTGTCGCCAGTCTTCACTTCCGCTCAACTCTATCTCCATTTCACAGAAATTGGTTTTATCGGCAGACTGTTGTATTCAGTCAAGAATTGCCTCCCGCAAGTACGGCGAACTTTCCTGCCTTGTGCGATTCACGGCCCGTTTATTCTAACCAAAGCCCAGATCTTGGCCACCATCGCCAAGCGGTATAGCGACATTGGCATGCATTTCCCGTCCACTCATTTCAATTCTGAAATTACGCCTCTGCCACCATCTCCTGGTGCCAGAGAATGACGTTTCTGTTTCTCTGTGTCTGTGTTGCATGTGGGTATCCCGCTAAACCTGCAGTTTTGCCAGTGACTCTGGGTGTGCTATCTTCTTGGAAGGCAATCCTTAGTGGTGGAGTTTCGCAAGATCGGGGCTCTTTCGGGCTTTTTGACCAGTACCCTGATTCCCCGTGGGGGGTAGAAAATGAGAAAACGATAAATCCTGGCCTGGTTCCTGATTTCAGAATTTACTATTCGCTCTTCAACCAACGGCAATTATTAGATTAAACCACATCCATCAGATGAACTCTCTGAACTCTTAGCATCACCTATTGATGTCTATGCTGATTTTACAAATGCATTGTGCATGGGCGAATGAACATAAATTGGATCGAGTCGTGGCCGACTTTGTGAATAGTAGGTGGTATCGTCACAGTGAGTCGTAGGTCACCTTGGATGGCTGGTTCATGCTTCCCTCCAAAGTGTTCGTTTAGCATGGAATATGGGTTCCTGGGGTGCACTCAAATTATAGTGCTTGCTAGAGTATACAAATGACTGGACAGAGTGTACTGATTCGGCTCCGAGTCCACCTACCTCATAACGGGGTCGGAAGGCCGGCTTGACGCGACAAGATAACTAACCCAGGTGGCTTCCGTCCGCATGCAAGCCCTGTGTGCCGCAAAGGATGTGGGTGTCATTGGTCAAAAAAATTGTAAGTATCGGGGCTTATTGTGCCTAAAATGGAGTTGGAAACTTGGCGAAAAGAATTCGACGTCATGTTTGGGCGACAAGACCTTGGCGGCTTCAGGTAAGCATACGGTGGCTGAAATCAAGTGTCGATGGCTTTTATGATACCCCGAACATTTCCAAGAGTCAAATCAATTGCACGTTGGAAGCATATCGCGTCGTAAAAGAGAGGTTAAGGTAGGATATTTGATGGATCCCTGTCAGGTAACTATCATATGGGGGATGCACATAGATCGGAATAAGTCATTCGGTACGGAGTAGATGTAAAAGATTCGGAGAACAAAGACACGGGCCAAAAGGATAAAACCACTGGGTCGGAAGGGCCTACCGCGTAGAGAGAAGTATCCACAGAGTGACAATATAGGAACTTCGCTATTTGCATGCTGAATCCAAGTTCAATCCTACCGAGCAGTCCCAGAATCATCCCGCGCCGCCACTTTATGTGTAGATAGCCTTTGATAGTCTTCATCTGTCCACCTAGTATCGTACCATCATCTTTTACCCCATCTTCTCGGTATTGTATGGTAGCATCCTACACCCCCCCTGTCAATCCGCACGTGAAATTAGTTTCAGATTCGCCATGCAATGCGCCAAGTGCCAAGGGCCCCCGCCAAACGCCAAGTAAAAGCATTCCCCGACTAGAGAGCCTTCGCTGGACTTTCCAACTTGGGGCCTGGCCAAGATTTAAGTGGGCGTCGGATATTCAATTTACAGTATAGCTTGGATGCGCCCTGAAAAAAGCCCCATGGGGCCCATGGGGGCGCTTCCTATAAGACCGCGCGAATTTCTGTCCCGACGCTCTCTTTCTTTCTGACTACTTTCTCTAGAGCTCGCTCTAACACTCTTCTTCCCAACTTTGACGGTTTGACTCTGCGTCTACCATCAATATGTGGACGACTACCAGCGGCTTAAGTGGCCGGCCACTTCGGCTGAGCATCACCTTCGCCGCTGTCGTTGGTTTCTCGCTCTTCGGCTATAACCAGGGCATGATGGCCGGCATCCTCAGCGGCACAGAGTTTACCGCCAACTTTCCTATTCTCGCAATGCCCGACGACGCGACCGCATCTCAAAAACACTACATCGATGTCATTCGCGGTGCTGTCACCTCTTGCTATGAGCTTGGCTGCTTCTTCGGCGCTTTGTTCTCCATGTTTTACGGCGACAGACTTGGTCGGACTCGCCTGATCTGTATGGGTGCCAGTATCTTGATCCTGGGCGCCCTGATCACAACACTCTGCTTCACTGGAAAATGGGAAGTTGGTCAATTCGTCATTGGCCGTGTTGTGTCAGGTGTTGGAAATGGATTGAACACGGCCACGATCCCGGTATGGCAATCGGAATGCTCTGGTGCCCACAACCGTGGCTTCCTGGTCTGTTTCGAGGGCGCTATGATTGCTGGTGGCACCTTTATTGCCTACTGGGTAGTCTTCGGTCTCTCGTATGTCCCAGAATCTGTTCAGTGGCGATTTCCCGTGGCCCTTCAAATATTCTTCGCACTGATTGTGGCCGCCGGTGCCCTGATGCTCCCGGATTCCCCATCATGGTTTGTCAAGAGAGGACTTGACAAAGAAGCTTGTGAAGTTCTTGGCAAACTTAAGGGAACTTCCCCTGATTCCGATGAAGTGCTTCGTGATTTTAATTTCTTAAAACAAGATGTGGAATCATCGAAGAACACCCAGTCAAACTGGAAGACCGTCTTCACATTTGGTAAGACGCAGGAATTCCAACGTCTCCTTATTGGTTGCTCTGGTCAGTTTTTCCAGCAGTTTACTGGCTGTAATGCTGCTATTTACTACTCAACTCTTCTCTTTGAAGAGCATCTTCATATGGAGAAGGAACTTTCTTTGATTATGGGTGGTGTATTTGCAACTGTTTATGCTATCGCAACTATCCCATCCTTTTTTATGATTGAAAAGGTCGGACGCCGAAATCTCTATTTAATTGGCTTCCTAGGCCAAGGTCTAAGCTTTGTCATCACCTTCTCTTGCTTGATTAAAGAATCCGAGCAGAACTCCAAGGGTGCTGCTGTTGGAATCTTCCTCTTCATCGTTTTCTTTGCATTCACTCTCCTACCACTGCCATGGATCTACCCACCGGAAATCAACCCTCTCCGTACCCGCACTATCGGTGCATCGGCCTCGACTTGCACCAATTGGATCTGCAATTTCGCCGTGGTTATGTTCACTCCGCTTTTCGCTGGCCAGAGTCCATGGGGAGTCTATCTCTTCTTCGCTCTATTCAACTTTTTGGGTGTGATCTTTGGCTTCTTCTTTTATGTCGAAACAGCTGGCCGTGAGCTGGAGGAGATCGATATCGTTTATGCCAAAGCCCATGTCGAAGGAAAGATGCCATGGAAAGTTGCCAAGGACTTGCCCAAGCTTAGCTTTGAAGAGATCACTCAACAGTCTCGCGAGCTGGGCTTGGATACCAATGACCATGGCGTGCATGAGAAGAGCGAGCTTGGCCTCACTAGTGCCAGTGATAGTGACCAGAAGCCCGAGGAGCTCCCGGAGAGGCAGTGATACACTCGTGGTGGATGTGGTATTGCTATGATCGATGTTGCCCATCATGATTCCTAGTAGTAGGTGCTTGAAGCGGATTGTTTTACAGTTCATTTTGCTGGGTTCATATTGCTTTACCTAGGCTTCTACTGGATATCTTGATGTTTTGATGATCGAACTAATGAACCATATCTGGCCAAGCCACTCTGTAGTGAAGAGTACAATACGACTAAGTCGAAGTCTTGTTATATAGAATTACTTTTCGGCTGGCGAACATCAATTCAATAATTAATGCGACCTTTCTCGTTCTCGGTCTTCCACCTCTCTAGCTAATTAAACTCCCTAATACTTTAACTTCTTATGGCTTTCCCTCGAGATTCTTGCAATACATTAGAACATAGTCCGATTATTGCAGCCACTAAAGAGGGGTGGCCTGTATTTCCGTCAATTGATATAAAATTGCACATAACTATCCATTTTCCTCTTTTCCTACTTGCGAGTTTCAATTTCGATAAGAAAGACGATAACCATCCCATGTTTCGCTCTTTCCTCGATTAAAATCTGGTCTGCCTCATTAGGAAGAAGAATGAATGGAATCAAAGGACATGGAGACTAAGATATATCAGTTAAAACAGCTAGAAGGACTTGATTATCGACCCTACAGCCATCTACCAGGGTTCTTCCCCAGTGAAAGCCATGTTGCATCTGAATGTATACCATGTTGAGATCCATGTTTCTTCTGTTACACTGGGCCACTAATCGAAATGCTACCGAACAAAGAGTTGTCGTGCTCTGGTTCGTATCACCGCATAATCTCTTTGTTTCATCTGGACTTTGAAAGTTCAAGTTGTTGGATGCATGGCCGACTTCTGATAAGGGCAGAACATCCAGATGCTGTGAGCTGTTAGACTCAACAGCAAATGGCGAGGCTTCTGGTCCAGGGAAGCCTATTGGGCTTGTTACACTGAACAAGTGACTAAAAGCATCCAGCGAAGTCGGACTGGGAGAGTAAGTAGGCAGCGATGGCATGGCCTGTATTAAAGAGGAAATAATCAGACCGGACCTTGTTCACTTGTATTTAGAGAGGTTTACTGTTGAAAAGCGGGGGGTTCGGCTCCCAGTATCGTCATCTATGAACCGATCCTGGAGTCCCCGGATGACGCCTAAGCCGTCAAGTAAAGATTCCATATAATCATTTTCGCCTTTTAATCTGCCCACAGTCGTTTTATGAAGCAATTCGTTCGAAGCAAGTGTAAGTTCACATTCTTGGATCCTGCTTTCGAGGCTTCGGATGTATTCCTGCCGCCGTGCCCTTGACTGTCGTTGGTTATGGCGAATTCGTGCGAGATCCTCGCTCTGAGAAGGGATGGTTAGTCGGCAACAATACTAATATAGTATATCGAAGTTCGCAATATCAGCCATTTGAACACCGACCTTTGTTTTTGTTTTCTGTCGGGGCATGGTGTCAATTGTTCGAGCAGCTCACAGTAGGAAAGGATCTGGCAGCTACGGGGACAAGTAGCATGGCTTGGGCATAATCGGTGGGGAAAACTTCCAAACAGAAGAAATCTTAGGGTAACTATTATGATTTCTCATCCTACCCCACCTGATCTTTTAAAATGACTGATTTGATGGCCGATTGAAAGACTCGCAGGATTCGGCAGCCAATCACAGAAAAGTGGCATGTCACCACATTCAGGAATCACTGCGGGGCAATCAATACCATTCCTCATTGGCTAGTGTCCTCTGTTTAGCGCATCCAATTATCATTCGCCGATGACATGCCGTTGTTTCTAGAGATACAAACATTTTTGCTCCTCTGTTTTTCTGTTTTAAACCTAGCGCTATGATACTTGTAACCCGGACAAGGTCACATTGGGCTACGGCAAATATTGCGACGAGATTAAGGATAAGTCCTCACTCAAGGCTGCTCCTTTCTCACCAAACCTATTCGAAGATGTTATTTTCCGCGATTTCTCAGCCAGTGGCAATCGACACCAGGAAAACTACAATTCCCGAGAAGCTCCCGCTAGCTTCTGCGCACGGAACTTTGGCGTTACAATCGAGTGAAGACGACCCCGATATCCGCCAAAAGTACCGGCCATTCATTTTTGGTAATGAGACAGCAGAGGACTGGGTCAATGGCCTTGAGTTGACAACTACCCTGGAAATCTCCCAGAATGTCATTCAAAATGGAAACGAGAGGCTCAAGGTGCTGGTTCTCTATGGAAGCCTCCGGAAAAGATCGTATTCGCGGCTAGTTGCATTCGAAGCTTCTCGAATCCTTTTCCGACTCGGGTGCGATGTGCGCATTTTTGATCCCGAAGGTCTTCCAATGAAGAACGATACCGACCATGGACATGCCAAAGTACAGGAACTTCGAGAATTGAGTAAGTGGAGTGATGGGCACGTCTGGGTCTCACCTGAGCAGCATGGAAATTTGGTTAGTAATTATTTTCCTTCTACTTTGTGTTTTGAGTTGATATCACCAGTACTAATTCCTTCTCTCGTGCTTTCTCATTAGACTGCGGTGTTCAAAAACCAGATCGATTGGATCCCTCTAAGCACTGGAAGCGTCCGTCCCACTCAAGGTCGAACTCTTGCCATTGCCCAGGTGTGCGGTGGATCGCAATCTTTCAATGCGGTTAACTCCTTGCGTATTCTCGGTCGCTGGATGCGTATGTTTACCATCACCAATCAATCCTCAATTCCGAGGGCCTACACCCATTTCCCAGATGAAGGTCAACCAGAAGATCAACGGCTCATTCCTAGTGGTAACCGTGATCGCCTGGTGGATTGTATGGAAGAATTCGTCAAATATACAATCTTGATGCGACCACACATCGATCTTTTTGGGGATAGATTCAGCGAAAGAGAGGAGAAAAGGTTGAAAGAGGCCACGAGCGCTGCTAATTCGGTTTCGTGATCCGGGAAATTTTAGACAATAGATGGAAAATAGCAATATAGACAATCGCAGCGCAAAATCACTTTGGTAAACCGTGTGTGTTCGACTTCTACCTCGATATGTAGCCCCTTGGGAAAGCTGGAGGTTGAACGATGAACAACTCTCTTTGCACGGACTCGTCTATCCTTAAGATTGGAAGGTAATAATAGTACATTACAGTATTGTGATCCAGCCGCCGCGATAGTACCTCATTCCATTGATGATAAAGATAGAGCATATATTTTCTCTCCCCTTCGGCAGGCAGAGCTTTGAGCCAGTTTCCACGCGATACAATACTAGCACCTCTTCGAGAGTTGCACAAAGGATATCCTATCACCAGCATAACTACGCCTTAGCTCAATATATGGGCCATCTGGGCATTCAATAAATAATGTTGTCTCATAATGCTAAATATCCTATGGCACTCCAGACCATGTTGAATGGTGTATTCTCATTGCTTCAGGAATCCTTGGCTCAATTCATGGAATTCTCAACTGTCCGTCTCAGGCTTTACGGCGAAGATCTTGAAGGAACCTTCAGAGAAAAATCAACCAGGGTAGTTAGCGGTGTATCTTCATTGACCTATTTTCAGGTTGTCTCACCAGTCCAAAGGTTGAAATCTACATCCGGTAGCTCAGATGTGCTGGATTTGACAGGACCACAGCATGAGCTTGGAGGGCCCGATCCATTGGGACTTTCTCTTTGCCACATTTCTTTGTAAATATTCAGGTCGCTGTGAGTGTTCAGAATTAACGTATCTTTGAATGTCATGTCAGCCCTGGATCCATTCAAGGCAAAAATAAGAATTGGATATGGATTCGGCAGTTACCTCGAAATCCTGCCTCATGTAAATATCGTTCGTAGTCGATGACCTGGCTAGCTCCAGCTATACAGCCAACATACAAGGAAAGATCATTCTTGATGTCTTCAGGTAGCTCTTGAGTTGCTAGAATGTCGCTGATTGCAACCCTGCCCCCCCGGCTTCAACAGGCGAAACATCTCTTGAAATACAAGGGGCTTTTCGGCTTCCGGCACCAGATTCACGACGCAGTTACTGATGATGCAGTCAACGGTGGATGCAGACAATGGAATAGACGTAATGAATGCCTCAATAAAGGTTGCATTCGAAGCTCCAGCATTCCTCGTGTTTCGACGTGCCAATTCTAGCATGTCCTGCTGAATCTCAGCAAAAAAGCTCCTAAGATTAGAGAATAGTCGGCGTACCTTTGTCATATCAATGCCAATCGCCTTTCCTTCCGGTCCAACTTTTTTCGCGGCTAGCAAAACGTCGATACCCCCACCACTGCCTAAATCAACGACTGTCTCGCCCTATATATGCCGATATTAATATAATCACCAAGATATCGCCGCGAGCTATTTCTCACCAAGACAATGTTTGCTGTTGCCAATGGATTCCCACAGCTGACACCTAGATTGGCGTTGTCGGGGATAGAGCGTAATTCCTCGATGTCATATCCAAATGCGGTTGCTACCTTTTGCTCGTATTTCCTCTGATTATCGGGCTCGGCCTGGTTCGCAACAGCTGCATAACGCTCTTGCACAGAATTATAAGTATCCTCCGAATTCATTGCGTGGAAATCTAAAGTGGGGTAGATATGTAAAATTCTGTTTTGCGTGGGCAGTAAACTCATGAAAGGAAAGAAAGTTTCATTTCAAGAACGCAATTTAGAAGAGTTCGGGTCTGAATATATACTAGAGAGACCATTATCTGCTCGAATTATGTGGGGCTGGGTTCCTAGTAGTGTTCCAACCTTGGAACGTTTCTCACTCCCTGATTCAACCATCATGGTATGTCACTGCCAAGCCGAGCTGTCACCAGATTCGCCCCAAACTAGAAATGATTGTCATCCCACTCACGTTATGGATTAGTTAGCAACGCGCGAGTAGTAACTAAGTAACTTATAGACCTCAACATGGTATCTAAATATATGATAATTGCCGAAAACAATTGGCGAGTTAAAATTGAATTTTCTCGGATGAGTTATCATCGCTTGCTAATGATCTCACATACCTGGGCCTCGCCGTTAGCAATTCACGAGATGTATAAATATTGACTAGTGGCAAAAAATAGGATTGCAATACACTAGCATGTCACTGGAATTATGCAGATTATAGACCAGCCCGCATCCATCCCACACTGTTTACAAGAGGAGAACTCTAGAAATCCATCGAATTTCTGAACAGTATTCGTTATCAATTGAATTGTCCATTAGCTACTAGTATCTCTATCCCTCTCGTGTCTCAAATGTTTGCCATCTGATTTCAGAACTACCCTTGTCAGTGGATGAATAAATAACCATGCAACTAAGTTCGCAAGAATGGAATGGATTTCTCACTTTTCTGTTCAATCATTCCATCCAACTCGCTTAGCTATAAACTTGACAACATAGACAAGGCCAAGCAGTACTGGGACTTCAATCAATGGCCCCACGGTGGCAGCAAGCGCTTGGTTGCTATTTGCGCCGAACGTTGCAATAGCGACTGCGATGGCAAGCTCAAAATTATTGCTGGCAGCGGTGAAACTTTGAGTGGCTGCCAACTTGTAACCAAACCCAAGCTTGTAAGTCACAAGAAGAGTGACAAAAAAGACAATGATAAAATAAACAATAAGAGGAGCAGCAACTCGGATCACTGATACAATTTGATGTACCACCTGCCGGCCCTGAGAAGCGAATAACACAAGAATGGTGAAAAGAAGCCCAAGAAGTGACCATGGGCTCACCCACTTGAGAAACACTTGGTCATACCAGTGTGGGCTAGCGATCCTTCGAAGAATAATGCGGGTACTGATTGCAGCACCTAGAGGTATTCCAAGGAAAACTGCCACACTTTTAGCAGCAGTAGAATAAGAAAGAGCAACTTGGCTGTCTGCGTGACTGATGACCTTGATGAAGAAAATCGCCAAGGGAGCGAAGAGCACCATCTGAAGAATTGAATTAACCGCAACAAGAATTGCACAGTATTCATTGTCACCGCCAGCGAGACCGGTCCAGATAAGAACCTGTTCAGGAAGGAAATATTAATTTAGTACCGGCATAAGATCGAGCAAAGTGATTTACCATAGCAATGCATCTAGCCAATCCAACGAGAATCAAGCCCTCCCGAAGTTCTGGTTCGTCCGGTAGGAAAGCCCATGCCAGTGCCAGCTAGTATGTAATATTAGCAAGGGTCGTTCCAAGTTTGGGATAAGGGAATGCTTCTCCGAGTCAAAGGATTATGTATCTTACCATGAGGAACGGAGCAATAATCCAGTTAACAAATATACTGAACGCAATCTGAACCCAGATCCTCCGCTCTTGGAAGACGTGGTGTAGAGATTCATATCGCACTTTGCAAAGAATAGGGTACATCATAACCAGGAGACCAATCGCTTGAAAAGGTTAGCCAAGGAAGATGATTAAGAAACACATGATTAATTACCGATCGGGATAGAAACTCCAACAAAATCTCCCTTTTGAAGGGCGGGCCCCATATTTTCCACAAAGTTTCCCAGTATAATTCCAATAGCCATGGCAAGGAAGATCCATACGGCCAGAAAGCGATCGAGCCAGCCGAGATTTTTGAAGGCCGATTGCTTGGTCGAAGTCTCTTCAAGCTCGTTTGCCCTTTGCTTTTCAACATCCTCGTCTGTAGGAGTTCTTGGAGACTGCATTTCGGCCGCCGCTGGGAGATCTATTTGCGATAGTGTGGCCATCTCTAGCACCAGCTGACGAGTTGCAAATGGTCAAGGGATTTTTAAAAGAAATTCGGTGACTCGACGAAAATGAAATGAAAATGAACCTTGGAAAATGAAGATGGCAATGACAATGCACCAACTAGAGGCATCTGTTAAATATACACGACATACAGTGTACTACTGTAGTTTTGCCTCGAGTGAAAACCAATGGGCGGCCAATCACACCAGACGAATGACAGTCTACCGCTATCGACCAATGATATTCAAGCAGTGACATGCTCGAGGCTCGTGATTTGTCACGAAAAAAAAGACTTTGTAATTGTTCGACCAATCATAACATCGGAGTGACATGCAGCTTGGCATCAAGAGTAAATCTACATGGACATCATTAAAACTATCTTCAGTACCATACCTGTCAGCCTTGGAGCACAATGAGACCGCAAGCTGCCAATCCATAAATGTGTATAATAAAAATATACCAGGGCGAATCAAATGACCAGACAGCGATTTTTACTCCGGCGATATGAGCTGTATTCATGCGACTTCTTCATGCACTGGGGCAACGACTCAAGAAATGCCCCTCCTAAAACTCTAATGAACTGCGGAACGCCCCTACGTATCGGAATGTTCTAGACTAGTTGGTTATTGATTTTGTCTATTTCACGCCCTAGAGTTACCATGTAGTATATAAAAGCCATGGACAGCCGCCCGATAGTAAGGCCCATTTTGCTTTGTTCCCTAAAATCAAGCACTCAGCGCATAACCTTTCGTCTCATCCCATGTCATATCTCGGAGCAATTGGCTCTTTATATCCGCCGACAATTTCCGTTGTGATAGTCATCTGTCCCTTGAACTCAACCCCAAGTTACTCCACAACAACCGCTCAACAGATCAGCCGCACAGCACACAATGGCTAATACGCCTAGCGTCTTGTTCGTCTGCGTGCACAACGCCGGTCGCTCCCAAATGGCCGCTGGCTATCTTAGCCATCTTGCCGGTGACACCATCGAAGTCCGTTCCGCTGGATCAGTCCCAGCCGACTCTATAAATCCCACCGTTGTTGAAGCCATGCTAGAAGAAGGGATCGACATCAGCAGCCAAAAGCCCAAGATTCTAACGCCCAGTGCGGTCCAGGCCAGTGATGTTGTCATCACCATGGGCTGCGGAGATGCCTGCCCCTTCTTTGCTGGCAAGCGCTATCTCGACTGGCAACTTAACGACCCTGCCAGGGAAGGCATAGATGCTGTACGGGTCATACGAGACGAGATTCGCCATTGTGTTGAAAGTCTCGTTGCAGAAATCCGCCTCCAGAGTTCAACGGTTTGAAGATGCTACTAAGGACAATGGCCCGAGCCTCATATCGCACAGGCTTAGTCAATCCACACCACAATAACTAGTGATTTAGTGCCTTTCGGCTTCAGCTATTCTTTCATCCTACACATATTTCGCTGTGATTGTCTCTCTCAATAGGTGCTACCCGGGGGACGCAATGTCACCGATCGGATGACTTTGTTTAAATCTTATGCCGAAGATTGTGAATATAGTAACTATCCAGTGGCTTGCGTTTCATCTAACCGCACTCTATGGTAACACTTCGATAGTATTCGCCTATTTATCACAACAGGTGATCCCGCATCGACTAATTTTCATGTGAAATTCTTCCATTCTTCGTAGGCCGAGACGCCCGGAATGAACCACATCACGATCCACTCAAGCCCAATAGCATCATGTGCTCGAGCCTTGAAGGCAATTACACGTGGCACTGGGATTTAATTTACGACGAAGAAATTGCATCAATACTAAGGAGTGATAACAACAGGTCCAGGGATTCTGGCCATATTGCCGTGACCTAGAGTTTGAAAACAAAATCTGAGATCTCAATATCTCCCATAGCCTCATGTAAATAACGGGCACAGACCAATCGGGCAACCCCTGGAGTTTCAGTCAGGGCCAAGAGAATATCAGTGAAACGAGCGGCTTCCGGTATACTTCGAGAAGCGTATTCCGAACCCCCCCTCCAATGCGCAAGCCCGCTCACACTCCAACCTGGAGATCTCTGCAACAAACTTGGCCATCAAAGAACTCTCCCACATTCCTTCCTGGCATCTTGACTTGTACAACAAGGCAATAGCTTCTTGCCTGATTGAGTGAGTCCGACATTTGAGAGCAACAAGGTACAGTGAGGGAATAATACCAGACTCGAGAGTGAATGTGAGACAAGGTAAGGAGGATGAAGGGTCGGTACTCTGAATATTGTTGATGAACCTTCCTGCGAGTTGTACGACATGCCTGAACTGACTGTCAAATTTGTCGCAAAGCTTTTCGTGTGTGTCACGACAGGTGGAAATTAGAAAATAGATGTAAAAATGCTGCACCTCGAGCAATATTACAGGCAATGAGTAAGAGTAAAGGGTTTCTCTGGAAAGAAGTTTGAATGCGATCAGCCATGCTTCAAGATCGGATTTCAGCTCAAAAATCTCCTCCGTCATCTTGAGAAACGGTTCTAAGTCTGTTGTTCTGGCAGATGCATGGTAGATGCAGGCCTGATATACCAAGTCCGAGCCATTACTGGTATGTTGGTTGTCTAACTTTGTGGAAACAAGTTGAAGTAATTTTCCGCGGAAGCTGAAGACGGCGTTCGCAAGGAAATCCAGACATCTTCGTGCTTCAGCGATGGTAGCAAATCTTCTTGGGATTATCATTGGAGAAGGTAATTGATGGTCGTGACGAACAAATGCCAGCGCAGGGCTTCTTTCTCCAAACATAGTCGAGTCGTAATCCAATCTAGCAAAAGAGCGAGCTAGCTGACAAAGAATCGAGTCATCGTCGTGCGAAGGGAGTCTGACAGCCAATGCCTCCGAGTCTCTTTGATGGCCTATCTGAACATCAAAGGACCTGGAGCAACATAAAATGCGCAAACCGGTGCGAAGATGGACCAACGCACCTACTCTATTACCTTGGAGCATTTCAAAGCAGATGAACAGGAGACAAGTCGCAAGCGCAACATACGTAGCAGAGCGATCGGATTGGCCATCAAGACGTTTTCGAAGATGGTTCAAAGACTTGACGTATTGTTTAATCGCAAAAGGATGGCCTGGCTCGCAGAAGCCGTTGGGCTGAAGGGTAGGACACTTTGCCCTCGAGATTCGATGCATAGCACCAACGGCTATAGCAGCATGTAGAATGCAAGGCTCATTATGGCTTAATTGTAGGACTAGCTGTTCCCATATTGATGAGCCAAAGCAACCGGGGATTTCCTGTGCGGTGTGACTTCGGAAGAAGCGAAGATGGTCACATTCCACGAGACTCAGCACTTGAGATATATTGAGATTTATTCTCTCATGCAGCAATTTATTTTGAGCGCATGAGCTCGAAGATCCAGGCTGCAGACTTCGTTTTCCTTTGTGTTTCTCTGTCGCGTCACGGGCGGAATGGCCTGGGAGCTCATATCCATCGCATCGTCGACCAGTAGAAGTACAGCGTTGACATGAGGGCCTTTCTTCGTCGCATTTTATTTTTCGAACTCTATAATGATACTTAGATGAGGCCTTCGAGGGCAGTGGAGGCTTATTAGAGCACTTACCTACAAGTGCGGCAGCCAGTCCTCGCTCGGGTATTCTTCATTGCCACCGATCGCATAATCAACGGAATTTATGAACAAAGCGGGGTTGAGGTTTTTGACTTGATCTTCAATACTATTATACTGGTCAATAAGAGGGAAGTCCGCTCGAAGTGATCATAATCGTGTTAGCTTGCATTATGCTGATTGATGAAACGTGGGGGCCAACATAGTGATCAAGAACCATGATTGGATTGTTCGGCAATGAGAAGTCGAGAACCAATCAGACATGATGGGCGTAAAATAACGCAATTCTACCAGGATTGGACCAAAATTAAATCCAATACAACATAAGATGTATGACCTTGAGCGTTCTATTTGTTTGTTCGGCAAGTAAGCTACAAGAGCCAACCAAACTCTATACGACAGACAGTATAGATAATTTACCGTCAGATCCTAGATGATAATTTCAGTTTTCCTGACAGCAGAATTTCAACAAGGTCGAGCAACAGCAATTTTCTTGTCAGGTGCTTGCGGTATAAGTATGTGTGAATTGTCGATATTCCAATCGTTTACCTTTTTTGCTTTTCTCCCCACATTCACATCTAAAATAAAAACGCTTTAACAATCCGTTAGAAGGGCTAAGTCAATATATCCGAGTCTTTGACTACTCTTGCTTTCAACCAATATGTCTACTGGAAATCAAATGATCCACGTCCATTATCGGAGCAATTCTCTCTTGCTCCTGGATTCGGATGATATAACCCCACTGTACACAGTGCAAATCGGCCGTGAGACACCGCAAATGCAATTGGTTTCACTCTTCGAGCAGCAAGGTGAAGCTCCCAACGATAACAACGGCAACACGCGCAGACTGTCCACCGCATTATTTAAGATGCTAAGTACGGACGTGAAGCTTTCCATTCGCGGGAAACCAGCTCTGATGCAGCGATCCAACCTCTTTTCTCGATCGTACTGCTTCCGAAGCGTCGCTCTGGATGGAGAATCTCTGTTTTGGGAGGCTGATGGGGCTCTTTCTGGGGATTTTAAACTTGTCCATAGGCAGAATGGGCGAGTGCTGACACGGTTCCGGAACAAGGTATTTTCAGCAGTAGAGGTTGGGTCATTTGAAATGGTCGGCGAACTATCTGAGAGTCTCAAGGAGGAAATTTTGATCACTGGTTTGTCAGTGTTGGTCATGGTCCAGAGTTTGAATTTGGCTGGAATGGTTTTGATGGGAAGTGGGTAGATTTGGGTTCTGGGGTGGTACATCATGTACTAGTACTAGTAGTAATAGTCATAGTACGCGCTGCGACAGAGATTGATTTTGAGTTAAATTCAAAGGAAATCCGAGATAATTTCGGGTATATGGGCTACACTGGGAAGTGACAGTGTGCCAACTCTCCTGGTGTATACCAGTACTAGTACTAGTACTAGTGTAACTATAGCCATTCTAATGGCCCACATCACGCAAGTCACGTCATTCTACTCCACTCTGTTTCCATGATAAGAGGAGACAATTGAAAAAAATTATAAAAAAGGAAAAACAAAAAAAGAAAAAGAAAAAAGCAAAGAGTCCTATGAATTGAAAAATGAACAGTTCTCATTGTATCGCAATGTTCGTCCTCGGCAGTGAATTTGCCGATGAGGCGATAGCCGAAGCGCCCAAGCGGACCGGAGGGAACTGCGGGAAATCGGAGAAATCGGAGAAATCTGGCTGTGCTGATTGGTCAGATTTGAATGACTAATCCAGTTTTCAGCGTGAGGGGAAAGTGCCTATCTTCACGTGACCAGTTATCCCGGAAAGGGAAGGGACGACCAACACTAACTACACTAAGAGTAGTATTAGCATTACTATGGGTGATTAGTATTAGTGATACGTACTGGTGCACTTCTTCAAACTCTTCCTTGTACTCACCCCCGAGATACTCGTACACCCTGCCCCGGGGAAAGCAGAGTCGACTGTCAACTCGCCATGCCTCCCAGCGAGACTTCCCCGCTGCTCCAGAGCAACGGGCCTGCTTCTACCGGGGCCATTCTCACCCGCGATGCCCATGCCGATGCCGAGTCCGGAGACCAGCCAATTGCTTCGGGGGAGCTGGCCAAGGAACCATTTCCCGATGCGCAAAAACAGCTGAAATATATCATCCCGGCAATCTCAATTGGTGTATGAGAACGCATTTCTACCCTGCGCCGACTCTCGTTGCGACGTTACATACATCCAGGCTAATCATCTACCCCGCAGATTTTCCTCTCCGCTGCCGACCAGACAATCATCATGGCCAGTTATGGTCAGATCGGTAGCGATTTGAAGGCCCTTAATCTGACCAGTTGGATCGCCACCTCGTACTTCTTGACCTTGACTTCCTTCCAGCCGCTCTATGGCAAATTGAGTGATATCTTTGGTCGCAAGGCCTGTCTACTCTCGGCATATGCCATTTTTGGATTGGGATGTCTCTTTTGCGGACTGGCCCGCAATATCAATGAGCTGATTGCTGCCCGTGTATGTTTCACCGTTGTCATTACTGAAGTTGAAGCCATAAACGAATATCCGATTGACAGTATCTCGTTTAGGTCTTCCAGGGTATCGGAGGTGGTGGAATGACGACCGTGGTCAGCATTTTGATGAGTGATATCGTCCCCTTGCGTGATCGTGGTCTCTGGCAGGGCATCATCAACATCATATACGCGACTGGTTCGGGAACCGGTGCGCCTCTTGGTGGTATCTTGGCCGACTATATTGGCTGGCGTTGGTAAGATCTATACCTCACCAGACTATAGTATTGGCGTGGCCTCTCTAACGTTGTTTCAGGGCCTTTTTGGCACAATTCCCCATGTGCATTCTCGCCCTCATTGCCGTGTCACTGATGCTAAAGCTCCCAGCTCGCGAGAATACCCACTGGAAAGTCAAACTTCGTCGCATTGATTTCCTCGGTGCTTTAGTTCTCGTTGGGGCCGTCCTCGGATTCTTGCTCGGTCTAGATCGTGGTAGCAATGTGTCATGGAGTATGCCCATAACGATAGTTTCGCTGTCCGTCTCCGTCGTCCTATTCGGACTCTTCATCCTGGTCGAAGTCTATCTTGCCGCAGAGCCTTTTGCCCCGGGCCATATCATCTTCAGCCGTACCTTCTTCGCCCTATACTGTTGCAACTTCTTCAGTTTCGGCGGCTGGCTTGCCGCGCTCTTTTACATTCCCCTGTATTTCCAAGCAGTGGATGGGGTCAGCGCGACGGTCGCCGGACTGCGACTACTGCCCAGTATTTTGTCCGGAGTGACTGGTTCGCTCCTCGCCGGAATCATCATGAGGCGCACTGGCAAATACTTTTGGTTGACCATCGTGGCATACTCCTCTTTGACCGTCGGATGTTTCACGATCTACCTTTTCTCCGGAGGCGTCACTGAGAGTACGGTTCCGATGATTTTGGGAATGGTATTTTCGGCGTTTGGAAATGGCATTGGTGTCACCACCACCTTGATCGGGTTAAGTAGGTGCTCACAGCATTCACCCTTGCACATCAAATTTCTTACCGATAATTTTAGTTTCCAATGCAACCTTCGAAGATCAAGCTGTAGTCACAGCTTGCTCTTATCTCTTCCGCTCTCTCGGGTCGGTAATCGGTCTGTCCCTGTCTTCGTCGGTAGTCCAGCAACTCCTTCGAGAGCGACTGGCCCTCAAACTCAAGGACAGCAAAGATATTGATTCTATCGTCAATGGAGTCCGAGAAAGTCTCGACTATATCAAGAAGCTCGACCCGGATGTCGCCCAAATCGTGCGCAGCTGCTACGGCTGGTCAACTAACAAGGGCTTCGGCTTCATGGTGATCGTCGTATTCTTTGCGCTCTTCAGTGCTTGTTTCATGCGCGAGGCCAAGTTGAGCCGTTGATCAAAATGTGAAAAGTCCGCCGAAAATCATGACTAATGATAGTTTGACTAGTTAGATCTTTTTCTTCTCTTTTCTTTCCTTTTTTTGCATATTGTGCATTTGCATCAGACTTTATGACGGTACTAGTACATATATGTTCAACAAGATGGACTTTGGCAGTGATCTACCACTTGAATACAGCTTAGATTGAGAAAGTACAGTATATGATCAGGAATGAATCAGTAAAAACTTAAAACAAGCTATGGATTACCTAGGAAGAATGTTGTGATACTAGTAACTAGTACCTAGGTATACTACTAGTTAGTACTAGTTACTGTGGTGCCTGAGCAAAGCGGTGAAATGACGAACCTCCGCCCGTGCTACGTTGGGACTCCCGTCGTCTCCAACTTGAAGTCTCACCTTTCTTACCTCCACCTTCTTTTGCTCATCCCCCCCCCCCCTCCTCCCTGGAGCTTTCAATCCATTCACTTTTGAGCTTGGGTTTGAACTGTCCAGCTCGACGATGACCCTTCGATCGCCGTGACCGTATCCCTGCAGCTTCACCAGCTCAAACCTCCGCCATGTCCGAGCCGCACTCCGGGCCGATCTCGTTGGCGCGATATCGTCCTATTCTGTACCTTTTTACCGGCGTAGCAGCTGCCTATGCCCTGCTATACATACATAACAATGTTGTCTCGCCGCATTCTTCGGAAGCCTCCCTCCGTCGTCGCAACGCTGTTCGCCGCACTCGTCGAACCGAAGCCGAAGAACTGGGCCTCACCGAAACCCCGTCCTACCGTGCGATCACCCACCTGGAGCAGCTAGAGCGTCAGAATGGCGTGTACGGGACATTTCGCATCGAGACAGAAGACGGACGACGTGTGGAAAGTGGTCTGCTGCCGTCGTTGTTGGCAACACGCGACCAGCTGATGGAGGAGGTGGGTGTTCCTCCAGCTCATGCGGAGCGCATGCGTGAAATGATGGAGGATACCTTTCTCGAATCCTTCTTGGCCTTGGATTTCCCTGCCTCACATACCCTGCCGGAGGACACTCCTGAACGAACCTACTTGACAGAACAGCTACAACGACGGGGAATCTCCCGGGCTGGAATCGAAAGAGCGCTCATCCGTTTCAATGGCGATGAGAATTACGGCGACCAATTGCGTCAACGCAGACAAAACGGCGAGCGTGTTACCCTCTCAACCTCGACTTTCCCTGACGTGGCTACATCCTCTCAGAACCCCGAAGCCGCGGAGGCACCAGCCGATGACCAGAGTGTTTTTTCGTGGCGAGACGGCAACAATGACGCATCTCCCACCCGCGAAGGCCAGAATCTGCTCAACTTATTATACCATATTGCGGAGGATCAGGCACGGAGAGATGGCTATATCCATCGTGGTGTGACCTGCAACAGCTGCGGTGCCATGCCTATCCAGGGCATACGGTACCGATGTGCGAACTGCATTGATTACGATCTCTGTGAGACATGTGAGGCAATGCAGGTACATATCAAAACCCATCTGTTCTACAAAGTCCGGATCCCAGCTCCATTCCTAGGAAATCCTCGCCAGTCCCAGCCAGTGTGGTACCCTGGCAAACCAGCCATGCTACCTCGGAGCCTCCCCCGACCTCTTGCTAAGCGCCTCATGAGGGAAACCAGCTTCGAAAACACTGAACTCGATGCACTTTGGGATCAATTCCGCTGTCTTGCAAACTACGAATGGGCCGACGATCCGAATAAGCTCTACATGGCGATCGATCGCAAGACCTTCGATCGATGCTTTGTACCCAACACGTCTATTCGACCCCCTCCTCCAAGTCTAATTTATGACCGCATGTTTGCCTTCTATGACACCAACAATGACAACCTGATCGGATTTGAAGAGTTCCTGAAGGGACTGGCCAGCCTCAATAATAAAAGCAACGAAGAAAGATTACGCCGGGTGTTCCGCGGATATGATATTGATGGAGATGGCTACATTGAGAGGAAAGATTTCCTTCGCGTCTTCCGGGCCTACTATACACTCAGCCGAGAGCTCACTCGCGATATGGTTGCTGGAATGGAAGACGACTTTTTGGAAGGAGGAGCGCGTGATGTTGTCCTCGGCAGCCAGCCGATCAGCTCTGCATTCCCAGGCAACATCCCGTCGGGCGAAGCCTCGCGTATTGGCGAAGGCAAGCGACCTAACGTGGAAGGCGATATGGAGCTTGTTGACCACGGAGGCATTTTGCGACATGATGGTAACGATGTAGGTGACCGCCACTTGGTCATCGGTGATTCGGCCGTGAGGGAACAATTTGGTCGGACAAGGCCGATGTTCCCATCAACTCTACGACTCCCAGCGACAGGTTCAGATTCTCGTGGGCCCAACCCGGCTCCACCTGGAGATGAGGAGGATGGCGACGATAACGACGACGATGATGTTGAGGGGGAGGAGGAGGAAGGGGAGGAGGAGGAAGAAGAAGACAACGACGACGACGATGATGGTACCGAGTCTGACGCATCTGGCTCCTCGGCAGGTAGTGGTGGCTGGCCGCCAGCCGAGCACCTCCTCGAAGACGACATTATTCACGCCCTCGGAACGTATGTGCCCCCTCAGGAAATTACAGATCCGATCGATAGAGCTCGAGTGGTGACAACCATTTACCGCAGGATGCGCGACGATGATAGGAGACGGATTGACGAAGCCCGGCGAAATGGTATTGACGAACGTTGGCGGAGAAGAGCCTTCTACACCGATGAAGAGGACGGTGGTACCATTCCTGATGGCTATCAGAAAGACCCGAACTTTGACGACCTCTCCGATGATAACGATTCTGTGGATGTTTCTCGAGAAGTGTCGCGCCCACCTTCCCCTCGCTCACGATCTTCTTCCAAGGTCCGGTTCCAGGATGATCTCACAGATGACTATGATATTCGATCTAACCCGTCAACTTCCTCCCGGAGTATCCCAGTCGGCGAGCGATGGGGTGGCTTTGAGATCCCAGAGGTTGAAAAGGATGTCGGCAAAGAAATTCTCTACCAAGTCACTCAACAGGGCTTCAACGAACTACTCGATCTTTTGTTCAAGCAAAAGGAGGACCTCCTCATGGAAGTCTGGCGTACCCGTACAGACCGCAAAGTCTGGTCCCATGAGATCGATCTCGTGCAGCATACAGGGCCACCGCCAGAGCCTCCCAAAGAACAAGAACGGGCGCCCAAGAATGAAGAAGAGCTCGAGGAAATGACTAAGGATCAACCTCTTGACGATCTTCTTGATAGTGCTGGATATTCAGTGGTACAAAGCCCTGCTCTGGAACCTACCAATCCAGTCCTGGCCCCTCCGCTGCCCGACTCCTTGTTGCAAGACGACGATGTCCGACCCGTACACCTTTCCAATCCGGAAGACGACGACGGGCTTGGACAGGACCACTCTTTCGATCAAATGGACGATGAAGACGTGACAGACAGCAGTTCACTCGCTTCCTACGAACTAGAAGAACAAATTCTGAACACAGAAGGCATGTCCTTTGAAGAAGAATCCTCAGACGAAGAGCCGGAATCCTTCATCGAAGAACCAGCCGAATACGATCCCACACTCCCACAATTCCGTCCTGACGTCGCTGGGGCCGCCGACGACGCATGCCATGCCTCCCCTCGCAGCACAGCGAACTCCGATCTCCCAGATCGCCTCCGCCTCGAACCAAACGGCACAACTTCCCTTCCAGCGCCCCCATCCCCACAAGCTTCCCCACAAGCAGAAGCAGTGGCACCAAAACTCCCTCCCTCCCCGATGCAACCCTTACCACCACCATCAAAATCAATCCAACCCGCAGCAGCGCAGGATGACATCACACCCCGACGCCCCTCCAACCGTACCCTCGTCCGATGGGCCTATCTGAACCAGGTCGAGCGAGACGCGAAAGAGCGCGGTGGAAGCGGAGCAAGACTCAATTTCGACGAATTCTCGCACCGTATGGCTGCAGACAAGGGACGCCGGTTGGCCTTTGTCGCTAGTTGGATTGAAATGGCGAGTTTTTAGGCATATACGTCTTCACATGATTGTTACTTTATCCCCACCTGTACATTAGATATCCAATTGCAAGTATCGAAACAGATCGTTGTTATGGCATCCTTCTCGTCCTTTTTGAACTAGGGCTAAAAATTGGAAATGGCCCTTTGGCCAGTTCATTCCAAGGCTCCTAGCGAGATATTACTGACAGTTATAAACTTTAAAGGTGCGCGAATCTCGAACTGTTTGACCAGGTTTCAGCTTAATGGTGCATTGACCGCCGAAATTACACAAAATTGGTGAAGGGGCATCATCATCTAACACCGTTTCTTGCTTATACCATATTCTCGGGAGTCTCCGCCCATCCAAATTTAAAATCACCGGCTGTGTCGTGAGAGGAAGGGCTTGGGACTATGATAAATGGCTCTCATAAATTAGAACAAAGCCACCAGGGGATGAACCGCCTTCGCAGAATTTGATGGCCACCAATTTTTGGGCGGCTTACGGGGGGCACGCTTACTTGTTTGGGCGAGGCTCCGCTCTTTTTTAGAAGGTCAGGGCCCTTACTTGTTGGAATTATACGATTACTTTATTTTAAATCAATATTCCCCTCAAAAAACAATGAAGAGAAAGGGAAGAATGAATTTTAAGTTCCCGGGTGAGATACTACTAGTATGAACAATTCGATCACTAAATATCGGAAACCGATATTTCGCGCTCCTGCTAGATATTCTGGCTTCAGGCTCTGATTCAAATCATTTGCAATAGCACAGGGCAAAAATTGGCAAATTTAATACTCAAACCTGATAAATATTTTCAATGATGTTTGAGAATCAGAAAAACCTTGGAGCTTGAACGCGACGTCCCTATGCTCTCAGCTCTTCTGTTATAATCCCTTGCCTCACAGATTGAACCGCCGATCTCATAAGCTCCCTCTCGGCGAGACCTTGCACATCTCCGAATTCCTGGTCCATTTCCTCAAGCGTCTTTCCCTTTGTCTCTGGAACCAATATCAGTGCCCAGACCCCAGCCAAAAAGCACATTACCGTGAAGAAGATATAAGTTCGATAGCCCTGGGTTTCCATCATCGGGGGCGTAGCAACTCCAATGACAAAATTAGAGAGCCAGTTGATACAGGTGGCCAAAGCGACACCCTTGGATCGAGACGCCGTGGTGAACACCTCAGAAGGGAGTGTCCAGCCCAAAGGTGAGTACGAAACACCGAAAACGATAATAAATAGGAAGGCGAAGGCAACGCAGGCCCAGCCAGCTCCAGTGTGATTCAGCCAATCATGAGAGTATAATCCGCTCAGGATTGCAATGACCATGTAGCAGACAGCGCAGCCAAATCCACCAAAAATAGCGAGAGGGCGGCGTCCAACACGGTCAATTGTCATGATGCAAATAAATACCCCGACAAGTTGCAGGATATTGAAGACGCCAGATAAAATCAGAGACATTTCATCTGATTGACCGAGCGATCGAAACAGCGTGGGCGCGTAGTAAATGAATGCGTTCACTCCGGAGAATTGCTGGAAAAAGCACACGCCAACTGCAACAGCGGTCCGGCGCCAATTCTTTTTCTTAAGCAAATCCAGCCAGCTGTGCATTTCTAGTTTCCAGCCTTTAACTCCAGGGTGAGTCTGTTCTGCCACAAGGCGTTGAAAAACGACTTCGGAGAGGATCCCGCTGTATTCAGCTTGTACACGTTCATCTGTAGCCGGGAGTCCTCGAAGCCTTGTCAAGCTAGCCATGCATTCTTCAGAACGACCTACGAGTGCAAGCCAGCGCGGGGAATATGGGAAGAAATGTATACAGACGCCCAGTATGGTAGCACATACCATCTGTAGACCAAGGGGAGTCGGAATGATAAAGTGCCCTCTAGATGTCGAGTTGCGAAGGTAATCCAATACGCGATCACGACCCCGGAGACAATGGAAACAGACTCCAGAACCAGTAATGTGCCACGAAGGTTCGGCGGTGCGATCTCCGAGATGTATAGAGGCGCTGTCTGAAGATGAAGATCAGCAAGATGTCGTGGCACATCAAAGTGGAGAAGAAATATGAAACCAGGAACAAAGAATACTTACCATAGCCAAAGTTCCCACGCCGATACCACCGATTGCTCTCCCAGCAACCAGAGTCCCAAAGTCGGGGGCAGCTGTCTGGATGATTGCACCGAGATCAAAAATGACCACGACAACAGTCAATGCCCACTTTCTTGAGACCTTGTCCGCAAGATAAGGCATGAAAAGACAGCCAACAAACGCTCCAAGCAACAACATTCCAGTCATGAATCCCGTGCCAAAAGAAGTCTTGGCCTGAGGGTAGAGTGCATGGAACTGGTCCATGACATTGATGATGGAAATGACACCTTGATCGTATCCGAATGAGAAACCGCCCAGTGATGCCAGAAAGGCGGCTCCGAAGACATATCCAGATGAAAAGAGACCTCGCACTCCGTCTGGGCCGTATACACTCGCGGAATAACCGAGTGCGTCACGCGCTTCGACAGTGCTGATGGCAGTCACTTCGGCATGTGCCGAAGATGGTTCAGCCAAAAACTTCTCGGTCTTTTTACCCATGTCGTCCTCCATTATATCATTGAAAGAGGGATTGAGGAGGAGATAAAAGTGTGTTTTGGTATAGTTCCAAATCCTATATTTAAGGCTGAGTACATGGACAATAGGGGAACGAATGCACCTGGACGCTTGATTCTTATATCCATGTTTTATTGGATATATGCTTTCGTGGGGATGACGGGTCCGGGGTTCGGGACCTGGTTGAATTGGAGCTTTTCATTGGCTCCGATTGGAGACGCATCTTTTGGTGGCTGTCAAGGTTTCGTGGAGGATGCCGCTGCAGCCCATCCCGTTTATCGGAAACAGACAGAAGAAGTGTCGATTGGACCTCGGGGATAAGATGACGAGACAAAAGCTTACGGAGACGGCATGGACTGCCGAACTAGACAGCCCCAATTTTGTGAAATGAATAAAAGAAGAAAAAACGCTCCGACGAGATCAGCTTCATAAAGAAATACCATATATGGAAAGCTGCGGCGACACTAAGAATCTCCCGCTCTGACAACGACGACCCCCCGGCCGACTTCACGCAATCCAATTGGTCCCCATACGCGTTATTTCTTGCAGGTGCCTGCCAAGCGGGAAATTCGAGAAGCCCCGTGTTCAACATCGGCGATGATATCTGTAGACGGATTTTCTCCGTACCCGCATGGCTGCTCACGAGGCGATGCATTGGCTTCGGAGGAGTCTTTACTAGTAATTACTACTACCTATGCGGGGAAGTTTGCGGTTCCAACCTTGGAATTGATAGTAGGGATCCGTTCTAGAGACACTAGATATTGGTAAATAAATAAGTCACCCCAATTTCTCAAGGTGCAAAATAATAATCTACTACCTCTTGACTTGACGTCTAAACTTCCCACCACGCACTTTCTCAAAGGCAAAGACGACCACCACTTCTATCCAATACGAAATTCCTGCCAAAAAACACTGAAACAGTGAACCATGTCGTACGGAGATCAACGTGTGAAGTTTGCGCTTTTCGGTCTCGGCCGTTTGGGGGTGCTTCGAGCCCGCATCCTTGCTTTCCAGCAGCCTCGAATCGAACTTGTGGCTGTCTGCGATACAAAGCCAGGTACTGACAAGTGGGCTGCAGAGAACTTGCCTCCAAATGTCAAATATTTCTCAGACCCTCAAGAGTGCTTGAAGAACAGCGGCGCTGAAGCTGTTCTCATCTGTACCGCAACGGCTACACATGCACCTTTGATCCTGCAAGCCCTTGATCTAAACTTGCACGTCATGTGCGAGAAACCCGTCTCTGTGGACATCGCTACCACTAAAGAAGTCGTTGAGAAGTCGGCTTCTAGGCCTGACCTCAAGTTCCTCGTTCCCTTCACTCGCCGATGTAAGCAATCCCAGGCGCACACTCTACATATCCCAAAGACTGACCCGCTTCAGATGACAAGTCTTATCGTCAGGCCAAGGCCCTAATTGACAAAGGAACCTTGGGTGAAATCCACGCCGTGGAGACAACTGGTATCGACCAAGCAGACCCCAATGGTATGACCATAGCTCCTCAGTCTTTGCATGCTACGTAGATTGATAGACTGACTTTTTTTCTTTTAGCCTTCTTCGTGGCCTTTTCTGAGATGTCCGGTGGAATCTTCCTTGATTTTGGCATCCACACTGTAAGTACTAATATTTGACTCCACACTGATCTCCCGGTTTACTAACACGGATCTAGGTGGATGCCGGACGATACCTGCTAGATGTGAAGTCAGGTCTCTCCAACCCCAAGAAGCAGGTCAACAGAGTCATCGCCTTCGGTCAAAACGCTGTATACGGGGACTTGGCCAAGTATGGCGATGCTGATAACGCATGGGGTCTCGTGGAGTATGCAAATGGCAAGATATTCAAGACCTACCTCGGTCGTACGCTCACCAGCGGCTTCGAGGACACCACGCGATTGTGTGGCACCAAAGGACATTCAATCATCAGTTCGAACTCGAATGTTGAGATTCGCGACCATCTCGGTATTCGCTCGGAATCTGTTCCTGATGCCTTCACTCTCTTTGATGCGACCTTCCTGACCGACCTTGCCGAGTTTGCTGATGCGGTGCTTGATAACAAGCCCATGACTTGTGTACCAGAGGACGCCTTTGAGGCCGGTAAGATCTGCGCTGCCCTGCAATATTCATTCCGCAAGGGTGTGCCAGTATACTTCGATGACAATGGTATCCCCATCATGGACTAGGTCATGTATGATTTAGATATTATTCAAGATAAAAAAGAATGAAACTGGCTTTTAGACTTCAGCTCAAATCCAATGGTAGTTGTAGAAGGTTGGTAGTAAGCCTGGAATTTCTCGCCGTGTCCTAGATTTTGGAGAGCTTGAATCTCATCTAGGTCTTGTTTGCCGCTTCTTCATAAACATGATGCACTAAGAAGGACTATTCTGTCCTACCTCAGCATTTACCTCCTCCATATCCCATGATCTGATGGCCGTGAATGGGCGTAGTCGACTAAAACTAGTGTTTGCCAATAACGAAATATTCATTCCCATTTTCATTGGTACCCTTTCATAGTAGCTATTAAAGTCCTCTATGTACGTTCGAACATCTTATATTTGGCGGCTTATTCTTCAATATGAATGAAACACTCGATATAGCTGAATCATGCACCCGCAATACATCTCTCAAATTATGATGCGCACCGTACTACAATGGTGGGATTAATCTAGATGAAAACATGAACAGAAAGCCTCATCATGTAGAGTAATCGAGGTACTGGACAACAACCGATTGGATTTGCTTTTTAGGTGCTGCTATTCTATACGGCTGCGAAGGTACCGGCATTAGGTCTAGTTAAACTTCCGCAAAGACTTACTTCGACAAGTCGATCTATTTCATCATCACGATTTCCAATTTTGGCAAAATCCCAGCTTCTTCCGAGTTCTGTCACCTGTTTGGTGTCCCGTGCCGATGTAAATGAATAGCTTCATCGGGTCACTTCAAACCTGTTGAGGCAATATCGAGCGAACCTCGGCGCGGGGGGGATTTTTTCGCCAGAATTATCCCGAAAAAGGAATCCGAGAAATATCAGTAAGGCATATCTCGCAGAATATCCGTCATGCGGGGTGCGGGGATGTCATACTTGTGATATGAGAATAGACTCTATATAGTTGATCGCGGCGAGACTTGCCTGATTAGGCAATTCTGAGGTGATCTTCTTGACCAACTTTCAATCAATATGTGAGATTCCACTCGCATTGCTGGAGGATAAATACATAGATCATTCAATGATTCTTTTCTATTGAATTAAATAGACCAGGATCTCTGAAACAGTCGCGTTCTCTTGAGATCAGTCCATAAACATTGCCTAAGAGGCACTTTCTGCAGCTTCTTTCTCATCAAAACAAGCGAAAATGGCACCTTACGTCCAGGAATTAGCCGGCACCGATGCCGTCTCCGAGGCTCCCCTCCAGTCTAAGAGTGTGACGTTTCACCATGACCATGTCGTAAAGCCGGTCGCGGACGACTTCATGTACGACTTCAAATACAACCACACTCTCCCCACCACAGACATTCTAGGGGTTAAGATCCCCGCCGATTGCGATGCTCAAAAGGAGGCCAAGGGAATCGTCGCCCGTCTTTCTAAAGCCACATCAGAGGAAGATGCGCAATCATTTGCTGAACTGTTCCTCGATTCTGGTAAGACTCTTCACAGTATCCGAGATCTCGACTTTAACTGACCTCGCCCACCTCGGACGTACAGGCGTGTGGCGTGACAAGCTCTCTTTCACCTGGGACTTCCGTACATTCAACTTCAAAGAGGCCATCCTCACAGCCGCTACCGACCTTTTGCCTCAAACCAAGGCTAGAAATTTCAACTTTCTCGAACCTGCGCCCTCGGTGTCTCACCCTTATCCCGACTTCTCGCAACTACAGTTCGTCGTATCTTTCGAGACTGAGGTCGTTCTCGCTTCAGCTGTCATCAATGCAGTCTTCGCTCAGGATGGCTGGAAGATTTACACCATGCACACTGTTGCCGAGACTCTCAAGCAATTTCCCGAGCAGGCTGCTCCAGATGGGCATATGACCGGCATCACTAGCTGGGAGAGTCAGAGATCCGAGGCCATCAACACTGTTGACCCCGAGGTATTGATCATCGGTGGTGGCCAAAAGTAAGAACCCATAAAATTGTGCTCTATGGTATAATGCTAACTTCTTCTCTTAGTGGGCTCGCCATGGCAGCGCGCCTGAAAGTTCTTGGTATGGACAGCTTGATTATTGAACGCAGTGAGGAAATCGGAGATGTCTGGAAGAAACGTTACGAATATCTTTCATTGCACTTCCCACACTGGCCGGACAACTTGCCATACTTCAAATATCCTCAGCATTGGCCCACCTACACCCCGGCCCAGAAGCAGGGTCTGTATATGAAGTGGTATGCCTCTGCCCTGGAGCTAAATGTCTGGACCAAATCAGAGGTTGTGAAGGCTGACCAAGATGCCGAGGGCAAATGGACATTCACAATCAATAAAGAGGGTAGAGAGACGCGCACACTGCACCCTAAGCAGCTCATCATGGCCACATCGCTATGTGGTGTCCCTCTCATGCCAGCCGTTCCAGGCATGACTGACTTTCGAGGCGAGATCCGACACTCTAGTGCCCATAAGAGTTCGCGTGACTTTGTCGGAAAGAAGGTCTGCGTCGTGGGTACCTCATCCTCAGGTTTTGACACAGCGTACGAATGCGCTCGTTTGGGAATCGATGTGACTCTTCTCCAGCGGTCACCGACTTACGTTATGTCTTTGACCCATTCTGTTCCCCGCATGCTTGGAATTTACGCTCCCGACAAGAATGGAAATCTCCCAGATACTGAAGCAATGGATCGTATCAACTTCTCTACGCCAGTTGGACCCGGCGAGGAACTTGCAAAGCGCACCGCTAAGACCCTTGAGGAACTTGACAGGCCCCTATTGGAAGGTCTCAACGCTCGTGGTCTGCGAACATGGCGTGGCCAACGCGATACTGGCAACTCTACACTTGGCCAGACGCGAAATGGCGGGTTCTACTTCGATGCTGGTGCTTGTGACGAAATTATCAACGGAAATATCAAAGTGGAGCCTGGCTTTATTGAGAGGTTTACCGAAGATAAGGTGACCTTGAACGGTGGACGGGAGAAGGAATTTGACCTCGTCGTCTTTGCTACCGGGTTTTCCAACACAATTGACTCCATTCGTGCCACTCTTGGTGAGAAGATTGCCAGCAAATGCGGACCTATCTGGGGTATTGATGAAGAGGGCGAGTTTAAGACCGCCTACAAGGAGACCGGAGTTCCCAACATGTGGATTATGGTTGGTTTCCTTCCGATGACCCGGTATGCCTCTAAGTTATTGGCTTTGCGGCTGAAGGCTCTCAAGGAGGGCATTTCGCCACCCCCTTACAAGGTTTAAATTATATAGACAAGAATTGAATGTATTGATGATTTCTCGTTGAAAAATTGTACTGTAAAAAGCAGAGGATCTTTGATCCTCTTCGTAAATTTTATCTTTAGTACGAAATCAAGATTCAAAGCTCAATTGGGCTGCTAGTATTATGTTAGGCCCGTCTTTGAGAGACCTCTATATCCAAAGAGCGACCATTTAAGTCCTAGATAGAGAATGTTGGCAATTACTGTTAGGTCTATTCCCAAAAGACTACGGCAATCGCAATGTTGCCGATAACGAAACCCAAAAGAACTTCCAAGGTTAATTTAAACTATTTCATCAGACGATAAAATTGCTGGCATCAAGCTCAGTTTGAGATCGTTGTCTCCTCCGTTTCCTAAATTCAGCCTGCCATCATTCCGTACCAGAGAAGGAGAACCTCAATAATACGAAGAAATTCAGGGTCAATAACATTTTTCTCTTGCATTTAAATCATATTTTCCAATCTATAGATAGTGAGATGTTCCTAGGCAACTGCAAGTTTTAGATACAAGGCCAAGCATTCTACTGCTTGTACCAGTCCTCAAAACCAAGATCCCATCCGAACAGAGGCGTATTGATGCGCTTCGCCTTTCCTTGTGCAGCCAGGCCATTCAACACATCCATATCCTCACTAGAGAGAGAAATAATCTGGCTGTTGCTCACAATCCGGCTTTCTTTAATAGACTTGGGCAGTACGACGACTCCCCTGTTCACATGGTAACTGATGAGTACAGCGGCGGCTGAAACATCGTTCTTCTTGGCGATTTCTTGAATTGCGGGATTGGCCATGAGGGGAGCGCCTACAAATGACCAAGTTAGTTGGTATTTACCACATAATGTGTCAAGGGGCACATACCTTCGGAACCAAGTGGCGAGTAAGCTTCGAGGAGAATTCCATTTTTATCACACCAGTCCTTCAGTGCATGCTGAGGAAGGAAAGGGTGTAGTTCGACTTGGTTGACAGCAGGGACAACAGTCCACTTCTTCTTCAGCTCCTCTAGATAGGGAATTGACCAGTTGGCCACTCCAATTGCATTCACCTTGCCGGCCTTGTATACCTCCTCCATCTGGCGCCAGGTTTCATTCTGGTCCCAGGATCGGTCGACAGATCGTGTTCCATCGGGATTGACTGGTAGAAGTGCGCTTGATTCGTTCTGCATGTATGGGTTAGATGTGCCACTGGGGTGATGTAGAAAAAAAAAAGGATGATTACTTACAGGGACAAGGCGGACTGGCCAGTGGATGAGCTGTTGTTTCTGTTAGCTGTACCACATCTACCCGAAACAAGGAAGAATTGACTTACGTAGAGATCGAGGTAATCCGTGCCCAAAGCCTCAAGTGTCTTTTGGAGGCCTTCCGCAACATTGTTCTGGTGAGTGTTCCACAGCTTGCTGGTGATGAAGATCTTTTCGCGAGGAACACCGCTGTCCTTGATGCCCTGGCCGACTTCGTGTTCGTTTCCTAGTGATCTCGTTAGACCGCACCCGCTTGGGTTTTTGCTTCATTGATAGAGCCCACCGTAGATCCTACAATATGTCAGTCAAAACTATCCACTAAACAAGAGCCATGGAAATCTTACAATGCTGCGTCAATGTGACTATATCCATTCTTGAGTGCGAATGAGACTGCTTGGCGGACCTGACCAGGTTCGGATCTCCAAGTGCCTAAATTCCATGTCAGCAAACCTCGTCTCTAGGTCTTAAAAATGCCAGTCATTGCATCGTACCAAGTCCAACGGCGGGGATCTGAGTGCCGTTGTTAAGCTTGAAATGAGTTGAGGGTGCCATGTTGATGGTTGGAGACGAAGGTGTATGAGCTTATGACTTGATGATACTTTGAAGTCACACAGGATAGAAGAACTTGAAACTAATTACATGGGGTCCCTTCTATATTTGACGCAACCGTCAATCGTGCCGAGTCAATTAAAAACATCATCGAGTGGAGTAAATGCCCCGCGCGAGATCAGACAAAGTCCGGCCTCCCCTTCAGGGGAATTTCGCCCGATTGTGAGCCTGCTAATGCCGGTCGGTCTTCTCTAACACCCACTCGATACGCCTTTTACCTGACAGAGTAACAAATGGGCGAGTTTCTGCCAGATCGTATAGTTGAATTGCCACGGTGCGGCGTACCCTTCCGATTGGGGTAATATTCCATAATGAGGGATGATCGTCAAAACGCGGGGAAGAAAGTTTGGGGCCAAGGCCTAAGGCACAATATCTATGTAGTATTTCTTAGCCAGGGCAGTGTGTTCTTCCCTCTAGATCCATAATCATGCCATTGTGAAGCCGCAGGCGAGGGATGACGCGCAGGAGAAGGTTGAAAGTAAAGAGGAAATCAGATATGGGGGCGAACTTGCTAGGCGGGCAGGCGAGATGTTTCCAGAAGCAGCCGAAAGCCCCCGAGTACTAAGCGGTCATAGTAGAATCCATGTATCGAAGTCATGCTAAAATTGGGGGACCTTGAGAATTGAATCCAATACCTTGGTGGTCGGGTTCTACATAATCCATAGCAGTACCATTGGTTACCAAGTCAACCTTGGAACCTTCATTCATACATGGGAAAAAAAAAAATTGTTCATTGAAATACCTGACGAATCCAAATCGCCCACTCCAGATTAATACAGAATGATAAAACTGTTGAATGCATATCTCGTGTCATCTCATCTCATGTCATCTCGTTTCCCGTCGCTGTTGAAATCCAAGAAACCCTATACAAACCACCACATGTGAACCATCATTTCATTTCAGACACACATTCATGCCTCTCCCCAGATCTCGTCGGCGATTTGTCGCACCAGAGCCAACTTCTTCTTCTCATCGTCTAGGCTGAGAGGATATCCGCTCTCGTGGGTACTGAAACCACACTGGGGGCTAACACAAACACGCTTCAGGGCCTCTTCGCGCGTCTCGCCACTACCCGAAGCAACAAAGTCAGCAGCCTTGTAGATGCGCTCCTTCATTGCCTCCTTGTCCTCCAACTCGCGGAGCTTGGTGCTGATCACGCCGACGACGACGTTCTTGTTCTTGGGGAGAAACTGGAGAGGCTCGAAGCCACCAGCCCGCTCGGTGTCGTACTCGAGGTAGAAGGTGTTGACGTTAAGGTTCTCAAACAGCTTCTTCGCGATGATATCGTAGGATCCCTCGGAGAAATGGCGGCCGCCGATGAAGTTGCCGCGGCACAGGTGAATACCCGTGTGCATATCGGCAGGGATCTTGGAAATACTTTCATTGTACAGCTGGACATAGGCATCGAACAGATCATCGACAGTTCCGGTATTGTCCTTGTCATCAGCCCAGCCCTGACGGAAGTCCTTGGAGCAGAAGTATGCCATTCCGGGGTCGTCGAATTGGACATTTCGCAGACCAGCCTTGTACAGTGCGTCCAGCTCGGCCTGGTAAACCTCTGCCACGCCCTTGAAATACTCTGCGTCGTTGGCGTAGGCCTCAGGGGTATAGGCCTTGCCTTCCTTGTAGCGCATGTGGAACCACGCCGGGGTGATCATGGTCAACTTGATGTTGCTCCATTCGCTCTCAGGCAGGGACTGTTGGACGAGCTTGAGCTCGTGCAGGTTTGAGAGCGAGTGCTTGGGGCTCCAAGAGAGCTTTGAGCCGGCGATGACGGAGTCACCGGGCATGACCTTGCGGTCCTTTTCAATCAGACTAACGACGTCGGGGTGGTAGAGTCTGAACATGGAAGCGTCGGCATCCTGCAGACGGATGGATCCTGAAATGATCAGCATAAGCTTGATGTTTGAGAGAGGACTAAGCCTGCTCAACATGACATACCCTCGAACTCATCCCACATGAGACCCCAGAAACGAGTACGGTTGTACTCGCCTGAGGAGACGGCCTTCAGGCCCAGATCGCGCTGCAGTTGAACCACATCCTTGACAGCCTTGGTCTCAACGGCTAACAGGCCTGCCTCTTCCTCGGAAATACCAGTGTCCCGGATCTTTTCACGAACCTCTAGGAGGTCATCGGGACGCAGCAATGAGCCCATATGCTCGGCCCGGAAGGGCGGTGCGCTGTGAAGCTTGCTGGCCATATTGGGAAGTGTCTGAAGTGGAGATTGGAGCTTGAGCTACCGATTGATCTGATGGGTCAAATGGAGATTTCTTCCCACAATAATTGCAAGAGTCCCACTGCTACCAGGAGAAAGAGTAAAATGTCTCAAGAATGAAAAGAAAGCCAGAGGGACAGAGAGTAGAATGTGAATGTGGGATGTGGAGAGGCTGAAAATGGACGTGGGGCTCTGCAGCTGATGTGGGGTTATTCGGCAGTTGAGGTTGAGGTTATACAGAGCTTGCCCAGGTGGACGTACCATCAGGCGTACAAGTCTTCATGTTGATAATGCGGTGTTGGACTTGTTTCGTTGAAAAGGGGGGTTCGACCTGTAATAGGACGAGGTTTATCCGACCAAGTAACCTCAGGTATACAAACATGGAGAAGTTCATGCTTCCTTGATACCCAGCAGGGCATGGAGTAGTACCAGTTAAGATATAATTGAAGTCAATTCTCAACCTTTGTTGTAGATATGATTCCCTCCATGTTTCAATCGTTATATCATGACCCTAGATATCCCGTACGGTGCTTCTTTGGTAGGAATCAAAACGCAATAAAACATATTCGTTGATTCTATGTTCAGAGTATAGACGATGGACTCTCAGTGACCCTGAAAGCATGCTGAAGATTGTCTGGCCGTTGGCAATATTACATTTAGTAGCAAGTAGCAATTAATATGAAGAATGATGAAAAGAGAGATATGTATAGTATGATTGAAAAAGAAGAGGATCTCCCAGTAGTACATGTGGTTGCAAGGACCTTGCATAGTTATGCCACTGTTACCAATCAACCTGGTACTTTAGATGACCAATGAGAGGAATCAGGTTAATAGAGCTTTCCATCTGTCAAAAATGCCCGGACCAAGGCATTAATTAAATACTGCTCTCTTTTATGCTTCATTTAACCATTCTGCTCTCTGAATTTTGTGTGCAGCAACGTACCCCACCTTCACCTCAGCCCCACATACGCGATGGGGCTGTTTGGAGATACTACTCCGTAAAAATGCCCCAATTCATATTGTGCTTGCAATCTCCAATTCTAATATCATGACAGGGGTTATACTGCTCTGAGACCATGCAAGCACATCTACAGTTCCAGCACTCCAGTCATGGCATGGACAGTCGTAAATTTGCTCCCAAGGTATCTAAATTTCCTATGCAAAATATGGCAGTACATTTAATTCCCGTTCTCCGTCACTGGCATCGGGACTGGACCACCCGGTGAATCCGGGAAACGGGCCGTGAGAACCTCAACGCCGTCCTCGGTCACTAGCATAGTGTGCTCGAATTGAGCGGACAGCGATCCGTCCTGGGTAGTACTCGTCCAGTCATCAGGCCATGTGCGGTCACGGTGGGTACCAATATTGATCATGGGTTCAATGGTGAAGCACATGCCAGGCTTCGCGGTTCCGACAGCCTTGTTCTTGCCGTAGTGAGGAATATTGGGGGCGCAGTGGAAGAGCTGGTTGATGCCGTGACCACAGTAAGTCTTGACGACACTGCAGTTGCGTGACTTGGCGTGCTTCTCGATCACATTTCCGGGATCGCGGAACAGCATGCCGGGCTTGACCAGCTCGATCGACTTCTCCAGACACTCGCGCGAAGTCTCCACCACTCGCACCGCTTCGGGGTTAGCGAGCGCCTTGTCTCCGACGTAGTAGGTTTCGTTGATATCGCCGTGGAAGCCCTTGTGGTAAAGGGTGACGTCAATGTTGACGATGTCACCGTCCTCCAGTGGCCGTTGGTCGGGGATACCGTGGCAGATAGTCTCGTTAACAGAGGTGCAGACGGACTTGGGGAACTGCATATAGTTGAGGGGGGAAGGGTAGGACTAGAGGGAGAGAAGGGTGTTAGCGACAATCCTGGTAGGTTCTACTCTCACGGCCTCGGCCGGTGGTCATACATCGCGCTCAATACAGGCCTTGTGAACCACCTCGTCAATGTAATCGGTGGTCACTCCAGGTTTCAATGCGCGGCCGGCGATATCCAAAACTTCGCGCGCGAGGCGACACACAACGCGCATGCCCTCTTGCTCTTCCTTGTTCAGGATTTTGATAGTGTGGCGGCCGACGAGCTTCTGCTCAGAGCGCGGGATACCATCGCGGGCATAATCGGGGTGAGGGATGGCCTTAGGAATGGTGCGTGTGGCGGACAGTGGGTATACAGGACGTAACGAGCCGGCGAAGGGGAAGGCGGGGAAGGGATTGAAGTGGCCGGTTGCTGGATCAGGTTCAGAAACTACTTTCGGAGGAAAAAGGTTGGCAAGGAGATTACTCTTCTTGTGAATAGACTTGTGCTCGCTCTAGAAAAATGGAAAGCAAAGGATTAGTCGGGTAATCCCTTTAACATGGATCTCGATATAGATCCGTCATCAATCTCGGTGGGGGTTAAGCGTACCCAACTCCGCTTGAAGCAATCTTGCGAGCAGAAGAAACTGTCAGTACCCATTTTCAGGCAGGTGGGACATTGGAGAGTGCCCGCATCATTTGGGCAGTCCACGCCGGCGCATTTGCGAGCAGTCATGGTGGTGGAGGGGGGGGAAGTGGTGAGATCGTCAATTTCTCAATTTCTCGACGATCGAAACATCCAAACGAACTGCGGCGAGAAAAAAGGCGGCGGAGGACGGGAGGGGCTAGTCCCAGAGTGGACTAGTGTGGGAGGCGGGCTGTTTGTCTTGTTTGCTCCACATGTCTGGTCACGTGCCCGATTGCCTCATCTAGATGACTCATCCATTATTACTCAGCAATCCGACATCGCACCACGTGATCAGGGTGATTCCGGCGAGGGTCCCAGACAAATTGAATTTCTCCGCCCCTGACGGCGTTCGACTTTTGCTGAATTGTTAAATCATCTTCCTCTTGGGTGCACATTTCTGCATATGCCCGATGGCTTCTCCCCGGCAAAAAGTGGTGGTGGTCGGCGCTGGCCCGGTGGGGTCTTTGGCCGCGCTGTATGCGGCATCTCGTGGTGATGAAGTGGAAGTGTATGAACTTCGAGGAGGTACGTTGATCGTGTGCTTGTGTGTTTGTGAGACGAGAATAATTTCCGGAGGAATCGGAGGGTAAAAGTACTGGCGAACAGCAGTGGTTGCGTTGTGCAAGCCCTGGAGGCTCCCACACCCAAATTCCTCCGGGTGACTCGGACTCGACTCTTTTCCTCGTAAAATATATACCCTCTGCATCAATCTCTCCCCTCCAACAAGGTCCTCTTGCTGCCTGCAATTTACCCCTCCAAGATCTCCATCAGGTCCTGCCTTTGACTTCATCTCCAAGTCTGAACTTTTGAACTCATCTCACCAACCTGGATTCAAGCCAATAATCATGTCCGTCCGTAGATCTCCGCGATCCAACCACCATCCCACTCAACTTTACCAAGTCGATCAACTTGGCCATCTCGGAGCGTGGCATCACAGCTCTACAAGGCTCGAATCGACCCGGTCTCATCGATGAAGTGCTCCACAAGACCATCCCCATGTATGGCCGCATGATCCACGGCCGAGACAATGGTTCCTTATGGGAAGCGGCTCAAGCCTATGACGTTCACGGTCGTGTATGCAATCATCCTGCCTTCCCCTGCATTATGCACATCATAACCTCGGGATCACCCCTGCAGTGGCTAACCTGATCTCACAGGCCATCAACGCTTTAGATCGCAGCGCTCTCAACAATGCCCTGCTCGACGAGTTGGAGCGTACTCCCAATGTCAAGTTATTTTTCAACTATAAGCTGACCGGTGCCGACTTTAACACCAACAAGGCCTGGTTTGAACGCCGCATCCCCGGCGATACTCCTCAGCCCGATAATCTCGGCGTGGCTGGCCGGGTTCCCGAAATTGAGGTATCCTTCGATTACCTGCTGGGAGCCGATGGAGCGCATTCCGCCTCTCGTTTCCATATGATGAAGTTTGCCCGCGTCGACTATCAGCAGGAGTATATCGACACGCTCTGGTGTGAATTCCGCATCCCTCCCTCCGAAGATGGAGATTTCCGCATCTCGCCAAATCATCTTCATATCTGGCCCGGCCAGGAGTTTATGTTCATCGCTTTGCCGTCCGCGGACAAATCGTTTACCTGCACACTCTTTGCACCCTCGTCGCATTACGTTTCCCTGCAGAATGGAACCGAGCAGCTCCACGATTTCTTTGACCTGCACTTTCCCGGCATCTGCCCCGAACTCATCGACCCCGAAGCTTTGGCCGAGCAGTTCGCTATTAACCCGCATCTCCCACTGATCAGCATCAAGTGCAATCCACACCACTATAGCTCCGGCGTGGCAATCATTGGCGACGCAGCACACGCAGTCCTCCCCTTCTACGGCCAGGGGCTGAACGCCGGACTGGAAGACGTCCGCGTTCTATTTGAACAACTCGATCAGCACGGAGTCTATGACACGGATCTGAGCGTCTACACCCGCAGCGTGCGCCGCCAAGCAGCCTTCCAAGCATACACTAAGCAACGATGCGACGACACTTATGCAATCAACGACCTCTCCAAACAAAACTATCTCGAAATGCGATGGGGCGTCAAATCTCCTCTATACAAACTACGCAAGTCTATCGAGGAAACCATCGACCGCCGCCTGCCGTTCTTGGGCTGGAAGACGCAGTATGCTCGTATCAGCTTTAGTAACCAGCGTTACTCGGAGGTCATTGCTGCTGTCCAGCAGCAGAGTCACGTTCTTGGTCTTGGACTGAGCTCGGCGATTGCTGTGGGAGCTGGAGCTCTCGCGGTGGTTTTGTGGAAACACCCTCGTCTTTTGTCCCCAGCGTGGCTTTGGCATACCTCGTTACATTGGATCCGCTCTGCCTCCCGCCTGTTCTGGAGATGAGGATATCCAAAAGCATATATCTATTAATTTGAGATGTCGGAAGTATCGATGTGTTTGTCTCAAATCTAGCGTTTTTCCTGTTGCATAATAGACTTCCAGCCTGCAAAATGAATGATTGAATCTACATTTCACACTTCTTGACAGTTTTGACTCCATTTTCCCAAGGTTTCATTTTCTTTTAGACACTCCATTCACGTCGCTCCACTTGATTCATTCACTCCAACTGCCCCTTTGCACAAACATACAAACTCCTCCCTCCTGTCTCTCTCTCTCTCTCTTCCTCCTTTTCTCCCGTCTCTCTTCTTCTTATTCTTACTCGCCCTCTTCTTCGATCACCATCTTTCTAGCGTTCTTTCTAACCACCTCAAAGACCCAACGCTCCCAACCCCCCCCGTCGACTTCATTTGTCCCTCGTCATAATGGACTACGACACAATCAATGATTTGGCTATTCTCAGATTAAGCCCCGACCTACTGATCCAACTTCAATCCAACGTCAAGCCCACCAGAGTCGCCCTTCCCACCCCCGCCACGAGCAGTCAAAAGGGCGAGCACGACAAGACCCACAAACACGAGCTGATAGACAACTATATCCCCGTGGTCCAAATCTCCAGCACACCTCCCACTGGCAGCTCTCAATTCCACACACAAGCCACACAGCTCCTCTCAACTCCCATCACTGCCCACACCGACCTCTCAACCATAGACCGCTCCGGAACCCTCAACGGACTGCGCTCCATCCCCTGCGTCCCCAAGTCACCTCTCGCAAGAAAAGCAAATCTGGACGATGATCTGTACCGACAGTCGGGACTATCATCTCCAATGGACTTCTTCTCCAGCCGGACTAGTGGCTATGATGCTGACTGTGACGAAGCGAGCGAGGAGGTCAAAGAATCAATCGAATGCGAACAACTCTCCGAGCGAGAGGTGGTCAAGTTAATGAAGTCTCTCAAGTCCATCAACGCAGAATTGCGACGCCATAATCGTCTGCTTCGTCTCATTACCCGACAAATGCATCGGGTTAGACGGAAGAGTGTTCGTGTTCGCTCCCGATTCCCTCGTACCAGCAAGCGCCTGCGCGCTCGAGGATCCGTCGTGGATGTTGATGTTGAGTGATGGCATGAAATATTGCTGCTTTGTGGATACGTGTTGACCTCGAGGGGAGCTTGTCAGAAAGAAGTTTCGATGTCTGGACTGGATGGTGTGGTGCTGTTTCTGGTGGAGATGCACAGCACTGGGTTGAGAGAATATGGTCTCATGTTTGCGAAATTGCTGCTGTCAAGCGTAGAGGGAATAACAATATGGGTGGACATTTTCTAATACAATGTCTCGGAAGTTATTTTGTCCAACTTATGAGGACAAGCGTGGACGAGGAGGGAAATTTACAAGTAACTTGAAAAGAAGCAGGAAAGTAAGAGAATCTTGGGCCCTCCCAAAACATAGATTCAAACCCCCAAATTATTTTCAACGCCAACAGAGCTGGTATAACTAATCCCAGTATTTGATAACACCCTCCAACCCACCAGTAACAACCTTACTCGACTCTTGCGGGTGCCAATCCAAACAAGTAACAGCACCGCCTTCTTTCCCACCAGCCTGGATCTTGTGGTACATCTTACCTGTCTTCCAGTCCCAGAAGCAAGCAAATCCAGCACTGTCACCCGAAACAATAAACTGACCATCAGGCGAGATCTTCAGATCAACACCGTAGCCGGAAGTGTTGTGCCCACGGAAGCTCTTCTTGCGATTCTGGCGGAACTTATCGGTAGCACCGTAAACGACAATCTGATTATCGCCGGACTGGAAAGCAACATATTTCCCATTCGGGTGCGGCGTCGCACGTGTGAGAGCAAACATATAAGGCTCGGCGATGAACTTGATCGGAACAGGGATGCCGTATTCCCAAGCGCGCAGGGACTTGTCGTCGGAGGTAGTGATGAAGCGACGATTATCGTCGACAAAAGTGATAGTATTGACAGCTGCCAGATGGTGATCGTATTCCTGGACCAGCTCTCCGGACCGCGTATCGAATTGAACAATCTTCTTATCCGACATACCAGCCAGGAATTCGTGCGAGTGCTCAGCGCTCGGATTGAAGCGCACGACGTGTGGTGTCTTGCCCGTGGAAAACCGACCAATACACTTGCCGTACTCTGTATCCCAGAGCTTGATGTTGCGATCGAATGAACCGGTCAAGAAAGTCCTTCCAGTAGGGTGGAAATCCGTATCGGTGATAGCCTTATTGTGACCCGAGAAAGTGCGGAGCAGTTCACGCTGGTGGTAAACATCCCAGATCTTAGCCTTTCCATCCGCAGCTGAGGAGAGCAACAAGTGACCGGAGTTGGGGAAGAAACGAAGTGAAGTGATAGGCTTGGTATGCGACTTCCAAGTATGAACCAGTTTCTTGGGAACATAGTTCTTGATACTGCCGATCTCTTTGCGCAAGTCGACATCCAAGTCCTGAGGGACATGCATATAAGTCCGACCCTGGTAATCGAACTGCTCGGAGCCGTGGAATTCGCTCGTCTCCACCTTCGACGTATCACCCTGGTAATCGGTAGCTTCCTTGCTCATGGCCGGCATGGGCGCATCGGTAGCCAGAGTCTCATCCTCCTCGACAAACTCCTCATCACTAGCCAAGACATGATCGTCCCCCTCGCCAACCTCATACTGATCATACTGCTGATCATTCTGATATTTCGCCCAGGGACCCAGATACGCCCCGTCACCTTCGACTATACTCGAATCACCCTTCCGTTGGCGCTTCGCGCGCCACGAGGCAGATTTCTCTTTCGTAGGCTTCATCTGCACGACATCGCGACCGCCGAATTGGGCGACATTGTCCATATTCCCGACAAACTGATCCGGCAGGGTCGGGTTGCGCGTATAGCCCAAGCTCTGGAAGGTACGGTGTTGCGCGGAGAAAGTCGACTCGCTGATGGCGGCCTCCTCGGCGAAACCGGTCGGGACATTCTTGCGCTTGATTCCATTGCCTGGACCGGCGGGCTTGAATGGGTTGATGGGGCCTTGGGCCGGTCGTGTCATATCATCGTAGGTGGCATTGTAGGTGAGGGCTTGCGACGAGGTGTTGGCTAGGGTCATTTGCATGTGTGCTTGATCCTATCGGGTCGTTAGTCTTATCTGGTCATCATGATGGAGATGCGAACTCGTTTCATAGGGTGAAAGGAGGTAGGGAGAAGTAGGAGACCGGGGGACCAAACCTCTGTATTCACTTCTGGCGCGGCCACGATTGTGGTGGCGGGTGTTGCTGAAGTCTTGGGTACGGAGTCATCGTCGCTTGAATCATAGCCGACGCCTAATAAAGCCGACATGGTGAAGGTGTGAATGGCAGAAACCCCGGTGAGTTGAGGTCTGCGCAAGGGTGGAGGTGGAGGTTAAATCGGAGTTGGAGTTGGAGTTGGGTGGAATTTTACGTAGGCGGAGGGAAGCTTGCCTGCTCCACTTGAGACTTGGCGATGTCGAACTTGAAGTACTCATCAACTAGACTGCATCTATCTGCATGAGATATAGAGTACTAATAGTATGAGTAGTCCCTAGGTAATTAGCCACTTATTACTTACTACTTTGTCAGAAAACACCACCACTACTACTACTACTACTACTACTACTACTACTACTACTCAAATACTAGTAATGCCACTGGGTATCGTACGCTCTTCATTGCCAACCGCTTGGAGATATATACAACTCACAGGCTGAACGACAGGATAGGATTAACAGAGAAATTGCAAAAAGAACTTGAACGAAAGAGCAAGATAACCAGACCAGAAGAGAAAAACATAAACCTCTCCGGCCAGCAACCGCCCTGCACACCTCCACTCCACCGCATTAGACAGAAGAAGAGGGGAAAAAGAGATCATCACCCATCTATTACTCCACACAGCGCAAGTCGAACCGAACCGAACTATCTGGGCTCAATAACCGAAAGGATTCTCCCACATCATCCAGGGTCGTCTACTCACTCCGCCAGAGCACTAGCAATACCGGTGTATATCACAGGGATGGCTGCTCGGAGTCCCATGGCGGAGTCGTAATGAACGTGTATCAGCCAGGACACGCACAGTGCATTCAAAACAACAGTTTATATCCTCGGCGAACTGTGACATGACTGTGAAAATATCACAAACCCTGCCGATATAGGAGGTCCTCGGGGCTAGTTGGAACGACCATTGCGCATCGCATGCTCGGTCTTGGTACAAAATCAATTGCCCTCGTCGCGGATGAGAGCCACAATCATGCTGTACAGGTAGAAGAAGAACATCAGGAGGTGGAAGCCCAGCTTGATGAACGATTCCTGGAGGGGGAGTGCTGAGTTAGCGATATCCTATGCGATAGCCTGGGAGCTCGGCGGTGACTCACCTTCTTGTGCACATTCAGCTTGCGGAAAATCTCGGTCGCATCCAGCAGGTGCTGGTTCTCGTAGATCCTATAGACACAAAAAAAATCCATGTTAGCCTCACTGGTGCGATAGCAGATCAGGGGAGGAAAAGAAGGCGTGCGAGACGCGGGCGGGACGTACTTCTTCGCATTGAAGGCGAGGAGAGGCAGGTTCAGGACGATCGCGAGCCAGTAGCCGTTGATCACAAATAGGAAGGTCAGGAAAGCGTGGACGGCGGCTTCGGGGATGATGTAGGCGTTGAGGCGGTTGCAGAGGTCGATAGGGTTGATGTAGTCACTGTGCGGGGGGAGTCAAGGTCAGCTGGGATTTCATAGCGAAGGAGCATCCTCGGGCGACTGCCTGAGAGGTGCATTGAGGGAATCAATTCGCTGTAGGAGGTACTCACCACTCGAGATCGCTGTACATAATAGTGAAGAACACCTGGAGGAAGAGGTTGACGGCGTTGATCAACACCGACAACAGATAGAGCCACGCTTCACCGGACATGATGGGCAGAGAGGAGAAGGTATGCGCTAGCTAAAAACTGGTGAGCAAAGGTCGCGATGTCGGAGGTGGAGGAGGATGACGGAGGGTCGAAATGCCGCAGAGACGCAGGTGCACACCGGAATTGGAGATGAGATGGGTTTTGTGGGGTCCGCGGCCCAAAAGTCCCCAGGGAAGTCGGCGGAATCACAGAGACCGACGAGGTGACCAAGGGGAAGGGGGAAGGAGAATGGCTCGACTCACAAATCAGAAGCTGCGTAATCTGCAGAATAACCCAAGGCGAATGGGTAACAAGAGAGGCAAGAGAGGTACAGGGGGTGGAGAGCTGCGAGGTGTTAGCGAAGTCTGTCTGAAGTTTGAACTGGGCGGTGGGCACTAGCGTGGTCCTCCCACTGGGGGGGGGGGGGGGGTGGAAATGAAAATGGAGGGGCTGGGGAGGGGAACTTGATGAGACTGGAGATCCACCCTAAACGTACCTCTTGTGGGGAGATATAATAGGATGAAGTGTGAGTATGTTGGAAGGATGGGTTGAAGTGGGTGGAAGTGGAAATGGAAGTGGTGAAGTTGGAGTTGGCCTGGGGTGCGAAGCATGACGTCTTCACGTGCCGACCCGGCGTACATACTTTATAGTAGTAGTAGTAGCCTTGGAACTATACGGACTACAATATAGATAAACTAGTACTCCTCATGTCTATAGATACACAGAAGTAGATGAACAGATAAATATCGTCTATATACAGCACCTGGTCCCTCATTGATTGGGCATCCCAGCACTCAACTTGCTAGCAAATTCCCGAATATACTCAACGAGATACAACAAAAATACATATCGCACGACAGAAAAGAGGCAAAGTATCACTGAGCACGCAGTCTAATCAACAGACCTAACGCTTCTCAACAAGCAGGAAGTGCATCGCTGCATATGCAATGATAATAAAGGCCCCGGAGAACACGGCCAGGCCCGCAACATCGTACCAATAGGCCAAAGTGTCAAACCCAAAGGCACTCAAGATTGATGCACCAGGTACCTCGATGTCGAGACCATATTTGTGGTCGATCAGGGTGAGGAAAGTGACCTCATTCACAATGAGGGCTTCGAACCCATAATGGAAGATCGAGAGCTAAATCCACGTCAGTTGGGAATTTCAGAAAGAGCAGAAACCGAATCGAGGGTAAGACTTACACTTTGAAGCCACAAAGCAGAGCTAGGGATAGCATCGTGATTCAAAAGCAGACCAGCGAACAGCAAGCTGAAGAGCATCACCAGACTGCCAACCAAGTTGGCCACACCGCCGTCGCGGATGATGATCCCAATAAACAGGCAAATATTAGCGGCCGCCAAGTTGAACAGAACGAGAACCAGCATAAAATGTAGGAACTCTGGCCAGGCAGCAATCAATCCCGTCATCGGATAGATGATAACACCCATGATAATGGGCGGGATAAGTCGCAAGGGAACGATATCAAACACAACCTTGGCGGCAAAGTAGGTCACCGGGTGATAGTAGCCATTGGCACGCTCCCGGACAAATAAGAGTCGCTCGGATGAGAAGACCGTCAAACTCGTCAGGGTGCTAAAGCCGAACAGTGCAAGGATGAAAAAGAATAGACCAAGGCGGTTCTGGAAGCCCTTGATATCATCGGTCAAGCCGTAGAAGAGGAACCCTGATAGCACAGCCAAGAGGATCGCGATGGCGTAGTGTGTGAGCATCAGCATCGGGTTACGGTACAGGTTGCGCCACGTGCGCTGAGATAGAATGAGGAATTGCCGCGTCAAGCTGATGCGGGCATAGCCCTTCGGCTGCAATCCTGTCTCGCCAGCGAGATGGGAGTTGGCAGAACCGTTGGCAGCCTGTGCACTCTGAACTGCAGCGACGATCTCATCATGAATCGATCGAGCCACATCCGAGTCAGCATAGCTGGCAACGAGAAGATCAAGATCAGATGTACCGGGGGCCGGTGGCGGAAGCTGGTCGGGGTCATCGAGAATCTGCGGAGGAACTTGGCCTTGCTTTTGGCGGGAAAGTCGCAGCCATTGCTGGGCGTCAGAAGCTTCTAGGGTGGCATCTTCTTCGTCGGTCTTAGGCGTCGTCGGGCGATCGTCTTTGCGTCGCGAGAACAGCTGGCGTTCCTGCTGCTGCTTCACTGAGATGCGTCGCTTGTTCTTTGGTCTCCGTGTCTGCTCCGCGGCGCTGCTAGAATTGTCTTCGAAACTGACATTGGACACGCTGGCGACGGATTTGACCGCTCTCAGACTGCTTGAAGCCGTTCTGGGCGGACCTGTCTGTCCGTCTAGTTGTTCGCTCTCATCGATATACACTTCATAGGCACCATTGGAATGCGCGCCACTGGCGTGCATAGTAAGATCCACAAGATAGTCGGCAATATTGAATCCAGCTGGGCAAGAGTATCCAACCTCATCGAAATATTGTTGGCACGATGAGAAAAGGCCTGAATAGACGGCGCGACCCTCGGCGAGGAGAATCAATCGGTCGAAAAGGGCAACGATGTTCGAGCGAGGCTGGTGAATAGTAAAGATGACAGTACGGTTGTAGGTCTTGGCCAGAGTGACCAAGCACTCGACCACATTGAAAGCGTTGAAAGCATCCTAGAGGTGGATTTCGTTAGCTACCGGGCTCTCAAACAAAATATGGGGGAGTACCATACCAGTCCGCTGGTGGGCTCATCCAAAAAGAGAATGCTAGGGCTGGTGACCAGCTCACAAGCGATGCCAACACGACGCTTCTCACCGCCAGAGATACCACGGCCCTTGCCCTCTTCCGAACCGATCAATTGGTCCTTGATGTGGGAAATACCAAGCTGCTTCTCGACTTCGAAGACCTTCTGCTCCTTCGCCGCCCGGCTCATGTCCCGGGGCAATCTCAGAAGAGCGCTGGTGAGAATTGTTTCATGAACAGTCAAGGTCGCTAGCATCGTGTCCTCTTGGTCAACAAATCCAGTCATGGTCTTGAAATCATTATCGTCGATCTTCTCGCCGTTCACGTAGAAGTTGCCTGAAACAGCACCTCGCTTATTCTTCCGTGCCAGGATGTCCAAGAATGAGGTCTTGCCAGCGCCCGAGGCTCCCATGATTGCAGTGATCTGTCCAGGAGTGCATGCACCTTGGATGCCGGAGATAATCTCCTTGCCATTGAGATGATACGACACATTGTCCCAGTAAAGAGCAGCCGGTCGGTGTTCGGCAAGCAACCTTGAGGTCTCATCATCCGAATCATCAGACAGAGAGAGGCGAATATAGTTGTGGCGGGCAGCACGGCGAGAAAGATACCAGACGATCAAGATCGCTGCGACAACGAAGAGTGCGCACCCAGCTATCACGCCTGCAATGAGAGGAGTGTTAATCGTCTTGACCGGGCGCTCGTAGCCTGGAATGTTCGTCTTGTAGAGGCATTCTCCAGAGTCACAGGATAAGAAAATGCTGGGGTCACCAAAGACACCGCTGATCAGAGTGTTCATTTGGGGCTCCGAGAAGACGCTGCTGCTGCCCTGCCGGGTGGCCTTGGTGGAAAAGGTGGCCGGGCCTTTAATCAATTGTGCTAAGAAGTCCTTGAGATCGATAGATCCGTTCTCGCCGCACAAGAAGCGGTCAGGGATACACTTGCACTCGACATTCTCGCACCGATAGTTGGTAGTGTTGGCATCGACTTCGGTCTTGAGGTCCCAGTCGCAAGTGTCCAGACCGCAGTAGAAAGATTCAACCTGATCGACCCAGAATTGGAAGTTACAGGACTTATCGTCGTCTTTGCACGAGAAGGTCACTTGCGGCTTCCGATCACCTAGCTGATCAAGAATCTTTCGATTGGTCACATCGCACATTTGAAAGTTCTCCTTGGCGGTGACGCCTTCTTTGTAGCAAACTCCATCCTTTCCTTCTGGCATCATGGCATTGCAGGCGTTATCGTTTTGGCAGACGTTGCAGTTGATACCACCCCAGCCATCCTTGCACTCGCATGTATCGCCTTCACGGATGGGACGATTTGTACCATCGGACAAGGCACCGCATTCTGGGGCTGAGCAATCATCTCCGCCAAAGCCCGATGGACAGGTACATTTGCCGGTGAAGCTGTTGCATGGGGAGAAATGGGTGCAGTCGTACTTGTCGAGCTGACAGTTGAAACAGGGAGGACAGTTCGGGGGCCGATCATCGAGGATAGAGAAGGATCGGGAGACAAGGGTTGTATCAGAGTAGTTGCTCGAAGCTATCACCGGGACGGATAGAGTGGCCAGTGCGATCAACGAGAGGAAGGATGCGGATGACCGCATCTTGTGTAGGGGAGGCTGGCACCCAATTACCACGGCGACCGGGAGGGAGAGAGCGCAGATGAGTCGCCGGAGGAGGCTAGCGATAGTTCGACATCCAAAAGTTGAGGATGATGATGTATTGGAAGGGTAGAAAAATGTGAGAAATGTGAGAAGGTGGAAGTGAGATGGGGATGGAGAGGAGTGAAGTGAAGTGGAGTAAGGCTGGAGGTCCAAGGTTGGCCCCGTTAGCCCCGATGACGCGGGCGGAGGCGGTGCGGGTTGCTGCAGCTCAGGAACAGCCTTGCTTTTAGTGAGCTTTGAGGCTCTGGTACTAGTAGGTTACTTGTATCTCCTTATTCGCTATGAGTTGAGCTATTTTTCTATCATTTTTCATTATTTTCCTCCTCTTCCCTTCTGCCCCTACTCGTACTTTGCACTTTGCACTTTGCTGAACTAGTCGTGGCTGCTTCAATGCGGGGATTCCACGTGACACGGCATCAACGCCGAGCCCGACGCTTCTAGAAGTCTTTCTTTACTACAAACTCAACACCCAAAAAAAAGTCCCGGTGGATCACGGCCAGCAGGAGCTGCAACTGTGTGAAATACTCCTGAACAATCCAAATCCATTGGCCTGTTGCATAACCCACCCGCCATCATGGTCAAGCTCGAAGATTTCGCCGTTGAGCAGGTATCTCCCCGCATTCCTATCTCTGCCCCTCCAGTGGCTATGTCCCGCATGCTGAAGGATTCTAGTGGATGGACAAGTATGAAACCACGGCCAAGTTCAACACTGCGGAAACCTGCTGTGCCTCAGTCTCGGTCGACGACCTCCGCGCTCTGTCCGAGGACAAGGAAACAGACCCATTGGGCAAGCTCCAATCCACCAAGCTCACCTACGGCGCCATCCGGGGCTCGGATCAATTACGAGACACACTCTCCAATCTCTACTCGGCCAAAACAACAGCACGTTTACCCAAAGATAATATTTTGATCACGGCGGGCGCGATACAGGCCAACTTTCTCGTTCTGTACAGCCTGCTGGGCCCGGGAGATCATGTCATCTGTCACTACCCGACATACCAGCAACTCTATTCAGTGCCTGCGTCGCTCGGTGCTGAAGTCAGTCTATGGAAGTCCAAGGAGGCCGATGGGTGGCAGCTCGATCTCGAGGAGCTGAAAGCGATGATCAAGCCCAATACCAAAATGATCATTATCAAGTAGGTGTTGACCAAATAATAAACAGACCACTGTTAGTCGATAGAGCTGACCGAATCAACCTCAGCAACCCCCAGAACCCAACCGGAGCCATTATTCCTCATGATACTCTGAAAGGTCTAGTCAATATCGCACGCGAATCCTCCATCACCATCTTCTCCGATGAGGTATACCGCCCTCTCTTCCACAACATTAGCCCCATGGATCCGCAATTCCCCCCCATCTCTTCTGTCGTTTTGCTATGAACACAGCATCACGACCGGGTCAGTGTCCAAGGCATACAGCCTTGCAGGGCTCCGAGTGGGATGGATTGCGTCACGGAGCAGCTCCCTGATTGAGAAATGTGCCAATTCCCGTGATTATACCGCGATCTCAGTCGGACAGATCGGCGATGCGGTTGCCAGCTTTGCCCTCGCCCCGGAATGCATCCACAACCTCCTCAGACGTAACATCGAACTTGCCCGGACTAATCTCGCCATCCTGGAGAAGTTCATCGACTCCCACCGATGGGCGTGCGACTGGATCAAGCCCAAGGCGGGAACAACCGCTTTTGTCCGCTTCACGAAGATGGGGAAGCCTATCAATGATGTCGCCTTCTGTGAGACTCTACAAGAAAAGAGCGGCGTGATGTTTGTGCCGGGTAGTCTCTGCTTCGGTGGTGGCGAGGACTTTCAGGGTTATGTTCGCATTGGATACGCGTGTGAGACGGAGGTACTCGAGAAGGGGTTGGAGGCGCTTCGAATCTTCATGGAGGATGAATATGAGAATGTACCATCGATCAAGAAGGTGAAGTCAGCGCAATAGTATGAAGTGGAAAAAAAGGAAAAGGAAATAAGGTATCAATAAAGCAGACTACTACGAGTTGGCACGCATGTGCAATTGCAAAGTTGCACGGTCAGAACCATGTGGCAAGTTGAACCCTACCAGCACGATATAGTCCGGTCACATCGGCTCAGGTCTCTTGTGACGCAGGGCATGTTTTGTGTTTGAGGGAGTTGCAGCTAAATTCTAACTTCCAAGGTTGATCCCACTTGGTTGTATAATAAATTGAGAGGATTGGTGCATGTCTAGAGGAGGGTACTGTGGATATATATAGATCGAATATGTCTGATTATTGCCACCTGGGCAACTATTGAATACTAAATGGACAATACAGCCACCTGGACAGACTACTACTAGCATGAAGTTAATAACAGAGTACTCGTTATACTACTATATCTGCAATTTAACGAAGTCCATTCCCCATCAGGCATGACTCCGACTCTGTTGTGACCAACGGAGCAAGGCGGCAAGTCCGAGCCTCGGCATCTTCGCATTTCACCTGCTCCACTTCAATCTCCACTTCAACCACTTCCACCTCCACCTCACCACATCCATCCATCCATCTCATTCATTGTTCATCGGAGTCTCCTTCCCTATTTCCTACTTGCTATGGTCCCTTGATACCAATTCTAAGTACAATCCATTCAACTGCTATACCAATCTGCCCCTTCGCTCCCTCACATCGCAGCCATGCCGCTTCCTTTGGTCTCTGGTAAGCACACCTGCCCATTGCCAAGACAACCATATCCATAACCCTACTAATCGCCCTGACTGTTTGGTTAGACCTCCCTTTGAAGATCGCCCTACCCGCCGCTGCGGCTGCCGCTGCCTACCTGAATGCACGATGGGCGCTCTCCCACGACATTGGCCTAATCACCTCAGGGTTAAAGATGGCCCTGAAAGCGCGCGTCGCTGAGCGTGGCGACCGTTTGAACCTCTTCTATAACCTCGAGACCCAAGCGCTTTCTCCCGCGACCGCAGATAATGACTTTATTGTGTACAACGGCCGCACCTGGTCCTTCCGGGAGACCTACCTGATGGCCCTGCGCTACGGAGCCTGGTTCAAGAATGTCCGCGGTGTTCGTCAAAAAGATATCGTCGCCATAGACTTTATGAACTCCTCGACCTTCATCTTTATGACCCTGGGTCTATGGAGCATTGGCGCCATTCCCGCTTTTATCAATTACAACTTGTCCGGCAAGCCCTTGACCCACTCGGTCCGGACCTCGAGTGCCAAGCTCCTTATCGTCGACGAGGAAGTCCGCAACTGCTTCCCGCCAGAGCAGCTGAAAACATTTGCTTCAGAGAGCTTCCGTGATGGAAAAGGCCCGGTCGAAGTCGTCTTCCATACACCTGACATCGAAGCCGAGGTTCTAGGAATGGAGCCGGCGCGCGAAGAGGACAAAGTCCGTGGCGGGCAGGCTGCCCGCGACATGGCTTTATTGATCTATACAAGTGGTACCACAGGCCTTCCCAAGCCGGCTATTGTCTGCTGGAAAAAGTGCTGGGCTGCCTCCTTATTCGTAGGCGATTGGATGAAAGTCGGCCCCTCGGATCGCTTCTTCACGGTAAGACTTGATTTTTCCTCCAACGTAAGAACTCTGGCTGACACAAGCAGTGTATGCCTTTATATCATTCCTCCGCTTATATTATGGGCTTCGCCACTTGCTTGTTTAACGGGGCGACCCTTGTGATTGGCCGCAAGTTCTCCGCGCGTACCTTTATGAAGGAAGCTCGCGAGAACGACGCAACAATCATCCAGTACGTGGGCGAGACGCTTCGTTACATCATGGCTGTACCTCCCGAAATCGACGCGACAACCGGAGAAGACTTGGACAAGAAGCATAACATTCGAGTTGCCTTCGGCAACGGTCTCCGGCCCGATATCTGGAATCGCTTCAAGGACCGCTTCAACATCCCCACCATTTGCGAGTTCTACGCAGCTACCGAGGGCACATCCGGCTCCTGGAACCAATCTTCCAACGACTTCTCAGCCGGTGCGATCGGTCGTAACGGTGTATTGGGCAACTTTATTCTTGGCCGTGGATCAGCTATTGTTGACGTCGACCACGAGACCCAGGAGCCATGGCGTGATCCGAAGACAGGTCTATGCAAGAAGGTGCCTCGAGGCGACCCCGGCGAGCTACTCTTCGTCATCGATGCGAACGATCCTAAAGCCAACTTCCAAGGCTATTTCCAGAACAACCAGGCGACAGAGAGCAAGATCGTGCGCGATGTGCTGAAGAAAGGTGACGCTTACTTCCGCACTGGAGACATGGTGCGCTGGGATAGAGATGGTCGTTGGTTCTTCTCCGACCGACTCGGCGACACATACCGCTGGAAGAGCGAGAATGTGTCTACAAACGAGGTAGGGGAGGTTCTCGGCTCACACGCAGAGGTTCATGAAGCCAACGTATACGGAGTGGCTCTGCCTAACCACGATGGTCGCGCTGGGTGTGCCGCCATTGTCTTCAACCAGCAGGTGGCCAGCGGTACCTCCGGTCCTGCATTGGAGCCATCTAGAGCTACCTTGGACAGCTTGGCGGCTCACACCCTTCAGAATTTGCCGCGATTTGCAGCGCCTCTTTTCCTTCGCGTCGCGACTGAGATGCAGTCTACTGGCAACAACAAGCAGCAAAAGCATGTACTACGCAGTGAGGGTGTTGATCCCTCGTTGGTTTCTAAGAATGACCGGCTCTACTGGTTACAGGGAAGCACTTATGTTCCCTTTGAGCCGAAGGATTGGGCTCAAGTGACCGGTGGTCAAGTCCGGCTGTAAATACCAACCGTCTGAATCTGTCGTCTTCTCTGTCTCCGTCTCCTACCTCGCCCTGCCTGCTCGTACATGATACCCCCACTGTCCTTGAGTGATCCGATTGAGATAAGTTTGTTTGTTATATCAAAGTTCATGTTGATACTACTAGTTAGATGTGAATACACCGTGCTATTGTCATTTCCTAGCTTTGACCATATCTACTGTGCTCTACTCGTGGGGTAGATGACCTCATCTCTAATCTGAAGCCTATCGGGTCCCAAAACGGCAATCGACCAGAAAACGATATTGGCAAGAGTCAGACACGAAGAACAGAGATTTCAAAGGCGAAAAAAACAATAAAAAGTAAAACAAATCAAAGAATACATCCAGAAAGCTCCCAAAACGTTAGCAAAAGCTCGGATTTGAGGTCAAATTGGAAGGGTATTGTTAACCTGCCAGCGTGGCTCACTGGTTCATGGCAGTACCCTGACAGTGCAAACGCGATGGGGTCCTTGAGGTAACAGGTTCGAGCCCAGCAAACGCCGAGTACCGGGTTGCAGAGGCGCGCGATTTCCCCCTCCAACGATTCAAACTAGGCTACGTTTGTTAAAGGGCGCCTTCGGGCCTGTAAGAGAGGAACCCTCCCCAGAGAACTCCCACGCGCCGGAACCTCATGACAAAGGCCTAGCTATTAACGAGCCACCCTTTTTTTCTTCCCTTTTTCTCTTGAGGCATTATCGTGCTATTTGTTTTGATGGGGTCTGGCCTGGTTTTCCTGGCTTTGATTCTATTTTTCCCCTGTTGGTTCGGATGATGTTGATTTACTCCACACCCCGCACTGTCTCCACATGAGCTTATTTTTTTTATTTTTAGAATTTCTACCAAGAGTTGACTATATGTATGTATTCGCGACGTAGAGCGACCGGCGCTTTATAATGTCAGTGATAAAATTAAGATTTCGCTTGTTAAACCCGATCTTCGTACAATAGATCCTCCCATTATGATTACTTCTGAGATGGAGAATTCATGATGTGGTATGGCGGGTGATGCTAATACTACGGGGGAGGATGGGTGGGGATGGGTGAGAGGGGTGAGAGGACGGATTGGAACCTGAGGATGAAATATGAGGGATGAGGTCATACTCACAGCATCACCACACTCCCTGTCTATTCAACAGCTAGATGCCTCTTCTAGATATCCTTCAGATCTTTAATATGCTCGTTAATCCCTCGAGAAACACAGTGGCGTTGCAAAAGTTTGAAACATTCTATTGCCCACCATTATCGACCGCCTTCTAATGGCAGACAAGTAGCTACCCAAGATGGAATAAATTAGCCAATTTATTCCATCTTGGGTAGCTACTTGTTCCCTTGGAGGGGCAGAGATTTGGGCGGTAAACAAGGGATTTCAAACTTCTGCAACACCACTGTAGGTTCGAAAGATATTCTTATCATGACGCGTACTATAATTAGAGATTTTTGTTTTCGCTACAATAATAGAGCTGTTGTAGGCCTTTGTCCAAAATAAGTGGTAAAATGAACTGCCAGATTTGATCTGAGAACGTAGGATCTAGAGTCTAGTCAAATAAATTCCAGGGCTCGGTCAGACTGTAGATAAAAGAATAGGAAGCTTCGTGTTATTCGCTCCTCCAAAGACAAGAGTAACGATAAACCAGGGTGCCCGTCTATCGGAGGAATGTGCTAGTTTGAATTGCAGTAGGAAGACGGAAAGAAAATATGAAAAGCGAAAGAAAGCCATGAGATACTAATAGGATGATGATAGATTTCAATCTATGATTAGAAAGGATGCAGCTATTTGTGTTGGAGCTGGGTTGTATCATCGAGGCCACCGAGTGTGAACAAAGACAGCAAATGACTGGAAACTAAGCCTAAACTTCGTGAATAGCTCAGCTCGATCTTTGTGGAAATATCATGATGTTCTATAATGGATGTGACACAGTGAGCAAACAAAGCCCAGCATCGAAATGTTGCCAAAGGCTGATTTTACTAAGTCCTTGGCGCGATATGTGTGAAGAGGGGGTGGGAGACTTGGGGAGGGACTTCTCACCGACTATCGCATGCAGGCATGCATCTACATGCCACTGCTGCCACCTGTAAGCCATAAGAGCTACGACAGGAAGCAAGGAGATCGAGAGAAAGGGCAAAGTATTGAAAGTGCTCAAAATGGAATGACAGATATAAGACTTGATTGAAATATCGATAATAAA